GCAACCGTGGCGAACTTGTTGACAAATTTAACGCCCAGGAAAACGATTAAGCCTGTTAAAAAGAGAATCTCGTCTGATTTCATGCTGCTTTTTAGAGACGCCACGAGCTTACCCATGAACAAAAGGAGCATCGTGCCATATACTCTAAAGTTATTGTACATAGCTTCGGCGTCTTTTGTGAAATCCCCAAATATGGATGCCCAGGGTGCCATATACGTCTACGTTTAACACATATAGAATTTGGAAATATATATTTGTTTGCACATTATTGTTATTATAGAATATCTTACCAGGACAATTTCAACAGCGCCCACAATGTACATTGCAGCTGCCAACGTTGTCCCCGTATAAAACAGCATTCCAACAGCTCCGCCAAATTCAGGACCAAGTGATCTAGGCACGCATGAAGTAGACATAAATATAGATAATGTAAGTTATAAAACATGATAGGATTTCCAATTCAAATGCATATTCCAATTGGAACTCTCTCACACTTCTGTTTTGATGGGACCTCATTAAATCTTAGCCTTATAGATCGAGATATCTTGATCAAGTAAGTATCAAGCTAGTTGCGTGCATATTCGACATTCTTTATATTTCATATATACTGCATATTATAGCTAATTTTATTTTTAAATTTTTTATCATTTTATTATCGTGTCTTTAAATCTTTACCGTGATATCATAAAGTAGCTCCCTCCTGCCGGCACAACTCCATTCGTTGCAATGGCTGACATTGATATCGCAGTTAGCATTGTCTTAAATTAAAATATTTCTCATTAATATATACATTTCATGCTGTTAAATATATATATTTATATTTGATAATTACCACACAACAGCAGGTGAGCACAATTAAGAATCCGCAAATAGCTCCAGCCGTACCAACAACCCATGTTAATCGAATAAATAATATTACACCAAAGATATTTTGAATACACGGCAAAAAGACTCCAATAAGGGTTCCTGGAAAATAATGTTCAAATTAATAAAATTACTATCGAAAAAAAAAAACTTTTATTTATTTTCAGTTTACAAACTGCTCAAGCTAACCTCGTTTCTAAAAATATTTATATGCATATATATTTTGATACTAATTTAAAACAAGAAACATATATGTTTTTTATTTTATATCAACTTGACAATTATTTTGATAACTCTTCAGACTGCCCTCGCGAGTGTGTAAAAAATATTTGAGCCAATATTTCGTTTTCGGCATAACTAATTAATTAATTAAGACGAACAATACAAAAAAGTTTGTTTCTTCTTTCGCCTCGGTTTTGGCAAAATCTTTTATTGGACGCGAAAGCGTGGCTTCTTATTGAAATGGATGAACTCTCCCATAGCTTGGAGCCGTTAAAAATGCTAATTTAAATAGTTAAATGAAGAATTAGTTTAGAAAATTACTTTCTCTGTTCAATTCGTATCTGAATTCTGACCAATTATTTTGCGTGTCGCATTTTTAATGACTTTTAGCTGATGCCACTTGGCTTGTCTGTGGCAAGGTTCGAGATCTCATTTAAGACTAATTTAAATTGATGAACGGCTGCCATTAAATTTTAATGAAGCTAAATGGTCAAATAGGAGCAGCTTGACGGCTGGATACCAATTTTCTCAAATTAAAATCAAGCATCGGAAAATATAGAAAAAATCGTTGGGAATTATTTAAGTCTAGTTCCACTTTAGTCTACTAAGAACATCGCTTTACAATGTTATATTATGTATAAAGAATTTCTTTTTAAGTACTTTTTTTCTGTTTGATATTTGTAGCTCAAAAAAAATGCTCTCATAAATAATACTTAAATAAGCATAGAGCATAAAAAACAAAACACTTCATGCATTGGGCACTTCTTGCTTTGACTTAAGCCCACACTGCGCAAAATGTCTAAGACACTTATTGCCGCTGCAAGGCCTTTTATCGAACAGTTATAACCGCACATTACCAGATGCGAAGCTATTTGAATATGGACAAGAAAATGTAAATGGCATTTCGATTAAACATACCCATGCGTGCTGATGGCGGTGGTGGCTTTGCATCTGGGTCGGTTGCCGCTGGTATCGTGTTTTCATAATTGGCAATTGATGAAATGAATGTTGAAATATGCGGCCTCGTCTCCAAATCATCGTCATAGAGGTACAAATTGGGATCGATAGTTGATTTCTGATTTTCTTCGACATTGTGTACATCTCGAGTATCTGAAAAGGACAAGTTTTTAGATATTTAACTTTAAGTGTTAAGTTCAATTTTGAATTTGAATTGGTCAAATATATTTTTATTTTATTTTATAAATAATTGGAAGACATTTTCCACATTCACTGTCAATTTTCTTAAATAATGCGCAACTCATTTGCTAAGTTAAAGAGATTACTGAGTTTATTTTTACCAGGCAATAACTTTAAATTAAAAATAAATAAAGTATTTTTATGCAAGATTATTCTAATGTAAACCATAAATATTTGGTAGTTTTCAACAGCGAATGAATTGACAGACAGACCAAAGTCTGATTAGATTAGATTAGATTGTCTTAGTTCACTTCCTTGCTTCACATCAGCCAAGCCTAGTTTCGCCTGACCAATTTTGTACTTTCCATTAAAATTGTTTAAATAGAGATTCTTATTGATATTTACGTATGCATAAAAATGACTAAATATTTAACTACAACTAATATTCATTTAATAATGCTCTTACGCTACGCTAATTTTCATAATAATTTTTTTATAAAAATAATTCCAGTTTTAGCAACTTTTTTAAAGTAGCTTTGAATTATGTTCTTGTCTTTCTAGAATTGTAGATAAACAAACTGAAAAAATATGAACTAGAAATAGTCTTATTCTATAAGGGTTCAATGACAGTTTCCTCTAATATATATTATATTAGTATACATTTATAACAAGTAATATAATATAAAGATTATTACTATATAAGCTTATTTCTATCGTATGTTTACATCAGCATAAATTTTACTCTTTGAAAATATGGAAATATAAATATATATACACACAAATTTACATGCCACCCACTTCATTGTTTCATAGTTTTTTGTACACAAAATACTTTTTCAGAAATAAGAAAACTAATCTGAAATGCTAGAGCCTCTGCGGGTTTTCTTTATGGACCCTAACCCAAAAGCGCCTAAGGCAACACATTTGATATGTAGGTGCTCATAAAGTATACACAGATTATGAATATTTTACATTTTATACCTTTTCCATACTCCACAATATTAAATAAAAAAATCCCACAATATTAAATAAAAAATTCATTTAAAATAGCAAAGAGTTAAGATTAGATGAGATGTGTGTAAAGATTATATTAAATCATTGCAGGTTCTTTAAGCCAAGGCTCCTGCAAATAGACTACCCCGAATAACTAGAATTTCTTTTAATATAGCACCTAGTCGAATCGCCAATAAAAAATAATTTTTTAATATGAAAACTCAATAAGTTTTTCTCTTTTCTTTGTGCTAAAATCGAATTTATATAAAACATTTCATTAGATTTCTGCAGCATTTTAATAAATTATTTATTTTACAGGTATTAAGGCTGGCAAGCTGAAAGAATTTGAATGGCATGAAGAGACCCATGCAGGTAGCCAACCACCCACGCGTTGTACATACCTTAAAAATACCTTTAGACAAAGCACTCAAACATATGCGCACAATCACACAAATTGCAATCAGCGCTGGCTATTTTTTTGCCGTGCAGCAGAACTTTATCAAAGGAGACTTTTGGCATAAAAGTTCTGATAGTAATAAACGACAATTTTCGTTTTCTCAAAAGCAAAAACAATTTCTATTTAGCTAATTTTTGTGTAGCAAATTAAAGTAATATAGGTCATAGACTCGTTCAAGCTCTGCTAGTAGACCAAAGCTGTACAGATATTTGCTTGAATTATATATTCAAAAATTAATTTCAGATATTAACTCGCATATTTCAATACACAAATTATTCTCCCTATATATTCATACCTGAGTGTTTACTGTCGAGCTTAGTTCCATTGTGCTCTGATGGCGTAATATTCATTTCATCGGCATCTTCTTTTCCACTATTACATTGCATGTTATCGCTTAATGTAAGTCAAATACCACTCCCAGATCACGATTGTCACTTAAAATTAGCTAACACTTTTTTAGGTCATAGTTCGAACAACATTTAAATAGCTATAAGAAATATGCAATATGCAATATGAAATTTGAAATTAAGACGAAAAGACTGGCTTTAAGCTAACTTTTCTAATTGCAAAAAAAGAAGAAAGAAGAAAGAGTAAAAATTAGGTCAATAATAATGGGCCTATCAGGGCCACACACTCATAGACACATGAACATATGAACCGATAATCAATGTAAAATTAATTATACAAAATACTTGAGCTATGCCATTTGTTTAGAACTTGGCCAGAATTTTGCACTTTTCAATTGGTAATGAACAAAAGATTCGAACTTGGCCAATTTGGGCTGCGGATGAACCTGAGTTTTTATATAACTTTACACGTTGCAATCTCGTTCAATTGAAGCTTTTCATAGATTTTTGTTTTGTTTTAGATTTTTTATAAATTGAAAATTGCTTAAAATTGTACTAGTTGTTAAATGGGCTTATAGAAAAAATTAAGAAAACGGTTTGTATGCGACCGAATAAAAATTATGTTGCCCAGGACTCTGAGCAATAAAATTGAGATGAAAACGAAAGCTTTTATCTGCACAAGAATTTCACCCCATATTTCGAGGACAACCGGAGTGAGAGAGAGAGAGTGCGTGAGAGAATGAGAGGTGCAATTCCAGATACTTACGCGTGTGTGTCTGTATTTATTTGTTTGCCTAGGACAAGCCCCAGCTACAGCCTCAGCCTCAGCCTCAACCTCATACATTCCATTATACAGATAAAGAGAAAGTTCTCTCTCTCGCTCTCTCCCACACAGCATCAGTCAGGGAAAAAGCTTTACCGCGCTCGCAAAGCTTTGGCACAAGGCGAGCTTTATTGTGCAGGTGATGATGCTAAAGTATGTCACCGGGACATCTGGACATCTCCTCTCCACTGCATTCTTTTACATATACACAGATGTTAGTTCTTATTATTGTTTTTCGTTAAGCATTTCCTTTAGCAATTGTCAACTGAGAACTTTTCAATTACAGTGGATAAATGAAATATAACATCCAATAACTAGGCTGGACAAATAGCTATGCATCTGTATACGTAAGTACATGTGTATTTATGTAGAAAACAATTTGCTTCCCCAGTTTATGCCTTCCTTCGCTCCCAGTGAAAGTTATTGCTGGCATATGATATCCTCAAAAAGGACACAATCTATATATTTTGAGTCTGTTTGATTAGCAGGATTGGTATAGCCATGCTCATATGTTTGGTTAACAATTTTTGGCATCTATACTATTATTATGTAATTTTTAATTGTGTGTGAATTTCGAGTTATATCTTTAAAATATTCTGTTTTTTATTAGGCAAGAACTAGACAAAATTTGAATATGAAAAATTTTTCGGTTTTCTAGATATCAAAAGGATACCTTATCTTAGCTAAATCTTGAATTTGAAACCATATGCGATACATAGAACCAAGCGGTTTTATTACTTTTAAAAAACTTTCCATATTGCTCTCTACTCAGAAATGACCGACATAGAGATACTCAATAACTTTGATTCATATATTAATAAGCTATGCACAAAATTAATTTTGAGAAGATTTTCATTTACATATAGATATTATATATTATAATATAGTATTATTTATTAGAGTTAGTCCTAGTTAACTTCAGTTATCTTAGTTTTAAATATTTCGTAGTTATGTTTTAAATTTATTTTTGTATTTCAAGGCAACATTTTGACTAGATTTCTAATTTAATATTGTGCTGACTCCGATTACATATTTTATTTGATAATTATCACCTCTTATAGCTTAAATGTGGAATAGTTTTAGGAAATTACCTTGTATGTCTTCCAATGTTTCTCCTAATAGCTTGCCACTGGCGGATTCATCGTGAAGATAGTCCAAGACAGTGTCTTCGTCTGTTTTTGTGACTTGAAATCTGTCTGGCATGTTTGTGGCTTTGATAATCTGAAAAGCAGAAAATTTTAAAATTGTGTATCTATTTTTTAATATTTTAGTTTTAAAGAATTGTAAGAGGCATCTGAAAAATGGCTTATTACTGCAGATGCTCTCTACGAATATCTGCACAAAATTTGCCAGGATTAGTAGAAAACCTTGCGAACTGAAGGTAAGACTGAATTCAAATAAAATCAAGATAATACGCCATTCTAATTCTATTTAAATAATCCTGACATCTATCTACCTGCTGAAACTATTGCCACAGCGGATCTGTTTTCGCACTCAGACACGAATGGCGCTCATGGCTAGCAACCACCTTGAGAGTAGCGATAAGTCCAATAGAGTTTTGGGTTCGGCGCTAATGGAATACTACGGCACACCCAACGCACATGATTTGAAACAGATAAGCCATGCAGAGAAGAAGTTAGTAACGTCCATATATTAACAGACATATTGCAATTAACACATCTACACAAAATCAATAAAATCTGTTAACAAATTTGCTAAGGTAATAAGGAAGCACACCTTTTCGAAATTGTCACAAGACCAAAAATCCTAGTATACACAACTTGGGCAACTAAAAGTTAAACAAAATCTAAACTGAGCAGTTTAATATTATTGTGAAAGTTTTTGCATTTGATGGTTTGGCATTAATTCATGGTTATATGATAGATTAGAGTTACGTTTGCCCGCGAAAAGGTTCGAGTCTTCCTCAACCAGAGTATTATGGCCGACTGGGACAAATAGATCTTGACTCAAGCCCAAGCCCAAACCCATCCTTTTTTTGGTATCATCATCATTATCTTTAGACCATCTCCTTTTTAGCTTTTTCAATAGAATCATTATATCAAGTTTATTTAAAAGTTTTTATAAATCATCAATAAAACAAGGTTTAAAAATCACTAAAATCACACTGTCTATCGAGCTATTACGAAAACTTTATCAGCTGACTTTGCTATCGACTCCTGTTTACAGCGGGGCCAACGCGAGTAAATTTAATTTCCACTTTCTGTTTTTTTACACCCTGTTGCCATACATATAACTGAAAAAGTATATGGATTTGTTAGGCTCATTAGTCAAACACTAAATGTTATATTAGCCAGAATTAAAGTTTTCATTATTTTATGATAACAGATAAGAATTAGTCACATATCAAATATATATGATATGAATTATTGCATAATTTTCTATTATTCAAAATATTGTGACATAACTCATTAATTATAAACTTCACTATTAATCTAATCTATCAATTATTATATCATATCTTATATCATCCGTTTGAAATGTGTTAAAACATTTCCTTATCATGTAAAACAAAAGGGTATTTAGCCTTCGTCTTGGCATAGCTAAATGCTCTTTCGTTGTTTATCCCTCTTTCTGTATATGCATACATACACACATACGCACTCATTTGAGCGGTATATAAATGTTAAGATATACAGACAAATATATGCACGCCTATACATATGTATGTATTTATTTAGTAGACTAGCATAAGTTGAACTTTAAATCATATGATTCCCGAAGCACCAGCAGTTCAGTTCAGTGAGTAAAAATTGAAATCAATTTCACATACATACATATGTTCACAGACGCATGCATACATACAGACATATGCAAAGCATAATTGTAAACGGAATAAAATCAAATTGTACTTACACACACTTATCAACATTCACTCACTTACACACACACATTCACATACACGTATACACACATATATATGTATATATAGCTATATATGTATGTATATTAGTTCGAATACGAATATTTGTGGTCCATACACAAAGTAGCTTTGCTTGCTTGCTCCGATGTACAAATTATTGTCTAGTATTAATTATTAATTATTTAAATTATTGATAAACTATTAGCTGCGTTGATTTTCTTTTCCCTAGTATTTTGTGAACTTTTCAATTGTACGAATAAAATTAAACTATCATATTGAAGGCGCATGAGTAACAGAAACCAATTTTTCTACTGTATATAATTTGGAGCTGCGAGTTGGGGGAAATACTGTTGTATTAATGAAAAAGTAACTGAAAAGCTATTTAGCGTATTAAGAATGGATACCGATTGTATTTTAGACAAAATAACAATAACAATAACAAAAACACATTTATTGTTTGTAAATGTATGTATGTACATATGTATGCTAACATATGAGCGCCGCTATCTGTTCATACAATTATGAAATCTATGAATTGGCATGTTGTTTCAGCGCATGTGTAAATATGTATGTATGTATGTATTTATGTATTTATGCATGAATGTATATATATATATATATATATATATATATATATATATATGTATTTATTTATGTGTGTATGTATTAAAGACTCAACATAACTCTACATTCATTTATACATATCTATAGAAACATACATTCATTCGTACATACATATATCTATACACATCCAAACATATAAGCTCATAACAACATAGGGACATATACATACATACATAAATACATATACATAAGCTTACTTTAAGTGAGTTTATGTATGAATGTTGACATCCTTTTGTATGTACATATGTTTATTTGTATATTTATATAACTATGGATTGCAAATTTTTATATGTGTGTATATATTTTAGAAATATGTTTATATATTTAATAAAATTTTTTATAAATATTTCATATAGGATTTTCAAATATATACATTTTTTGTATTTCATAATTTTTTCCAAAATACAATTAAAGTTTTGAAATCTTTTTGATTGTTATCTGATCAACGTATTAATCATTGTCATAGGTCTTAAAGATAAGGTGTGAAAATGCTTAAACGAGGTCTCTCCTTAACAGAAATCCACCTCCACTGCACAGCTTAAATATTTGTTTGATCAGCATTAAAATCTAGAATAAAATGAATGAGAGCAAATTGTAAACTTTGCGTACGACAGTGAGCATACAAATATACATACATCTGTACATACATATATACGTACATACATAGATGTATGTATGTATACTTAATCATTACTTGTTTGTGATTGAGTATATGATTAGCTGATTGAAAGCTCAAGGGTCAAGTGTATCTTCAAAACTCTTGACACACTAAAATTGTCAATATCGAAATAGACCTATTGATGTTATCTCAACCGCTTCAAGAAAGCAATTGTTAATCATAAATATTTGAAGGGGTTAACGAACAGAATATTGAAGTCTATATGGTATAAAAAATTGCAATATCAAATATATACGTATTTATATATTTGTAGTTTGATTTTTCGATATTTTGCATTGCATAATATCGATAAGAAACAATCTAGATAAAAATATTGTGCTTTCAGCAAATTGTTAAGTCCAAATAGACTATGAATATTTAAAGTTGTTTTTATACCATTTTCGTTTTACCCTTGGTGAGGTTAGGCAAGACAAGAGTTGCTGAATAATAAAACCTTTCTCATGTCAAATATCTCAAATAATAAATAAAAAACCAAATTTTGACTTAAGTTTATTTTTCTTTTTTAAAAATATATATGCATAGAAAATAAATTATCCGCACAAGCCATATGAAACCCATATTATATATACTTAATAAATGCATATATATATATATATATATATATTTATACATACATAAATATATTTTGTTAAAAATGTAAATTTTAATCCCAACATGTAATTAATAAATTTGCACTCTACCTTAAATATTATTGTTATATTTATTAAATAATTTAAATATTTATGTTTAAATAAAATAATTTAGGATTGAGGTAAAGCCCATAAGGTTGCAGTCTTGTCCGCAGATGTTGAAATAAATGAAAATTCAGTTGGATGCCATCGAATTGTAATAGCCTTGTCTTTATGCTTGGCCACGACCACAGAGGCGAGGTCGTTAGCTAGATCCCCTTGTAAGTCCGTTAGTTTAATCGTACTATCATAGCTACAGGTGAGCATATAGTAGGCCGAAGGCGAGAAACGAATACATCTGAAAACGAAAATATATATGAAATAATATATGTGAACTCGGATAGTATTAAAGAATTTCTAGATATCGTGATATATATCATGTTTCATATTTTACTATATATTTTACCTTATTTCCGCGCTATGTGGATAAAATCGTTGTATTAGCCTATTCCCGCGAATGTCATATAGTACACATGCGCTATCAGCGTGTCCCGATACCAGCAGCCGCCCTGTCGGATCTACGCAAACTGCAGTTACTGGCGATTTCTGCAGTGCTCCGGGCTTATATTCCTGATCGAAAGAGCTGACCGCTTCGTTAACTCGAATGTCCCAAAAACGTATTGTTTGATCCTGCGAATATTACGATACATAGCTTTAATTGATCTTTCTTGTGTGGCTTAGCAATCGATTAATTACCTGCGAGCCAGATACAAACATCGTATTATTCCAGCTATAGAGCGAAGAGATATGCCCACTATGGCCGCTAAATGCGTGCATTGGCATACTTGTGACACAGTCCGTTACGTATATCTTGCAGTCGCCAGCGCCGCCACTCGCAAGCAATCGGGATTTGGTTGATGAGTTATCGAGGAAGCACATATCTCGGACAGTTCCATCATGCATATTCAGTTCAACTTCTTGGCCCACCAGTTGATTAGTATCTTTGTTAAATCTCATATACTTGATAGTCTTATCGTTTGATCCAGTCGCAATCAGTTCGCCATCGGCTGACCAGCTCGTACAATATATTGAGCCTCTATGGTGCTTTGTGCGTTTGCATAAAACCGATGGAGGGTAAAAATGTTGATCTTGTCTACCGGTCACGAAAGTAAAATTAAAATATATCTTGAAAGTCAATTCTTTTGCTCTTACCTTAGTTTCGATATTTGCGGATATTGACATATGCGAAAGGTTTTGGAATTCGATCCAACGGCAAAAAGTTTTCCATCCGGATGAAAGTCCACGCTGCGTATAGCTTGAGAGTCCGTTATAGTTGTAACAGCTACAAATTGCGAGCGCTCTTCATCTCTCTGAAAGAAAAGCAAAGCAAATCATAATTACTTTCAATTTCAAGCAAAATAATCAATATCATCAATATATTAAGAAGATTTCTCTTTTTACCCGAAGACAAATTAATTAAATGAGTTTTTGAGCAACTCTAAAAGAATTTTGGGTGTACAAGTAATGATTTTGAAAAAAATAGATGATATTTATATTGCAGACCGTTCAAAATAACCTAGAATTTCTTAATATTTAGATTGGAGTTCGGGAGTCTGATTTTCAGCCTTCCACTTTTTGCTTGAATAGAAATCTACACTAAAAACTGTAACTTTCTAACATTTACTGCATATGAGTTTGACGCATTATACAGATGGGCCGACTCCAGACTTGCCAACGCACACATTCTTTTGTGCTGCTCAAGAAAATTATTTTCCTTCACAAAATTTTAGAAATCAATTTAGAAGTATATTTAAATGTTAAGGAATTATATGTTTCCCCAGTTCTTTCATGCCATATTTTCAAAGGTATCATAGCTTATATTAAAACAGTTAACATTTTAACGAAATATAAACATATTTCATTTTAAAATACTCTAAGCAACTTCCTAGAAATTAATTTCTTGGTATTCGTTGACGTTTGCTTCGTATATGAAAACTCGTGGGTTACAAAATTAAATGTAAAATCAAATAATTTATTGTATATATTAAAAAGTACCGCTATCTCAAATATGAAATAACAAATTTACATTCATTAATTTGCATCTATCTGACGTTGAAAACGTATCACAATTTATTTACCTCTCTCATATTTGTATCACTTTTGTTAGAATTCATTAATATTAGGAACTAAAATATAAAAATAAATAAAGAATTTATTAAATATAAAAACTGTTTACAAATATGATCAACTATTATATGTATATACTATATAAATGTGAGCTTTGTAAGAAATGGTAATATCCAATACAGATTACGTTTCCTTCATAAATGTATCCAGGGAAAAAGAGAAAATGGGAGATTAGTTTTAATCTTTTTAATGCATCATGACTATATTTTTGTATGTATTAAAAATATTAAAAAGTATAGCATTTAACAAATAAAATAATATTTTGTTGGGAAATATCTGTGTTAGATATTATGCTGTCATTTATATTTATATATATTATAAATATGTGTCAATTCTAATAAGAAATTGAACATGGAAACACATATTAATACCAAAGTTTTTTGCCCATCGATTTAATACCGAAAAGAACAAACATCGAAAAGGCGAATTTAAACAATAAGTATCGATACATCGACATTAATCATCGATGTTTATAGATCCAGAGTAAAGACTTAGTTACACCGGGTAATGGGAAGCGATCGCGTTGTAAAAAAGGTGAAGATGTCGGCTTTGGAACAGCTTAAGAAAATAACTACAATTGTAGCTGACACTGGCGACTTTGATGGTAAATAATTAGTAACTTATTAGATAGCTATAGTCATAATTGTGGAATGAACCTCATTTAATTGTTTAATAACAGTGCTTTGCATATAAACTTTAAATCAGAACTATGTATGTTTATTAAATGTTTAAGTGTGTATGTGTATGTATATATGTGTGTATAAGATAACTTCAATTTATGGTGAAATGTGTCTGTATCTTCATACGTGCAAGTTTATGTACATATATAAAGTAGAACAAACAAGATTCTAACTCATTCACCTCGACTTTAACTTTTATTTGAACTTCAGGTTCATTCAAATCCATTGTACTACATGTACATGCATACATGCACACATACGTGTAAGTGTATGTATGTACGATTGTAGTTTAGAAACGTGCAAAGATCCTGAAGTTCAAATAAAAGTTAGTCGAAGGTGAGTCTGACTTTTGTTTGACCCTTTTCGCTTTTATTTGCCTAAATCAAATCATTATTGATAAATTGACGCTTTCACTTCTCAATAAGCCAATGGTTATTTCAAATGTGAATAGAATATAACCTTAAAATTGAAAATACATTTTTTGAATAAACAAAAACTAGATTTTGTTATGGTATTTGAAATTTTGTTTAACTGTATAACAATTTATAATTATATGAAGCTTGTTCATTTTTTTGACTTTTTAATGGCAAATGAAAAATACTCCAAAATGAACTTTTAAAATTGACTATCTTAATTTTTATTTTAGTTGTATTTTTTAGTCTATAAATTATACAAAATAAACCGAAAAGCAATTTTAAATAAAATCACAATAAATAAAATGTTGTCGACAAGCTCCATTGAAACGCATTTGAAAGTTGGAAACATTCTTTTTTTTTAAGGCCTTCGCCTTCGCCTTCATAAGCTGTACAATATTGCTTATTAACTATTTGACCTTCTTTTATGTTTTAAATTATTCAGGTGAAATAGTTTATGTATATATATCTTCATTTATATATCTATATCTAATTGAGTAAATCCTCTTATTGGAAATATTTAATTTATTTAATTTAAATTTAATTTCAGCCATAAATATTTACAAGCCTACAGATGCCACGACCAATCCATCGCTTATTTTGTCGGCGTCGACTATGGAGCGCTATCAATACATAGTAAAAAATGCCGTCGAATATGGAAAAACCAAAGAAGGGTGAGATAAATCTAATAAATTTATTTAGATACAGATATGTAACCAGTTTTTTATTCTTAGCATTCTAGTAATATATATCCTCATAATCTAATAAAATTCTTATCTTTAACCAGTTACCCTATCATTTTAATTATAAACGCATTTGATATTTTTGTTTTAGACCGCTGGAGAACAAAGTCTCGGAAGCTATGGATTATTTGTGCGTTCTCTTCGGATGCGAGATTCTAAAGGTTGTGCCTGGTAGAGTCTCCACTGAAATAGATGCACGTTTATCGTTTGATACGAAAAAGAGCGTGGAAAAAGCATTGAAATTAATCGATTTATACGCAAGCTTTGGCATTAAAAAGGAGCGCATTTTAATAAAACTTGCCTCAACGTGGGAAGGTATCAAAGCGGCCGAAATTTTGGAAAAACAGCATGGAGTGCATTGTAATCTGACTCTGTTATTCTCATTTGCCCAAGCGGTGGCTTGCGCCGAAGCTGGTGTAACATTAATCTCTCCTTTTGTTGGTCGCATTTTGGACTGGTATGTGGCTAACACAGAAACCAAGAAATTCGAGCCGCAAGCTGATCCGGGCGTTATATCAGTGACGAGTATTTATAACTACTACAAGAAATACGATTACAAGACATTGGTGATGGGCGCATCATTTAGAAACATTGGAGAAATAAAAGCATTAGCTGGTTGCGATTTGCTTACTATCAGCCCAAGCTTACTAAAGGAATTGGAAAATGATGATGTCGTACTGAAGACAGCTTTATCTGTATCCAATGCTAAATTGCAAGATATTAAGAAGATCTCGATTGATGAGAGCCGATTCAGATGGTTACTCAATGAGGATGCCATGGCATCGGATAAATTGTCTGAGGGCATACGTAAATTCGCTGTTGATACAGTGAAGCTGGAAAACGTTATCAAAAAATTGTTTGCCTAAATTTTATTTTACAAAATGTAAATGTAAAATTCAATTCCATTTATTAACTGATATTTTTTTACCATACACTTCCATTTATAAAAATGCTTCAAAATCTTTCTTAAACGGTTTTATAAATAAAGTTTTTTTAAAAAATCGTAGACTAAAAGTCTACATGGAGAAAAAATTTGTTTTTATAAATTTTATTTATTAACAACACAATTTCGAAGTAAAATTAAATTAAAAAACTAAAATTAGATAGAAATATTAATAGCTCATAATACAATCGAATTATCAATTATATCGATAGGTTTTTGTAACCAAATCTCTGACGCTACCAGTTAGTACATCCGCTTAATCGAAAATATCGATATTATGTGTAAAATGTTTCATCTATCGTTATCTGTTTACTGTCATCGCTATTAATCGTTCTAACAACAAGTTGTGCCCCACGTTGTTTATGAATTGAATTTGAATCTTAAGGTTTAATATGAAAATGAAAGAGAAACGTAAACATATTGGCCTAAGGCCTAAACGAAATAACTTACGAAAGGACAAAAAACCGGCGAACAACCACAAATTCATACAAAGAAGCAGACAAATGGAACAAATGCATAGAACTGAAAGTCAGTATCAGGGCACAATTGATGATGGATCGAAATTAACTGCCGATCTTTTACCATTATTAAACGATGAAACACAATTTTACGAGCAACTTGTAAGTGGATATAGTTCTACAATAACAGGTATGATCGATTTTCATTCACACTACAACTACTTTCTAACATATTCCGATCAGTTCCCACAGTTAAACATGAAGAGAAATGTATTTTGCAAGAAACAAAGATTGAGGAAGATGATATGGATCAAATACCAAGCGATTCTACAAACTTAAAGCAAGTTAATGTATTTACAAACAGATTTGATTTTGAACTTGAGTCGGAAGATATTTCTGCAATACTTGCAAAAGACACAAACGAGCTGAAAGGAAAATGGTCAGCAATTGGAAATTTCAAAATCGAGAAACCAAACTTAAAATCGACAAGTGCCTCGGATGACAACTACAAACAACCTGCCGATGTTTTAAAAGCAACAGATCTTCAGCTATTAAAAGTACAGATGTCATTAACACTGAATGTTTCGTATCCCCTATCCACTAAACAAACAGAGCTCTTTCATATGGCCAACAGCTATTTAGATCTGTACTATCCTCAACGAACACATGATAATGCAGAGGAAATTCGTTATGTCTATTGCCTGCATACTGTTAATCACATATTAAAGAGTCGGGCATTGATCTTGCGTAACAACGAGAAAATCAATGAACTTGTAAAAAATCCAAAGCAACCGACAAGCGAAATGTCTTTGCCAGATAGTGTCAGGGATCAGGGTCTAACGCGAATGAAAGCGCTCATTATATTGCCATTTCGGGATTCCGCTTTGAAAACTGTGCAAATAATATCAAAGTTGCTATTTGAAAATCGCAAAGGTACGTATTCAAACTCACTGAATAATATGAAATTAAATTAGAATACAGTTTAGTTTTATTATGAATGTCAAATATGTCGAATAGATCAAAAGTGCGCTATTTATATATTGGCGTTCATAGAAGCAAAACTTTAATATATAGTTTACGATTTGATAGGTCGTATAAATAGCATTTTTAATCAAACTATTGAGAATTTGAATTAATCTATTGTTTATATTTTTATTAGATCCTAAAACCGGCTATCCAGTTACAAAGTACGAACGTTTTCTTAAAGAGTATTCCGGAAATACCGTTTACTTTCCCAAAACAAATCCGAAACCACCTGATTATGAGCAAACATTTAATGGTAATACGGATGATAACTTCAAAATTGGAATTCGCTTGACTAAAAAATCGATGTCCTTGTATACGGACTTTAGTGGATCGGATATTTTGCTTGCGTCTCCGTTGGCTCTGCGTATGATTATTAATGACAAAGATCAAGACTTTGATTTTCTGAATTCAATTGAACTATTGATCATTGACCAAGCCGAGCTTCTTATAGCACAGAATTGGGAAAATCTGCTGCAAGTGTTGGACCATTTACATCTACAGCCTCAAAAGCTCCCTGAAACCAATTGCCAACGACTGCGTTCATATTGCCTCAACGCGACGTCTCGGTTTTATAGGCAAACCCTCTTGTTCTCTTCGCATGATTTACCTGAATTTCGCGGAGTTATAAATAATAAATGCCACAATTTCCAAGGAAAAGTGCGCATAATCAATAAGATCGAAAGTGGATTCATAAGCAATGTTCTAACGCCAATCAAACAAGTTTTCCAACGTATTGACTGCTCGAGTATGGAGTCAGCTTTGGAAGATCGCTTTCAGCATTTCGTTCGTTATATTTTGCCGCAATTCACAAAGTCTGGGCACTCCCATTGCCTGCTCTATGTGCCCAGCTATTTTGATTACGTACGGCTACGAAATCATTTTAAAAAAGAAATGATCAACTTTGTACAAATAAGCGAATATTCAAAGAAAGAGAAAATATCCCGTGCGAGAGACATTTTCTTCCACAGCGGCGCTCCATTCATGCTCTACTCAGAGAGAGGCCATTTCTTCCGACGCACTCGCATCAAGGGAATTAGACATTTAATATTCTATCAGCCGCCAAATTTCCCAAATTTCTACCCGGAATTAATTAACTTTATGCTTGATATTAACCAAAATCCCAGAGATGGCTTACAGGATATTATGAGTGTCAAAGTCTTATATACGAAATTTGATTTATTAAGCTTAAGTAATATAATTGGAAATGAGAATGCCTGGAGGCTGACAACAGGTGCCAGCGATTCATACCTCTTCTCCAATAACGAATAAACAATTTGTAAATAAATAAAAATGTTATCGTTATAGCCAATCGGATCGTCTCTTCATAATTAAGAATAATCATTCATAATCAAGAACTTGAACGTTCAGCTAAGCTCTGAATGCGGCTCCTAACAATCAACAGCACGTATGTAGTGGACGTGACAGGAAGCCTTCAATCAAAAAAGGCCAAATACCATTATTATTCTAATAATTGGTAACTATGTCTTTACGAGCTGCTATTTTCCAATTTGACACACTCTCAATAATGTAATGTGATCAACCTGCAAACCCAGGCGACATTACAATAAAACATATTTTTTTGATACCCCTCCGCTATGGTTGTGTTAAATTTTAACCTCGTTCTGTGGAGCGATTTGTGATTCTACTTTAGAAATTACTAACAAATTATTAGTTTTCTATATTTTCTAAACATAGAAACATTTTGAAAGAATGTTAAAACTTAAGCCACCAATTGGTGACTGAAATATAAATAGATATGTATTATTGAACCATTTCAAAATAATTTAAGAATATAGTTTTTGAATCTTACCTGGGCGTCTCAGTTATATATTTCTTTTGTGAACTTACAACACTGATGATACTTCTCTATAGATTTAAGCACTTCCTAATTTACCCATAAATGAAGAAATGTTTTTCAATTACTTTCTAAATCAAATAAATAATTTTATTCATTTTGGATACAATTTGCAATATCAGTTAACAGAGGGCTGTCTGAGCAAAAAATACAAGTTTGATAAAGGTATACAAAGTCGACATCCTTGAGGATCATCTGCTTGCGTGTGTGTGTGCGTGTGATACGCTGACCTTTACCACTTATCAACGACGACATCAGGAACTAAATAATAATAGGCGATATATAATTACCAAAAATTGTTTGCACCAAATAAAAATGAAAAAAAAAAATAAGAAGCTTTGCAAATCTTGGAGCTTGGAATGCAAAGGAGATGGGGCAGGTGGACATCATCAGCGCAGCTACGGTTTGGCGAAGCCGAATACTCGGCGGCTTCGTTCGGTGGGTTGGATTTATTGTTTAAAAAGTAGACCTTTTTCGGATTTCAGTGTTTATATTTCGTATTTATGGATATCTTACATGCTGAATTTTAAATATGAATTCATTTTGTTTATACGTTTTTTGTGTCAATATGAAGTCGACCATAATGTACAGCAATTGATCTTTCTCGAATTCACTTATAATTTTGGCACACTAGTATATCAACATTTAACAACTTCACATACTTTCTATAGCAGGGATGGACTTAATTTATGTAAAATTAATAGGGGGTGTCATCCAATTAATGAAATCGGGGATTTACTGTATAAGAAATAAAATAAATTATTTATATAAAAGTGTTTTCATTGGAATATTGAATGTTGAAAATTGAAATCAATCAATCAGTCAAACAGCGGCAAATGCAAGTGCGGGCGCGTGCATTCAAAAGCAAAACTGGGATGAGCTTAACGCCACCACTGTACAATTCAATGGGTTTTCAGGCGCGTTTTTAGTTTCGCTTACGGTAATGCTTGTTTTTTGTAATTTCTGTTTATTTCACAGCGTCTTTAATTTATAACGATGTACATAATATAAATTGTAAGTGAACTTTCTAAACAAAAATTGGTTAGATGCTAATATTATTTTTTTTTTTGCTTTAAACACAATCTAGAAAATAATTTGTTGTTTATGCTTTTTGTTTTTGTTTAACCTAAGATCAACATAATTTGTAAGACGCTATCATGTTTGCAGTTAGAATGAATGCCATGGCCACGGCACTACTCATGGATCCCAATTACCCTTCTACTTCATAATCGACAAATCATCAAACGTGACTGAAGCTGATTGGAACCGATGCTGGATGTACTCAAGAAGATATAAACAGCTAATATTCCAATGTAGTACACACACTCAGTAATTGTTCCTTTTTTTTTTGTTAATTGTTATCTATAAGTCAAATTATTTATTTCATGCTTCTCGAAAACTACGTTTTTTGTATATTCTATGGAATGCATGAACCAATGTTAATTTTAACTTTAAAACCGAAGTCTGACTGAATTAAGTCTACTTAATACATAAATAAATTCAATACAAAATATATATATCCTCGATTCCATCCACAAAAATGTTGACGAAAAAATTAAGTATGGATAATATAAATATGTATATGGGATTTATCTATTCAAATAGTTTTTCTTGGTTTTATTTAGTTTTAATGTCTCCTCATTCATGAAATATTTACACAAATTTACGTATTCAACGTTCATAGAAAATATTAAGTATTTGAAATATAAAATTGAATTTTTTTTGCACATAATACACAGAAAAAATTTAATGATTGGATTTGAAGTTGGCGAATCAAAAATAAACTAATGTCATAATAAAAAATTTCTTTAATTTGAATGTTCTCGAAAAATGTATGAAAAAGAAATCTTCTGAAACCTTATTATATTTTCTTTAATGTTTCACACACTGCAATCCGCTTTTCATTGTATGTACAAAATCAGCAATGGCTTAGGTAAAACGTATTGAAACAAGAGTAAATGTGTATGTTTCAAATAATCGTTATAAATTAATCTATTGACCATTTCACGGTGTTTGTTGTGTACATTAACGAGTAAATTTCTCTTATCAAAATATCACGCGTGAATTTTTTTAGTATTCGGAAATAAGTCTATGTGGTGTTTTGGTTAAAGTCGTTACTTTAGGTATTTCTCTCTATTTATATTTAGTAACACTTTATGCTAGTAATTAGAATAATGATGTTGGGCTTAATGATTATAATTATATTCTTAAAGCATCATAGCGTACAGCAGGCCAAAGAAGACAGCCCACATTAACACAATCCCATGCATCTTATATATAGGACTCTCACCATCTGCAATTTTTCTAGCAACAAACTTCAATGTTTCATCTAATAAAACTACAGGAATTGAAAATTTCATCACAGTTAGCCATTCCTCCGCAGACAACGGTGTTACTTGGAAAACGGTCTAAATAAAGTGGAATAGAATTTCATATAGTATAATCGCATCATCGCATGTTTCTTTTGAGATCTACTTACAGAGAGGACTTCAACGTATAGAATGACAAAGTGAAGAGTGAAAGATAGTGCCATTGAACCAATCAACCACAGATTGCACCATGGAGGCATTGTGATGAGGGACTGATTCTCGGATAAGCTAAACAAGACATTAAAAATTCATATTCAAGTATGCATAAGGAATTTCGAAGACACAAACCTGTTCATGGCGTTCAACATTTCAATGGTCACAAGCACGGATAAGGCCATGGTCATAGCATGTGGATCGCTGAAGATTTTGCAATCGACACCCTTAAATTCATCTCCACCACCCAAGCAGGCAAGATGATGAGTAAGTTGCCAGTATGTTAGATTTGGTCCTTCTGCGGAGAAGATGAACCACCATGCTGCAGCACCAACAGTTGCGGCACCGACGTAGAAACCAATAGCCATGTAACTAAATTCAAAAATAAAAGTTATTTACATATTCAATATAATAAAAATATTTCAACTCAATTAATCGAAGCATCAGCAAGTTTTTAAGATAATGCATAGAAAACGTTAAACAATCAAAAATTTAAATGATGAAGTAGTTGTTGCTTCGTATAATTTATCTGATAAAAATATGTCCAACCGGAAGAACAGCCATCCTGAAATTAAACCTTCGTCGGCTTTCCTTGGTGGTTTCTCCATGATATCCAAATCGGGTGGATTAAAGCCAAGGGCTGTAGCTGGCAGACCATCAGTGACCTAAATAAAAATTGAAGCATATTTATTAATATAAATTAAACAGTGTTTATGTGCTGTAAAACATACCAGGTTAACCCACAAGAGCTGAACTGGAATCAAAGCTTCGGGCAAACCAAGAGCAGCCGTTAAGAAAATAGAAACAACTTCGCCGATGTTGGATGAAATAAGATAACGGATAAACTGTTTCATGTTGTTATAAATAGCGCGACCTTCTTCAACAGCGGATACAATGGAAGAGAAGTTATCATCTGCCAACACCATTTCGGCAGCAGATTTGGCTACTGCAGTACCAGAGCCCATAGCAATACCAATTTCGGCTTTCTTAAGAGCTGGAGCGTCATTGACACCATCACCTGTCATGGCGGAGATTTCATTCATGCCTTGCAAGAATTCAACAATCTTTGATTTGTGCTGTGGTTCCACGCGCGAGAATAGACGGGAACGAGCAACGGCGGCCTTTTGTTCAGCAGGTGACAGATCATCAAATTCACGTCCAGAGTATGATTTTCCAGTGGTATCCTCATCCTCAGTAAATACACCAATACGACGGCAAATTGCTTCAGCTGTAGCCTTGTTATCACCAGTGATAACAATAACGCGAATACCAGCAGCGCGGCAACGAACAATGGCATCAGTAACTTCTTTACGTGGAGGATCCAACATGCCAACGACTCCAACAAAGGTCAGATTAACTTCATACTGATAAAACTTTGTAGAATCACCCAAATCCATTTCATCAGGACGCATTGGACTATCCGCAACGGCAAGGGCCAAGCAACGCAGGGTATCACGTCCAGTACCGTACTGTCCAGTCAGATTCAAGATCTTATTCTTAAGAGCAGACGTTAGTGGCACTTTGCTGGTACCAACACGGGCATGCGAGCACCGGTCCAACACACCTTCTGGGGCACCCTTCACGAACAGTTTTGGGCCAGTGCCAAGGCGAGAAGCCTTAAGTGGTGTACAATACGAAGACATAGATTTACGATCACGTGAGAATTCAAGGGTGAATTCCTTCTTCCATTTCGTTTCGATCTCACCACGGGCAGCAATAGCAGCTGATCGGCGATCCAATCCAGATTTGTTGACATTAAAGGAGTTCAGTTTTTCAGCCAATACAATCAATGCAGTCTCTGTGGCCTCACCGACCTTTTCGAAAGCCTGCTTAAATTCATTGTAATCAATAGCAGAGTCATTGCACATAATACAGATGGTGGACAGTTCAGCCAAAGTGTCGTAATCGCTGGCCTTAACTCTCTGGCCGCCCAGGAACAGCTCGCCAATAGGTTCGTATGTGGAGCCAGTCAGTTCAAACTCCAAGAAGCTGCTATCGTTACCTTCAACTTTATCGAAGATGAACATACGGGAGACAGACATTTGATTTGTGGTAAGTGTTCCGGTTTTATCTGAGCAAATTACGGATGTGCAACCCAAAGTCTCGACAGATGGAAGAGATCGGACAATGGCATTCTTCTTGGCCATACGACGTGTGCCCAAAGCTAAGCAAGTTGTAATAACAGCGGGAAGACCCTCGGGAATGGCAGCGACAGCCAATGCGACAGCGATCTTGAAGTAGTAGATAGCACCCTTGATCCAGGATCCACCATGGGCGGGATCATTGAAGTGACCAATGTTGATGGCCCATACAGCGACGCAAATAATGGAGATGACCTTTGACAATTGTTCACCGAACTCATCCAGCTTCTGTTGCAGTGGGGTTTTGATTTCCTCAGTTTCTGACATTTCAGTACGGATTTTACCAATAGCAGTGCTAAGACCAGTACCAATGACGACACCGCGAGCTTTGCCAGCAGCAACATTTGTACCAGAGAACAAGATGTTCTTTTTGTCCTGGTTGACAGCTCGGGGATCTGGGATAGCTTCGGTGTGTTTAATGACTGAGACCGACTCGCCGGTAAGGATGGACTGATCAATTCTGAGTGTTGTCGAATAAATGTGAGTAATACGAATGTCAGCAGGAATCTTGTCGCCAACAGACACTTCAACCAAGTCTCCAGGAACAATTTCTTTCGCTCTTACTTTTTGGATACCAGACTTATCTTGGCGAACTACTTTACCCATCTCGGGTTCGTATTCTTTTAGTGCTTCAATTGCTGATTCGGCATTTCTCTCTTGCCATACACCAACGACAGCATTTGCTATGAGAATAAGTAAAATGACTAAAGGTTCTACAAATGCAGTGAACGTGTCTTCGTGTTCTTCAAACAGCGCTAATACCTAGAATGAAAATAAAGAAAAATTATTGTAATACAGATTGAATAACGACTATCTTCAGATTGCCGAAGATTATGTACCTTTGTAGGTTTGAATTTGGCCTTAAACGTAAGTCCCATTATTTTAATAATAATGTATATTCACAAGTGTTTTGTAGAAGTCCCAACAACTTAATTATATAACATATACCTTGTGGACACAAACACGACTCTGCAGCAGGATATTATATTTAGGTTCTGTGCATGTACGGAAAATACGGGCTCAACTCTATAGTTTGGCTTCAAGAGCGATTTAATTGATTTCCTCAAACTGATATACATTTAATAAATACAAGCTAAAAACAGGTTATTATTTAGAACTTTTAAAGCGACAAAACTAATCTTTACAATAAAAAGAATCTCATATAATAGAAATATTAAGCCCCAATGGTTGCAAAAAACTAGTTTTTTTTTGCGGTTAGAATTTAGTTAATAAATAATATATGTCGTAAATGTAACCAGATAAACATTTAAGTACGCAATTAGACTTACAAATGATATAATGGCTGCCAAAAGCAAAATCTTCACCAGAAGATCGTCAAACTGCTCTAACACTAATTGCCAAATACTCTTTCCTAGAAAAATAAAATGATTAATACATTAGTTTTTATAAAAGATATCATCGAACGCATTTTACGAGCATGTATAGCCAATCATCACGTACCTTCCTCTGTCGGCAATTCTGAAATTAAGTAAAGAGTAAAAATTTGATTGTTAGATTTTGAAGTGTATATTGATCAGGATTATGTATAATATATGCGTTTTTTGGATATGCTTACCATTAGGTCCATATTTTTTCTGGTTGCTCTTGATCTGATCAAGGGTTAAGCCGCGTTCAGCGTCTGTACCAAAGAAATTCAGGGTTTGTTCGACGGTTTTCGAGTGACCGTCTTCCATTTTGAATTGTTATCCTTTGAGTACAACAATCTTAAAAAAACAATATATTTGGATTATTAGACATAGTCCGACAATATATAAAAAGTAGTAATTCTATAAAACCAAAATAATACTGAAAAGTCGGCACAGTTGGCAAGGAGAACTCCAAATCAACAGCATGCTGCCATTACATATATTTTAAACTTTCGTCTCTATAAATATAAATATATATAAATTCGCAATCATACATCTACACGCACACATACACACACAGAAGTACGCACACACGCTGCTAACTGCGCACTTTATGCAGGTATTGTGCAAAATGCAAACTATGAATAACTGCGTTGTTTATAGTTCAATCATTAAGAAAAATTCATGGCAATGCCAGCCAAATGTTTGTATATACTAAAACACACAATTATGCATTTAAAATATGAATATAATTTTAGTAGAGGTTTACAATGAGTGTATATTATATACGTAAGCCTCTATACCAAAATTTGATCTTTCTCTCTCTCTTCCTATGTTAGTCTAATCTGACAGTTATGTTTCCGTTTTCGCCACTTTCCCTGACTCTCTCTCTTTGTTATAGTTTCTTCAGTTTAACCTGGTCGGATCGTCTGACCATGGTCTAGAATAAATTTACTGTATGAAGTCGTAGATTCATTTCTTTCGCTGTTATATAAATCACTGCTAAGCTTTTTGGCAATGGCTAAATACGTCTTAATGGTTTCACTCTTTTTCGCTTGTTTTTACGAAGGTATCTACTAATCAGACACTGCCGACTTGCGCACTCTTTCTGTCTGATTATGGGGTTAACGACTCTTAAACGGGCCATTAAACTGTGCTTGTATGAAATATGTATTGCTGATCTATGTAAAAGTATGATTAGGGTATCAGAAGTATATTTGGGTCTAGATCAGGCTATGTCGTGCAATATCGGTTATCAAGATTATTTTACTCGAATTGCGAATTGGTTATGAAGACGTTTTTGGTTGGCTTGACTCACATATTTAATAGTTTTAAAGATAAAGATAGTCTTATAGTGTAGTAACTTGTAGTAATATACACATACTACTATTTATAGCCAATCCGACTAGAAATGTTCAGCTTTGCAGTGCAACCGGATCAGCTCACTATATCATATACCTAACAAAGAAACGTAATATTCCTATTTAGTTAACATCGAACGATTATAGAGCCAAAATCGCTTCCTAAGCTAAGTTGACGATACTTCGAACTGATTTTAAAGCAATTTACTATCTTTTATCTATCAATCGCACAAATATAAACTGATTGTATAAATACTCGTCAAATGCGTATGTTAACAGAGGCATTAAATCGACGACGTGTTAAAGATAGCTAATTTTCATATATACATAGATGCACCCACACATGGTTAGATCGAAATTGTCGATAATATTCAACCATATCTATGCACACGTAAATATACTCTATATTCATGCATATGTGGATGTAAATGCATACACAAATTCTACCTGAGTCGATAGTTACATATAAATAATTATTTCTCTATACAACTAAGCACATAAGTGTATTTGTATGAGTATATCTATGATAAGAAAATATCAAGACAGATCAAGAACTTCATTGAGGATTACAAATAAAATCACATTTGTGAAATATATTTATAATATAGATAATAGAGGCTATAACTGCATTACAGCATACACATAATAATGATATTATCAAGGAGATTCCAGATAAGAAACTAAAACCGTATTTAGCACACACACGCACACAAATGCAAACTTTTACATGTTTGTATACTCTAATTTGTTCACATTCATGTCTCCATACACACATACATACATATGCATATGTATAGTAGAGACACGTGTGTTTATTTGAAGGTATAGCTTCACATACACATTGAAGTATGTGCGCTAACAGACACACGTACACTAACACAAACTATATGTAAAAATATAAATTACAAGTTATACTTATTTCTTTCAATACCAATGAGTTTAAATTATGTATTTTGTAGCGTCGACTTATGAGATTCACACACGTGTCACTTTTACCCAACTATTACAGTATTTGCAATCGGCATACATATATACATTTATTTACAATCATTCAAGTGCACGATTTAAGTACTTTATTTTTTTCTACAGCCAATATTAATGTGTATATATTAAGTGGCCATTGCGCATTCCTTGTTCTAATTATATATGTGTACTATTACAAGATTGCAGTTTTAGGCCGTGCTTTAATACATTTTCCGGCGTATTGGCAACTATGACATGACAATTTCGAATACAGGGCTGCTTGTAATCTTTATAAATATATCGATAAGAAATACGTGTAGATTGTAATCACTCAAAGGTAAATGGTCAGAGTTGCTGATTTTGATATATCTTCGAGAAAATAAGTTAAGGCCCTAAAATATAGGACATATATATCTTAAATTATACCACACCAAAAATATATACTTTTAATTTCTTATAAGCAATATGTATTACTAAACTCTGAATAGCGATAGGCTTCTACAAAGGATCGGATATTTAAATATTCAAATCTGCCTATGTTGCTTAAATTTCATTCTCTCGTATTTATCAAACCAAATAGAACGTGTAAAAATATATTGCTGCTCAAGAAGATTTTATAAGCAAAACTAAAACGTATAACCTTTACGCTGCGTGTTGATCGATAGAGGCCTTTTTAGTTGCTACCGATATTGACAATGTCGATATTATATGAAAACGAAGTCTGCTGAGCGTGCCATCTCTAGTTTATGAAATTAAACCGAGCTTGTCATCACAATTTTTCAATCTATTTGGCGGTTCACTTTACGAAAAACAGAAATGAGCCAAATTTCGTTTATTAGTTGTTAATTTGAAAACAGATTAAGGAAAGTCATTAATGTTCAGTAGACTGGAACTGAAATAAATGAACATTTGTATTTTATTTCTTATATTTGCATATGTATTCCCCTCTATAAGATTATTTGTCCCAGCTTTACCTGTAGACACACAAAAGTCCCCGTCACTTGCTATGAGTTATGCAATACAGTGTCAGTCAAAAATCGGAAAACATCTCTTTGTCTCTTTCTTTGGCTTTGGCGCTCTCGACAATATAATTTGCGAGCTATAAAAAATGCGAGCTATTCATTCACTGAAAATTCTATTTTTCTTCCTCAAATTTAGCATTCACAGTTTTGCAATTCCACTTTTATCACTTTTGTGATCGATAGTTATTAATTGTTAATGTTTACTTTTAAATATTTGAATACACAAATCAAGTATGGTCATCCAATTATTATTATTATTTTTTTCATATATATATATATATATGTGTGTTTCTCTGTGTGTGTGTCTGTTTGCATGAACAAAACTTATTTTTATTGCTAAAGCTAAAAATCCCAGATTTCGTATATATACATATGTTCGTTTGTATTCATGTCACATCAAGATTTTTCAATTTGGTTATGCCCGCACCTTCTTCAGTTTATTAGTTAAGAGCTTTTTAAAAAAAAGATTATCAGCACGTTCTACTTAACTAGGGAATTGAGACTAGAGACCTAGAAAGGTTCTACATTGATTGGATATTTGTTACAATAATAAATAATTCAATTATTGTGGAATTTATTAGGTTTGATTTTTGTTATTTGACTTTGAGCCCATATTTTGTAAGGCAATACGAATTGTCTATTTAAGTGTGGCATATAAGCAGCCAAAACATCATAAATATCGAATAATAGGCATACAACTTTTTCAAGTATATATATTTTCTAAAATTAAAAAGAAATCGTGTTTTTATGACGAGTTGTCTACGCTTTCTACTGGGTATCTCAAAGTCGATTCGTTGTTAATTATATATTTTTCAAAGAGCTGTATTGGTGCCAAGTACAGTATATATCGGTTATATGCAATAGCGAACATGAAAAGTTTTTAATTTTTACAAAAAACTATCATTGCTATCTGTCATATATATATATATATATATATATATATATATATTGTTGAATATATAGTGCATAAAAGCGAAATTGTATATAATAAGGGTTGCATATGTATATTATATATATAAATATATATGTTTTGTATTTTCAAGTCTATTGTAGCTTTAATATTTATTTAACGTTTATATACTTGTGTGCCCAGAAATTAGTAAACACATACATATACGTTTATGTAAATATATATGTATATATATACATACATACATCAAACAATACGATGTAAACAGGCAGCCCTTGATACAAACATTCACTGTATTTATGTAGCACGCGTAAGTATGTATGTATGTATGTGTTTTACACGTGCCCATATATATATACATATATATTTATTTATACATTTTCATATATATGCATATACTAATGCACGTGTCCATATGTACTATTTGTAGTGGTTAAATAGTATATACGGATATATATATATATATATATATATATATATATATATGTCAATATTATGAGACAAATATTTCTAATATATATCACTGAATAATGTATAATTGTACATTCCGAAATATATATATACATATATATACTTATTTCGGGCTATACAAGATTTTACCTAAAAATAGACACTTAGCTACCGATGTTCTTATACACCTACATACCTCGTCACACACACATACATATATATATATATATATATATATAAAGGAAAATGTATGTGTGTTCTTGTTATGTGTAAATATATATACAAGCACTTTACCCACATGTACATATATACTAAGAGTACTGTAATTTTCAGCACACTTACAAATATTCATACAGACATGCTGTTTGTGCATACACACATACAAATGCTCACTAACGGTACATATACAAATGCTAATACGTATCTACAAACACATATATGCATGTATGTGTGTATATATGTATGTACTTACAGCAGCATTAAAAATGTTTTATTTATAATTTTTGTAAATTAGGATTTTTTGTCTTTTTGTTTTTCTCATTTAGATAACAAGAAATGTGTTGCATAATCAACTGTTCCAATCAGACAGAGGCACACAGGCACAGCCACACACAGTCATACATATATACGTTTATTTTTTACATTTATAAATTCAAAAATTTATTTATGTGTCAGCAGCAACTACATATCAAAATTTTGCTAACAATTTTTTTGGCAAGGCTGAGTGTCTGTATGTGTGTGTGCATATATATATATATAAATTTATATTTATTTTGGTCTTCACTTTAATATCAAAATTTTGACCGTGGTCAAAGTAACAGGTGCATAAGGTTATGTATGAGTGAGTGTGTATAAATATAATATATACATATACGTGTGAGTATATGTATATATATGCATATATATGTGATAGGTAACTTCCTTTAAGTATGTGTATAAAATATATTGAGATACTTTTTCTTTTTATAAAAACGTAAAACTATTTTTACTATATCTGTGCATATGAATGTATGTATGTATGTATGTATGTATGTATGTATGTATGTCCTTATGTGTGTATATACATATGTCTATGATGTATGTGTGTGAGCACTTGTATTATGAGTGTAGAAATATTTGAAATGTAATTTTTGTATTACATTTTTGTTCATTAAATAACTACACAATAACACTTTAGAAACACCAACTTCAAATATTTATATATATATAAATATATATACATAGAAACTATGTATAAAACATACATATACATATATATATATATGTGTAGATATAGATATATATGCATATGTGCACATGTATGTGCGCGGGTTTTTTCCAATTTCAAAAATGTTTTTTATTCTCTTTTCAATACTGTTATTAACATACATACAATATGTAGGCATGTAACTTTTCAAACTTTCTTTTTGTACATTTGGCTTTTGTTTTTTTAACACTAATTGAAAATGAACTTATTGCGATTTGTTTGAGCAACAAAACTTACAATTTTATTCTAAAACAAAAATCGTCGTATTATATAATAATAATTGAATTTTTAGTCAAAAGACCAAGAGCTAACACAAAGATCGCGCTATTATAACGATCAACGGCAACTGAACGCAAGGAGAACGCTGCCTGATGAGAGTGTCTATTTGAATTACAAAATTCATATATTTTGGCAAAATTCCCAAAACTAGATACACTCTCTATTTTGGCCTGGGAAAATACTTTTAGCACGCATCAACTTTTAAGCAATAACCATACGGATTTTTTTCTTCACTGTATGTGTGCACACATATGCATATACATAAAAATTTAGGTGTGTGTGTGCGTGTGTGTGTATACATTGATAAAATGAATGAATTTAAGTAGCTGTGTATTGGGGGGCGGCTTGTGCATACAAAAATTTATAATTGACAAGAAAGGTGTATGTGAATATATATACATTTATATATATATATGTACTATATGTACTTATACATAATAATTATTATTTATATATATATGGCAAACGAATTACGTTAAAAGAATTATAAAATAAATAAACATACCGAAACTAATTTATTATTTTTATTGTTATTGCCTATAGCTGTTAGACTCTGGGTCTTCGATTGCGATTCAACACATCTGGGATTTGAGCCCGGTTGTTCCATTATTGGCTCACTAAAGCAACACATCTACCTGAATATATATATTATATATAAACCCAAAAAAATTATCTAATTCATTTTTCTAGTGCACAAATCTATATTTATCATTCATGACTGACCAACAAACACCCTTATTCCCGAAAGTTAAGATTCAATCTTTAATTTATTACATAAAAGAACTTAAGGTTGTAAAATATTTCAATGTAAGACAAAGTTTTACAATCATATAATACTATATAAAATATACAAAGATCTAAAATATTGACAATGACATGAGCAACGCAGAGATTTGAGCATATTCTTATAGAGGATATAGACATACATATAGCTGTGCGCATGTATGTAGAGCTAACATATTTTAGATAACTGTATAACAAGTATCCGGGTCGAAATCTGGGCAAGTGTATTCATGTTTTTGTTGTTTTTAGCCAAAAGGTCAGTGCCTGTGCTACTTAAAAACAGTTTAGCTTATATACACATATAAATGTACAGACATATACAATAATAACAATAATAATCAAGAATATATGCATACATAAATATATATCATATATAAATATTTATACACATATATTGTATAATCATAAAATTGAGATTCGCTGAATACTTGGAAATAGAATTCGCAGTCTTTTTGGCAAAGTCAATTCTGTTTGGAACATCACTTTATACAATCTTTAATAAAACCTGTTAGCAATTATAATTTTATTTTTATTTTGCAATATTTTAGAAACTGAAATTTAATTATTTTTCCTAATACTAATCTTGAGAGGTTATGGAAGATAATATAAGTTTACTTTTATTTATAATTATTATCAAAACCTAAATATTATTAATAAAATCAAAAAATATCTGGGTATAACCAAAATACTTTTTGTATCGTTGAATCATACAAAAAAAATTATTTTTGTGAGTTCCAATTGTCTGCCTTGGTCTCTACCAAAAAGAAAAGTCAGAAAAGTCGCAAGCTAAATACTATAATTGTTTTAAGTCGCTCTATGCAGTTACGCTCTTTAAATATTCCTAACGGTTATAATATCAAATATATTAAACTTGTATTGTTTGCATTCTTGTATTGGTTTATATAAGAATCTATAGTTTTGATGCCCAAACCTCTTAACCACCTTTTTTCAATAAGTCTTTTCTTTTCTTTTGAAAATGATTAGCAAGATATGGACTGAAATGTGGAAAAAATCCACATCCTTTGTTTTCTACTTTATTGATTAAGATAATGGAAAGGAAGGCTCAAGGTATTTCATAATGAGCAAAGAACGCCACTATTCACATTTCAATGTAGCAAACTAACCATGATCAGTTAGTTAAAATGTTTAGCAAATGACAAATTTAATATAATAAATATTTTTTTATATACGAGCTGTAAAGTTTCTTTAAATATTTTTTTAAAAATTCTTTCATAAGAAAAATATAATTTATTGAGTAATGAACTAGTGTGGAAGTGTAGTAATCGATAGAATTTCGATTGGCACATAGAAAGCGCGTTAAATAGCTAACCTAACATAAAGCAAACGAACTAGTAATATCGTCGGAAAGAACAAATGAGAGGTTTCTGATAGAGCTAGGACGTTACAATTTCTTTATATTTATTTTAGATCTAATTTTAAATATGATATGTTGCAATGAAAATGTTATATCTGGTCCACAATACTTTGTACATTGGGACACATACATTAGTACATGTTGGTATACCCTATATAATTAATAATTTTTGTACTTTTGAGTCACATAGCAAGCACATTTTTTGTGTATTCTTGGCATCTCTAGAAAAACGATAAATTCGTATTGTAAAAACTATCGATTGTAGTACATCTCTAGGTTGATACATAAAATAAAAATACATAAAAGTGAGTTTTTTAGTTATTGAAGAAAAGTTAAAAATCTGATTAATTTTATAATGTGGCAAGTCAAGGCAATTAATGAGATCAGCTGTCCACTTAATATATATGAATAATAACTAGTGGAATTATACACATATGTGTAATCAAGGTAGATTTATATACTTGACATTGCCTCTAAAAATTAATGAAGTTCATATACCAAAGGAAAATTTTTGATTTTTATGATATCAAAAACTATACCATAAACAAAATAAATGCGATTTTTTAACTAATCGAACATTGAAGATCTTGTGTATGTATAGATACATAATTATATATAGTTCCTTGTGCTGAAAAAGTCGTGTAACACGTCTGACCTTTCAATCCTTAAAAAGTTAAACCCATCGAAAAAAAAAAACAAGAAAAGGAAGAAAAAACGTTAACAGATTAAATAAATTTGAATAAAACGTTGCATGATTGAGTTCCATGTAGACACTTCTATAATATACCAATGTACATACATACAACTACATTCGTACAAATATGTATATATGAAGATATATATATGCGCGACACATATGTAAAGATGAGTATACATATGCGAATACATATTTATGAAATTTATTTATGTATTCATGCACGCATATCTATAATTTTAATATACATATATATATCAGTTTAATATTCTGTTAACATTTTCATTCTTTTACTCAATCTATAAGTATCTACATTTTATATGTATATATCTATATATGTATATCTGAAAACTACATAACTCCTTTTAAGATAAATATATATATATATGTATAATGCAGACATATATATATATATATATATCTAATTATTATTTCATATATATGAAATGAAATACATATGTATATTTATATTTATATATATATATAAATAAATATATATGTATGTATGTATGTATGTGTGTATATACATATACATATACTTATATGTTGTGAATGCGCAAAACAAACCCACTCTTCACCTGTTACACGGTACTGGAATAACTTGTGCTTTAGCATCGTTTAGATAACTAAACATTTATATAGATACAGATACATTTGTATCTACATACATATGTAATATGAATAAATACGAATCTAAAAAATGTGTTATAATATAGTGTCAGGAGCGTTACCCAAGCGAAAAGCTAATCAAATATACGTTATTATGAGAATATCTGGAAATCCTACAAACACTATTTATGTGCCATATTGTCAGCTCCTCTTAAAATGGTTTATTTAACAGTTTAAACACGCTCGAAATAAATTATTTTAAGTACAGAACTTTGTGGAATTCTCAGCCATTTCTGATTTGACAGCAAGTTGAATGAATACAGCTAAACTGAACTTGAATTGATTCAAATGTTCTAATGGGAGATACTCTGCATCTAACTCTTGAGCTTATTCGCACATACACATGCACATATATCCCGATAGCAGGTTTGCGCAGCTTTCAGGGTATCTCAAAGTCAGGCACTCCCAACTGAAGCATACATACTTGTTGAATTTATCTTTTTTAAAATTCCAAGTGTGAAATCTATACAATGACAGAAGATTGAGAAGCTGAAATGAATGTTTGCCTTAAAGAAAATATAACTTTATTATAATGAGAGTAATGATGAATAATAATGCATGAATAAATAGATTTAGTATGTGTTCATAATTCAAGACAAAATTAAAATACTCCTTTATATATATAAATATATTAGCTTTGCTGTTGTTTCAATTTAGCTAAACATTTTACTTTAATGCAATTAAGCAAATTATCTGATTGTATGTTAGAATTAGCGATTTTATATGCAAATGCATATATATATATATAAATGATTTATAAGAATTTTAAAATAATTAATAGAGGTGTTTTTGTCTCATTAACACATTTATCTCATTAACTAAACATTTAGACATTTTTTAAGGAAAGTTTTGGTTTTTTAAATACAGTCAGAAAGGATTTTCGTATTAATTGTTAATGAAGAATAAATTAAATATACGTGTGTATAAAACAATAAAAATAATTATTTGGAGTCATCTTAAGTTTAACATATAGATTTTTGGATAGATAACTAAAAATAAAATTGGATTTCATGTTGAGATGATGATGGCATCGTAAATACCACTAAAAATATATCTAAACAAAATAATGCTTCTATTATTATTAGTTGTCGTTATAATATTAATACTTTTAATTTGATTTGTTTTTATTTACGTATAGATTAATCATAAGCAATCGCAAAGTGAGGACATCTGAACGCAAGTCGTCGGAGCCGCCTCATTTGAATAGCATAAAAAGAGAAAAAACAAATTGCGTAAATAATACGAAGACTCTGTTATACTGGAGCAAAACGGAGAAAGTACTAGGGGTGCAGAGTCCCCCGACGCCAACCAAGAAAATCGAGCGACGTGTTGGTGGACTCCGTGGACTGCTATGGGTTGCTTTGGCTCTCCAACTTCAAAACAGTCTGATGTCAACTCGGAGGATTCGAAAAGTCAAAAGCGAAGAAGCGATGCCATATCCAGGCAATTGCAGAAAGATAAACAGCTTTACAGGGCAACGCACAGGTTGCTCTTGCTGGGAGCGGGTGAGTCCGGTAAATCAACTATAGTCAAACAAATGCGGATATTGCACGTCGATGGATTTTCTGAACAAGAGAAAAAACAGAAAATTGATGATATTAAAAAAAATATTCGTGATGCTATATTGGTAAGTCCATTTTCAACGTTTAACAGATATTCTTTCTTTATTTTTTTATATTTTTAATTCCTGGACCTAATTAAAAAAAGCTTTTATTCGATCTGGTTAGTTGTAAGTTATAATGAGATTGACTCAGTTACAATACTAAAACGGAAATAATGAAAGCTTTAACACTATGATAATAAGAGTGTCTATATACTATATATTGGATTTTATAATGGCAAGCTTTAAGCGTTTTGAAAGTGAAGCTTCTAATATATATTCCCTGACGCACGGGAGTTGTCATAGTTTGAATATTAAATTAAAATACTTCCAAAATTCTTGAAAACATTTTTAATAGAAACTTTTTTAAATAAAATTAGAAAACATTATATCTTTTATCAAATCGAAAGTTAATACAAACTTTAGAAATGCAATTGGCGAAGGACGAGCCTCTAAGTCTCCTTAAAGTATATTTATATATCAGCATAGTCCCATTTCTAGCATATCAATATTAGTTGGGCTCTTCAGTTCTATCAACATTTAGAGTAGCCATTCCATTGGAATGGCTTTTAAGAATGAATCAATGCCCATTTTGTTTTATGTTTTGCAATATTTCATTGGAATTTTTTATTTTGTTTTTTGAAGCCCCACTTAACTCCTAACCAGAGGCTTTCAATGGATTATTTAAATCGGTTCGCTGGGCAGACAAATCTAAAAATATTAAACTGCAAGTGCATAGGAGCGTGTTGTCCTGATAAGAATGTTTATAACTAATACTTTTTTCAAATGGCAAACATTTTTTACAATTTTCAAAAGAAAGACATTTTTATATAATGTGTAAGTATTTTATTATGATTTATATTTAAAGTAGCTGTGAGAGAATAATTATTGTTTAGTTTATCCTTTAAAGGAAACATACTCTTAAATTGTATAATTGATAATATCTATCAAATTATTTAATATAAATCCATTTTCTATCTAAACAGTTTCAATACAATATAAAATAAAGATAATAAATGGAAGAAAATAATTTAAGTATTCCATTTCAACTTCATTTAATATTAATTCTTATTGGAACCGATCCAGCTTTAATATTTTATCAATTCAGCTGAGCAACAATTGATTGTGATATTGTAGTACTTTTCTATGATGCTGTTAACCGTTAAGCAGTCAAATCTATCTTATCCTGTCTGTCTGTTAATTTGTATAACCACGTAGATCCTCAGATAGTATAAAGCTTGACTTGTATATCGAATGTTTCGCCAAACTTCTTATATAGTTTCCCGTAAGTAGGTAAATATAGAACTGATTGACATAAATATTGCTGTGGATACTCATGCTGTCAACTACTTATTTTTCTTCCTTCTGGTGATGGTCTCTTGTTGGTTGACGGCTGTTGCTGCAAGCTGAGTGATGTTGGTGTTTGGTATTCGACATATTCCAGTACAAGGCAACTCTATCGTTTACCAGAAAGAGTTTCTGTCTTTGCTGGATATATATTGGCTTTTGTACAAGGAATTATCTTCTATCTAAAATTGGTATATTCTTAATCAGAATACGTATTTAACACTTGAGTAGAGCTCTTTAACTTGTTTATAGTTTCTTTTTTACAGGTAATATATGTCTCAATTAACCATATCTATGCCTGTAGTCCACAAATGTAAAAATTAATCTATTTTAAGTGTAAATTTACCAGATCGAAATAAAATCTTTGAAATACATAAATTATAAAGATACTGATGGTAACTATCTATTATTTACAGACTATTACTGGAGCCATGAGCACACTAAATCCACCTGTAGCTTTAGAAAAGAAAGAAAATGAACCCAGGGTGGAATACATTCAGGATTACGCCTCTAGTAAGTGAACAAAAAAGATAATAATAAAACTTAGAATAACGTGCTCAATAATTGTTGATTGATATAGAGTTTTTTTATATTCACGAAAGAATATTAATGTATTTTATCATCTTTATTCTAGGTCCTGACTTCAACTATCCTCCAGAATTTTATGAACACACAGAAGAACTATGGAAAGACAAAGGGGTCCTTCAAACCTATGAGAGGTCAAATGAATATCAATTAATTGACTGCGCAAAATAGTAAGTGAATGTGAAAGTTATGTGAAGCTTAAGATATTACAATTTATATGTAATTACTATTTCTGTTTTAATTGTTGTGATGTGCACCAAAACTGTTTTTGAATAATTTTAACTTAAATATTACTCTTTTATTTAGCACAATAAGTTAAAAGCAAATTAATGTGGACTATGCGGTAAATGGATCGTAGACATTATTTAGTTCTTTTGTAAATGCCTCTTTGGAGTGAGTGAGCTAGAAACGTATACATCAAAATAACTATGTACCCAACTGCAATCGCTTGCGAAAATACTCGTCAAATGCGCTAAAAGAATTACACCTACATGAAGTACAATGCACAAAGCTTTTAGAACGGGTATAAGAATGAGATTAATATGAACGCAGAGAGAGAAAAAACTGAGAGACTTGTTTGTAAAATTTAACCTTTTGGTAGGGAACTCATTTAACTCTCTATTCCATTTAAACGAGCTTGTACACTGATCATATATCAGATTCATAGAGTTTATATATATTAGATCATGGAATAAGCACGGTTCTCTTCCTAGCTTAGTATCCGTATTTTGTAATGGGAAATTTTGTATATAAGATTTAAGCCTTAAAGCAAAGCTAGCAGTAATATATTTTTAATATGATTGACTTTCTATAAAGTTATTGAATTACTATATTTTCATTTAATTTTCTCTTATTTATTTTTGTTATTTAGCTTTTTGGACCGAGTTAGCACAATTAAGAATCCAAATTATACCCCCAATGAACAAGATATTCTTCGGTGCCGTGTTTTGACTTCTGGAATATTTGAAACAAGATTTCAAGTGGACAAAGTTAATTTTCAGTGAGTTGCATTCAGTCTATAAATACTTAAATGTTCTTTTCGTTAAATGCCGAAATCTCTTGCCTATATAGTATGTTCGATGTGGGAGGACAGCGCGACGAGCGTCGGAAGTGGATTCAATGTTTCAATGATGTAACTGCTATAATCTTTGTAACGGCATGCTCAAGTTATAATATGGTTTTGCGTGAGGATCCCACTCAAAATCGGCTTCGTGAATCCTTAGACTTATTTAAGAGTATTTGGAATAACAGGTATTAAATGTAATTTATAAATGCTATTCCATTACTTTAATAAATATTTGTCTTTATAGATGGCTACGCACAATTTCTATTATACTTTTTCTAAATAAGCAAGATTTGTTAGCAGAGAAAATTAAGGCTGGAAAAAGTAAATTGTCGGAATATTTTTCCGAGTTTAACAAATATCAAACGCCAAGTAAGTAACTTAATTAATTGAATTAGAATACTTCAACCAAAATTAAGGATTATCAAAAATCAAAAACCAAGAACTCAAATCCGTGTTATAATAAATAAATTGAAAAACAAAGATCATAATATGTATTTTTGAAAATATGATAATTAACAGAAATCAAATTGGAAACGTTTAAAGCTACCCTCCCAATGTCTCCCCCTATAGGAAAATATCTTAAAAGCTAACTTAAGCAATTAAAATTAAATTTGCGTTTGTTTTGCCATTCCAATAAATTAACTTTATCCCAATTTTTATAAACTAGGTGACGCAATAATGGAATCTAACGATGACCCAGAAGTAATAAGAGCAAAATATTTTATACGTGACGAGTTTCTGGTAATCAATCTTAAAGCTCATGCAAAATAAATTTGGTTGTTGTTAATATATATTTTTCAATGTTTCCACAGCGTATATCGACAGCAAGTGGAGACGGTAAACACTATTGTTACCCACATTTTACATGCGCCGTTGACACAGAAAACATAAAGCGAGTTTTTAATGATTGTAGGGACATAATTCAAAGGATGCACCTTCGTCAATATGAATTGTTATAGGTTATCCCTATCGCCGTAATTCAAAAAATAAAGTGAAGAATATATTATTGAATTACTGTTTTAAATATAATTATCAAATGTAATTTGTATTTAAATAGTCCCTTGAAAAAAAATAAAAGCGCTGCATTTAGATCTGGTATGACCTTTCACAAAACTCAACATTAAAGAAGAATAAATAAACATGTTATTAACAATTACAATTGTTTTTATTGATATTGCTGTATATATTTACAAATATTTTCGTTTTCCTAGTTGCTGTTGAGTATATTTATGTTTCTTGTTTCCCCTGACACAAAGCGAATTTGCGTTAATTATATATTCGTATACAAGTCTTAGTCAAAAGTCAACTATACAAGTGGATTGAGTATGCCAAAACTGACGGAAGCCTTATCGATCTCATCAAAGTTTCTTTTGGTTTTACTCTTCCAGGAATTCTTGTTGTAAGCTGAATCCTTTCGAACTAAAGCTGGTCGATTTGCTCGATGATCGTTGTTGTTGTTGGCTGCCAAATCCCACAGGTCGCTCTGGGTATTGAAATCGCGTTGATACTTTGTAGCCTGCTGCATGAGATCCTTAAAGACGAATAGCACTCTGAAAAAGACAAGCAAAACGATTAAATTTGAAACTAGGTAGACTCTGAAAAGGTAAAGCATAAGGAATAGGAATGGGACCAAGAAGAGGAATGGGTAAGATGTAGCTTTGATCTGAAAGAATTTTATAGTCAAATGACATTGTACTGTCACGTTCAATTGTCCTTTATTTATTTAATAAATCCTCTACTTTTCGAATAGCATGAGGATTATCACTTACCTTAGCACTAATTTTCCATCTAAGTTTTCCAAGAAAGCTTTTGAAACCAAATGAAATGGTTTTAAATATATAATTTCAAGTTTTTAAGTTTTAATTTTAAGAAATATATTAAAAAAACTATATTTATTTGTATATTTCCTGGATCCTTACACTTCTTGCCAAAAGAATACAACTTTCAAAATAATATAAAAATATATTAAAAAAGTTGAAAGTATTAACAAAAAGTTAAGTGAAATAGAATGACCGGCTAGAATATATCCACACCATTTACCTTTATTTAATATTCAGGTTTCTATACAGTTACCATTTTTCCAAAATTATAGTCAAATTCTGGATAAGCTGTTGTTCCCACATACCTCTTAAGGCTAATCCTTAAAGGCAACCAGTATTAAATTTCATATATAAATATTTACGTACTTTACATAAATTGCTTTATTACCTCAGATAATTTGTGTTGTATAATTTGATTTTGGGCAAAGATCATAGATTAATTGACTTTACATTTAGAAAGGTGATATTGGATCATAATATTAATTGACTTTCGGTTAGTAATATAAAGATTTTTTGATCAAATGTCCCCCACCAATACTGTCTAGATCACGCTTTGACTGACGATTCGATTGATATTTTTCAGGCTGAGCTTTCTTTTCGCCCAGTCGTAGCCCAGTTAATTTCGAAAGTAGATTAAATATATTATCAGGTAGGATATCTCTGTTGGATTGTAGAATGTAGTAGCTGCCAAAATTTAACTGTACAGTTGAAGAATCTGAATAAAATGAAAAATAAACAAAAAAAAAAACATGCAGGATATTTAGAAATTATTTTACAATATCGAAAATATAAAAGTTTACTCTTAATCAAATAAAAATAATATTCAGTAATACTATAAATAAAGTATATACATTAGTCTTAAATAACTTATATTTTTTATACTAACTATAGATGGATTTAGAAATGTATTTTAGTGAAAATGAAATAATATTTGATCTTTGATAATATTTTTTATAACTAATTTGTAATGAAACTGAAATAGAAATAGCATATGCATATGGCTTATGACTATATATATTTAATTTTCAGATTCTTTCTATGACAGAAAAGCAGAAACGAGTTGAAAGAGTGAAGATATCAATAGAAAGATTCATGAATTATGTTATTTATAGCATACTTAATGGAGTGCTGCCGCTGCAGGTTATATGAATTTGGTAGTTCGAACTGTATACATAAGTTAACATAACCAATCTCAACATTCCATACGCCATATTCTGAGACAGTCAGTAATAAAGGGTGCAAGGGTAATAGTACTCTTTTGCTTTCACGAATGGTCACCAGCAGAAAATATAGGGACAGAAAAGGCCCATCAAAGGCCACCTTCTAACCGATGAGATTATCAGATAACAAAAAAGCAACGTAGCTGAAGAATCTAATCCCTATGATCTCGTCTCCAAGAGGATGGCTATAGCTGTCGATGCTCGACGAGATGTGAATAGTGAAAGGAATCTGGTTAATATCGCAGAAAGAATTGCATTAAACTTGGCGAGAAGACCATAAAGAAAAGTTGCGAAGTGCTAAAAAATGTCCATTTGAAAATATGCTACACAGCATCGGGTTAGTCCAGTAAGTAAACATCCGCCAAATCTAGAAAATATTAAAGTTCATTATATTAATATAATATGATAATATTTTGTTAATAAATTATATAATTTCAAACAAATAAATATATATAAAAACTTAAACAAGAGCCAACAAAATATGCTCTTCCTTTATATTATGTTGTTTTCCAATTTTGTTATAAAACACAGATTTGTCTAGAAGAATTATAAGGTTTACTGAATTCGATTTTTAGTTTTGTGTAAAGCGTAGTTTGGTAAGTGATATATGTTTTATATTAAACATATTTTTAATATTATTTATATTTATAATAAAAATCCTTTAAAGCACAATTCAACTCGAAAGCTTAGCCAGCGCACAATGAAATCTGAGGAACGACTGTGCTCTTCACATCGGCATCTGCTCAATTTATAGCAAATTATGAAAGGATGGAAAAACAGGGTGTTGTTAACAAAGAGGGAATAACGTCATTTATGGAGGACAAACAACAAAAAGTATACCCTTTATTATTAAGTTAGTTGTATTCAGATACCCTGTAAGTTTTTTGTTAAGAAGGTTTTATGAAAAGTGATGAATGGGGACCCAATTTATAATTTAAAATATATTTACAGATTAAAAAAATTTTCTGCAGAAATATAATATTATTTTATATCGTATAATGCATTTAAAATATATAAAAATCTGTTTAAATATGTAAAAATATATTTAATTAAAATAATATGTACAAGATATATCTATGAAGCTATCATATTTATTTCTATATATTATCTAGTTCTTTACTGCTTTAGTCCATTAAATATGTAATAATTTCATAATCTTGAAGCTAGGGTATTTCTCAGTCCAACTTCAATGATGCTGAAACCTTTTCCGTGGCTTTTCTGCGTCATTTCCACCATATTTTCCGTAATATGTGGTAACCACTTCAACAAACAAAGCTTAAGAAGTTGGCAAATATAAATTTGTGTGTGCACTTGGCTGAAAATAATCTTGTAGAGAAATTTGAAACATATGTTCGCTTATCAGTTTGCCTTCTATACGTTATCAAACAAAGGAGCACAGGAAAATTGGAAAACAAAACATTTTGCCACGCTCGCATATGCAATATATGCCTTGCTTGAATTGTGCCCATGTCGACCAGACGGCATAGAATATGCATATATCTATCATGCTTAGATATTATTTATGCCACATAGAGTTTCTTGATGTATAGAATTATATTATATACGTTAGATTTAATTCGAAGTGGTCTGCTGCACTAACCCACTGTATATCATATTAGCTCACAGTCAATGCATTCATCATCAACCACCGCTTGTGTTGTGGCAAATGGTCTTTCAAGCTGAAATACACTTAGTCATTTATCAATATCAAGTCAATCCCCTAGGGTTCCAGATTATGGCTATATAGCGGAACATAAGATGAGATACCCAACAATATAAAGTACTATGTTTGCTACTAAATACTACTAAATGCAAGTCCATACTACTAAATACTACTATACTACTAAATAGTACTAAATACCACTAAATACTTCTAAATACTACTAAATAGTACTAAATAGTACTAAATAGTACTAAACAGTACTAAATAGTACTAAATAGTACTAAATACTACTAAATACTACTAAATACTACTAAATAGTACTAAATACTACTAAATAGTACTAAATACTACTAAACAGGACTAAACAGTACTAAATACTACTATATAGTACTAAATACTGCTAAATAGTACTAAATACTACTAAATACTACTATTTTGTACTAAAATCTGGTGTCCTTGTCTTACCTTAGGAGCATTTGAAGTCTCATACTTCAATTTGCTGGAAACGTTTTAAAAATATAGCAATTGCCTCTGCAGTTATGGCCTAAAATATAATTTGAGCACAACTTTTAATGTTGTTGCTCAACTCGGATGGGCCTAGAGATACAGAAAATAAGAACAAGAAGTAACCAATAGCCAAAGTGCAATACAATTTGTTTTTATTTCATTTTTCAATACATTTCTAATAGCTGGCATCAAAATACCATTCCATTTCAAGTGTGGAAATTTCAAAAAAGCACATCAACTTATCTTTATTCGATCACTTAAAAGCACGTACATTAATTGTGAATATATAATTGATGGTTGAATGTGTGTTAGTTTCTCGCTTTAGTAAAATATATAAAGATGTATCTTACAGTGTACAAATATGTTACAACATATACTTTAACAGTTGACTGCTGGAATACAGAGTTCGTATTAGTTAACAAATGTATGCCTAGGTAATAATGAGAGTGATAAATTCTGTGCCTTATTGGCCATGATCAAAACAATAAGAATGACACGCGCGTCCGCCTGGCGTCCCCTTTGGCTCTTCGAGCCATTCCATAATGTCACATGCTGCCTTCGGTGCTGCTGGTTGTTCCTTTCGAGTCGCACATGCCACCCGCGACATTGTCATCGCCGCGCACCGAGCCCGACGTCAGTCCTCCAGTAATACCAGTTAAATTTAATTTGTACTGCAATTGGAAATGTTTTGAATAATTTCAATAGAATGAGTTCATCAAGCCGCTCAAAGTTAAGTAATTCTAAATGGAGAACTAACACCATTTACCCAGTTCATTTCTCATCAAACTTATGATAAATGTCGTGGAACCATCGGGTTGGTTCTAGGAGTTAAAATAGTTGAACTAAACCAAAGACATGTCCTGCTGTCCTTTGTGCCCTGTAGCCTAAAATATATCTGTTCGTTTAGTAAGACACTAAGCCAATTGGTGCTAGCTAACCAATCTAGCCTACGAAACTTGATGCTACTGATCTAGATACTAGTTGGTTTGTGTAGAGCAAGTGAAGTTTGGTTTGCCTTTCGGGAAAGTGAGCTAAGCGTGAAACAATTGCAATTTTTGCGAACCGACAGACGGACGAACTAGCGTAGTTTGCACAAGACCAAGCTAACTTTTACTTTGTGAACGGACTATATATAGAGTGATACTGTACGTTAAGTGAACTTACCTTATTTGCGCACTCAAAACATTTAGAGACAACTTTGTTTATCACATTCATAAGGTTCTTGGTTTCCCTTATGACGTGATCAACCTTCACAAATGTTGCAGCTTTGCCGACTGTGTGATCTTTGACAGTAAATTGCAGAGCTTGGACACAAGTCGGCACTCTATCTAAAATACTTAGAAGATCCTTCTTGTTATCACTTGCAGGTACCTGAAAATATATACATTTCATATTTATCAAGTGTCATTATTTGTAAATAATATATATATATGAAGATGTAGCAAGACTAGAGCATGGGTTGGGTAGATGATTTTAAGATTGATTCCCTCCAACAGATTATTAACAGCCTCAAAATTGTAGGAGAAAACTAGCTATGGGGAAGCAAGCACATCATATCATATCATCAATGAGCTGTGCTCATCCCAGTGCTCGCTCCACTCTGCTCCTACCCCTTCTCCTATTCCTACTCACTGTTGTTCATACTGCCTACTTCTACTCTCTTCGCTCTGGTCTCAGCACCCGCTTCCCGATGTTTCCCTGCTGCTGTGTTATTTTCTATGTTTTCCGCTTCATGTTCTCTATTCCTTGTCCCTCTATTTCTCTATTTCTTTACTCCCTGCTCTTTGCTGCCTGATTCCACTCGCTTTACGTTTTCTGTTCCCAACTGATCACTCTCTCTGCAATCTACTGCTATTGTCAGATCCCCACTCTTTCTGGCTTCCTGTTTTTTTCAGTTTCTGTAAAATGGACGATCTATAGAGATTGTCTTGGGCATGCCGAAATAATCGACATCTACCATAAAGTTCAAGTACCTGATATGAAAAATGACGTAAAACTTTATAAAGTCGATTGGCTTCTTCAGCAAAGTATTCAGCTTGTGTAAATAAATCCTGTGTTGTTCTTAGAGAACCGCTGCCCTTGGTAAACTGATACATCAGAAAAGCCATAGCTGACATATTCTTAGCTCTTTTCAAAATATCGTTATCATCTGATAGGTCGTCCGTCCATTTCGTTGCATCGCCATTATTTTTGCCCTCCAAGCCAGAGTACTCGACCATTTCTCTTTCATCTGTGGCCGCAGCGTATGGCTTCGATGGTTTCATTGTTGTTTCACACTTCTGCAAGAGAAAAAAAAACAAATGCAAAATTAATAATATTATTAAATATGTTTATTCTAGGCTCACCTCCATTTGGGTATCTATGTCCGCCTTGGTTGTGTCCACCGATGCGAGAATCTTTTTGGCAATCATTGAGATCTCGTTGATGAGCCATTTCCACATTTCTAAAAACGATTCGAAATTTTCGTTCGCAGCACTGCTGTTGGCGTACTTCCATAGAATTTTCGCCGCAATGAATACTTGCGGACCGTAGATTCGCAAGTTGATTGCCAAGCACTTGGCATGTACCTGAAGCCCTTCCGTCGGCGCGATGTGCTGCAACAATTTGCAAATATCGAAGATGTGATCACAGCAGTCGTGAAACTTCGTCGAACATTGATTCAGATTCTCCAGATCATGTGCCATAGCCAAGGCATAGAACGATTTCACAATCTTTTTACAAACGTTCAGCGATTCGTTGAAGTCAGCGATTTGACTGGACACAGATATGACAAGCTGTTTGCACAATTCCTGCAGACTTGCAAGCATGCCCAGCTCAGGATCTCGGCTTTGTATCGGTGCGCCCACACCTCGATTATCATGCTGATCTTTTATCAATAGATTCAAATACATTTCAAACTCCACTTTACAGTTGTCACAGTAGATCAGTATGTTCTTCCGATGCTCATGACTTATGTAGGGAGAGTCTGTGAAGTCGTGTGCCTTCTCGAACAACTTGTCAAACGCCACCGAGAGCTCATCCCGCAGGTCTAGACTTTCGTAGGTTAAATGTTTCTTGAAATTTGTATTTTTTATCATATGACCACCGACAGCCGGAGTTAAGTTCTTTTCGCTCTTCCAATCCTCATCATCGAATAGAGAGTATAACGCATCTGGATTGTTGTTGCCCTCCTTGTTGCTATTGCAGTCGTACTGTATCGACTGCAGCTTGAACTTCTTGATCAGGTTTATGATGCGTTTTATTGTCGTGTAGATACTTTCATTTTCATAATTTGAGTTGCAGCGCGCATTGCGAAACGCCATGTGCTTCGCCGAGTCGAAGATACTGTCTTTTATGACGAAATGTATCAAGTCCATAGCCCGTCGAATTTGGCAAAAGACGGTGTCGCGATTCTCTTTAACTATCACGCAATCGCTGTGTATCAAACTATTCTTCGATGATGTCAGTAGAATTGATATAGACTTCTCCAGAATTTGACGTGCCGAAAACATTTGAGCGCGTCTGCGCTCCTCCTTGAATGAGTTCCGATGATGCCCCGTCAGGTAAGCCAGCTCGATCATTTCTGTGCCAAATATAGAAAACGCGCGCACGAATTCCGTGAAATTCATAACAGACTCTAACTTTTCTAAGCTCTCCGATGCTCGCTTCTTTGCCGTGAGCAATTTCTTGACCACAACAATGTCGACTAGCAGTAAAATTCGCGTTATAGACGATAGCAGAGATCTGGCTGCTAATATAATGGCGCCATAATCCTTCAAGGGCTCGATATGATGGCGCACCTCCATGCCACTCAAAGGCGACAGCTCGCATAGCTGTTCAATCGATTTTCCTAAAGAAAACAAATACAATTTAATGGTTTTATATATATATATATATATATATATATCTTATAGGCTGTAGCTTGAGTCAAATGGTCAATGATTTAATTTTATATTTATATTTATATTTAAATATATTTACATAGTTACAGTCTTAGGAGGCTTACCTGCATCTCTCGCTTCTCTGGCCGCCTCATACATATCCACTTTTATATCCGTATTTTCCTCAGCAATTATTTCTCCAATCGTTATAAATCTCTCTACAGATATGCTCAAGGAGTGCCCAATATTTCCAAAAGTTGACATTATGTGCTCGTTGTCAATATCACGAAGTCGAAAGCGCTGATTCTGCAAATAATCAAATTCAATGTTAGTCAGAGAGAGAGAGATCTCACATATCTATAGCTATCTAAGCACTAAAATCTAAGTTGATCCATTCATTAGCTGTTGCTTATTGAGTATGTGAGACGAGTTAAGACTTATAAGAAGTTGGGCTGGGACCTGTAGCATATAGAAGCTAAAGAACATTTTCATTTTCCTTTGACAATCATCCAATAAATGTAAACTTAACAATGTGGGGTCTAACTTTAATAGAAGCACGAGCTTAGATTGCAAGAGTCTGCATGAATATAAACTTGAATATATATCCCAGTAGAGGGGCATTTGAATTGACTTCTTTTGAAAGTATGTATATTTGATATTACCTTAATTTCTTATAGATTAAACTCATAGCTATTTGACCAGTAGTATGGACTTACATTAACATCAAGCGCAGCTGGAGGTAGGCCATACATTTTTATAGTAGTAAATTCCGTTTAAGCTGCTTTGTATTTGTGTTTTGGGCTTCGCACATTTATATTTAATGTGTATAATTTTATTGATTTTTCGTAAACAGCCTCTGTGCCTAGTCAATTTAGTTAGAATGTTGTCTGTTTAAATAGTCTGTCTATCAATATTAAGCGTCAAGTTTTCTTTAATTATATATGTACATTTGTAATTATGTTTTAAATAACAAAAAAAAAACAGTCAACTTCAATAACTAACTCTGATGGTCTCAAAGCACTCGCGCACCTCGCCACATACATATATACATCAATTTCGTATTTGGTTTTGCGCATAAATTTCCTCTGCGCAGTCAGCAAAAATGTTAACATGAAAGAACAGTTACTTTCACAGGTAAAATAAAACTAACTGTTTAATTTAAATTGCAATTATACCTGAGTATTTTAAATTTTCTTTTAAATGCCCAAATTGTCGATTGCAAATAAAAAGTCTAATAACAATGCTCTTATCAGGCTTGATTCTTTAACAGACAACTGCCAAATTGAAAGTGTTCATCTGTAACATTTCAATATATATATAAATAGCTCCTGCGTTAAAACACTTCAACACTCATAGGCAACGATTTTGCCGATTGTCCGCTATATCCGTACGATGCGTATCGTCTCTTGCATAATATATAATTTTCCTATCCCTGGAATACCCTGCAAAGCGACGTAGTGTTTGAATCTGGGCGATCATTCCAAGGCATCTGATTGCTCAAGCGATTTAAATACTAAAACACATTCCTATACCATTTTAAAATTTCTTTATAATATAAAATTATTTAAACAAATACATACTTTTATTTACTAGTTACAATATAAAATTACAATACTCGTATTTATTTTGGTATGTATTTCAAAAAACGAAGTTCGTGCGAAAGCCACACAGCAGTGCTTAGGAGTATCAGTGATCCAGATTGATGAGCTGTAGCCAGAGGCACAGGTACATAGTTGAGTAATGTAGTTACGCCTAAGGTGGCTTGTGTCCAGGCCATAACAGCGACTGCATTGATAGCCCACTTTGCACGCTTGGGCAATTTCTGGCGTCTCATTGCCAACCATAAGGCTGTTATTAATGAAACTGTTGTGATGCCCAGGATACGATGATTAAATTGCACCGTCGTTGGGTTTTCTGTTACATTTTTCAGCATTGGCTTAAATTGCAAAATGTCATCAGGTATCCAGTCATCGCCCATTTTCGGAAATGAGTTATATACTAATCCAGCGTCCAGTCCAGCAACAAATGCACCGGATATTGCAGTCAGGAACACCATACCTTTCGTCATATGTGACAGCATTTTAATTTTGGGTACACGCTTTGCTGCAGACGTCAATGTTTCCGCTGGTATCAACTTGGACATTGCATTAGATAAGAACAGCGAATATAGCACAAATGCTGCAGCTAAATGTGAAGCTAATCGATACTGAGAAACGCGAGGCACATCATTTGGATTATCAAATCGGTTCTCCAATCCGGACTTAACCATATACCATCCCATCAGTCCTTGCAGACCAATTAGAGTTCCTAGCACAAGCACCATTTTCTTAGTTTTTGCACAAAAGTATCCTTTTTTCCAGAAGTATGCTGCAGGAATTATGAAAAACGCTCCAATTGCGCGGCCCCACATTCTGTGTATATATTCCATCATGTAAATAAATTTAAACTCATCCACAGTCATTTTAGCATTCTTTCTGAAAGTAATAAGCAATCTTTAAGAAATTGTTCACATGTTTATTCATTCGTTATGGTAACTTACAGCTTAAATTCCGGATACTGTTGATAGTTCTCAAACTCTTTTATCCACTCGTCTCGATTTCGTGGCATATGTTCACCCACCAAGTTCCAAGATACCATTGAAAGTCCTGATTCTGTTAGCCTTGTTACACCACCTTTATGAACAAAATATTAATCATATTCCAATTTGAATATTTTCATTTTATTTTACCCAGTCCAACAGCAACGAAGACCATGCCGCTGCATCCCAGAAACCATTTGCCAACAGTTTTGTTTGGACTTGACTGAACTATATGTTTCACAGGTGGAGCTGGAGTCGGGATATGCTAAATTAAATCAGAAAACGATAAGTAAGCTTATGATCGTAAAATTAGCATTATGATTACGTAAACATCTAAATGGAAAAGCAAATTACAAAAGTTAAGAACGGCATGATGAAGTTAAGAGACAATTATTTAAAAATGTGAATAATTAATAGATATGCAATACTAAGTAAATATTTGTAGGAACCTCTTTTATTTAAAGGCAGCCGTATTAATTTACATTTCATTTTAATTTTAGTTTATTTAGTAAAAAGCCGGGTGTGACAAAAATTAAGACTTCAGCATAGTTGAAGTAAGTTTTTTGACAACTACTACATTCTTTTGTCGTAAATAATTTATTTGAAACTAGAAGTGCAGAAGATGAGTTATAATCTTCTCAGTTTTAATATTGTTGTTTTAGTCAATATAAAAAGTTATCAACAAATTAGACTTATTACTTGTGTTGCATGGACTTAACTTGCAACAGAATACCTACTTTCATCTCTGTTTCCGCAACAGTCTGCTGCATTCGGCGAGATGGAAGCATAAGCCTAAATGCATTGGACCTTTGATACATCGACCGAAGCATTGTTAAAAGGTATGATTTTGGATTTCACCGTATTTCTTGAAGGTTTATATATTTTTATGAGAAACCCTTTCATATAAGAGGTAGAGATGTGAATAAAAATATGTAGTGTATCGATTAAACGAAATATTCATTTCGACTACTTAGAGCATGTTTCCATTAAACAGATATTGAAAAGCGTTGAAATTGTATTATAGTATTAATGTAAATAAATATTAAAGATTTTGATGTTAATTTTTTAGAGTATTATTCATAAGAAAAAAAAAGGCAACAAAGTAATAATACTACTACTATACAATATACGGTGCAGTGAATAACGATTACTAAAATTCATCGTCTCATATCGATATTAGAGGCATCTCCTCTCGATATCAATACAAGAAATCTTTCATCTCTACAGTTGGCTCGACGCTGTCTTTATTATCCACATTCCTGCTAATAGAAAAGACTTTGACGCGGCAAATATACAGGCAATATGAACATGGAAGATTTATTAAACACACAATTTGTGAAGTTAAAAGAAGCTATGAACGATCTCTTTGAATTAAAAAGCGCTGTGGGTACACAATATGGATCTAGCATCAACAGAAGAACTTAATATTTTTTTTTTTGACAGGGACATGTTTTGGAATTGAAGCAATCACCAGGTGTATTAATGTTTGTAGCATTAAAGCACTCAAACCGGAAAGTCAAGCGAAACATAAAATCTGGGCGAGATGAATTACATTTGCAGAAATCAAAAGTGGATCTAAGTAGATTGCAATTGCAAAATCTACTTTATGAAGTTAGCCATTTGAAGAAGGAAATCGTCCGATGTCAAAAATTCAAGAGTCGGGACACCTATTTGGAATTGCTTTCAGATAAAGAATATGCCATAAAGTTTGCCGCCGATGGCAGTGATAACGCAAATATGTCCAATCACAAAACACATTTGTATCGCTTGGAATGCGAATTACGTTTGCGTAAAGAACTGGATAATCAGTATAGCGCCTTACTTACCTCAAAACAGGAGCTATTGCAGGATAATTTGAAGCAGACGCAAAAATATCTTTCATTTGCTCCAGCTCTACGAACGCTGCTAGAATCGACAAAGCCATTGCACGATGCACTGCAATTATCCCTCGATGTCGAATGGAAATTAAGCTCAATATTTAAGTATCTGCCAAGAGCTTTGTATATATTGTTTATTAATCTGCAAGCCCTTCAGCGTACCAAAACCGAATTTGCATCGAAAGTAGTTGGTTTCGAGAGTGATCAACAAATGCAAGAATTGCTTTTGGAAACAGAAAATACATTGAAGGAACGTCGACATTTCACTGAAAAAAGTACTTCTATTGAAACAGTGCCCGATAAATCGTTGGATCAAGTCTTGAAATGTCATCCGCTTCATATACATCTAGTCGTAAGTTGACATAAACTATCTATATTAACGGACATCTATTAATTGATGAATGGTGTAATAATCTGTAAAACTATCTGATTATCTTTACCTATGAAATTTTATGTGTTTATTTCAGATTGAAAGTCCAGATAAGTCTTTTGAGCTAATACTAATTGTGAGATACTGGCAATTGCTCAAATGTGTAACTGTGCGAGCACAACTAAACAGTACAAACAATTCTAATTTTCAAGGGTTTGTAATATTATTATATATATATAAGCAATTTATTTTATATTTAAATTTCTTTAAAGAGATGCCAACATGGTTGAGGACCTGCTCGGACATTTATATCCTGATGATACGGGAAATTATATTCCTATTCCAGGCATAGAATATGAAGTAAGAAAAAAGCTCTACAAATTTCGCTTATTGCTTATAGATAACAATAAGATACGAAACCATATAGGATATTACAAAGTTAATCTGATAATATGCATGATTTCACTTACAGTTGCAGAATTTAAATTTGACCACGGAGAAGTGTTTGGAATACCTGGTTGAAAATGGATATGGAAAACCATATTGTTGGCTGCAGAGCATGTGTTCGATAGCGACCGTTAATAAGAAGCAAACTTTTAAGCACGAATTTAATTTGCATAAATGGATTCGTAAAGTCTTTATGCGCATCCTAAAACGTTGGCAATCGTGGTTACGACTAACTCAACAAATACGTGGTTTGACCTATAAAGATGTAGATCTGTCTATATCAAAGGAGAATATTTATCCAGAAGGCTTGTCTTGTAGCTTGGTGCAGTGGACTGCAATCTCCAGTGAGGAATTTAACATTCAAAACGCTGGATTAATTTACAATTTGTCGCCTTCGAATGGAATCACGTACACCTCCTATAGGGCTGTAATTGTGCGTGGATCTGCCAAAATGGAGTGTTTCATTCGAATACCCAGCAATTATCCCTTAGATATTCCGCTTTGGATCTTAAGTGTGCATTGGAATGGACGACATACTTCAATGAACAATGCGGCAATTAAAGTGAGTCCAATACAGTATATTTGCGGCCTTCTCAGTATATCTTTCAATTCATTTTGCAGATGATGGAGTTTTGGACAAACTCCTTACAGCCGTCACAATTGAAGAAGGGCAATCGATTGCTGTACTCCCAGCTATTTCGTACCATATATAGCTTCGATATTTTCCTTGAAACGGAAGGATCAATGCAAACAGTTAGAGAATACAACAAAGAGAAACCATATATTAGTACTTTCACGAAACGAATCCGATTGCGTCCATATAAGTACATAATGAAGGGTTCAACATTTACATTTAAACAATAAATAAATATAAGCCGATAACAACGTCATCATGAATATTTAAAACAAAAAAATTTTATTTGTTAAGTAATCTTTGACACACATTTGATGTGGCCCTAACTATTTTAGTTTAATTTCGTAAGTGGGTACAATAAATATTCATTAGGATGAAAATTGATCTTTTGTGATACCGTCGCCGTTGCCGCCACGGATCCAGTTGGTAACGCTGAACCGGAAGCGCTGCTAACGATTTCGCGACTCTCATCTGGCATTATTTTGTCAACGATATGCTTGCCAATTAAGCCATCATCGCCAAGGAAGCATATCGAATATCCATCGTACCACGCCTCCTGGTCTTTTAGGACTTCTTGTAGCTGCCACACTTTGTATTTCCAAAATTGAAACATTACTTTTAAGCCTGATATGCCCCTCACTCGCCATCTGATCCGAACTGTACAATCTTCGTGATGTTTCGTTATTTTTAATATCTCGAATTTAACATACGCATACTTCAAATGACCCACGGTTCGTAGAATCGCGATTTGCTTAACATAGTGGTACAGACCTACCGTATATTTGCCAGTTATGTTATTTTGAAATATTAAATTTGGACTATATATGGAATAGTCAAGGGGCTCCACAAACAGTTTTGGCAACGTACTCTGCAGGACATTGAAAGCGCGATCTAAATCCTCAGAGCTTTTATTGTGTTTGTTATCCAAGTCCGGGTTGTTCTTTGGTTTGTTTTCGCGATTGTTTTCAGAAGCGGTTTGTGTAATACTGCATTTCTGAATTAAAGGAATTGTGCATTTCACTTGTGTTACGTATAACCGCCGCAGAATGGACGTCCATGACCGTTGCCTGTGACACCATCCATTTAGACTAATAATCTTTGCTCCACGCATCATTATGATTGAGTTCTGTACAAATAGCGACCGCAGGGATTGCATTACATATGTTTCAGCATACAATTTAGAATAGAATCTTCTTAAATACTACGTTCCTATTTTAATGACAGGTCGAATAAATCAACGCTCAACAATTCCACGGATTTTCTATCAATGACAATTTATATAATATAATCAATATTAAATATTAGCTAAGGTTAGAAATCCGAATTGCTTATGATAAGTACCATAATGATAGAACTGGAATATATATAAACTATCGATAGGTCGCACATATGATATTGTTGAAGAATATCGATAGCTCTGTGAAGGAATGTATATTGAGTAGTAACGGTCACAGGAACAATTTCGATACTAAAGCTCAACACAGCAAATATTGAGAGCTAATGCAATTTTAAGAACATCTAATGAGAATGTGTCAGAATGGGATGTGATTTTAAATGGAACAGAAAAAATAAATATATATAATATAAGAAATTTCTAACTGCAATTTGCATTACATTTCGAAAATAAGTTATTTATTAGTTAATTACACACTGATTGCTTTTTAAAATATAGAATTTTGTTATTACTTGTTTCCACATCTCAGTGATATGTACCTATTGTTAGAAGATAATACTCATAAAAATGTAAAACAAAAATATTCCACTGCAGCGTTAATATTATGAAAGAGCGTTTATAACGTAGTGCCTTCCGCACAAAACACATTAAAAAAAAAATTGTAGTTGTAAATTATTTCACAGTCACCACATTATCAATAACTTCTATACCGACAAAATTGTGACAGTGGAAACGTCGCATAAAGTGATGGAAAGCCGGTCAGTATTATGATCGAATCACCCTGTGCCCAGGAACATGATGTTAAGTAAATTATATTATTTGTCTAGTACCAAGGTCTGGATATTTGAAAATGTCTAGGTTACTATTTTCAGCGCGTACATTAATGCCGCAAGTAAGTATAATAACAATTAAAATATTATGTAACTAATGATATAATGATACTTTAGAAAGAACTTCTGATTGCCGGCACGAGCATTGTTAAGCAATTAAGAGGAAAAGCCTCGACTCCAATGAACACAATTGTGATGTTTGTTCCACAGCAAGAGGTAAACGAAATACAACATTTTATATTAAATAATTAAAATTTTACTATGACAATATTTAATAAAGGCTTGGGTAGTGGAACGTATGGGAAGATTTCATAGAATTTTAGATCCCGGTCTCAACATACTCGTACCCGTCGCCGATAAAATCAAATATGTTCAAAGCTTAAAGGAAATTGCGATAGATGTGCCCAAACAAAGCGCTATAACATCCGATAATGTGACACTCAGCATTGATGGTGTCCTTTACTTACGTATTATAGATCCGTATAGAGGTATGATATACAAATTATTACACAATTCATTAAGAAGCGTAAGAACATAACGTTCGTTCTTTTTAGCTTCCTATGGTGTAGAGGATCCCGAATTTGCTATAACGCAACTTGCGCAAACAACAATGAGATCTGAGCTCGGAAAAATGTCATTGGATAAAGTGTTTCGAGAGAGAGAATCCCTAAACGTTAGCATTGTCGATTCCATAAATAAAGCCAGCGAGGCTTGGGGCATTGCCTGTTTACGTTACGAAATCAGAGATATCAGGGTAAAGCTATTTAATATTTAAAGTAAGTTCCAACACATATGTTCTTCTCTAAATCAATTAGTTACCGACAAGAGTCCATGAAGCGATGCAAATGCAAGTCGAAGCTGAAAGAAGAAAACGAGCTGCCATTCTGGAATCAGAAGGTGTACGAGAAGCCGAAATCAATATTGCTGAAGGCAAACGAAAATCAAGAATATTAGCATCAGGTATATACAACTTTGTACATTATTCAGACAAGTTTTGAAGGCTGTCATAAAATAGTATGTTACGATTACTCCACTATTTTCACTAGCGCCGTTTTCCTTGCTTAGACATAATTTATTGATATATTTACAAATAAATTATATTTGCAGAGGCTGAACGACAAGAGCACATTAACAAGGCAAGCGGAGAGGCTGCTGCCATGATTGCTGTCGCCGATGCGCGAGCTCGTAGTCTTCAAGCTTTATCCAAATCATTAGCACATACGGTAAGAGAACACTATGTCAGCGATATGAAACCTAAGCAAGAAAGAAAATAAGGAGTTATCTATTATCTAACTGACTTCAGATTCAAAATACAAAAGTATGCCTAGACAAAAGCAATTACTTGGTTAGATGATTTCTACAAATGTTTGCCTAAATGATTATTTAATAATATGCTTCTATATGATCTCTCATTATAGGACGGTAGAAATGCAGCATCTTTAACTTTGGCTGAACAATATATTGAAGCTTTTGAAAAGTTAGCAAAATCAAACAATACGATGATTTTGCCATCAAATCCAGGAGATGTAACTGGGCTAGTTGCTCAAGCATTGGCTGTGTACAATACTGTTTCGAACCAGGGATTTGTATCGCAAACTCAAAGTAATGAGCCATGCTTCAAAAAAAGTGTAGATTATAATCAACTTAATGAAGAAAAAGCCGCTGTAAAAATTAATATTGAATAAAATCAAATTTTAGTAACAAATCGCAAATCATGTGATTATTTGCTTCAACTGGTGTATAGGTATATATACTATATATACATATATTAGATTCAATTTTAAATATAAGTTAGAAACTTCAGAATATTTCATTTTTATATAGATTTATAAGTTTTATATATTTTTTTTTATTCTGAATTTCATTCTAATAAAAATACTGAACTTTCCAAAATTACAATCTGAAATCTGAACATTAAAAAGAACAATATAGTATTTAGTAAAATCTGAAACAAAGGTTAACAATTTATTTGTAATTCGTTTAAGTTGCAAACTAAAAGTATAATCTAAACAAAAATTAACAATAATTACAAATCTGTTCGTAGATATTTAAGTTTTTTCACATTTTTAGCAGCTGTTGGATGACAACATTGCTCAAATTGATTCACTTTAGCATTATTTGTTATTTGATAGACTTCCTTGGTGGATGTTTCAATTGCCCTTTCCAAATCTGTTTGAGACATTGCATTCTTAGGATCGGCCATTTGTTTGAAAAATAATAGATCGATGGCAAAGAGAATTGCACAGAGAAAAGTGACAGCGCCAAGAGAATACCCGAAGACTAGAATATTATCTGGTAACTCTTCGATAATACCAAATATTAATAGCCCTAAATAAAAATGATATTTAGATGATTATACAGTTCTAAAAAGTATTAAAATTACCTTGTATGGTGAAAAATAATACTCCAAAGCTCAGTAAAATGATCTCAGTTATGTGATAGTTCCTCGTTTTCTCTTTGAATCTGTTTATATATTGTGAAATACAAATAGAACTTATAGAGCCATCAAATTCTTACCTTGCTAGCAATAATATTATGGAGATATATATATAGCCTATATAGGCGAGATCCCCAAAATCGTCGGCTTCCTTTGTCAATGAAATTGTATTCAGAAGCATCCATTCCGTTAGATTCTTCTTATTGCTGGTCAACAAACGTTCCGAATAGCGATCGGATAACTTCTTGAGAATTGTTGCTGCCACAGTGAAGACCTAGGGGAAAGAAAATGTTACAAAATTAAACTAAAATATGGAAGAAAATAACAAATATTGAATATTAACATACAGTACATTTTCTGTGAATTTATTATATATATATATTCACAGTTGCTCAACAGATAGGAGCAATATAAACAGTTCCAAGAGATTTGGTTTGGGCGTGGCAAGATCTCAGACCTTGCATTGCCAACTATAATCACTTTAACTAGTTATAAATATATCATTTCTAGTATTCAACAAATTTTTTTATTATATTTATTTAAATATATTATAAAACATGCTGTCTGATTTAAAAATTAGAAATTCTTTTAAATATATACTCACAATTTCAAGAAGTTTTAGGCATATGCAAGCAGCAAACTTCATTTTGATTTAACACTGAATAAAGTCAGTTTAAGATTCTCTTGCAGTGGGAATTGCATTGTTCTGGGCTCAGGTCGCTAATTAAAATTTCCATGGGCAGAAAAAATATGAATCTTTGTGAGAATTCCGTTTAAAACAAATAGAATTTAGCGAAATTTGTAGTTGCTAGCTGCAAATATGAAAACTTGGTGATATATAAGAATAAAATTAGCTCAGGTCTAAGATACTAAAAGCTTTGAAACTTAAGATTTTAGGAACCAAGAATAACTAATATAATCGATAGATTATTATTCTGTCTAGGGAACTGTTAACGGCAGTTAATAACTATATTAGGTAAGGTAAGGTAATTTTAAAAATGTTGTATAAATTTAAATCATAATTATTTATTTTTTAATTTTGATTTCAATTTATTTATTTTCTAATTTCATTTTAATAAATTTGTTTATTTTCTTATTTTTTTTTTAAATTTATTTTAATAATTTTGTAAATTCATTTTCATGTTTTTTTTTATTTAAGCATAACACAAATATGAATTTCTTATTAATTAACTTTAATGAATGTTTCACAGTCAATTATCTTGAAGATGTCTTCCCGAAAGTGAAGCAAGTTTTCGTTGAATAAGTTGCTGCTTTCACAATGTAATTTTGCCATAACTGGCTTGATATTCTCGATCTGCGCTGCATTGGCCAATTCTGTAAAATATTCCATCTGAAATGAAATACGCAGATTGGTATTACGAAGTGTTAACAAGAAATAGTGTTCTGTTCGAGAGTGCACGACTAGAAGATACCTGTACCAAGCGAAGGCTAGAAATGAATAATTCGACTGCAAGCTTACCTGATTGTTGCCGAGCATATGTGCCTGTCGCTTCTTGTAGCCCTGGGCTAATAGGTTTTTCATATTCCTTATTGCTTCTTCAGACATTTCTTTCGCTGACGGCAGTTGATTTTTGCCAAAAAAGTAGCTGTAGACAAAGCGTGCCTGCAGATCCATCATTTGCGCGGCGCACACATAGAATGGCAAGCCAATCAGTGCCATTGTCGGGTTTCGTATGTTGATGCAATGTTTGTAAAGCATTTGGACCCAATTGTCCTCGACATAAATGCCAGCATTGATGCTGAGAAACGGAAAGGAATACTTATAGCCGGTGCAGTAGAAAATTGTGTCGAATTCCTTGTAGGATCCATCCACAAAATATGCGCCATTCTCGTTCAACTCCCTGACATCAGGCTTAGTCGAGACGTTCTCGAGGAAAATCGAGTTCGAAATGCCCTCCAAGTGATGGCTAAGCGTGACTTCCTTTGCCGACTTCGATATGATATTCGACAAGTCCAAGGCACTTGGCCCACCGCCAATTACTAAGACGCGTTTTCCTGCAGCAATTGATTGTAAATGATATTATAATATTATAATATTATATATAGATATTATAATTTATTTTATTATTAATTTACCTTGGAAGACGTCGCTCTTCCTATAATCGTGGCTATGCATATAATCGCCTCTGAATAGATTCGCATTCGGAATTTGTATATAATTTGGTGTATGATAATGTCCATTTGCAATGAGGATTTTATCAAAATAGTAATATTTCATAGAATTTGTCAAGAGGTTCTTAACGAGCACCTGGAAAGGAAAATAATACAAGATTATGGCATTATATATAATACGCGTTCGAGTTTCACCATTTTCAAGTCAGTTCCCAGAGATATATCAAATCAGATTTTATAAATCATTAAAAATGGATGTAAATTCTAAATTTTACTCACTTGCCATTTATCCTTTTTCTTCAAGACCCGCAATACGTAGGACTGAAATTTGATATGTTTTCTCAATTGGAAATGATCAGCATAACGATTTAGGAATAAACAAATATCTTGAGACGATATATACGAATCTTTGTTTGCATCGATTTCAAAGTCCGGGAATCCCATCACCTCCTTGGGCAAATTTGTGCTAAATATATATAAATATTATTAACATTTTTTAAAGAAAAGGGTATCTCCTAGTCGCGCACTTACCGTAAATTCTGATACATACTGCTATGCACATCGATGCCATTGACTGTTCCAGTGTTCTCATTATAAACCCAAGTGCCACCAATTTGATTCGAGAGTTCAAAAACTGTCGGAATTTGATTATTCTCAAGTGCGCGCCGAGCACAGCAAAGTCCGGCGGTGCCCGCCCCAATTATACACAAGCTCATTATTCAAAGCTTCGAAGCGATGTTGCCCACAGCAAACAATTTAATTGAATATTACAATCATTTCCATTGCCCTATTAATATAGATCCAGACGGGCCTATGAACAACTAATCTGCACTTCAATCTGAAGCTCAAATATACTCGTTCACTTTAGTCAGAAAGAGTATATTAGTTCGGTGTAATCTGCATCACTGACGAATAGCATCCATATAACATTCAGTATATTCTCTATGGTATATATAATATTCAGTATATTCTCTATGGTATTCGGTATATACAAAAATTATTTAGTATATACTAAATACTGCTTGAGAGTACTGCATGCGAGTATTATGCAGTCGGTTACCCCCTTACTATGCTTTTATTTGTCTTTATAGGAAATGTTCTCATTTTCAATTTCAATTACAAAACCGTCAACTTTCTTATAATATTTTATATTTTTCATTCTGTCTAAATTCACTTCAAACTTTTATTTATCAACAATTTGAAATTAAGATTTTATAGCGTCTCCGAGAACTGCATATCGGAACATGAATTATTTGTTTTTACATATTTTTCAACGGGAAATTTATCAGCAAAACAATTTCATTAGCAGACGGCAGCCGAGTAACAAATGCTCTGCTCTCAAAAGTAAATAGAAATATATATAAAATATCTCAGCTTTAGCTAGATTCTGTGACTTAAACAATGAAACTGATACACTGATTATACATATTCTTCGAGTTTTAAATAGAATCTTATGTTTTTTTGATATTTTTTTCTGCAGGGCAATTCGATTGCCAATGAATTCAAATCTTCGCATCCGCAAGATAAGCTTGCCTGTCAAGTTTTAATCTACAATTCAAATCGTGGAAAAAATTCAGTACACAAGGAATCACACTGAATCGGAATACATATTTACGTAGGCCAGCAGAAATAAACGCATTGATCAAATTACAATATGTTTTTATAGAATCAGAAATTGGAATCTGCCGCCACGCTGCATACAATCATAAATATGTAAACAAACAGCTACAAAATCGATTCTTCGAATAACATTTCATATAGACTTTACAATATTTTATTATACTTACTTTTTTATAGGGTATAAATCAAATGTTAACGAATTAACAAAGTAAAGAAACGATTTGAGAGATACAAATATTTCAAATTTTAATAACAATTCTGAAAATAAGCTTTTTTAATATTTAAATTTTGTCACATTGTCAAGTGAAATCGGGGAATGTCTAAACATTAGTGGGTGGACAGCTTATATTCAATATTACATTAACATTTGTTCATCTATTATAATAATTGCTAAGCTTTTTATAATAATTGTTTGTTCTTTCTTTATTATATGGACAATATATATTAAATTCAGATTTCATCTATTAGTACTTAAATTACTAATTTAATAATATTTGTAGAGGCAGACCTGTTGGAAGAGTACAATTTTATTACGCACATCAAATCAAAGATAATTCCCGAACTTACCTTCAATCAAAATTTCAAGTCCTTTATAGCCTGTGGAAGGTCTGGCAGTTTGATGTCCTTGATTTGCTGTGGAATGTTCATGCTTTTGACCACGCTAACAGCACGCGCTGGTGCCGCTGAGATTCCTGATTCCTGTTTGATCAACTTATTTTGATCTTCTATCCTCGTTATTATATCATTCATATTTGTTTGCAGCACCATTCCGCCCATAACTAGCTCGGACAGGATATGATGCACGGCATCAGCGTGAAATATCAAATCCAATTCACACACATTTTCGAAACACTTATCCAGAGTTTCGACAAACACTTGTATCAGATCCAGTATCCCTAGCTCGCTCTCCGAGGAGTCAACGCAGAATACAAAGTATAGTGTGGCATAGTGTCGGTATATCAGTTTGTAATCAGAGCCGCCAATTAAGCTAATAAATTGAAATATGTGATTAATACACAGGAATTTTAAATATTAACGTATTTATTAGCTAACAGAATTTCTTTCTCTCCTACAGTGAATACCCCTGTTGCTAATATTAGCTAGTTTAGTTTAATTTGCCTCGGATAGCTACCTATATATTTTGTGCATATAAATATATAGATATATGTATATTTATATATTTATAAATATTTCCAATTTATTTGTAATTTTTATATTTCATATTATATTATTTTTACCTGCCGCCTTCCAGAAAATTGCAAACGTTGTCATCGCGCTTTGACACTAGTTGAAACGTCTCTTTGATAATTTGTTGTTGCAGATTTTCATCCTAATGTTTAAAATGTGAAATTAGTTAAGCTATTTGCAGTCAGTTTTTTTTATATGATATATATGACATTTATTTAAATTTTTTATAATATAAATCATTTTCAATTTGTTTATTTTTGTCTATGTTTGTTGTTTGTTAACTGCGAAAATAGCCAAGTTTTCTTATAATATGGTAAAGTATGTATTTAACCGTATAATCATCAAAATGAATATATTCGGCAATATTTTTTTTACTAACGACGTATTCAAAACAAACTTCTTCATAGACTCTTATGTTTCAGCTTTTGTTTTCTCTTTTTATTTACATAAAATTGCAGTTTACATTTACTCGAATGCTACATACGTACAAAATACTGATAAAACTTTGAAAGACGAGGTTTCCCATGGTTATTAAATACGAGTATAGCTTTTATCATTTTAATTGTGTTAAAAATCACAAATTAAAGATTCGCAATATTTTATTTGACATATGGTAGTATTGATGTTTATTCTTAGAGATGGCACTAAGTCAATCGCACCGGCAAACCATCGATAGGCTGTATGATTTACTTAAGACATTTCCAATGTGCAGCATTTGCGTTTTGCTTTCGATATAAATTGTAGATCTCGGTATATGTTTTTTAAATATTCAGCGATTGTTTGCTGTTTGTTTCTATTGACGTATGGTAAACTACTAGTTAATAATTGAAAATTTACTTCAATTTCTTTTTTTTATATTGTATTTGCCTCTGATTCGCGCAAACTTTTTTGTTAGCAGAGATGGGTATAATTCCCTATTGGAAACTAAACTCTAAATAAAAATTAATATTAATAAATAAAATACGTATCTCAATTCACGTAATAAAATAATTAGATCAGACCCAATAAAACAAACAGCCGACGCTAGTCAAATTTTCGTGAGACACGCAAGTGCTATTATTACCAGACGACTCTCACAATGAGAAAACATCTGGTCAAGGAGAAACGCAATTTCGGCTAATGATTTATTGCCAAACGTCAGGCGATGTTGACCATTTTTATATCATGCCAAATTAAAAAAATTGTTTAGTAAAATCAATACACCTGAATTTCGTAGACATAAACTCGATTAGTTACATTGTTTGTGCTGCACAAACAATTGATTTTGATCACTCCATATTTCCTTTATCTGCATCTGCTTTTTACCCCTTTTTTGAAGACAGTAAAATAATTCGTTTTTTTTTTTTGATAATCAAGCAATATTTTTACTCTTGTATTTGAAGTTAAGACACCAATTATAGATTTGTTAACATTTAAAAGCAACATCAAATATTATAATACCGTAACCTTTCGTTATTTTTATAATGCACTCAAAAGCCAGCAAAAGGATAAAACAACTTAAAATGTTTCTAAGCTGCCACCGATAACTCTAAGCGTGGGCAATTGGGAATGCCACACTCAAGATCTGGACAATTCTCGTGATGGAAACAGCTGTCGCTGCTGCAAAACATACATCCGTTGGGCGTTAGTGGCACATTTGTTGACAGTTTCAGCGTATCCCACACTTTCTTCAAGTCCAAAACTAGGGCGTTCATCATTTCGAAAGTATGAAAAGGTGTTGGAGCCAAACGAAGTTTCTCTTGACCGCGAGCAACCGTTGGATAATTTATTGATTGCATATAGTGTCCATACTGGTCCATAAGCATATTTGAGATTTGACTGCATATAAGGGGATCTCCAATTTTAATTGGAATAATGTGGCTTGGCGTATCTTCAACGGGGAAACCTGAAATGAATAAAAATATTTCAATTAGTCATTGCAAATGGAGTGATTTATATTATTCTTTATAAATCATTGTTTAAATTATTCGCTGTCTTTACTGTTGTCGAAGCAAGAAACTGGATTAGAATACTGTTTTGCTAAAAAGTGATTGTATTCAAGTTTTAATTTAACATTTTAAGGTTATAATTCACTTTCAAAGCATTTTATAAATATACCACATTAACTAACAAATAGATCGGAACATTCTAGTCGCCTGCAACTATAAATATATTTAAAGAAATTGAAATTTAACAATCGGCGATTACATAATACCATTACATAGGCAAATAACAGAATAGAACAGGCGACTAGCCAAATTATTCAGCAAATACCCTCTATTTGATTTGGGACGACCTTAGTTGGCAAAGTCTGCATATCAAGTTTCAGCAAAGATCCTTAATTATATTCATTCAATATTCAAAATAGTTAAAGACAGCTGTATATAGTTTGGCATGTGCAATAATTCTTTAACGCATTTCGTGTTGTGAATTTTAATTGTTAGCAATATGCATGGCATGAATATATACGAGCATTTATTGCAAATTATACTATTTATATTTATAATACTATCTATAAAAATGTTGTTTATATGAGCAACTGACAATTTGCTCAAAAATATACAATATTTTTGCGCTGTCACCGTTGTCACTAATTTTCTTATCAAGGAATGCTGATTCGACAGTCAAACCGTGATGTAATTATCTGCTTGTTGTAACACTAAGTGGCCAGATTGATTATAAACAATCACAGCGCACATGGCTACATTTTGCCAACTCATGCTAAATGTTAAATTATTTATTGAGCAGAATAAAACAGTAAATAACAGTATATTGCTTTCTTTTAAATATTTTAAGAACCCAAATCGTGCAGCTATGGTGTGATATGTAAATGAATATGATTCACACGACGCAGCTCGTTTTGCCGAATATATCTACTTCATTTGTATGCTAATCATAATGCCAATGACTGATAATCAAATATACAAATATAGAAATGCAACTTTACCTTCTCTCTTGAGTAAATTTTTCAAGTACGAAACATTTCGTTGATGGATATTTCGCAGCTGCCGTCCTTCTTCGGAGGCTAGTATGGTTACTGCTTCAAGGGCACCACAGAGAACAGTTGGCGGCAACGATGTGGTGAATATAAAGCCAGCAGCATAAGATCGCACCATGTCGACCAGCGCTTCAGAGCCAGCTATGTAGCCACCAATATTGCCATATGCCTTTCCTAAAGTTCCAGATATAATGTCCATTTTAGAGAGCACGCCCTCTTGCTCCCCTACGCCAGCGCCATGGTCGCCGTACAAGCCTACCGCATGGACTTCATCAATAAATGTAATAGCACCGTATTCATGCGCAACATCAAGCAGTTCTTCTAATGGGCATATAGCACCGGTCATGGAATGCACGGTCTCGAATGCAACGATTTTCGGTGTCGTCTTATCCACTTGTTGCAGTAGTTGACGCAAATGGTTGACGTCATTATGACGAAAAATGTGTTTGGGTACGCCACTATTTCGTATGCCCTGAATCATAGAAGCATGATTACCAGCGTCGGAGAATATATGACAATTCGGCAGTAATTTAGCAAGCGTAAATAAAGTTGAATCGTTTGCCACAAAGCATGAGGTGAAGAGAAGCGCCGCCTCCTTTTGATGGAGATCTGCTAGCTTTCTTTCAAGGCGCTCGTGATACAATGAGTTTCCCGATATGTTACGTGTTCCTCCGGCGCCAGATCCGTGCATTTCCAAAGCTTCCTTAACAGCATGTTTCACTTTGGGATGCGCTGACATGCCCAAATAATCATTGGAGCACCAAACAGTTATTGGTTTCTCTGTTTGCGAGGAATACTCGAGAGCATGAGGAAAGAGGCCATCGCCAGCTAAGCGATTCACGCGTTTAAAAACACGGTAAGAATGATCTCGTTTCTTTTTTAAAATTTGCTCGTTGAAAAACTTTTCGTAATGGAAAGTCGAATTTGCTTCAGCTGTGCCAGTTTCGTTTGCATGGCCACGTCTTACATCATTTACTGCCGAGCTAGCATCAACCGAATAGCTTTTCGAAGAGTACGACCTTGCGGACTTCACAGAAAATGGAATTGGTGTTAAAAGAGAAAGTTGTTTTTGGGCTGTCTTATTGGATTTGCTGATAACTGGACAAAACACTCCATATGACTGGTACAATATCTCAGCATAATTGCGCAGATAATTTGCACTGAAGCGATTCAGGAACGGGCACTGCATGATGGAGCGAACGTTGTATTAAATGAACTTTATTGGACTCTGACGCAAGTTCAAATTATGCAAGAAAACCAAAACTTGCAAAATATAAATGAGAAAACTAGCGATGATCCAATCAGACGATATATCGATTGCATTTGCCCATGTATCGATTGTTCCCGTAAATATTCGTAAAATGAACTTGCTTATTTTGCACGTTCTTGTTTTTGTCCATAAGTTGTTTTAATGTGAATGCATTATCATATTGTTGATGTCAAGCGATAATAATCGATCATTTCAGCTTAAGTTTTTATACTTTACAGGCCATATACTGGTATAATTGAAACATTCTTTATATAATTACCAAAAAACCTTCCCAATAAGAAAATTCTTTATGGTGTTCGGAATTCAATTTACAATTTATTTTTTAATTTTTATTTTTTACAAATATAAACCAAAATATACAATTTTTTTCTTAAACAATTATTTATATTATTTCATGATTGCACTTGCATTAAAGATTGTGATTTAAGAAAATTATATTCAAAGTAGATGTTTTCACCTTCAGCAATATAATATTTTAATAACTTTTGCTTAATTTCTCAATGTTATGTGAAATTTAATATTTACTGAGGGGAGCTTCAATTTACTACTTGAGTAGTGAAAAATTTAAGTTTTTACCATTTGTCATTTACCGAAATCTGTCGAAAATGTCGATTTGTTTTTATTTTATATCTCATTTTTTTATGTATCAATTGTTTTCTTTGAAAATTAATATTGATTTTTAATTATTTTTATATATGATATCTATCTTATAAATCTTTAACTGGTGTAGATATTTTACTGAAATTTCAAGTGAAAAATATGTTTTTATGGATTCTTTATGTTATCGGAGGCATGGGTTTCCGAATACTTGTGTATAACAAATTTGGCGAAATTGTCAAGAGTTTTTATGGCTGAGCCTCATACATATGCGTGAATAATACATTATTCTATGTATTTCTTATGAACTTGTATTTGAGTAATGTGTCCACATGGAGAAAAATATATAAAGATTTTGCGTTACACGCTTTATAGTAGTTTAGGTTTCTAGCTCGGTAATCCGATTACTGCACATTGGGATAATGAAATTCGTCTAACCTCACTTAGTCTGAATATCCTTATAATGAGAAGCCAAACCTTGTAAATACTTAATTTTTAAGAGTATTATTTGATTTGTGTTTTGATTTGGAAAAATAAATTCGAGCACTTTAACCAACATAGGCGAATGGGGGATATGGGGGAGGATAGTAGTTTTGGAATGATCCAGAGTTTTGAATCGGAACTGTGGCTGTTACCAATTTTGAGACTGCCGTTGGAACAACAGAAGTTGAAAATAATGTAGTATAGGCAGTTCTTGCACCAAATGTTAGCTTAAGAATTTTACTACTGGTGGCTGTAATGAGAGTTTCATAAATCGAAGTCGATGTAATTAATTGAGGCTGAGGAATTCCCAACAAGGGATTATAGAATGGATTTATGGAATATGGATATTGTGACATTGGAGGCACTGGCAACGAAATTGTGGACACCTCTGTAACAAATTCAGTTTTCTTAATTTCGCCAACAGATTTCGACAAGGTTCTTAGTATGCTTTCGGTACCCCGTACGAGTGGTATAACATATGACTCCCAAACTGTATCAACCTTGATGATTGGACGTGTGGTAGTTATAACACTATTACCTTGGCCAAGAATTTCGGGTTTGATTTCTGGTTTACTTAGCAGTTCAGAGTCAATGGGATTTATCGCATTTGTAACATTTGAGATGCCATTAAAATCGTTTTTATTTGCATTCGGCTTAACCTCAAACTGTCCAGCGTTGTTTTCATCGCCAAATTCCAGGTCTAAGTTAATTTCAGAGCCTGCCTCATCCAAAATACCCTCAAAGTCTTTAAAGTTCTTGGCAGGAACAAAATTATCGCGGAACGGCGAAATCGTCTGAGTTACAGTCACAAAGCTTGTATAATCATAAGTTTGCACTAAAGTCATATGCGATGTTTCGTTTAGTTTATCATTAATGATTGGCAAAATTTGCGTTTTTAGTTTGGTTTGGGTAAATGAAAATGATTCCGTTATTGTCTCAAGCTCCGGCGTTTCAAGGCTATCTGTATAATGAATAGGCTTCAAGGTGGTAACAACTCCATCCAACGATGGCTTTACCATCTGAACTGTCGACTCCAAAATATTTTCAGTTAACGGTCCATCGTGCTCCGAGTACTCTTCAATTTGATCAGTTTTAATAGTTTTCTCCAAAGTAGAAGTTACGGTCACAAATCGCGTTTTTTTCACAACTCCAGCCTGAAAGGTAAAAAAAGCAAATAGAACAATTTTCATAATATTTGAATAAATATATAATTCAGCTATATCAAAACTATCAAAATGCGAATTCGATATCGCTTGAAAGCCATTTCAGGGAAATGAAAAAACATCGATTTTTAAGCAAGCTTGATATATAGGAAGACACAAAATTTTAAATTTCGATTCATTTCCAATAAGTTCGCTATATAAAAAATTATCCCGATAGCTAGAAAATTTCGCACGCCTAACTGCCGAATACATGCATATCTACAAATATATTGACAGAAAGCGTATACTTACCTGAAAAACGTATGGACTTTTGATAGTTGCGATTTCATAGTAAGTATCCTCAAATTTGCTCGGCGTTGAGATTTCGACATTTAAAGTTTGCACGAAATTGTTGGGCTTTATCACATCATTATCGGCCACAATAGTGTTTTGTGAGCCTACAGCATCCAAGTCCCTGTTGAGGTCAATTGTCTTCTGAATTTGCTGATTGTTTTCACCTGCTTCCAATATTGGGTCAATGTCTTTGAGAGGCTCAGTTTGTGGTTCACTTCTCGCATTATTCATAGAGCTTTTCCTAATATTCACTTTGGGCTTTGGTGACGATTTATATTGCCAACGACCTGGACGCCTATTCAACTTCAAAGTATTTGGATTGAAATTTGTTATGTTATCGTCAGAAATTAGATTCGTTTTGGTTCTGTATGAGCGACGAGAACTTGTCTCCACCTGCGAAGGCGTTACTTGAATCACAGACGACTGCGTCGACTTATTCCTTCTAAAAAGAAAACAAAAATAATTATTAGAAAAAATGCATTTAAACATATATACATATATATAGCCTTTAGTTCCAAAAATGATATAGGGATATTACCTCTTGCCCTTGTTCCTCGACAATTTTCTTTTTTCGCCAGAAACACGACTATTTTTCCGAGTACTCTTCGTAGACACGTGGTTAGACTCGATGGACGTCTTGTAGTTTGGCAGAGATGGCGTTATAGTTTTCAATACTCGCGCTGAAGTTGGCGAAGAGTGTCGAGGCTTGCTTCTTCTCTCAGTACTCGTTGTCTGATGTATTTGAGTAGGTTTGCCCAAAGTTTTTGCAGTTATAATTGCAGTTTCTTTCGATGGGGAATTCGCGTTTCTGCTTATGCTATCCTTTTTCCTTTGCAGCAAGCCTGCAGAATTGCCATAGTTGTTATTTCGCTTGGAATGATCGGCACGCGTATTCAAATTGACCAAGCGATATGTTTCTTCGGCGAACTCCTCTGGTTGCCGAGAAAGCAAAGCATATTCAGAGAAATCAACGGAATTGATTGGCGTATTCATCAAGCTAATGCGACTGTTTATAACAATTGAAGAGTTCGCTGTCGATTGCTCATTTACACTTGAGCCCGATAGTGGTGTTGGCTTTATGCCATTTTTACCGTCCTTAGTTTCAGGAACGTGCGGCTTGGTGTCGATAATTTCCACAGGCTTCGGTGCTTTTTGAGGTGTTAATTCTGAAATGAAATGAAATTATAAATATTTGAAGCCATCTTGCAATTAAGCTAACTTAGAACCACTATCGAGCTATAGGCAATCGAATTTTAAAACAGCTTGACCGACATTTCTACCTATACTATAGTCAAGCTTAAGTTATATTTGAGGACTCTCTAGAACGCTTACCAAATAGAGGAGAACTTTGTGGCGAGAAGACCATGACAGTATTGCCGATTGTTGTAGTAAAATCCAAGAAGCCATAAACAGTTTGCGTTAGTTTCGGAACATCAGAAGAGGAAGCTAAAAAGGAATTAATTTTATTATCAATGAAGTCTGTTTTCATATATCGTACTTAAATACTTACCATAGTTCGCAAGTAAAATAAGTAGTAAGAGATACGACATTTTGATGCATTTATTCCGCTAGGGAACAGCTCATTGGTTATCTCTGGTATCTGAAACAATGTCAAAGGATATCAAAACAAAAACAATAAATCCTTACTACGAATTTTAAGTTAAGTTGTAAGAAGACCCAAACATGTTAGAAGTTGGGCTAATATCTATTGATATAATTAAAATTTGATTTACTTATACTTTATGAGAAACCATATACCAGGTTAAATTAGTAAATGTAATATGTGGCATTTCGCAAATTAAGTGTAAACCTAAGCTCAGACAATGTATGATTATACATTTTTAAAGGATTTAAAGATTTTTAAAGGATATAAGAACATTCTACAAGCCAGTGAAGGCAATTATCGCTTAAGCGGAAAGTTTCAAGTCCGCGACTTCAATTGAGACTATTTGTAGATGTTGGAAAAACTAACTGATCGTTTCGAGTGACAAACAAAGTTTTAGTATTACATAGAAGCCTTCATATTTTATTAAAATTGTCAATTTTAACATAACACATATGTATATAGTCCAATAATTGCAGCCGCCAGTACTTCGTGTATTGACACTGAAATAAGATGTCTTAGTTTATAAACTGGAGATGTATAGTAATTAAATTTCTTTACTTTGCAAAGTGGCACCAGAAGAAGAAGCAGTAACTTCTTGCAAAAAGGCCTAAGCGTATCTCATCTTGTCCGAAAGCAAATGCGTTAAACCGTCTGTCAATCGTCAGCGAACTTTGCTTTTATAATCTATTGTAAATTCTCTATTACTGCATCCATGCATTGCCATTTCCATAAAGTAGAACCGCGAGTCCTGATCAGAGACTGTTTCTTTCCTGTTTGCCTCCTGCCTAGGGCCTTCTGGGTCCACTGCAATTTGATAATATAGTTTTTTCCTGTTATTATTTAGGTTGGCATTAATGATACTATACTATATAATATGGACCCTCATAAAATATTTGTATGGTAAAATGATAATAGGATAGAGCAATAGGAAAGAAGTTGGGTAAGCTCTTCATGTTATTATGTTATTAAAAAATACCTCCTAATATTTGGAAGTAGAAGTATCGTTAGCAAAGCTGCTTCCTTGTCAATTTTTAACTATCTTTTAAACAGCAAATTTGGTTTTAATAACAAAGAATTATTTGTCTATCCCTAGGTTAGAAAAAAATGGCAACCTTCACAAAACCTGCTTGTTAGACAAACAATGCGGGTGGCAGTTAAGGCATGGCAAGTCTTAAAAACTTATTCCACAATTGCAAAGCTGCCGTCACACAAATATTAAGGCGAACCTCTGGCACGCCTCTTTATAAGTCTCTTTAAATTTGTTTGACAGCAATGACTTGAAATATAAAATAAACGTAGGTAAGATTTTTATTTCAGTATCTCTCCATTACCTTGTTGTCGATAAAAATCGATATTTTGTAGATCATAAAATATAAAGCTAGTTTCTAGTAATTCCTATCTAGTATATAAACATTTCCGATTTTGTATGCTCTCCTTGATTCCCATAAAAAGTTTATAAATAAATGTTTGATAACTAGTAATGTTATGGTCTTTGCTGCATGCACAGATGTGGACGTTACATTAATGCCTTAAATATTTGTATGTAAACAAGAAGCTCATTCAGAACAACAGCACTTTAGTACAGGGTACCTATTCGTCCGGCACTCCCCACTCGAGCACATTGGCAAAACAAACTTCACACAAAATTCAAATACAGGGTATAATATTGCTGGCACTTTTTAAAAATTAGCGCGGAATCAATTATAGAAACGACAACGATTTCACTTTCATATTTCAGATTTAATTTAATTATAATTAATATAAATTAATTTAAGCTTGCTCTAAGCTAGAAAGTACATTTGCAACACACTGTTACTTAACTGGCAAATACATAAGTGAATGCATATATACTATGTGCTCGCATACATTACAGAGAATAACAAACTCATGCATGTGTATGTGTGTGCATTGGTGAATCGATGTATGTAGCTGTGTGCATGGAGCGATTGGTGGTAAGTAAGCAAGGTATTTATGTTGGTATGTATGAGTGCAGGTAAATAATTAAAAGTTATGCACATAAGACAAATGCTTGGACTGAATAGTTAGATTTTAAGCACAAAAATCTGCCTTTGAGTCAATAATTGACCAAAAGTAATTCAACTTTTGTAAGTGACCATGAATGAAAGTTACCTGTCTTTCTTCTTTTAATTCAATTTAATTTCTTTTTTATATTTATTACATATATTTATCTAATATTACACAGAAAACACCATTAAAATTTAGAAGAGTCCAAAAAAAACTGATTATTTGCTTACTAAAGGTAATGTACACAGGTGGCAGCTCCTAAGACACAGAAGAATGCAATGATCAAGTTACATATGAATGTTTGGACATTAGGGTGACTCATGATTTGAAATGCGATTATTTGAAAAATTTATTGAATGGCTTTTAAATGAATTGACTGTTTTAAAATATATATTTCGACTTTAATAAAAATCTCGATTTATTATATATATTAATATTATAATATATCATTTTTGAATAATTATAAAAAAAAACTTTAATTTGTGAGTACACATATTTTTTAATTTTAGCAAACAAAATGGTTTGTTTTGGTTTGATATTTTGTTTTATATAAGTTTTACACAACAGACAAATACTGAAATGCATAAAAGCCTCTGTTTCAAATTTGCATGCGCATATTCATTTGAATATATTTAAGAATTGTATTTTTTTTTTGGTAAACAACCTTGACTTCGTAACGACCTACGTTTAACACAGGTCAACAAAACTCAATGAAATTTACTTAACATAAATCAAACAATACATCTGCCAAAGCTGATTACGCATATGATTACCCTATAGCTGCTATACGGCTTCTGTTTTTCGAGTTGTTTTAACCCAAATTAAATATAATCGTATTTTAAAGATTGCAATAAATAAGAGATCTTCCCCCAACCATAAATTCATATTAGCAAAACACTTGCTTTTGTCAGTGAGCTATCGTTTATCGGTACACGATCACACTTATATGTGTTTCGCGACCCAACTCACTTGCTGCGTCGCAAAATAAGAGCGCCTTTCAACAAGTCATTTCCGACATAATATGGGTTTACCCTCAAATATAATTATGTATACGGACGGACAGACAAGAAAATATAGCACTAAAAATAATATACTTTACTAATATGTCCTGTTATAAAAAGAACGCCGTTGCAACTTACCAGTAATTAGCGTATTTCCTTGAACTAAAAATTAACAGTGAGACACTATCTTGTGCCCGAAGCGGGGAGTTGACTTCTTTCCGACAGATCGTACTGCCATGTTCCACTAGTTTTATTTATAACTGTTCTTTCAAATTTAACTTCGATATTGAACTCACTTTATTTTGTTTAGTTTAATGCATTTATTCCGCTAGTTTGTGGTAATTAATGGAGGGTTGTTGGTAACATCCGAAAGTAGAGGGTAATAGGTTTTCTGAGCGTTTCGAGCTTAGGAGGTTCGATACTTAAACTAGTTCACAGTCTTTGTCGGTCATCGTTCAGAGAGGTCTTCAGTGATGACTCGCTCAATAGTACTAATACACGTAGCTGGTTATCTTCGACTTAATGGACTTAAGGATAACCCTAAGATTGTAGTGATGTTTTCCAGATTACCAGTCGCGCGTCCTCGCAGTACAAGTCTAATAACTGGAGAGGGTCTTCTCCGAGACTAGCGAAATCGATTTCACAACCACAGTTTTAGAGAAAAGTGTCAGGCGTGCTGTCTTTTGCCCTCTTATCTAGACCCATAATTTTCTACAACAAATTTTCCTAATATTTCGGTATCAGAAAGTAAATTACGCAATCGCGTTGATTATATTAAACATTTTTTCATATATTTTTAAACGTATATTCTAATACTTAAAGTTTATACAGTTTTTTTTTATTACATTTCCGTATTCTGTATCATTATTTCCGTACAAATGTATGAAGGATCCATTCGTATATTTTCACAAAAAAGTAATTGAGAGAAACAAAAAATATTAATATCCATGCTGAATTACTAATGTTTGCATGACTTTCCGAATTTGATTATTTGTGTTAAGGCAAGATTTGATTCCAAGCGAAAATGCGATACACAAGATTTCAACCGCGTGCTCTTGCAATAAAATGCATATTTCAAGTAGGTTGTCAATCGCTGTCGCTGTTACGGACGAATTCTCGTCTCGCAAACACTGAATGTAGGCGTTCAAAGTACACTGATTGATATCAGAGTTCCCAGGGTTGTGCTTTAAATGTCTTATTAATATAATGAAGGCTATGGATCGTATCTGAGCACTTGGCGAAAATATTAATTCCAGCAGACGCTCAAACAACTCGTTTATAAAAACAAATCGCTTTGATGTCAAACATTCCATTTCCTGCAACGGCCCTAGTATCACATCTTCAATATTAGACTGCTTAATGATTTTGATTAAATCCAAAATATGTGGGGAAACATCGGTAAAATTCGACTTGCAGTAAGAGCCCAGAGTCAGAACTGAAAATGAACTTCTGCAGACATCTTGAGCGTTAGTGGTACTGTCAAAGGAATCAATTTCATTGACAAAACATTTAGTGGTTGGTTTTGTTTCAGAATGTCCGTCTAGTTCATATTCTACTTTCACTTCTTCGTCATCCAATTCTAAAGATGTATTTGTTTTATGCTGAAGTAGAGCTACAGCTTGCACAAGTGCTTGCAGCTTGCCGATAGACGTATACTTGACTGCCAATTCGGTCAGAATTCCGACATATTGCTCAATGAATAGCAATGCACTTGAGGGATTAGCATTGATGTATGATTGCAATATTTGCACAAATTTGACCAGCATTTGGCAGGCCTCCTTCACTGAGCTGTGATGTTTGAAAAATATAAAATAGCACGAGAGAGTTCTTTGAATCTCATTTTTATAGGCATCTTCAAAAATGGTTGGCTGCAGTAGCTCCAGAGTTCTTAATATCTGTACGAAGCGATGAAAGTGATGTTCCTCACGTAAGGCTTTCATGCTATTCTGACCCCTGCCTTGCATAACTGAAGATAATACGCCCAAATGACGGAGAAACAGTAAAGGATGCGAGGCAGCTAACTTTCGCAGCAGCAATTCAGTATCAGTTGACAACGTTTCAAAATCTTTCTTTGCCACTAAACTTCCTAAGCACGTTATCAAATTATTTGCTATTTTATCGGCTTGACAGCCCTTTAGGCTTTGCAGTTTGTTTGTTTGTACATCGCCGCTACACTTCTTAACAAATTTGATGCGTGGGTACATAATGTAAAGTTGTTGCAAAATTTTGTTTTTCAATAAGTCCGTGATTTGGCTTTTCTCCACGCACTCTATGACTTTCACCATTAAACTTTTGTTTTTTTCCGTCAGCTTAAACAAAAGATTCATTCGTGAGCATAATTTAAAGTCATAGTTGCCATTCGTATCGTTCATCACCTCTGAGATTCCTTCATATAGAACAAAGTGTACAAAGGGTTCTAGCTCCGCAGGCTCTAACTTAAAGAATGAATTTGGTAGCACATTTTTCGACATATACTTATCTCTGCCCTTCCACAAATTTGGATTTGTGGTCAGAGCTTCAAAATAGTTTAGTACGGTACTGAAATCGTAGTCAAGTTTATAATCCTTGAATAAGCACTTCGCAATTCGCTCGATTGTACTCCAATTGGTTTGATGATTAATAAGTGACAAAAGGAAAAATCTAAACTCGCTACAGGATTTCGAAAACAGAAAACTTTCCTTTAGCAGCTTTGTAAATATTATTTCAGGATCAGCCTCTGCAAGCCAGTCTATGAATAATCCATTGTTGAAAATATTATAATTGACTTTGTTGCAAATCGTTTTATCATTACTAAGATTTTCAAAATCTTGAATCATTTCTCTGACTATTTTTTTCGTTGCAAGTAGCGAATTTTTCGATTTGAGTTTTACAAAGTATAATTGATAGGAACTTTTCAGCATGAATAAGAGACTGTCTAAGAATAATTCTGTTTTGAAAACCTGCTTCGAAGACGAGCCTAACTGATTTGAAATTCGAGCATTTTGTTTTAGTTTCTTTTCAATAACAAGATAATTCTCATTGGAGAGCTTACAGCTGAAATATGCTCGCAGCAGAGTGGAGGCACCACGGCTTGTGTTGATATTGATTTTGTCTGCACGCGTATAATCGAGCAATGACGGATTGACAACCTCGCATATTGACGCCAGGAAATCAGCATTTTTTGTCCCTGGACAAACGACAAGGTCTAGCAAATTATGAATTAAATTACGATAGTCGTTAGTCGTAATCATATTCTGATTTGGACTCTTAAGCAGAATTTGTACGATTTCCTTTTCAGAATGAGTGGTGCTGACGTTATGAACAGAATCGGGATCGAATTTAGTAATATGGAAGACTTCCTGAGTGTGCGCGTTTATTTTAGGAAGATCGGGAACAGTTTGAGAATGTGAATGCAAGTCTAGGGCTTGCACAGTATAGTGACCATTTTTAGCTCCGCGGGCTTGTTGGATTTCAATTAGCTGCGCCAAATATGCTTTGTTCAGTATTGCATTTTTAACTAAGTCAAACTGTTCCAATACCGCAGTATCAAGCATTGCCAGTAGTTTGGACATTGAATTTACCGGAGTACCGAAATTTTGAACGAATAGCACTATTTGATCGGGCGTCAGATCATTCAAAGCTGCTTCAATTAGCCGATCTACAGACGAACGAATCATCTTGAGCTTCAGCCAATCCGGTAACAGTTGAATTTGTTCTTGAGGCATAGTAGGCAAGAAAGCTACTGGCGCAGGTCGACCTGGAGGAAACCAGTAATCAAGAATTGGTATAGATTCGGACATATTGCTGTTCGAATATGTTAGCAGAATAATAAATGCATGAATTATATTTATATGTAGCGGTAGCTGCACACCATCCTCAAATTGAACCATCAGTAAATCCGGATATTCTGTCCATTCATAAGGCTCATGAAATTCTCTCAATTTGATAATGTAATTGTTGAACATTACAAATAAGCATTTCAATGTCTGAATTCGGTTCTCATCTGGGTTAAGATTGTAGTCTTCTTGGGAAATTATAATATGTTGAAACATTGTATTACGTTCCACAATCAATTGTGCCATGTCTATAACGTGATCTAGCATTTCGTTAACAGGATCATTAAGCGTATGTTTCGTTATAAATTGTATATACGCCATAATGAGCTCTGGACAATTTTCAACTTGACATGCAGCGCGCAGCTGGGGAATTATATACATTTTGGCCTCCAAGAAATGTGGAATTTGTTGAATTGATTTTAAAAGCCATTCGTTTTCATATTTGCCAGAGTTTTTGAATATGATTTTCAAGCCAGATAAAGCTGCAACTCTGGATTGCTTTACTGTTGACGATAAACGCCGGAATATATAATCTAACACTTCGCACACAACATGATTGTTGTAGCTGGAGTCCATTATTAGATTTCTGATAAAACTAACAAGCTCCGCATCGCGACTGTTTTCTTCGTTAATGCTGTGTGCATTAAATAGTAGAAATTCGCATAAACATTGTACAGGAAGATGGCTAAAGTCACCTTCGCTGTTCTGAACTAAATCTGACAGCCAAGGCATTGATTGTGTTGTGCCTTGCCTTTGTATGATATCTAGAAGCAGATCTGGCTTGCGACAGCGACAAAATAAATGACCTAATTTGTATGTTTGATTAAGAAACTTAAGTTGCTCTAAAACTAAATTTGGTACTTTTCTGGGGGTTCCCATTGGATCCATTAACATTAGCTGTGTAATCAAAATGGCGTTTTCCTCGGTGATCACAGCATGTGGAGAAGTTTGCGCTGCCAAATATGTTTCGAATTGAAGAATATGATCCCTTTCAACAGTTATTATCTGAAAGCAAATGACACAAATATTTAGTAAATAGAAATTTGTTAATTATTTTATAGTTGTTTACCTGTAATTCATCCTTGTGTGAAACGCAACTGTTAAATTGATTTGTTATACATATTTCTATTAACAGTTTCATCGTCGGGTAGTGATCCCAGCAAAATGCCCCAAAAGTCGAAGGATTGTGGGCAGAAATCATCAATAATATTAGCCAGGCTTTCCAATAAAACGCAATGATTGCTAGCTTTGGTGGCTCGTAATCCTCTGGTAGCTGAATGTTTTCTGGATGATGATATTCCGACATGCTAAACAGAAAGTCGATTATGTCAAATTTATTCGCTTGAACTGCTGGAAAATCTGTGGCCTTCATCCCAGAGACACGTTTTATCACCAACAGTAATATGTCAAATGTGTTTGCTATGGAGAACGGAATATCCTTTGTGATGCCTATCAATATAATTCGAAGTAAAGTTTCTTCGTGAATTGGAGTTTCCGATATTATTCTTAATATGGCACCCCTCTCCGGCTCCGATGGCCACTGGTCACAGCGTGAGTACTGTTCTGGATTGTCTAGCAACAGCACCTTGTGCAAAGCCTGATGATATTCCACGCTTTGTATTTTATAAAGATTTGGAACAGTTTCGTACATCCAAGAAACTGAATCCAATTGTATTTGTGACATTTGATTATATAGACGTATTAGGGCTTGATTATTTTTTACGTCGCGATTGGTTTTTAGCGATAAGCTTCCTTCACGTGCTTGTGGTGTTGCCGAAAGAAACATACAAAGGCATACAATGTCTACAACAGAGTGAAATATCCGCTCCTTGAAGTCAAATTGTTCGATTTGTTGGGTCAGCTCTTCTCTTTCACTTAAAAAGGTTTTACAAAACTTTACAAGATTCACATCGAAGCGTAGCATCCGTACAAGTTCCCTTAGAAAAACGCGCAATGTCCTTAAGCAATCATCACGTTGCAGTAAAAATTCCTGATATATCTCTGCCAGATTAACTGCTGATTGATCTGGAGACGTTTGAAACATTGTTGCTGTAAAAGAATTTTGAATTTTATCAATTTATTAGTTTAGAAAAATATAAAATTGTTTATATAAGAAGAACCACACGTGCCAAAGTTGGGTTTGTCTTTTACAATTAATTTTCTGCTAAACTTCATTTAATACATAATTAAAAATATTAAATATTCGATTATTTTTTTCTATAAGAACAAATTTGTCCAAAATTTAAGTATTTACTTACCAAGCATTCCCATATTATTTGGATTTCTTGTATTTGAGAGTTCATTTTGCACGACAAGCTTCATGATTGTACTCAAGATGTCTGGCTGCAAGTGTATCATTTCCTTGAGACATGACATATAATGATTGATAAGTGGTTTGGTTTTTAGACGCATTTTAACTAATACTTGAAGAACTTCATTGTCTTGTGTGTTTTTGCCTTTGATGTTGAAACAAATATATGATAATAATTGCTGGGCGAACTTGACAAGTTTTCCATTATGTATCCATAATTCCAGGCGAGAAATGCTGAGACAGCGAACTTCTCCGATACCCGAACTGGTGCAAAGAAATTTAAGAAAATTTCTAGTGTAATTATCCTGTTGCTGGCGCTTATTTAGTTGATCCCGTATAGCGTCGCTTACTAACTTCTGCACAATACTGTCTGCAAATCTGGACTTTACTGAACAAATAGCATCAGCTGCTTGATCTGATTCGAGATATGGGCTGGCATCCAAGCTCTGGGTCGAGTTGTCACCCGAATCATCATCTACAGTGAAATTGTCTCGATGCGTTTGCCCAGTTGTTACTGTCGTGTTAACATCCCAGCGCAGAAGACTCAAGTGTGGAGTCCGTGTTTTGAAAGCGGCGCAAATATTTTTAACCAACGGCGCGCAGTAATCATTGTCGGCCCAAAATCGTTCATTGACAGCATCGTCAACGTATGTACGCAACAGTACCTCCGGCCATTGGGTAATATCGGAAAACCCTCTAGTAAGCAGATTTGTAAATAATACGTGAAGGTTAATATTATAGCGCATTTTGACATTAGTTTCACGACGTAAAAACGACAAAAGTGCATAGGCAATAACATCGTTATTGAAGAATTGTGGATGCACTTTTGCCAAGTAAAATAAAGTCAAGTATGCCACGTTATCCACTTTAGATCTGGCAGCATCTCTCGATGTTGCGTGCCTGATGATTCCACAAATAATTCGTACAACAAGTTCATTATCGTTTTGCTCGATTGCTGCGTATATGGTTTCAATGGCATTTGATAAATCGCAATCCTCAGCTATTTGTTCCCATATATCATAGTGTGGAATTCCCGTTGTGGTTGTCAGGTCGGGGATTCCATCTTTAAGGCTAACTCGGAACCTCTTGCTGGGATGACTTCCAAGACTCGATGAAGCTTCTCTCTTCCTTTCTGTGGAGCTGCTGCTAGATCCCGGTATTCCTTTTATTGGTAATATTTTTCCTTTCGAATCATCGCGACCACTTTTGGTACCGAGTGCAAAGAGTTCGGCACCCAATAATACTTTTTTTTGGCCCCTGTTTGGGGCATTCGTTTTATTACGATCCATACAAAAACCTTTTATTTACACTTATGCCGCAACGAAGTTCTCTGTTCATGAGAATAATAACATTGGGCGACTGATTCATTTGTAAAGATGAACTAGTTCTTGAACGCCTGATTGCATGCTCAACTTGGCTTTCCTTAGGTACTTATTCGTTATATTAACATGTACATATGAGTGACAGAACTATTACTAGAACAAAACATTAATATAATACAACAAAATATTAATATAAATTAAATTATTACTTAAAGTAAAATATTTTCCCAAGTTAACTTTATAAAACGAATGAAATTTAAAAAAAAGAGATCAAAGTTTTTCAACCTTACAGTTGATCACCAACTGTAGCATACATACAATAATCAAAATACATATACATATAATAATATGTGAAAATTATAAAATCCATTCTTGAAGGCTTATGCTGTACAATTTTTCTAAATTTATTACTTATTATTTCGTCATAATGCATATGATCGAAAGCTAAAGTACCTCTAATGAAAAAAATTAATAAAAAAATACTGACTAAATTAATTTTATCGGTAAGAAAATCCCACGCGATTGAAAACTTAATTTCTGAAATTTAGAGATAAGTTATCGTTTTCAATAAAATAATCATTCGAATTTAAGGAAAATATATTAGTACTAAGCTCATTTACATTATTAATATATGATTGTAACGGATATGAGATATTTATCAAAACTAAAAATTATTTTTGTAAAGTACTCGCAGAACGTAACTAATACGCTAAAATACCTTTTTTTTATACGCATGAGTAAACGGCATTTGCAAAGTCGTGTTCAAAACAAGATATATATTAATAAGCTCGGGCAGCTAAATTTAATTTAATTTGCTTACAATCATTTGCGAAATAACAATAAAATATTAATTGATATACATATATCTTTGGTGCTTACAATTGTGAAAAACTCATATTTGTGCCATAAAGTTCATCTATCATTAAACCAAACGTGCTAAAAACGTAAACACAACACATATTGTACAAAACTACTGAAATGGCAGATTTAGAGGCTGTTTTAGCTGATGTCAGCTATTTGATGGCAATGGAAAAATCAAAATGCACACCAGCAGCAAGAGCCAGTAAAAAGTTGATTCTACCAGATCCCAGGTATCCACTTTAATGTATTTACTCAAATAGGGATACATATGTATGTCAATAAGAGTATAAGTGTGTGTCACAAAATGTGTAAATGTGTGTAAATATATAAATTCTAATTGAGTAAACATAATTAGAAATATAATTATACCCACTAGTAGATTAGAAAATAAAAATTAATACTCAATCAATCGGCATATACGCACAAAGAGAATTATATATATATATATATATATATATATATATATATATATATATATATAGATTTAAGTATGTATGTAGATACACACACATGAGTATACATAAAAGGGCTATTTTGTTTACATATGTTTATGTGTAAAGGTGTTCATTTGTATGTTTTCAAATAGTACATACACATCTGAAAAGATTTGATTCTTTTAAAGAACACAATCAATAGTCTTGCCACGAAATATAATTGTATAAGTAGACATATATAGCAGTAGACCAAAACAAAAAATGTGGATACATATACGAAAAAAAAAACATTCTATATATAGATATTATTCAATTTACATACATATATGTATTAGAAATTTTATTTTAATTAATTTAATTAAGCCGTAAAGCCATAAACTCAGTTAGATATGCAAATACTCAAATGGAAACAGCAAGACAATGTTTTTTCTATTCTCCTTATTCAATTTTGACCTGGCCTGTAGGCACTCTACTGACCTAGCAGGTGTCTTAAACATTTGACTCAAATCAGGATTTTAGTTGATAATCATCTTTAAAATCCAGTCTTCTTGTGACATGAAATGATATGTTTTAATCAATTTGTTGTATTCATTTCCATTGGATACAACAAATTGATTAAAACTTATTTATGATTCTTTAAGGAATTTTTTAAATTCTAGTTTTCCATACTATTGGTTTACCGACCTTTTATGTATATCTTTAGCACATTCATAAACTACATACAGTGAGTCAAAATAGTTTTGGCACACTTATAATTATAGAATGTATTAACTTTATTTTTTTAAACTTATTTGTTTCCATAATAATTTATAATTTCTAAATAAAAAAATATTTGTTGGAAATGTTTTAACAACAGCTGAATATTTACTGCGCTGAGTGTGATCTTGCAGATTTATCGTTGAGTTTTAATTTGAGATTATATATATATATATAATAGAATATATATATATATATATATTCTATACTGCAGAAAGTACTTAATTGCCATAATGAAAGGACATAATTTACTACCATCTGATAATGCTCTTTATATAAATTGGATAGAACTCCTCCAAGCAGTAGACCAGTTTGTTGCTTTTTCTTTCTTCCTTTCTGAAGCGAACTATTTTAATGGAAACTTTTACTAGTGATTCATATTCATTGTGGCCAGCTTATCTATTCAGTAATACCTATATGCATTAAGTGTAATCTACAGAGCGACTATTATAAATAATTTAACAGTTAATGATTAAAGTCCGAACTCGCACTAACTACTTCCTATATCAATCCTACGAAACATATGAATACGCTCACATATTTAGATAAATAAACATTCACAATAGCGATTGATTGACTTAGAAATGAGAAACGCTTCTGCTTTAAATGAATGCAGAAATCGTACGAAAAGCTCGCGGTAAAGCCAAGCAAATCTGAAAAATGTGAGTGAGTTAAAGCCAAGCAAAATTTAATAGGATATTCGAAATAGATTGCTTTTTGCAAAAGTTGTAAGCCCCATGTGGAATGCTTGAATGCTTGAATGTCATTCACATTAATACATCAGTTGAAAATAGTTGATTGACTTTTTGCTTTGCTTATTATTTCAAGTAGAAAAATAAATGCGGTGGGGGATATAGTATTCATGAATTGTGACTATAGGGACAAAAAAAGAGTTAGACGATATTTAATTTAAAATATAATTAGTCAATGTAGTTTAAAATATAAAATGAAGCCAATAAAGCCACAGACTATAAAACTAAGAAATGAGCAGAAAGTCGGTCTATAGAACTGTACTAGAACTAGCACTAGGCTAGTTATTTCTATGACAAATGCCAATAAGAGATAATAGAGAAAAGGAATCACTTGTGTAGTTAATTTAACAATATCTTTAGTTTCCATATTTAAATATGATTTTTCCCACTTTTCGATATTTTTAGTTTTCGCAAAGTTGCGACAGGATTTTATAACTCGAATGCATGAGAAAATAAATGTATATTGTATCGATAAACGCTTCCATTTATTTTCCCAAAACTCAACTATTATTCCAATACGAGGAGCTCGTCGGTTGGAAGCTGGATTGCGGATCTCTTCTCGAAATGATCTTTGAAAATCATGTGTAGAAGTAATTAATTAGTTTTTTTTTTGTTTAATTTACACATTTTTTGTTTGTATACTAGTATAATTTATAGTATATAGTATTTATAAATATGTTATATAAAAAAATATAAGTTAAATTGTAGCAATAAAAAACAAAAAAAAATGTATAAAAAATAGTTAAGTTATATACCAATTGCTGATGAATACACTCTGTCTCCCATTCCTGAAATAGCTAGTATCCACTAGTCGAGTCTGCCCGCGTAAGGAATACCTTGTAACTGCTCTATACAAATTATATTAATGCGTTCAAAGATGAAATGTATAAAGGTTGATTGAGAGATCTTGACAAATGTCATTATATCGTAAATAGATTACATTAATCATAAATGATGTGATACTGAAAGGGAATACAGCCACGTGTTTGGCAAGAAATGAGTGAATAAGTGAAATCTGACACAGAAAATGGTTATACTATATACATCCTTATTATTAGCTTACAATATTCACGAACTATATATACTTGAATGTATAGTTCGACTATCAAACATCCACATATAACTTATAACTTCTTCGTTTTTGCATAGCGCTGTATTTAAACTGTATAAATCTTATTTACAGCGTTAGAAGCGTTATGTACAAATACCTTGAGAAGGAGAATGAGCTCAACTTTCACAACATTTTCAATCAGATTATAGGTACTTATACTGTTAAGTTCATAATCTGCCCGATAATAATCAATTATTATTACAAACATCTTAGGTTACTTGTTGTTTAAGGATTTCTGTGAGAATGATTCTGAAGAACCAATTCAACAGTTGAAGTTTTATGAGCAGGTACTATAATTAAGATCAAAATATGCAATACATATTACAATTTTCGACTACTTTTCTTTTAAGATAAAAAACTTCGAGAAAACAGAATGTTTCGATGAGCGAAAAAAATTGGCTAGAGAAATATATGATAATTTTATAATGGAAGAAATGCTGTCACATACTTATGTAAGTATTTCAGACGCTATGAAATCCGAAATTACAAGTTTTTCTTCCATTTTTTATAGGAATACTCCAAAGATGCCGTAGCAAATGTCCAAAAGTATTTATTGAAAAATGAAGTTCCTGTGAATTTATTTGAAGTAAGCTTTCATTGTAAAACATTCTTTTAATTGTACCCTTGACCCATAGAAAATGGTACTTTGGGGTATAATGGTTTTATGGAACTGTATATTACATACATAAAAATGTGTGGCAGACTGTAATAAGTGGCAATATTCTTGCTTAGGACGACGAGCTAAGTCGATCTGAATACACGAGAGTGGTTCAGTGTGTGTGCACATGTTGTGTTTGTTGTGCATATATAAAGGCCGCAGAGTTCAGGGTATATCCTAGTCTGGCACTTCCGACTAAAGCATTCATTGAAAAAAATACGTGAAATACGTAAAATTCAAATGAATTCAGAGGGAATTTTTGGACTAAATTAGCCCATAACTGAAACAGATTAAAGTGAAACACTTGAAAGCTTAAATCAAAACTTCCCACGATAACAAATAGCAAATACTTTGTAAGAAAGTTATTCCAAATGACTGATAAACAAAATACTGTATATTATATTTGTAGTAGTCAATTCAGATCGGAATATGCGGGCACAACCCCCAGATATTTCGATATAAAAATTATGTTGCTGATATGGGCGGCAGCGGAGATTTTTAATAAGGTCCAAGTAGGTCTTAAGAACCACAGAATTATTCGTCTCAAATTCCATGTGGGATAATTGAAATTGTTTTAATTTTTTGAATTTAAGATTATATTTAAATATTTATCTTTCCAGCCTTACATGGAGGAAATTTTTGGTCAACTTAAAGGTAGACCATTCAAAAAATTTCTAGAAAGGTATGTTTAGTTATTGTTATAAAGTTTTGTAAGGAATAATAAAAGTACTAAAGAGTAGAATATATATAAAAAAATTCAAAAAATTGTTTTTAAACAAAAAATTTTGCAATATCAATCTAATTGTTTATATTTCAAATTATACAAATTTTTTAGGTCTACTAGATTTCTATACATTTTTCTAAATACTAAATATACCTTTTTATAATGACAATTTGATATGTTTACAGTGACAAATTTACAAGATTTTGCCAATGGAAAAACTTGGAGCTAAATATACAAGTATGAAAACTATAGTTAAAACTTGAAACATAATAAAGAAATAACTTATTATTTTCAGTTATCAATGAATGACTTTAGCGTACATAGAATAATTGGTCGAGGTGGCTTTGGCGAGGTCTACGGCTGCCGAAAAGCTGATACTGGCAAAATGTACGCAATGAAATGCTTAGACAAAAAGCGTATTAAAATGAAACAAGGGGAAATGTTAGCTTTGAATGAACGCAATATGCTACAAGCAGTTAGTACAGGAGTAAGTTCGAATATAATATAATATATCATTGTTGTCTTACTAATGTCAATATCATTTGCTTAATATAGATTGATTGCCCTTTCATTGTGTGCATGACGTATGCATTTCACACCCCTGATAAGTTATGTTTTATATTAGATTTAATGAATGGCGGCGACTTGCATTACCACCTATCACAGCATGGAGTATTCAGCGAAGATGAAATGAAATTCTATGCAGCCGAGGTAATTGCAAAATTGCAATTGCGAAATATACAATGTTAATAATATTACTGTTGATAGGTTATTTTGGGCTTGGAGCACATGCATAAGCGCTGCATTGTTTATCGCGACTTGAAGCCTGCTAATATTTTGCTGGATGAAAATGGTCATATTCGAATATCGGACTTAGGTTTAGCATGCGATTATTCCAAAAAGAAACCCCATGCTTCAGTGGGCACGCACGGATATATGTCACCAGAAGTATTATCGAAAGGAACATCCTACGACTCATGTGCGGACTGGTTTAGCTTTGGCTGCATGTTATACAAACTGCTAAAGGGTCATTCGCCATTTCGACAACACAAAACAAAAGATAAACATGAGATCGATAGAATGACGTTAACAATGGTAAGCATTTTGTTTTTGTGCAACTTTTAATTACTCACATCTCCTTTTTTCGCTATTTTAATAGAATGTTGAGCTTCCGGACTCATTTTCAGCAGAATTAAGGAATTTGTTGGATATGCTTCTCCAAAGGGATGTACCAAAGCGTCTCGGTTGCATGGGCAATGGGTAAGACCGAAAGCTCAATTTCAATGGTTAAATATTTAAACACTATCTTTTTTTCCAGTGCTGATGAAGTCAAAATGCATAATTTCTTTTCTGGCATTGACTGGCATCAAGTTTATATCCAAAAATACACTCCGCCATTGGTTCCACCTCGAGGTGAGGTGAATGCAGCCGATGCCTTTGATATTGGGTCTTTTGACGAAGAAGATACGAAAGGTATTAAGTTAAATGACAATGATCAGGATCTCTATAAGCATTTCTCATTAACTATTTCCGAAAGGTAAGCAATTGACAATCGAGTACTTAGTCTTAATCGATTACCTCTGATCAAATAAGATATAATAATGTATATATTCTTATAAAACTTGTTTCTTTAGGTGGCAACAGGAAGTATCTGAGACTGTATTCGAAACAATAAACACGGAAACTGACAAAATAGAGCAAAAGAAGAAGTCTAAACAAAAACAACACTTCGATGCAGATGAGAAAGAATCGGATTGCATACTGCATGGTTATATTAAAAAATTAGGGGGATCATTTGCATCATTATGGCAAACTAAATATGCCAAGCTATATCCAAATCGGTATGCTATTTAATATATATGGCAAAACTATTTAAATTATTAGAATACGTATTGGATCACACTTTACTTTCGTTAAAATACTTAAATTTGATGTATTTTTATAGTTTATGAGTTGAATATTAACTAGATATAATATTTAAATTTCTTTACATCTTATTTACTTAAGCTTGGAACTGTATTCCGAGAGTGGTAATAACAAACCAGAACTTATTTTTTTGGACCAAGTGGAAGATGTTTCATCTGATTTCGTTCACTACAAAAATGAACAATGTATTCAAATTCGTGTCAATGATGGCAGCCGAGATGGCAGAATTATATTGACGAATTCGGTAAGTTATTTAGCTTAAGAAATCTAATCGAAAATATAATTATAAATCCACATTTTTATAGGACGAAATCGGTTTAAAGGAGTGGGCGTTGTCATTAAGATCTGCCCACAAAATGTCACAAGATCTTTTGGGATCAATGGCTAAAAAAGCTGGAAAAATTTATGGTAGTGAACGGGACGCAAACAAATCAATGTACATTTTGGGCGGGAACTGTTCTACAAAATCGTCAAATGGATCTAATTAAATACTAGCTCTAATGAAATTAAAAAAAAATAAATAAAAAAAAAAAAAATAATAGGTTTCCAGCTTTGAAACTCATAAAACAAATGCTAACAGAATCCTAATAAAACACATCTTGTAAAATCACATTATAATATTATGCGTACTGATGAATTTGTAGAAACTGCGTAATAAATGCATAGAAATACTTCATTTATGTTGTCTTATTTGTGATTAAGTCTCCTAATGTAATGACCTATTTGTATATTGTAGTAAATATTGTTTTTATTAAAGCCCTAGATGTTCGAAATGTATTTGATTTATATTTATTTATTTTTTTTTTAATTTAATTTTATTTAGCCAACTGGTAAACTCCACCAGAAAACAAGAGTTTGTGCTCGCGGACTTTTCTTTGCAGAAAGTGCTTTAATTCATCTTGGGTAAATTCGACTCCTCCACTATGCGAAGCAAACAGTTTAAGCATTTGATGTATACGATCGATCGGCATACAATCCAGATTTGTAAGCATGCCAACAATATAAGACCAAAAAACCTAGAACAAATTTAGTTGATAAAAAAACGTTGAGATTTTTTTTAATGATGAGACATTTTTACTTACTTGAAGTTCTTCTTCTCTTTGATCACTGGCAGAAGCCATAGCTGATTCTAAATCCTCTTCATCAGCATCCGTAATGTTGACGTCTTCGAACTGTGTTTTTTCAGTCTCTTTTTCCAAAAGTGAAAAAACTCCGGGTTCTATTTCAGCGATCAGACCATGATTTTGCCAAAAACTTATGCGTCGTCTAAGCGCTGATGGAGGAACCTTTATAAGGCTGCTAAGTTCTTCCAAACTCCATTCGTCTAGAATTTTAGTACGTTTTTAGTAAGAGCAAAGAAAAACGGGTATTCTTACTTTTATGCTGGAAGTGGTAAATGATGACTGCCTGCGTTGGGGGCACCGTCATCTCCAATACTCTATCACCAATTTCGATGACTATGTTGACTTTGCCAGTCACTGTGCGCCAATTGAGTGTACGATTTCCCTTATAAGACTCGTAAGCTTTTGTGAACTTCTTAAATTCATTCTCAAGTTCAACTGGCAATTGCAAGCTCTCCTTGTTGAAAGACGGCCAAAATTGAGCCGATATTATAAGTGACGAAATATCAAATAATGGACCTAATAGAATCAATGTTAATTATCATTAAATTCATTAATTTAGTTACTGCTATTTTACTTACTTTCATCAGAATTCCCATCGCCATGAATATGAGCATTAATACGTTTGGAGTCAGTCACATCTTTTAGCATTACTTCACAACTATGTAGAAGTGATTCGCCAAACCTGATTTTGAGCAATTCTAAATTTCGTATTTCTTTTTCGGAATTGAAATCAAGTTGCGACAATAAACGATCAGCCATCAAATTGCGGTATTCAACCATAAATAGTTCTTTACTTCCATAAATATCTACTACCATGGATATAATATCTGCCGATCGAATAACTTTCGAGTTGTTTAGCTCTAAGACATCGGGATCAATACCAAATGGATCCGGTTCCCAATTTTCCCAATTACTGTATTCATTATTACCAGCATCCTTGCCATATTTTATAAATTCTCCCTTAGCTAATTCTTCCGAAAGATCCGTTGGTCCTTCTTCAGTTAGACCAGTGACAACTCGTCTAACCGTATCGTTGCGTTTTCGTAAATAATCTTTTATTGGAGCTGTGACTATTTCTAATATCACGCCAGTGTTGTCTAGATGACGTATTGCTTTGATTGCAGCAATGTATCCAGTCAATATATCCATAGTATTAACACCGGGATGCAGAATTCTCGCCTCTAAAGAACTTCTCAGCGATTCAGTTAGGTGTATTCGCATATCAATTTTCTCCATACATATCTTCAGATCATCTATGGCAGGTGAAGAATCTGGATAGTCTGAAAGTATTATAAATGAATTAGTTAAATATGTATATCAAAGATAGAAAATGATATATTATTTAAATTACCTATGATTATGCTAAAGAATTGACTGATTACATTTTGAGCAAAAGTTTCGTACATAAAGTATGTAAGTTTCACTTTAAATGCTTGAACCGATTTGGGAATTTTCTCTTGAGAAATATCATCCTTCGATTTCCATTCAGTGAATATGCAAGTTAACCATGTCATAACAACGTCGTTAATCCACTAAAAGAATAGAGGATAGCATACAACATTAGTGTATAATCAATGTAATCATTCTCTTTGCTTAACAAAACGTATTTGTAGCGACACTTATATCAATTAACTTAGCATTAAAAGTTACAGACAGTAAATCTACTTTAAGTATTTAGAGGTATTCAGATGCCTCACGCTTTTTATGACTACTTTTACCGTTTCAAGTTGCTTAAGATGACTTCTATCAAAGATTCCGACGCATGTATCGTTGATGTGTTCCTTGATCTTTAATTTGATCAATGCTGTCAAAGCGCTGCCAGCCAAGCGATCAATCAGGCCCATCTTCAACAATTTTATATTTGTTGTAGTCACCATTTCGGTTAGCTTCTGGCAACAGCATTGGTCGAGGTCGAAATTGCAGCCAGCACACGGTAAATCAGTAAATACTTCCGAATCTAAAAAAAGAGGGAACTAATGATAATTAAAAAGGAAAGTAAATGATCAATAAAGCGACTATTTCATAATAGATATAATAATTTCTTAAGTACATGATCTGCTAAAGCATATAAAACATATAGCATACCAAGTGTATTCAGTGATAAGGTTAAATCCTTGGTAAATAGCCGAAAATGTACGCTGTAAAAATCGCAAACAAAATTATTAAACGATGGTGGCAGCTGCGCCAACAATGCATTATGCAGCGTATTTTTTGTGTTTTCCAAACTTGATGACAATAGTAGCTTCTTATTTAGGTGGAGCAGCCGAGGTTTGACCATCTCTAGGCATTCATAGCTATTATATAGTTCTTCGATTGCATAGATAAATGTGAAGAACAAGGCATTTGGATCCGAGAAAGCTGCTGTATTCAAAGCTATATCCAACTTGACTTTAGGTGCTTCATTTTCGGTGAGCGTAAAGTGTTTCCAAAATTTGGGCACAAGTACATTTCGAATTGCAGATTCGATTTCTAAATTTAAAATAGATGTTAATGTTTCAATAGTTCCCAAGCTTGCCAGATGCCGGTACACATTCTCAAAGACTGCGTCTTCAACTGTTTCCGGTGGAGAAGTTGTCTGAAAATTTAAACGTGTTTGAAAGAGTAATAGCTATAAATAAACAATGTGGCTTACCTCTCCACCTAAAATTGGGAATATTTTTAATACATCCAACCACAAAGCATTTAAATCACACATTTTCCTTTTGCTTAAACATAGCTATTTTGAATTAGATATGATTCTTTTCAATTCATTTATCGAATCATTTCTTATCGATATTTTCATAACAGTGACAGTAAGTTAGTTTCCACTAGTATGCATTTAACTCAATACTCTATAGAAAGAAATTGCCAATGAATGCCAATTCAAAAATATATCGATAGTAAAAAATGAACCAAAACCGAAGGAACCTTAAGCAGAAAGAAATATTTATATACCATAATGTTTATAATTTTATGAAAGCACCGAACGTACGCCCAATTCTTTGTTTTCCTTATCGAAATATTTAAATACCATAATGCTTAAAACTTTTATGAAAGCAGCAAATTCTTGAAAATTATCTTATAACCATTTAAATTATTTTTCTCTAAGTAATTTTAACCATTTAGTGAATTATTGCACTCATATAATTTGGATAATACCTAACAATGTACAGTGCTGTAGCCTAACAGAACCATGAATATTGAAATGTATATATGTATGTATCGAAAGTTATTTGAAGGTCAAAGTCCAAAAGCCATGTCATTTATCTATAAACCTTTAAATACCTTATAACTTTTCGTCACAGCCACGTTATCAAACATGGAGCTGATATAATTATACTATTGTTATTAACCCGTATTTATTTTTGTAAAAATATACAAAGAACTTTACAGTGCCACAAATAATATAATATACTTTCTTAACAAATGACTATTGAATTTAACTATTGTTTTATTTTCAGAATGAAGCAACAAACAGGATAAATCTCGTCATTAAAACCGTTATAATTGAACTTTCTTGGAACAATTTCGTTGGAATATTGAGTCAATTGTCGAAAAAACATCACTGGCTTTTTTTGAAGCATCAACCTTGAAGTGTAATCCTCTCAATCCATAGTAGTCAACCAATGGCTTGGTTTGTTTATGATACGCCTCCAACCGTTTTTTCAGTGCTTCAGCATTATCGTCACTTCGCTTCATTAACGGCTCTCCAGTAACCTGTTGTATATTTAAAAATAAAAATGATACTTAACTTTCCGAATATTGAAACTCCCATTAACTTACATCATCTTTCATCGGAACTTTAGGAGGGGCAAATTCTTCGTGATAGGATCTTCCACTAGCTTGATGAATTAAACGACCAGTTATTCTCCGTACCAATAAATTGTCATCTATCGCAAATTCAATCACAGCATCCAAGCTTGTCCTTCTTTTTTCCAGCAACGTATCAAGCTGAACCAAATCAAATTGATATATTTTAAAATATGTGAGCTTTGTGCAATTTAAAGATAAAAATACCTTTTGAGCTTGCACGACAGTCCGTGGGAATCCGTCCAGTAGAAATCCGTTTTTACATTGTGGCTTATCTAAGTTGGAATCAATCATATCCACAACTAGTTCATCTGATACAAGTTTTCCCTCATCCATAACTTTTTTCAACTCAGAGCCCAGTTTCGAACCCGATGCAATCTCTGCGCGTAGCATGTCGCCAGTGGATAGATGACAGACGCAATATTTCTCTTTCAACAGCGGTGCCTAATGGAACAAAATTAAATTTGTTAAATATTAAAGATCAATAATGTACTTTAAAATTAGAATTAAAATGGATACAAAAATAATACATTTAATAAAAAGATAAGCTTTGCCAAAATAAACATTTAGTCAATGTCAATATATCTATTAATTCTCAAAAGCTAAAAATAAAAAACGATCAACTTAATAATCACGAACTTCCAGGCTAAAAAGCATTATTTGCATAGGACATAATTCGCTACATAATAAATTTGGTGTCGCAACAGCTGAATTGCGATAAGACCGTTATATTTTTGCCCATTAAAATATGGAATTATTTATCTATAAATTGGGATATTTAGATTAGATATTAAAATAAAAAATAAAAATCGAAGGAATTAAATAAATTAATTAAAAATTCAATCCTAAGATAATTAAATAAAATAGAAAGTAAGTTTAACACAGAAAAACTATTTTAGTGATTAGGTGCCCTGAATGAACCCAAAAACAAAAATAATAAGCGTGCAGCCTTATCACAGAAACCTACATAGACAAATACACACAAGTTTGTTGCAAAGTGTTCTCTAAGATAAACGTGTGTGAGTACAGACTGCCGGCCAACATCACATATACATGTATGTAGTTAATATGTCTGTGTAAACTTAATAAGGTCGAAGCTGCTTTTCCTCTATACAACCTGTTGCATATACGCACACTCACACATGTTAAATAAATATATTTTATTTAATGAACACAAGGCATTTGAAGTGTGCACAGTTGTTATTCAAACACTTATGTACATACATACATTACATAACAAAATCTATGCGTATACAACCCACCTGTGTCCCTTTTCCGGAGCCTGGTGGGCCTAATAAAATTGCATTTACACCAAAAGTGCTAGGCTCGTAGCGCTCCACAGGTACAGATACGTTGGGTGCCATTGTGTTATTATTAGACTTTTAAATTTTTGTATCAACCTTCTTTCATTAAGAATTTATTTCTTAATAACAACCGCGGCAAAGTTCAAGGGTAAAAGTAAGGACCAGAATGAACCAGCTAATGAACTGAGAACTGAACTAACTAACTTCTCCACGGGTGGAACATAAATGAACTAAGCACGTTTTGTGGAATCGACTATCGAAAATACAATTAATTCTTTTCTTTGATAATACGTTCCCACATGTCGCGTTTACGTTTTTTCCTCGATACTAGATGTAATTTTTATTGCTATAAAATCAAAATTTGTAAATTGGTTAACAAATACCTCATGCTATATTCAGAATTTTTTTGAGTAGACCCGGATAAATTTTATAGTAACGAAATTTGAAAGAAGCAAAGTCTTAAAATTTCAAATAGCTCATAAACGCATTTGTAATACTTTGTTCGTGTTGACTGTATATTCCCGAAATACATAAAGTGAGTCATTCAAATTAATTTTTGTCTCATTGATTTCCAAAGCTATTTAAATATTGGAACTCGGGGCGACATAAAGCGGAACTCGATCCCGTCATCAACCAACCACACCTATGGTAAGATTCAAAACGCACGGCTTACATTATTTGAAAATCTCTGAAAACGGAATTTTTGAGTCCCTTCCGAACGGCATAGTATATATATATTTATTTAAAATTTCATTTTGGTTAGTTATCGGTTATTTTAAATAATTAAGAAATTGTATGCATATATTCGATAAATATCTGTAATTTTGGGTTCCACTTATCAAACTGATAGTCGTTATCTCGTTCAATTCATGAAATACCGATAAGAATAATTTTAGGTATTTTTAATTTAACAAAGTTTTCGGAGCACAATCCGGAGATCAAACATGCTACGCATATAAAAGATGGTCTGAACGCTCTTTTAATAAATACGTTTTTATTTACAAATTTTAATTTTTGGAAACACCTGCTTCTGAAAATTGTTTTTAAATAGTAGTCTCCGACTTTTGTTAATATATAAAAAATATACTCAAAAATCTATATGGGTAAAATAAAAAGCTCGTAAGACAACACTCAGTTAATCTTCACATGTTTAATATAAAAACAAAATATGTCTTTTAACAATTGCAACAAACTAGTTAACTTACAATTTTTAAAAGTCATGTAGTGTCATCTTGACATATCTACATCGATTTTTTTAATAAACAGAAGATTATATACAGGAATTAAAGATTTATTATTATAACGATACTAACACTATTTTATAATTAAAAACCGATCTTTATAAACTTTCTCCCGATGGTTAGAGGTCAGAATAATATTTAGTATTGGCGCGATGCGTTTAATTCTCTGCTGAAATCTTTCACGATCAAGAGCAATCTGTTGCCAACCACCCTTTCGAGCCGCACGATAAGCATAGTCCCAAGTGTGCATAACATGAACTTTTGGTTTTAAATCAAAGCGCACCTGGAATTATAAAAATGATTAATAATAATTTCCCTAATAGTTTAATGAATTCAAATTTACCCGCTTTCGAAGTTCATGACTATTATCGATATCAGACATTTTATCCGTTCCATTACAATCTGTACAACCAAATGCAATCGAATCAATACTTTTATTATCCTCCTCGAAGCATATGAAACTGTCATCACTACATTCAGATATGCTTCTTTGTCGTTGGAGTTTCGAATCAGTCGCTTCTGATGTTTTAGGACTGTTACTTAGTTGTTGTTTATCCGAAAGACTTGTGTAGTTTTGATAAGAATTCATATTGTAATCCGGATAATTATAATCACTTTCAGAGTGTGGTTGCATATCAATAAAAAAGTAGCAAAATGATGGGGCATTACTTGAATCAAACTCAATCTGCGTCATAGAAGAATTTTTGGGCTGTGATGTGCAGTGCTGCAACGCCCTGTTTACAGCGTCTGCCATTAACTGAAAAGAAAACATTGCTGCGGCGAGAGGCTGTGTCGGCAACTCATCTAACAATATACCCGCACTCCTTTCTGCAGAATTGTTGAGTAATCCCTTATCAGATTCTGAAGTAGTTTTGGTACGTCGCGGTGATGCGTAGCGATATTGTTTATGAATTGGGGAGCTCATGTCTATAATCATTTGCAATATATGCAGCATACAATCAGTTGCAATTTATAAGTTTGATTACTGATCTCAAGTTTTCAGATTCTAATACATCAACTTCCAAGCGTTTTTGTTTACGAAAATCCATCTTCTTTATTTCAGTTTGAAATTTTGAGCACAATCTCAATTTTGTATAATCCATGTAAATAGTTACTTATCCATGTCCAACATATGTCCAACAGTTAAATTTACACACATTTTGTGCTTGTCCTATTGAAGGTATGTACGTATGTACATATGTATGTATATAAGAACCATGAAATTGCTCGGAACGATTGCGAAATATTGTATGCTGAATTTATACGTAAATATTTAGACCATCTGATTTTGAATATTTCTTTGTTACGGAATTTATAGAAATATTTTGTAGTATTGGTAATAAACTCCAAAATTTATGACGAGAATGCAAACCACACGTTTTTAATAAAATATGTTCCATACTATTCAACTTGGGTAAAAATGAATATGATTGATTGTCTCTATGGTTGTAGATTTCAGAGTTCATTTAAAATATATCGATGACATTTGACTGTTTTCCATTGTGCATGTTATTAACTTGAATTTTAGGTAAGTTATCTTACAGTTAATCTGATTTTTTATAAGCTTTATAGGCTTTACATGGTTCTTTGAAAAGGATGAAAATAAATAATTATTGTTGTCAAATTAAACAAAAAAAATTGGATTTTTTATGTTTTCGCAAAATATTTTTCAACTGGCTGCAAAAACTTAAGTCATATCTGGAAGTTTAACGAAATGAATACAAAATTGATGTTAATAATATATATTTTAAATAATTCGTCAAATTTCAATAAATATATGTGGATATCGGTGAACTTTTTGCATAACGAACAAAATATATTACATTGTGAATTTCTAAAGAATACAAGATTTATTCTTGTAATCAATGCCATACATTGCTTATATGGCATTGATCATCATGTAATTAAATATGTCATATTTGTACTATATAAAAAAAATTTATTAATAAAGTTTTTGAATATTTAAATATATAATGCTAAGAACATAGTTTGTTAGAACGTTTGTTATTACTGTGATTCTTGGTTAAAAACGTGACGTTACTATGACAGATAATTTATATACGCATTTTAATTTCGATATACGCTTATCAACTCGATAACATTTCTATCTAATTGAACGATTATTCCCTTTGGAAAGTAGATACATAATTGAAAGTTTAATATATATTTCTTTTTATTTAGGTAAGTCACAAGTGTTTAATTGAAAGTATTCATCAAATATTGTTATTGATTTGTAATTTGGAATCAATTTCCAAAATCAATTCAATGTTTCTCGAAAACAATATTGAGAAATATCTTTTCGACTCAGTTTATTGTTTCCAAATAAAAAAGTCGTTTTTACAAACCATAAAATGTTATTGCAATATAAAGTTTAGATATCGAACAATGCCATTACGTTTTTAAGTGTTTAATGTGAATGAAATTGAATTATTTTCAGACCTAAGCGAATGTTATTAAAACTACTGAAGTAGGAATGAATCGTAGAGGTTTAAATACTGGAAATACGATGACTTCTCAATCAAATATTGACGAAGGAAGCTGGAAGGGTGTTACGGAAGGCTCAGCAATGTTGCCTTCATCGAATTCATCATCTATAAATCCGGACGCCAGCAATCAGAGTGGATTTCCCCAAGGCGGGCTACCATACACGGCTAGTGGCAATCCATATCCACAAGCTGGTCAATCTTCACCCGCTGGCAATCAGTCTTTAGTATTTCAAAATACTAATCAACCCGGATCGAATACTCCTCAATATACTTCATCGCCAGCTCCGTCAGGTTCATCGACTCCAGGCCCTGTTGGTGTTGCATCACAAAATATACAGGGAAATTATTCACAATCCTCAACTGCTGGCAACTTCAATGGACCAGTTGGCGGCCCATTTGGATCGCCGTCTTCCGGCTTGAGTCAATTTAGCCGACCAGCAAGTTCAGGTACTCCATTTAACAGCGGACAAGCTGGCCACTTTTCCTCGCCGACAGTTTTTGGCGTTGGAAGCCAATTCAATCCCATGCCACCAGCATCACCATTTGGCCATGGTGGAAACCATCCAATGATGGGTGGACCTCAGCAAATGGATAGAATTGATCAGGGCTTCAGAAGACACAACTCATACTTCAGTCATACAGAGCATCGGGTGTTCGAATTAAACAAGCGTCTGCAACAACGCAACGAGGACAGTGACAACTGTTGGTGGGATTCGTTTACAACCGAATTCTTCGAGGATGACGCCAGATTAACGATATTGTTTTGCTTGGAAGATGGACCAAAAAGATATACAATTGGCCGGACACTGGTGCCACGCTTCTTTCGAAGCATATTTGAAGGCGGCGTGTCGGATCTGTATTTCCAGCTTAAGCATGCTAAGGAATCGTTCCATAACACATCTATAACATTAGATTGCGATCAGTGTACCATAATAACACAGCATGGCAAACCATTTTTTACAAAAGTATGTGCGGATGCAAGACTTATACTAGAATTTATGTATGATGACTACATGAGAATCAAATCATGGCATATGACTATTAAAGGACATCGAGAACTCATTCCACGATCTGTAATTGGCACTTCGCTTCCGCCAGATCCGATGCTGTTGGATCAAATAACTAAGAATATAACTAGGGCTGGAATAACAAATTCAACCTTGAACTACCTTCGCTTATGTGTTATACTTGAACCAATGCAAGAACTTATGTCGCGCCATAAAGCGTATGCACTCAGTCCGCGTGATTGCTTAAAGACAACTTTATTTCAAAAATGGCAGCGAATGGTGGCGCCGCCAGGCAAGAAGGACCCGCAAAGACCACCGAATAAGCGTCGCAAAAGAAAAGGATCCAATTCAGGAGGGGCAAATAATACAAGCACACCGCCTGTAGCGAATCAAAAGAGATCGCCATCAGGACCCAGCTTTTCCCTCTCCTCGCAAGATGTGATGGTTGTTGGTGAGCCAACATTAATGGGCGGCGAGTTCGGCGAAGAGGACGAAAGGCTTATTACGCGTTTGGAAAATACACAATATGATGGCACCAATGCCGTTGAACACGATAATCATACTGGCTTTGGCCATGCTGATTCGCCAATATCTGGCTCAAATCCATGGAGTATGGAGCGTGGAGGCAATATTCCAGCTAGTCCTGGCAACCCTTCTGGACCTCAAAATAATGCAAATATAGCTGATATAGATAAAAAGAGCCCCATTGTATCGCAATAGAATAAAATGAATAGTCCGAAATTATAATTTAATTTTATGATATGTGGTGAAATGTATTTTCATACTTGCATGTAAAAAATACTTTTTAATAAAGTTTCTAGCTTTTAGGAAATTTTTTATAGAGTTATTTGTCTTATAAGTTCAATTAATGTTACTTTTACTATCTGAAAGAATCTTTTAAGCAGCCCACTGGCTAATGCGTCTGTAGATTGTTTTATAAGACGCATTAAACAAAAAATATAATTTAAAACAATTATGAATCAAATCAAAAACTCAACATCCCAATTCATGAATGGTATTTCTAAATGCAGTAAATATACTAATTATGAGAAATATGACTAAATATATACCTGTTACGTGCAAATTATAAGAATGTGTAGCTAAGCCAGCTGGGTATCGGGGAAAATATACATTTTACAAACACTTAGAGACAGTTCATCAGTATTGACTACATTTATTATTTGATAGATTAGGATCTAGACAAGTAAGAAGAGTTCGAAAAACATATTAGCTTTAATAAGACACATCTCAAAAAATCAATAACAAGAGAGACAACTCTTTTTGAGAAATGACCATATAGGGCATTCTTGACGATCTTCAATGTTTATGCATCGTTCAATTTTCAGATCTTAAACCTTTATGAGTGTGTGTGTATATACATATATTCGTACGTGAGAATACCAAGGCAAAAGCATGTATAATAGTGAATTATAAAAGTTAATGAAACTAATCTAAATATCATTTTTTTATATTAAAAGGGGTTTATGGGTAAAATTTTCATTATGAGCATTTACATAGCTTAAAAACTACAAAAGCTAGAGAGCACTATACCAAGCATCAATACATACATGTATATGTCTGTATGTATTTATTCTTGATATAGTATGCAGCTTTTCATTTATATGATGATGCCTCATTCCATTTCCTTAACATCGATAAATGTCGATATTTCGACTTAGTATCTAACAAAATAAACTAAGAGCATGTGGGTATGTTTTTATGGGCATCTAAAATATCGATAAGAGCTAGTTAGAATCTAAAAAGAGTACCTCAGTACAAGATACAGCGCATATCCTAATTGGAAATCCTCCGCTGTTTCTTTAATATTAAATTACATTTTTAGGGGTCTTATTTTAATTTTATGTTTAAGGTACGACAGGTGCATGATACCAAAATTATATGGATAGTGTTCAACTTTGTACGCCACAGATTTATGTTTTTACTATGATAAGCGATCCAGCTTAGAAACTATGAAGTACGGATGGTCTTGTAAGAAAATAGCTTAATGATAATCCAATGTAGTCATCCCTTTTAGGAGACTGAAGCTTGGTTGAGTTGTTAATATGGACTAGTCTTTTGCACAAGAAAGAAAGCATGCAAAATAAAAGTTGCCTGCTTGACGTAAATTCATAATTAAACAATTACTATGAAAAAAGAAGTATTTGAATGTGTCGCCATTATTTTTTTTTTTTTTTTTTAATTCTTATTGATTAGAGTATAAATAGAAAATGGGAAATTAAAATATTCAATAAATCAATAAAGAAAATAATCAATAAATAATGTTTTCATAGCAAGTCAATTACTTGTAAATGACACCTGTTGCTCTCATAAAGGATTTTAAAAATAAATAGAGTAAAGCATTAATTAAAAAACACTTATTATCCAATTGCATACATTTACAACATATAAGAATTAAATTTAATTTTCATAAATGATTTAAAATACCAAAATATCCCATTTTATTAAGAATGACTCAAACATCGGCAAAAGATATCGATATATTTCTAAAGACAAACTGTTGAATGATACCCTTTATATAATTTGCTGTGTTATGTTGGCAGTTCTGTCGTGTATGGTATAATATACAAGTATATGTGTATATAAATATTGTTTAAGTCTTATAGTAACACGGAATTTTACTATTTAATAGACATAAGTTTGCATATACAAAAAAAAAAACAATAAAAAAAATATGATGAAGTGATTTAAGTGCTAGTTGGAAATAAAATTACAAATGAAATTGATGACATTGTGTTGCTACGTTTTTTTTTTATAACTGTATTGTGTACATAAACAAATATTTCGGAACGATGTCTTTAAGCAATAAAAGCAATATTAGCGAAAAGGAAATCGACGATGAGGATATGCTATCACCCACGAAAATATCAACGAATCTTGTCGTACGAGTAAATCAAGATTCTGACGATAATTTGCAAGCATTATTCGATAGTGTATTGAATCCAGGAGATGCGAAGCTTCCATTGCAATTACCATTTCGTATGCGCAAGCTACCAAATTCATTTTTCAATCCTCCGGCACCGCTACACTCGCGTGCAAACAGCGCCGATTCCACATACGATGGCTCCCAAACTAATATCAACAAGACTGCCCAGCCAGAAATACAGCCATCTCTCACACAAAACCAGCCATCACACAGCCGTCTGACAATACATCATTTTCGTGCGCGCAGCAGTCCGGCGTCCCTACAGCAGAACTATAATGTTCGTTCCCGAAACGAGTCGAGCGCCAACAACAACCAAGGGCCAGCATATCCCGAAAATAGTGTCGATTTCGCCAGCAGTACGGCAAATAATATCGATTTAGACGTAATCAATACATGTATGGGACCAGGACCGGATACTTCATTAGCCACACAAACCACAATTCATAAAAAGCAGAGATCATATGATGTCGTCAGCCCGATTCAACTACAAAGTCAATTAGGTGCCTTACCGCCTGGCTGGGAGCAAGCTAAAACTAACGATGGACAAATTTACTATTTAAAGTGAGTAATTAGCTTTAGATAATTACTGACAAATAACTCTATTGCTTGATTTTTAAACTATTTCAATAATAAACTAACAACTGAGTCATATATTATCAATAATTATTGTGCTAAATCAACAAAAATGTAGTTGTAATATATTTTATAATATATATATATATGGATATATTTTACGAATTTATGTATATCTTTAATTTACGGGTATATGTCCTATATCGTATATCCTACATATCTTGTCTAAATGGCTTCATGCCAATGTATGCAACAGGTAAAAGCAAGCAAATGCGCGTCGCAATATAGAAAATTGGCTTTTATTTACCAAATAAAATGGACATATATAAATGAATTTAGAGTAATTGCTAATCAACAGGCACTCTAAGTGCTTTTAACTATATCAAGAGCTAATTAATAAATACTTAAATATTTCTATATCTTCCATCCTACGTAAAATTCAGCAAGTTTCAGTGTTACGACAATTAAAGTCCTGTGGTATCTATATAATTTATTAGATTAAATGGGTTCAATTGCTCTAATATTTGCAAAGATCTTCTCAGTTATTGGAAACGCATTTCAGTTGCTAAACACATAAAAAATAGACTAGGGCAGTACGTGTCAAAGCATAAATAGCAATTAGCCTGACTGAAACAAAGCCGAGCACTAACCTGGTTTTTTTTTTCAATTTGCAGCCACACCTCAAAAACAACGCAATGGGAGGATCCACGAATTCAGTTTCGCCAACAGCAACAACGAGCCTTAACTGATCGGATAAAACCAAATGGTAAGTTAATAAAGTTATATATGTTTATACATACATATCTATGTTTTTTAATAAAAGTGAAAAGTTAAACTAGCCTACTTAGGTTTTTGTCTAGGAAAACGAGTTTGCAAATTCAAAACGTTATATTATATAGGTATAAAAAAGTATATCTCAGTTATATATACAAATGTATAGGTTCGATAGTTGGCCAACTCTTCATTGAAGATAGTGACAATCTGGAGGGCCTAGTTGATATCTGTTCAAACTCTCAGATTGTATTATTAAATTAAATGTATCAAACTTTGAATCTCCTGACTGAAATTGGTTAGATTACTTCCTTTGGCTCTTAAGCTTAAATATAATCGGAGAGCTGTGTCGAACACAGGCGAAATATGATAATGGCAAAGAATACATATTATAAAGCTGTTGAAAAATTAGCAATATGAACGATTTCGCTTATAAATTGTTTGCGTGAAGGGCATCATTCTATCTACTAAACGGCTCATTACTGGCAGCATTTTACCCGCTTCTTCAACTTCTTCAACTGTCAGCAATCAAAAGTTATGCTAAAAGACAGCGAAAATAATGAAAAGTGTTCTGAGATTGTTTGGTTTTTGGTCTTCTACAATTGTAAAGTTCCTCCGATAGCACATAAAATGTTGAAAACAATATATATATTAATAAATTACTGGTCTCGTTGAACATGTAATTATATATTGATAGTTATATACGCATTAACGTACCACTCCTTTATTAAATATCTCCAACTTGATGCCTTTCAATGCAGATGTTATACAAACGACAAAGCCAACTAGCGCATCGACTATAGCTACTCATATTGGTCCACTACCCGATGGTTGGGAACAAGCTGTTACTGAGTCTGGAGATATTTATTTTATAAACCATATTGATCGAACGACTTCATGGAATGATCCTAGGATACGTAAGTATTAAATGCTTTGAAAGATACAAAAAGAAAAACCAAACAGATTTCATCTGAAATTTATAAAAATTCGAGCATTTTTTACCATATGGGAGCGAGAGACAGCTCAATGATATGATATATTAGTGTACGATAATGCCTAATGATAGATTTAATATCAAAAGAGTTTCAGCAAAATTGAAATTTTTAGTTCATATAGAAATAGACAAGGCACAGGAAAATCGACAATACTCCATAAAAATATATATCCTACGGTTTATGGTGGTTTTATAACCCCAAATCTTAATATTTAGTTGCGCCCTTATTTGGATTCCATAGAAAAATGTTATTGTCCAAGAAATCCTTATGTAAAGAGTTAGTTTATAAGTCAAATCCCTTGAGCTTGGTTTAATCATAGACCAAAAATGTGTAAATTAGAGCTCTTCAATACTCCGGATTTTGATGACTTATAAAAGAGGTTCCTTCCACAATTATTGAAGAGGTTGATTAAGTAGGTTCGTTCGCTGATTTATATATTTATTTTATTTTATATACCTAACAAATAAAATTAATTTCCTACTTTGCTTTTATTATTCTCTTTTTAGAATCTGGACTTAACGTGCTAGACTGTCCTGATAATTTAGTATCGTCTCTTCAGGTAAGCTGTCCAGCTCTTTAACTAATTATATATATCCTATTTTGATTTAAGAAAGACTAAACGAAATCGTTTCCTTTCTAGATCGGAGATAACATTTGCAGCAATATATTCAATGATACCCAGGCTATCATTAATACACCGTCTTCCCATAAACCTGATGATTTGGAATGGTATAAAATAAATTAATAAAAGTTTTTGTGCAAATAATTTTATTAGATTTTAAAAGTTTTATATTTTGTATTAATATAAAATAAATATTTTTGCATATATTAAATTGTATTAGTTTATTTCTTCTCATCAAATTCGTTGGCTGGAAAATTGACTTGGAATTAGATGTGGCGTCAACTGCTTAAATGTTGATTTATCACAGCGAGTGCTGGTTGCAATCACAGCCACATCCATCGCCAGCTCGTCATAGCTGCTATGAATAGGCAAAAATGCTCTGCAGACTTGACTCGCTTTCAGATGTAATACTTACGCCGGATTTGCACAAGCGTCTCTTTTCCTTTCGGTTTCCCCAATCACAAAGCCATCAGCTAAAGATAAATTGCCAATTGCTGCCAAAGAATTGCATTCCATAGAAGCCGGGTCAGAACAAAGCCCTCCCATGCTAAGCCCCATTGATTTAATCTGTCGTGCAAATAGCTCGCGGCAGCTGATGTCATCAGAAAATTTGATGATAGGTTCATCCAAACGACGCTGCATTCTTCAGTGATATTCGCATTTTAGATATTTGCAAACTTATATCAAGCTCTCAAAACCCTCTCGATATTCTGTATTTTGCCTTTCGAGTCGTCTTAACTTAAGTTAAAGATAAAATCACATATTTTGTTAGCCAAATGTAAGCCATATATAATTTCAGTGTATTATTGTGTGTATAACATTAGTTTTTTGAGAACAATTATTTTGGAGGACTTTCAACATAAACAGTTGCATTATCTACACCTAAAAATTGGGTTATACTTATTGCGGATAGCATTTTCATCTGACCCTGATATAGAACATCAGCAATTATTTTCTCAGCGTAAATCGCTTGTGTGTTTTCCATGGAACGCAGCTTATGGGCTATTATTTTGCCAAAATTCGTAAAGTAATCGTCCAACTGATTATCGGCGTTCTTAAGAGCTAATGAAAGGAGACGATCGAAGTCAATATTGGAAATGTCGGCCCTGCATTTCCCAGGCGTTATCTCATTATTATCATTTGAGACCTGTGATGATACGGACGATGAGCGTTTTCTATTGTTCTTAATGTATCGCGCGCGTTTATCGCGATTGGATTCGATAATATGTACTGTAGAGTTGATTTTATCGTTCAGTGAGTTGTTTGTGATGGAATTATTGAATGATTTCCTGCTCTCGGAAATATTGCTGTTGTTGGTTGGCAGTATTACCTCCACTTCTTTGATTGATGTCTGATTGTTGGAAGAGTTAACAGTTTGGATACTGAAATTAGGATCAACTTCTGTTTCCTCAAATAGATTGGCACAGAAATCGTTAGCGCTGTTGCTGTTGCTCGGCGATAATTTATTATCGCTTTTCGTTTGCTTGGGCAAGCTCTCAGCATCCGAATATTCCTCAAGACCTTCGGGATGTGCTACAGCTATATCTGTGTTTTGCTGTTGTAAGGGTAGGTTGTCTTCACGTTTGATTTTTTTCTCTGGTATTTCTTCGTCCTTTAGAAACATGAGAGATTCAAAGTATCTTCGCTTGGGACAATACGGTTCATACTTTTCTCCTTTCTTTTTAACTTCATTGTACTTTCGCAGCTGATGACGAAATGCACATCGAAGATTGTTTATTTTCTGTTTGGTCCTTTCAACGTTGTAATGCTCTCCATGTTTGGTCGCCACAGAAATTAATCTTAAGTACGCTTCTTGTCGTTTATTTCGGTTTCTAAAATCAACTGAATCGGCTTTCCACAAGCACGGATTGCTCTTGTACTCTTCTATGAAATCGTCAATAAAATCCATTTTTGTTTATAAATCGGACAACGATTATAAATTGACAAAAAACTTCACGTATGACATAAATAAAGAACTGAATATATATCTAAATGTAAACAGCAAAATAATTTCTTATAATTGGAGTCACTATGTAAAAAAAATACTACATTGCGCTTTACACTCAAATATCAATAATGTTAGCGTCAATTGAGGTACGATGGAATTGGAACAAATTATGATTAAATACAATTATTTTGTACTTACCATTCAAAACATTTTACATCATTATATGCAAAACTATAAACATCTATCATTTGTAACAATAAACCCACCTTAACGTATTTCATTCATATTAATAAGTCATAGAAAATTTATGTAATAACCTTAAGCTTCGACAGTATATTATGTAAAACTAATTTATATAGTCAGAAATGACATAAGTACCGGTTGTTATTTCATCCCAGGAGACACCAACCAGCAAAAACGTCACCAACATTTAATTGCTTACTTTGAAATAGTTAATAGAGGTCAACAGTGACTCATTTTTCAATTCTACTTTTAAGACTGTGGCTTAGAGCTTGTCAGTTTAATAGTTATATGTTTTAATAGAAACATGTTAAGCGAGAAACATTAGCTTTAAATAAATTTAAGCAGCTCGCGCAGGTTCTGTAATTCTCTTGCACTCAATAGCTCCCTTTAGACTATAAATACCTCAATAAGCGTGACCTAATACGACAAATTAATATATTTACACACACACGCAACATTTACATTCCAATACAAAAACAATGCACAAATTAAAGGCAACCCTCGTTGTCTCGTTTTTATTATTTATTTTTTCATGGTGTTGTTCCTTTTAAATATCTCGGACATTAAACTTATTACTTGGTCAGTATATTTTTTACATACATATTTGTGATTTTATTTTTAACTATATTAATCTTACATATTTACAAATTTCTATAAAAGCGTACAACAACAGTATTTCTTTTTTTGTCGTTTTTCTTGCGTTAAATTCATCTCTCGAACAATAGTTGCGAACACTTCATTGACATTTATTCGATCTTTAGCTGATGCTTCGATAAAAGGACATTCCCAGAGCTGAGCCAAGGCGTTACCTGAAAAAAGATTCGTTTTTAGTTATAATAATACACAGTTTATATAGTTTTTCTTCATAGCTAAGTTATATGCATAAATATGTAAATTTATATTCCAATAATTTACTTTGAACTCATTTCAGCTTCAGTCCAAATAATTAAACCTCATACGCATGCTTCACGAATTGAAAAGGGTACATTTCTTTTGGTCATCTGCTCCTCATCTAACCAAAGGGTTACATTACGGTTACATCAGTGACAGCCGATAAATAAACTTCTTTATGCAATCATTCACGTTTTATATGCTACATTTCCTAACAGTTTAGCTTTTTGTCTTTTCCTTTTTAAACGAACTTATAAAATATGCCCATTTATAATTCCAATATGGTTTCAATATTATATAAAAAGGATATTTACCTTCAGCGGTTGATACTTCTCTCTGACAATCCAAATCAAATTTATTTGCTACAAGTAATATCGGTGCTGGTTGGCTTCCTTTAACTCGAGTAATCACATTTTTCATACTTGAAATATCCTGTGAAAGAAAAGAAGAAACTTTAGAAGTTTTTGACATTGACTGCACGATCTTTAAGAAGGTCAAAAATGCGTGAAAATTAAATAAAATAGTATTCTCAACAAGACCTATATTTTCCCATATCTCCACATCTTAGTTTACCTGAAATGTTTGATGGTTTGTCAGCGAATACATCACAATAAAGCCATGCCCGTTTTTTATGTAGAGATCTCTCATAGATGCAAATTGCTCAGTTCCGGCTGTATCCAATATTTCCAAAACACACGGAGAACTGTCAACCTGTAATATTAATAATACGAAAATTAAAGTTAAAGGCATTTTACTTCTGTAATATGTAAATTTATATTCTAATAATTTACTTGGAACTCATTTCAGCTTCAATCCAAATAATTAAACCTCATACGTATGACTAAGAATCATCATACACTTTAACTCTTAAATCTATATATATATTATATTTTATGCTCTGCATGTTTTTTATTTTTGATATTCTCGTTAATCTATGGAGTTATGTACTCTGTTCTCAGAATAACAAACTTCAGATTGGTTTCGTCCATTACTAAGTTCGTTTGTAAAAAAGAATATTTTCTCGATTGAAGTATATCACGTCTGACAGCCTGATAAACCATATCTATTTCATTAGTGACACTCTTTTAAATGCTCTCGGGGTCAATCGTTTTAGTTCTTTTTGACTTGTCAATTCATTATAGCAGACAGTAAAGTCTGCAGATAAAACAAACGGGACCTTCTTGCGATAGATATACAGATAAGCTGCTGTTCAGACCTTGATGTTGCTGATTAGAAATAATCAACTAATACATGACCTCGAGCTATTACTTGTACATACATAAATTTACTTGAAATATTATTATATAATTCCTACGCGCATCATAAGGCGAGCTGTTAATTCGGCAGTTTATACGCAACAGCTGCATTTATTTTCTCTCCACTATTAAAGCAAATCTCGCTGTTATATGTTATCCAACAAAACAAATATTTATAATTTGCTTACTTTTTTTAGCCTAATACTCTTCAATATATTAAGATAGTGAGATACTGGGATAAGATATAAAAAAGTATAATGATAAGCTTGCCCTGTAGTCTATAGCTTTTGTATTTGTCAAGATTGTTGCTTGCATATAGACAGACACGTTTAGATCAATTTAATATTTAATATTTAATATAATTCAGGGTTAACAAATTCCAAACAAAGCCAAAGACCATTGAGCCATAGCCGACATTTCGTAAGCAGACCCACTGTTGATTATATATATTCCTTAAAAAAAAAAAAAGCTTTTTAGTGTTACCTGCACTTAAGTAATAAGTGAGATAAGAGAAACTAATGATTATATATATATATATATATATATATATATATAAAAACACATATGTTGATATTAGATGCATAAAACGAAATTCATTAAAAAAAAGTAACAAAAACTCGAGTCGGGAGTGCGCTACTAGGAATTACTCTGAGCCCGGCACAAAGCTGCAGTTCCAATCATTCCACGCATATTTTATATATACATAAAAACACACTCTTAACAATGAGTTATCGAAATGATAACATTAAATAAATAAAGGAATATCCCTTTAAAGTTTCAAGTCTTATATGGCTTACTAGAGCGTTCCGTTCATAAAGACGGCCAGACAGACAAAGATTGAATCTGCTCGTCATGCTGATCAAGAATATATATACTTCAGCATGACATACAATCATGCCACGCCTCCTTCTGCCTGTTACATGCATTTTCACAAAACTATTATTCCCTGAATTGCCATTTTCAATGGGTAAAAATATGTTGTGCGTCTTCATATCTATTTCAAAGTAATTCTTGATAACAGAATTCATAATTACCAACTAACCAATGACTAAATATATACTTAAACAGAAATATATTACACTTTTATTTAATATTCAAATATAATGTCCGCAATTAAAATAATTGAATTAAATATGTATGCTTTTACTCTACAAGTTCAACTGCTTCCTTCTTCCTGTTAGAGTCATCAGACATATTGTGAAATTATCTAAGATATCCAATTTAACAATAATGCATTGCATATTTTGTTTATGTAAACGGCTTTAAAATTACCGAACACGTTTACTTTACAGCTTGTTGTATACATTTGAACTTAGAAAAATATTATTTTTATCATTCTTTGTGTCTACTATTTATGAGTCATAATACATGGAAGTTAGACAAACGGTAAATACATAATTTCCTAGCGGAATAATGTATTAAAGTAGAATTAATTGTAGACAATAATAAGTTAACAATAATACATTGAACAGTTCATACAATTTAAATTTATAAGCATTTTAATTTAGACATGGATATATATACATACATACATACATACATATGTACATAAGCGAACACATGCATACACATGTCACTGTGTATGTGTGGATTCGTATGTACATATATATATATAGCTTGGCTGTGTATTTTTACATATGTTCATACACTGGTATCTATGTAGATATTTATATATATATATATATATATGCATAAGCATATAAATTCTGCTGACAGAAAATACATATGTATGACAAACCTCTATTTCCTTTCGATAAAAGTCCTCGATGGTGGGATCATATTTTTCAATAAAACACCCCGAAACAAATTGAACAGTTAGGGCCGATTTACCGACGCCACCGGAACCAAGCACAACCACTTTAAATTCCCGCATGTTTAATGCACTTGTTTATGATGTACACCGATTTATGTTCCAAAATTAAAATTATATTATAAAACGTTCACAAAGATGTATGATTCATGTGGTTCGGCATTGTGCAAAATGTAATGTGTTAATCAAACATACACTAAACTTTTTAATTTCATATGCATTAACAATTTTTTTTTTATCATTTATTATATTCTTGATTGAAAAGCATATTTTTCATGAATATTATTAACTTCGGCCATTGCCATTCGGAGAAAACGAACAATACGCAGACTAGAGATGTGCAAAATTTGATGAATAGGAGACGTGTCACTTTTCAGTACTTTTAAAAATATTTAACCAGTTACTCACGTTAAAGGTATATTTTTTTTCAGATAAATTTGACTATTGTATATTATATTAGATCTTTATAAATCACGAATGACTATGAGTGGAATGTATTGTAAAATAGCAAATTGTCACCGGCAACTCCTCATCCGTTACTGACACGAACTGGATGCAATTATGTATCGGAAACATCGAAGTATTGTGCGTCAAGCTTCGATAACAGCGAATATTTTCCGTTTTCCTAGTTTCACTGTAATGCAATTACTAATCAAGAAAATCGATATATATTGGTATACTGGAACGAACACTTTTTTATTAATTTTAAGTTTTTATATCTAATTCCGAATCTAGCATCATTAAACATAATTCGTAAACGTACATATTTTTTGAATATTTTTCATTCTGGGCTTCCCCAATACAAAAAATCCGCTGTTGCCCTAGCTTTGTAATCTTCGCTCATTCTGAGACTTCCGTAGGTCTCGAGCGCACCATTATCGCGGAATACTGGCTTTTCTAGAACTACCAAAACTTTTTATCCAATGCTGTTATCTTACCCAGCGTAATAAGCTTTTACAAGTGTGTTCCGTCGCATATATTTACAACCTTTAAGTAATATACCAATTATGATTTTACTATTTTAAACCCGTCGCGGGATTTAGAGGGTTTCTATGCTTTACATATTTTTATTTGGCAGTTTTAGAAAACTATACAAATACCATTAATAATCTGGTTTGCTTGTAACATTAAGCCATCCATATCCCGAAATAAATATATATTAAATTTAGTTTGTATTTCAATAATTAATTTATTTGATACAAACTACAAAACTGCAAAAAGTGGCATATGCACAAGTTTACAACTTCAACTTAGTGCGCCTCCAGTGACGACGCTTGGCATTGTAGCTGAAAATAAAAACAAAAATGATTCGTTATTATATATGTGAATTAGTTTATGAACTAGAACTCAGACTGGATAATACTATGCACATTTGACGAGCTTAATTGTTATTTAATAATTGCAAGAAAGCTTTAGCTGTTCAAGCATCTAGAGTCAAGTTTGGAAATTTAAGAACTTATTTTCGCTTTAACTATATATACATATACCGTGCGAAAACACGGTGATTAGAAATTCGTACCCTAATACCTAAAACATATAGACAGCTGATTTGAAGTTTACTCTATTTGAAATTGCCAATTACTCATTGTTCTTTTTTATTTACACAATTATCAATTACTCTTGCAAATGTATCTACACTGCGTATAAATGCATATTTACTAAAATACTTCAGCTATTTGAATGATTGTAAACACCAATTACTTACCGGATGGTATTTCCAGTACGCAAGCGAACCCATTGTGGTACAGAGCGGTTCTGCTTTAGTTTTTTAGCAAGCTTTTGCTTGATTCGGAACGATTTATGTGCGGCCTATTAAATAAATTGTTTTCATTCAGTAAACAATATTTAAAATTTACAAGATAATATGTGATTGTCTTTATTGCAAAAGATTTTATTTACGCACCATTTTAACCTCCGTTGTCAACGGCTACACCGGAAAGAAGGTTCGTACTAGGGATGTCAGATTATTCAAATCAATTGTGTATTCATCGATTCCCAACACTGAGATATACGATGTATATCGATTGAGTGTATGTTCAATTCACAATAACAACTTTCGAGGTACGAATGAATTCATGAAGCATGCTGTAGTCGCTATAACGATTGTATGCTGGAGTTTGTTATGGTTTCACGACGAATTACTTGCTGTGAGTTTCATTTTTATAATTTGAATTTATTTCAAATGTATGTTAATAAAAATATTAATATATGTATCACATTTGAAAAAATATCTAATAAAATAGAATAAATCAATTTGTTTGGTTCAGTGAAAAGGTTAGTATATTGGTAGCCATAGTTAGTTTATTGTTTCAGATGAGGTGACAACCATTTCCAATTGGCCAGTAATTTCATACCAACATAATATGAGTATTTTTCATATACGCCATACCATACACCCATGTACTTCGGTAATTTACGTTTTTATCGAATTAAACTTATGATTATTTGCAATTTGAAACAATTGATATACATTTCATCCTCTGATGATAAATAAGTCAGGTTGTAAACTATTCATACGAACATAACTGTAATTATTTAAATAACCTACCAAAACATTTTTGTGTTCGATTCCTTTGTTGCAAAACGAAACATTACGATTGTTGAAATAACCGGAAACTAAGTACCCCATCACTATGTAGCTATCGGGCTCTTTCCCTTTACGGCACTTTCGGTGACGGTACGTTTAAAATCATGATGAATAAAAATCGGGAAATATTTTAATAATCATTTATTCTTAACAGCTGAAACCATTCATATATAAAGATGCCTCCTAAATTTGATCCCACGGAAGTCAAGTTGGGTATGTTATGCTGACATATGAATATATATTTAAATATTCATGTAGAAGTATATTGTTTATTTGAACATTTCTTTTATTTTAGTTTACCTTCGTTGTGTTGGTGGCGAGGTTGGTGCTACCTCATCGTTGGCTCCTAAAATCGGTCCTCTTGGATTGGTGAGTAAACAATATGTTTTTGAGTTCTTTAGCTAATATTTCTTATAGTCTCCTAAAAAAGTAGGTGACGATATTGCAAAGGCCACTTCTGACTGGAAGGGACTCAAAATCACGGTATGCCTTACCATTCAAAATAGGCAGGCTACTATATCAGTGGTTCCATCCGCAGCCTCTTTAATCATCAAGGCGTTGAAGGAACCTCCACGTGACAGAAAGAAGCAGAAGAATAGTAAGTTTTTAATATGTATTGTTGGAAATAGGGACAATAATTGTTTAAAATGTTTAACTTTAAACCTAACTTAAAGTGCAGTGGAAAATATTACATATTAGGGCGCGATTCTTATTAGAATGGTCAATATATTGGTCTTATAAGACCGGTTTGCTGTTTTAATGTGAATTTAGTGGGAAAAAGTGAAACGATTTATTTATAAACAATGAATTCTATGAAACGAACTATAGCCTCTAATAAAAACATCAATGCATTGTATTATGAATGACAATTTTAAAAGTTGTATCAAGAAAGGCTGCCGATCAGTTGCGTGTTTGATCGCAATACGTTCGTTGTCGGACAAAGATAGTTACTAAAAAAATATGAAATCTTTTCAAGAATGCTCGATTAGAATTAATCTTTAATGAAGCATCAAAAGAAGTCTAATATTTAAATTTTTGAAGGGATATCAAAATCGGTTTTCATTTAGGGATTTTTGAATTCTTTATGATTATGAACTAGAATCTGTATCTTGAATTATATAAAAAATACAAATATTGTATAGGCACTTACAAAAGTTATTTAGACAATGTTTTGAATTTCGATTTTTTTATATTCCTGATCAATATCCGCTATTTTTGCTAATATTTATGATTCAATTTTCCTTTTCAGTTAAGCACAGTGGAAACATTTCTTTCGACGATATTTTGGCGATCGCACGCACCATGCGACCAAGGTCAATGGCTCGTGAACTGAAAGGAACCTGCAAGGAAGTTCTTGGCACAGCCCAAAGTGTTGGATGCACTGTTGATGGAAAACATCCCCATGATGTTATTGACGAACTTAATAATGGTTCCATGGAAGTCCCAGCGGAATAAATATGTATTCCATTGAAAGATAATAAATAAAACTAATGTTTTACCATCAGCAAGATAAAACGTTAAATATAGATTTTTACAAATTATTTATTTTTACTTGGATATGTGGATGAAATTCGTGGCGACCACATGAGATTAATAACTAATGTCTATGAATTAATAGATTGTATACATTTTGGGTTCAAGCCGGTTAAATAAACAGCTCACACCAGAAAACAGTATTTTGCCGCCTAAATTAATAGAAGCAAAATGTAAAAGATATTTGTACAGATTCATACATTTTATTCACCCATCGAAGTGTTTACTTGAGAGTAAGCAGTGGGAGACCGAACATAGATTCAGTCCACTTACGCTGTAAAATTGTGATCGTGTGTTTGAAGGCTCGAATTGCCAAAAAGTGAAATTTACACACAAGAATTGGACCTTGGTGCCTTCTGGTTTGACGTAGTCCTGGTATTTGCGGGCCACAATGCAGAAGATCCGATAAAAAGAAAGGAAACGGTTAACATTTGAATTACCAGCCTTAGTCTCAAGTCATGGATGATATGTTAACAAAGACTCAATGAAAATTGACAGCAGTGCTTTCTGAGTTAGGAACATATGCAACAAAGCTATGGCAGAAACAAGTGAGAGATGAAACTAAAGAAAATACCGTGTAGCATAGAAATTAAAAGAACATTAACGGTTAAATTAAGAGCAATCAAAATGATTTTGGAAAGCGTTGATAACCATGATTACATTAATATTAACTTATAACTTTTAATAATTTTTAGTGTTAATCAAAAGAAATAGAAAATAATATAGCGCATGCAACATTGTTTATGCAAAAATAAAACCGGCTAACGAATGTGGATGTGAATGCGAACGTGGATGCGGATGCAGATGTAAGAGCTACATTGGTAATTTATCAGTTATAACAGAAGTATTTATAATTCATGGTATTTATCATATATTGTTTATTTTTCTTATTTATTTTGTTAAATATTTTTAACTCTCAATTTTTGCTTTTATAAATATAATCTATAATTTCGGTTTATTATACGAACAGGAAAAATTAAAAATGCACACTTCTTTTGGAACCCGATATTAGTGGGAACGACTCGTTACATTAAAACCGTGACTTTGAAAATATGTTGTGGACACGATGAGTACTACTTGGCTCTTGAAATGCTAAATATAAAAAAAAGCATTTATGCAAATATCGATCATCTCTATTAAATAACCCATACTTAACAAATCTATGGTTGCCTTTTGTAGCAGCTGGTGGCTCAAAAATTAGTTGTGTTGATGATATATAGCCATTTGAGAAGTGTTTGTTGGTATATAATAAATAGTTATAAATTATTTTCAAATTATCACAGTGTTTTTTTTTTTTGGTTTCTTTAGATCGTGTATTTGCAGTGACATTGGTATTTACTGTGGTTTTACTATTGATTTTAAACAAAATTTAAACCTAAAATACATATATACTCACATATATGAGGAACCATCCGTAAATAATGAACTCTCAAGGACAGGGACAAACGCAGCAGCATTCTTCAACACATTCCCTACTGCAGCAGCAAAATCATTTACCTAACAACAATGTAGTTGGAAAATCTATCGAGCATCAATCTCTATCAACTGTTGGTAAGAATAATTGCAAATGTTTCAACCTTACCTAAAACACCATAGGTAACTTTTGAGTACCTGTATTTACTCAGCATATATTTAAGCAGACATTTAAATATAAAATGGAAATTTTCAGAAATGTGTATATGTGCATAAAATGTCTGACACTTAAGTATATTAGTGTTAAATAGTTAGACAGTTTAAACTCGATAGATTCAATATATACTTGATCGACATTAACTGTCGAATTGACATGGACAAGTCTGACTTCTTGGTTTATGTATCGAAATCAAGCAGTTTAAAAATTTATAAATGCACACACACATGTATATATATATAAATATATTTATTGTCTGCTTGATATATAGTTGATGTATCATACCATATTATTGATTCTATTCGTTTCACAAGAAGAAAATTCTACATTGATTTTTATATTTGAGAAATATTCTCAATAATAATTTGAATGTGGGACAAACATAAACATTTAGGCCGATGAAGCAATGGTACGGCAATGCTCGCTTTTCTTATCTGAGACCTGAATGTACGGTGATCAAACAAGAAGTCTTAAGCATACGCAGAGAAACCCTTCGAATCAATCACCATGCTGATTAGGGAAAACATTGCTAGAATTGATATAAACGTCTGTGAAAGCCTTAACAAAGCTTGGTGTCTTCGGTGGAATGAAAGTTGATATATTAGAAAATGCTTATTTAAATTTTCTGATAGCACAAGAATCCGCCACAGGCCATTCGTGCACATTACCTGACAACTGGATAAGCAACAGCAAGTGCATTCGTAGCATAGTGTACTGAAAACTGTTTATCTGTGTTTTTGCATATCAAGCCTAAGATTATTGAAACAGCAGCTTTGCATAGGTCTTAGGGGTATGAATATATGCGAGTGCATGCTTTGATTATTCACATGGGCATTCTATCAATATACGCATTAAAATCATTTGCGAGACTTCAAAACTGTTTGTTTTTTCTTTCAAGGTTTATTGGAGTTGGCGCACCGTGAATACCAAGCTGTCGATTATGAAAACGCAGAAAGGCATTGCATGCAGCTATGGCGTCAAGATAGCACTAACACTGGCGTCTTGTTGTTGTTGTCATCAATTCATTTCCAGTGCAGAAGGCTTGATAAATCTGCACAGTTCTCAACATTGGCTATAAAGCAAAATCCGGTGCTGGCAGAAGCGTACAGGTGAGTTCTTGTAGGAATTTTCCCCGTCTGCCAAGGCTATAATATTGCAATATTAATTTCTAAATATAATTTCAGCAACCTGGGAAATGTTTACAAAGAACGAGGACAGCTGCAAGAAGCGTTAGACAATTATCGCCGAGCTGTACGCTTAAAGCCGGACTTTATAGATGGATATATAAACTTGGCTGCTGCATTGGTGGCTGCTCGTGACATGGAGTCGGCAGTTCAAGCCTATATAACAGCCTTGCAATATAATCCTGTAAGTTGATTTGTAATTTTCTTCGAATATAAACGATTATAAACTATACTTATACAGGATCTATACTGCGTGCGCAGCGACTTGGGCAATCTACTGAAAGCTCTAGGTCGATTGGAAGAAGCTAAGGTAATATTTCCTTTATAATTTACCAATAATCCAAATTGTAACTATTTTCACATATCCTCACAGGCTTGTTATTTGAAAGCGATAGAAACTTGTCCAGGATTTGCTGTGGCATGGAGCAATTTGGGCTGCGTTTTCAATGCCCAAGGCGAGATTTGGCTAGCCATTCACCACTTCGAAAAAGCTGTCACCCTTGATCCTAATTTCTTAGACGCATATATTAATTTAGGAAATGTACTAAAAGAGGCCAGAATATTTGACAGGTTAGTAAACTATTTAGTAATTTATTTTATAATAATATTTTTTTTAAGTAAGGTATTATATATGAAAGCTTTCAATCCTCTAAAGTTGTATGCATAAAATATAATATGATTACCTTCAAATCTGTAGTGAACTCTCGGAAAGGTTATTCGCTGTGGATTAAAAAGTCTTCAAGAAAATATTTTGTTCTGTTATAATAGATTCAATTGATATTTATAGAACTAACTTTCTAATTTGTATATCAGTTTCTTATCGTAATTTCTTATCATTTATCAATAAATGCTAGAGCGAAAAATAGCTTCTGCATACAAAATGCAACGAACTGCGCTTATCTGTGCGAAATTTGCTGAGTTTACCAGCAAAATCGTTCGAATTCCGAACATTCTATTTACAACATTCGTAGCCCCCACAGCTAGAACAATAATGTTTTCTAATCTTATGAATTGCTGTTTAACAAGTGTTCAATAGTGACTGCTTAATCAATTCTGTTCCATTCGACACTTCTGTCAAATAATGAATACCGTTGCGAATAAAAACAGAATCATATAATCTAAAATATAAATTCTCTAGTCGGATACTGGCAAGGTAAAAGGTATCTGAAGGATTTTCAATAGTTTTGAAGAGTTTTATAAATTTATTTAAGTTTGCTAATTATTGATTTATTTTTCGTTTTTTATGCATTAATAGAAATTGGAGAATTCATACATTGTAAATTTATGCAGAGCATATCGATATATATCGCTTGAGCGATAGTTATTTGTGCGTGCTATGCAAAATGCTATTTTGTTATTGCTTTAGTGGTTGCCTTTCTATATGAGGGTGTTGATAGGTATGCACGAGAGTAGTATGAACTATTTCCGATCGTAACGTCAATAGGGAAAATGAGAGAAACTTGACAAAGAGATTATTTAAATTAATTGTATTTTTTGCTAGCCTGGAAATTTTACCTCTGCTTTAATATGTGCGCTCATTAAATACAAGTAGTAGTTTGGGTTACCTTGTGTCATTGCTTAGATATAAAATGTAATATATATATTCATATATGAATAATGCCAACGTCAGTCGAAAATGTCAAGGTTATGTCGTCCCAATCAGTTATTTCACAGTTGCAGCGCTAGAATTACAATATTAATTGGCTGGATCGTTGTTGAACTTTCCTATAAATAGAGGCTCATCTACGGTTCGCCCCTATTTGGCATGGAAAATCGTAGACACTAAATCTTTTATATTTTTAAAAGCTTGAGAGTCACCAAATAAATTAAAAGTAGACCAAATGCGACCTTCATTGACTAGAAGGCTTCATGTCACGCCCATTGGGAGCGTGCCAAAGTGTACGGAACAGATTTTTAATCAATTAAAAAGTATTTTTTCGACCTTGCTATATATGGAGCAACCCTCGTATATTTTCTTGGCATGCTAAAAATATCTGTATACATAAAACAAATATGGAGTTTTTTTGTATATTGTTTATAGAATTCTGATTCATGTTGTACTTGAGCACAAAACTTTCCATTCTTACAACAATTAGTTAAAGATTTTTACTTGGAAAATTTACAAAATATATCTGAATTACTTAAGAGCATAAACGTGTCTAAAAGTTTCCTGGCGACGAGTAAAATTTATGAAGCTTTTCATATATATTGAAAAATAAAGCTATTCATTTGAGTAGTAGGCACTCAGATGCCCTGTAGCAAGGCTATTCTAATTTATATTTGCAAAATTAAGCTTCTTAGGCATTTAGAAATGAACGTTTATAATAAAAATAGATCAATTTGCTTATATAAGCGCGTTAGCTATTGGCGAATAGAACTTTTTAAGCATTTCTGCAAAACAATTTTAAAATTACAATAAATAGTGGTTTAGTCAGTTAATTACAGCTTGAGTTGGGCAAAAATCGGTTTATATGAAGAACAATCAGTTCATGTAAATAAAATGCCATTTTGTGTTGACCATGAAGTCGAAATTACTTGATCTTGCCTACGCATGTCTTTCCATGCAGGGTATAAAATAGATTCAAGAACATTTTTTCATACACAAATTTCATTATCAAACGTTGTCTGCGGTTGGCTCGCATATCATATGCGTTTTTACTAAATATATATATATATTCATATATACATTTTGATATAGCGAGCCAATTTAGTTTTTGTAAAATGTGCTTATATTTAAAACAATAAATAACGGTACATTGTTGTAAGACCTTTCAATTAGTAATTCATTGCCAAGTTCATAAAAATTTGATAATAAATGCAAAAATTTGGCTGCTGCTGCAAACATGGACTGTCAATGCATAATTATCTATACAATTGTTCGCATTAGAGTAGATGATCAATACGATTTGAAGGAATATATAAAGCCCATAAGTAATACAAGCTATTTGAAACGTTACATAAAGCTCGTACGACTTTGTTGGAAACGGTAAATATATTTGTTTATCAAACTGAATATTTTAATTTAACTTATATCTTGGAAAGTTTAGATGGCCTTGGCAGAATATAGAGCAGATTGGCAATTCATTTCTGGATTATTTACTTTATATTCTGATAAGATGGCAATTGCCTCAACAATTTTAATTAATTAAATATTAATTTTTTATTTTCTTACTCTCTGAGTTCAACAAACTGTTAGTTAAGATAATTTGAAATTCGATTAAGGTATAAGGAAGGTATTCCTATCAACTTTTCGCAAATGTATGTCTTTTATTGATATCCCCTGGGGATTTTGTTTTATGTATATAATATTTATTATAATTTCTATACTTTAATGCATTTCTTTGCTTCCTCTTCTATCTTCTCCAGGGCCGTGGCAGCATATTTGCGTGCGCTAAATCTATCGCCCAACAATGCAGTCGTACATGGAAATTTGGCGTGTGTTTACTATGAACAAGGCCTCATTGATTTGGCAATCGACACATATAGGCGAGCCATTGAGTTGCAGCCGAATTTTCCTGATGCATACTGTAATCTGGCAAATGCTCTCAAGGAAAAAGGACAGGTAAATATCTATATTTTAGTGCTTATACTAAGAGTCGTTTAATGATTGATTTTCTTTTAGGTTAAAGATGCCGAAGAATGTTATAATACTGCGCTCAGACTATGCTCAAACCATGCCGATTCCTTGAACAATTTGGCAAACATAAAGCGAGAACAAGGATTTATAGAGGAAGCGACACGACTTTACTTAAAAGCCCTCGAAGTTTTTCCAGATTTTGCCGCTGCGCACTCAAATCTAGCATCTGTCTTGCAACAGCAGGGCAAACTGAAAGAAGCTCTAATGCATTACAAAGAAGCAATAAGAATTCAGCCCACATTTGCTGATGCTTACTCCAATATGGGAAATACGCTAAAAGAATTGCAGGACGTTAGCGGAGCACTCCAATGTTATACCCGTGCTATACAAATTAATCCAGCATTTGCCGATGCACACAGCAATTTGGCAAGCATTCATAAAGACTCGGGAAATATTCCTGAAGCAATTCAATCTTACCGTACAGCTTTGAAGCTAAAACCTGACTTTCCTGATGCTTATTGCAACTTGGCTCACTGCTTGCAGATTGTGTGCGATTGGACGGATTATGATGTTCGAATGAAGAAATTGGTCAGCATCGTGGCTGAGCAGCTTGAGAAGAATCGCTTGCCGTCTGTACATCCACATCATTCAATGCTGTATCCATTAACACACGAGTTTCGCAAGGCCATTGCAGCGCGGCATGCCAATTTATGTTTGGAAAAAGTCCATGTATTGCACAAGCAGCCGTATAACTTTTCAAAGGAACTGCCAAAAGATGGCAGATTACGCATTGGCTATTTAAGCTCTGATTTTGGAAATCATCCTACCTCACATTTAATGCAGTCTATACCCGGCTTACACGACCGCTCGAAAGTGGAGATATTTTGCTATGCCCTCAGTCCGGATGACGGCACAACGTTTCGTCTTAAGATCGGGCGTGAATCGGAACATTTTGTGGATCTTTCTCTCATTCCATGCAATGGTAAAGCAGCTGATCAGATTTACAATGACGGCATTCACATTTTAGTTAATATGAATGGTTACACAAAGGGAGCAAGAAATGAAATATTTGCCCTTAGACCTGCACCAATTCAAGTGATGTGGTTAGGCTATCCAGGAACAAGCGGAGCAAGCTTCATGGATTATATTATTACCGATGCAGTCACTAGTCCCATGCAATTGGCTCATCAGTACAGTGAAAAGCTGTCTTACATGCCTTACACATACTTCATTGGTGATCATAAGCAAATGTTTCCGCATTTAAAAGAGCGTCTAATTGTTTGCGATAAGCAGCAGTCCTCTGTGGTCGACAATGTGGCCGTTATAAATGCGACAGACTTATCGCCGCTGGTTGAAAACACAGCTGTGAAAGAAATTAAGGAAGTTGTCAATGCGCATAAGCCCGTAGAAATTACACATAAAGTCGCCGAGTTGCCAAGCACCACGCAGTTAGTGTCCATGATTGCCACTGGCCAGGTGCAAACATCTTTAAATGGTGTTGTTGTGCAAAATGGGCTAGCAACCACACAGACAAACAACAAAGCAGCGACTGGAGAGGAAGTTCCCCAAAACATTGTTATAACAACTCGTCGTCAATACATGCTGCCTGATGACGCAATCGTTTACTGCAACTTTAATCAACTATACAAAATTGATCCACAAACTCTACAATCTTGGGTAATCATTCTTAAAAATGTGCCTAAATCTGTTTTGTGGCTGCTACGCTTTCCGGCAGTTGGCGAGCAAAATATCAAAAAGGCTGTCAGCGACTTGGGTAAGTAAACAAATAATATAATATAAACTAGATACATAAATATTTTTATGCACACTGTAACTAATATTTTTTCTCTACTTTTAGGTATTTCATCTGATAGAATAATCTTCTCAAACGTAGCTGCCAAGGAAGAACACGTACGTCGTGGTCAATTGGCTGACATATGCCTAGATACTCCACTATGCAATGGCCACACTACATCAATGGATGTCTTATGGACCGGAACTCCAGTCGTGACATTACCGGGAGAAACATTAGCTTCCAGGTAAATATTTATCTACTAACTGAAGGCATCGGAAATCCTTTTTTGGATAGCCTTTTTCATTCACTTAACTCAATATTAATGATAATCAAAAGATAAGTTAAAGACAGAGTGTTAACCAAGTTCTATAATCATTATATTACAGGGTTGCAGCATCGCAATTGGCGACACTTGGATGTCCAGAGTTAATAGCACAGAGCAGAGAGGAATATCAAGATATCGCCATTCGGTTGGGAACGGAGCGCGAATACTTAAAAGCCTTAAGGGCAAAAGTATGGAAAGCACGCGTCGATAGTCCATTGTTTGATTGTTCACAATACGCCAAAGGCTTAGAAAATCTGTTTTTACGAATGTGGGAAAGATTTCATCGAAATGAAGATCCCGATCACATTTCTTTAGAATAAAGTTTTAGAAAGTTTGCCGTGACCGGATTAGTGAGGCGATATTGTGTGCTATTTAGTTTGATTTTCTTTGACATATTTATGCATGTTTTCGATTAAAATATTTCTGTATAAGAAGACAGTAGAATATACCTACTTGTAAATTTACTTATTTTTGATTGATTGAACATGCTTTGACCTATTATGATAAGACGTTACCTTGTTTAAGTAATGAAAATAAAGTCGCTTGACATTGAACATTGAATGTTTTAATTAAGTAGACAGGGAATTGAATTTATGTATGTCTTATAAATGTTTAAATTCCTTAATGAATTGAAAAGATGAAAAATATGTGTAAAATAAATATATTTGCCCCTGCTTGAAATGGTTACACTTATTGACCCCGGAATGACTAGTTTTAAAACACCAATCTATTAGTTAATGATAGCACCAAAAACGTCATCCGTATCTCCAGTTTGAATATAGATATAAATAACCAGACATTAATATTTAAAAGTATTTTTATTATTTACAGTCTTAAAATTACTATTTAGTTAAGGAATTTGCGCTCTGAATAGTATCGCCGGTTTCCAAGTGCTTTATAAGGCGATACAAAGCGGCTGCTTCCTTAATCTTGCTAAATCCAACGCAAAATGCTTCAATTTCAATAAAGAGCACCTGAAATATATTTGTATACAAATTTTTAGTTAGAAAGTACGGGTTTCAGCTTAATTACAGTGTAAAAAAGAGATTACAATAAGCAAAGCTCATTGTTATTAAATTTAGACTTAGTTTGACCAATTTTGATTTAGTTTTAAGTTATTTAGGCTTACTCACCTTAACATTAATAATCTTGTTTCTAATCAGGGATTGAAGAAAGACACAAACTAATCGAACCAACCGCGACTGCATATACTTGTCCTTAACAGTTTCACAAGCAGAAATACAATTACTAATGTATAAGTGGATGAATTCAGTCGGCAGAGGGCAAGAAGTTGTTAACCTATAAAAATAGTTCATCTTAATTATTTAACATTCACGTTTAACAAAATATACTTCAAAGATCTATACCTGTTTACAACCTCCATTGAATGAAGAGTTATGTCCATATTAACCAATATATTGAAGTATTCTGTTATGTCGGTATTTAACATAAGCCTCAGTAGAATTTCAATTGAAATGAGTGGATTATTTTCGACAAGCTGAGGTAGCTGTAGTAATGCATAAAATTACAATTTAGTACACACCATTTTAAGGAGTACAGAAATACATACTTTAGCCGGCGTTAGTCCATATTGATGTGCAATATTTCGACTCTGTTTCTGCAAATCATCAAATAGAATTTGTTGATCTTGCAAACTGAGCGGCTGTATGAAAGCTTGCTCTATTAATAGCTTAGTGTTGGGCGTAACATAATTGGATTTATCATATAACACAGTCAGATTTTGGTTGCTTAGTTGGTTAATCCAAAGCAATTCGTCTTCAAAGTCCATCAACGGCGGAGCAATCGATAAGAACATGCTTGCACTGACAAGTTCTTTAACCAGTAAGGTAATATTATCATATAACTAACTTATATTTGGCTAATCACAATTAAGCTTAGATAATCACAAGATCATCGACTGTTGACACAGGGCACAAGTTTCAATTGCCAATGAGGTTCTGAAATTGTAAAACAATAATGAAAATTACTATATTAAGTTTTGAAAAGACAAGTATTTCTCAAAGTGAAAAGCAACTGGTGTAATAAGCATTAACAGCACACATGCGAGCTACTATTATCCTTCATTTAACCTCTGCAGTTTCTGTGATAAGTGCAGTAGAATGAAATGGTCAACCAAATCCCTTGGTGTGTCTAAATAGCACTGCATAACAATGGCAACTTGGAGCATTTTGAGGATTTAGGAACAAAAACTATTAATTATAAATATTTTCCAAGCAAATCAAAGTCTGGAGACGAAATGCGCTCTTCATATTTTCCGGCTCTGAGACATAATTTCAAAATTTTGAACGCAAATAAAGAAACGGAAATTATTATAGTGGGCATACAAATTATGATGATATTATTAAGCAGCAATGTAGTTTTGCATACGTTCAGCACCAATCTATACATACGCCTTTATGATTATAAAAGTCGTGAGATGCTCAAGAGATTTCGGAGATTGGTTCCTAGACTTAAAGCTTTGCAGAAAAAGGACTACCAGAGATTCAAGTAAGCTGCAGTTGTTTATTATCGTTTAGTGGAATATTATCCTTTTGGTTCACATGCGATTACTAAATGGCCCATGTGGTTGATTACATCTAGAGCAGTATTTTAATTTTTTTCGGACTGTCACAAAACATGCATGCATATAAATATAATGCATTTATATCAATGTTTACAAATCAAAACATATAAATGTCCCAATTCTATAGCTGTCACTAGAAAGCACATGAACATTTAAAATATATATTACTTAATGTAAATAATTACCATAATTTATAACCAATAGTTCAGATGTTTAAATTTAGATAGTATGTGTACATTAAAAGTTGTTGTGATTTATTTTTGTAAGAATATACTAAACTACATTGCGTTAATCAAAAGATTATATACGATATATTCTCATATCCGATATAAGTAACGAGTACGAGATAAGTAACGAGTACGAGATAAGTAACGAGTATGTAGCTCGAGCTGTTTCCAATTATAAAAGAATGAGGAGAAGCTAAAAAATCAAAAATATTGTCAATTATTATCGATAAGTTAAAAAACGCGTTCTAATAACATTTTGCGTCAAAATTCAATTTATATATCATATACATATATTCTTGCAAATGGTAGTAGCGTTTGTTTTTAATTTTTTTTGTATTATTTTTATATTTATGTTTAGTTATTGTTCATAGAAAGAATAGTTAGAAGCACAAAGTATTGAAATAAATGCTGATCGTAAGATAAAAACACCTATTGACCTACTTTGCTCATTATTAACGCTAACATTTCTGAGGTTGTGAAACTGAAAAAGTGGATATTTGGAAATGTTTTTCTAAGCATAAGTCCGAAGGGATACCAAATATAGCCAGTCTTTCAGTGTGAACACAGATTATGATTATTTTTTTTAATACCCACAGTAAAATTGAACTTTCAATAACGAAATCACTCCAATTTTTATTTATTTTCGTCTGGGTTATCTATAAAGTTATTCAATTATTGGTTTGACCCGTAAGTATACATGATATCTCTTAGTCGGGCATGTCCATAATTTTTAATAATTTCGTAATAATAACTTATGTTTGCCAAAAATATGTACAGCTTCAGCGGTAAGTATGAGCTCTTAATGTGTGCACTTTCACTGTTGTATTTATGTATGTAAATCAGAATATTTGGTTCAGAGTATCATTTAGTCGGGCATATCTGGCTAAAACAAAAGCAAAAACAGATATTAAATCAACATATTTTGAAACTCTTGTGATTTTACGAATTAAAGTGCATTAATTATTAATAATTTGTATTGTTATTTGTATGATAAGTAACTCTGTAATTTATTTGGCGTGGTAAAATATTTAAAGAAATAATTAACAAGTTTTCTAACACAACTTTGCAATTCTCTGAAATGCATATGCCATTTAAATAAAGTGTTTGCATAGTGCGAACATAAACACGTAAGGTTGGAGTAGTTGCGCAAATTTGACTAAGAAAATACCTTGAGCTGAGGGCTAAAAAGTTTCCACACATAATCACTGAACACGCCATTTGCTGCGCAGTTTTCATAATAGATTCTTCCTCCTTTATCCTCATTTGAGGGGGAAAAGTCGTGATATGGATTAATTTGTAAGGTTTGCCAACATTTTATAGTAAATAATATATTTCTAATGCAGTTTTGAAAATTAAAAAAATTATGGTTTATAGATAGGATATATATTTAAATATTTATCCTGCACAAAGGTAAACTAGGCAAAGTTATATCTTAAAGTGCTCTTAAGCACGAATAACTATACCCAATAAGATTGATGCGTCTTCATTCAATCTGTTACATACTTATGCACACATTAATGATACCCTTTATTAACAATTGCAATAGTTTCAGGGTATAAAAAAATGAATTAATGAATAGGTTTGGCCTAATTGTTGTATTATTTTTTTTATTGTTTTAACTGTTTGTATATATGCATAAATCAAATGAGTCATGTCGCCATGTAATGATACCAATACATCTTAATTTGTGAATTCATAAATTTGTAAATTTGTAATTTAAATAAATGTGATAGATTACAAATACAAAGTTAATAATGCATTTCCACTAATCACAATTTGACATTCAAGCGAGACGGCCTTACGTTTTAAAGTCTAAAACATCAAAGTTCATACGAAACGCTTACAAACATATATAAGTACATATATATATGTGTAAATATGTATATATATTCATCGCTATATATACTATAAATATTTGTTAATATCGACATACGTATCTGTCTGTCTAAGCCATTGCTCAAGTATAAAAGCAAACTTCGTTGAAATCGTCGTCAGTTTGTTAAAGATATTTCGCTACTTCACAACTAGTTGCTCGACTCTGTTTAATTTTTCGTCGCTGTTGTTGTTATTGTTATTTAAGGTTAATATTACTACCAAAAAAAAAACGGTCAAACCAAAAGCTATATTTGAATTTCAATTAGATCGTTTTTCGTTGCTGTTGTTGCTATTCGAATTTTAGTTGTGCAATGCTTGACTTAGTTTCAATATCAACTTTACTTAGTATATAAATTATGCATATATATGCATATATACATATATATATATATATACATATATATATCTATAACTTGTATGCGTTAACTGCTTGAGTAAATATATATATATATACATTTCTTCACATATTTATGTATTTATATGTCTGTCGCCTCAGCAAGTTAATGTAATTAAGTAAGTCGTTAATGAAGCTTAGCCTTGTTAGTAACTAACTACAAAAGAAGTCAACAGCGCACTTATAAGCGCTCATTAAATTCTGGACAGGTCATTCGTTGTTAATTCCATGCAAGAGATTTCAAGCAAGATTATTCATAAAAAATTATATATTTCTATATAAAGCGTGTTTCAAAATGAAGATCATTTATAGAAATTTAGAAGAAATTTTATATTTGACATTTTAAATTTAGTATATTTTATATTTAATATATTTGAAATATAATTATTAATATAAATAATAATAAAAATATAACACATAAAATAATAACATTAAAATTTTATTTTTATTATTTTATTTTTATTTTTATTTCTTCATTTATATATATATTTTTATTTTATATTTTATTTATGCTTTTTTTAAATATTTTTACTTTAAATTTTATATAGAATTTTAATACTTTCATTTTTTTAAACATTTGTTTAAACATTTTTTGTTTTGCATTAATTACAGCATGAAGACATTTGTTGTATGCCTTGTCCTGGCAATTGCCTGTGTCGCCGCTGAAGAGAAATATACGACAAAATACGATAATATTGATGTAGATGAAATTTTGACATCGGATCGTTTGTTTAACAACTATTTTAAGTGCCTGATCGATATGGGCAAGTGCACGCCCGATGGTCGCGAGCTGAAGAAATCTTTGCCCGATGCGCTGGTCACCGAATGCAGCAAATGCAGTGAGAAGCAGAAGCAGAACACCGACAAGGTTATACGTTTCATCATCGAAAATAAGAAAGAAGAGTGGAAGGCACTGCAGGCTAAATACGATCCAGAAGAGGTCTACATCAAGCGCTACAGGGCTCAGGCGGAAAAAGCCGGAATCCCTATCTAAATATTAGTGATTTTGGGCTTTTGAAAATGATCTATACACAAAATAAATGTTTTTTATTTGTGTAAAAGCTATCAAACAAACATTAATCTAAGTCCATTGTGTAACATACTTATAGGATAAATGGTATGATATAAGTAAAGTATGCTTTAAACGTATATTGCTCATAAATATTTCGTGTTTTATTCGCTGCTCAAGTGGATGGGCTCTGTCTATAATGTCTGTAATATAGTTGTGATGGAATTTCCTATTCTATTCAAAAATCTAAAAAGCTAATTGGGCTTGATTGTATTTGTAAGGTCAAGCCATATTCATTGAGTATTCAATGCTGTAGAGTTTCAATATCGTTCGATTTAATTTAAAATTCTTTTTTTCTTCTTTTAGTTTTCCCTTCCATTTTCCTTGTCTATCTATTTATATTATAATTTATTTATTTCCACCTTCTTTTCCTTCTATTTGAGTTTTCTTCTATTTGGCACTTTATGTCTTAATTAGTTAAGTTTTACACGATACTCAAAGCTAAGAGAACGCTATATTCGTGTAGTTATCTGGCAGTCGAACACGTATGCTCATTGTTCAGTTTCCTAAAAAGCGTAGCCGGTTCCATATCCATTTTATTATACCCCTCGTATAGTGTAATATATATATATATATATATATACATATATATATATATATTATATATACATATATATAATATAGTAATATATATTAAAACAGTCGAATGCGTCAAGCCGCTGTGATTCATGCCTTCATGTCTGGTAGCTTTTCCTTATAACTGACGCGAACACGGAAACTATAGTAGGTATCGACGTGATCTATGTAGTAATAGATTTATTTTTTTCTCTTAGCTCGTATTATAGTAATTGCCAAAGTTTTAAATGCTTAGCGAAAAAAAGTATAAATATGATTTAATAAAAAATATGTTTAAACTCATTATTACTTAATTTCTCTATTTTTCAAACTACCCTCGCACGTGCTTCTACAGAAGCACAACCATAAAATAAATCAAGACATTTCAAAAAATAGTAGTCGTGTGCGAAACCTGAGTTGAGCGCAAAAAGTTTGCTCATTATAAAACCTGGCGCTGCTTGAAATAGATTAAAATAGATGCTTTGTCTTAGATATTGTAAACAACAAAGTTTAGTTTAGCCTTATATATGCTAAAAACATAATTAAAACTTCAGCTGCTTAGCAATAAAAGTAAAAGTACTTTTGATTTTAAGATTGTAGTAAACAATTAAACTTTATTCATAAGATGATAATTTGTGCTATAGAGAGAGTCGGGTAATCATAGTCTAGGAGTAAAAAAATATTTTTCCCTGAGCTGACCCTTAAAATAATATTTAGCCACCAAACGATTGATTTCGTATTGCGTCAGCATCTCGAGTTAAGGCCGAGTTACGTGCTTGAATACGAGTTGTTAACATTTTTTATTACTATTATTTTTTAACTATTTGCATCGGTTGATTTGAATTTCCCAAATTTGATTCGGGAAACTGGTTACGACAACGGTATAGTATATGCCTATAAACTGACCTAAGACCAAAAAGCTGTTGTGGCAAGAACCGATCGACTTTTGCGAAGAGCTAACGAATATCTGATCGAAAGACAATATCACAATCAATATATGATAAAACGGTCTTTGAAAACTAAAAATCTTACACTTTATGGCTTGGAGATAGGATCAAAAATATTGATAAGGATAACTAGACTAGATAACTAGACAAAGCTTGATCTTAAAGGGATCTTAAGTACGATTAAGACTGACGCCAACTCATTCAATCTGTTACATACTTATGCATATATTAGTGATATCCTTTAATAACAATTGCAATACATTTAGGGTATAAAAATGTTTTAAATGTTGGTATATGCATAAATCAATTGAGCCATGTTATGATAAAAATTGAGCCATGTTATGATACAATTTGTGAGTTTGTAATTTAAATATATGTGATAATTTACAAAAACATACGTTAAAGCAAGACGGCTTTATCTTTTCGGTATTTCTATCAAATACTAGTGATATTTGGGTTTTTGAAAATAATATACTCAAATGAAATATGTTTTTTTTTTGTAAAAGCAATCGGCTGGCGGTCCGGATATTTTCTTTTGTTAATCAAAGATTATTCTAGTCCATAAGTGCGTCAAGTATTGCTCAGATTTCGTGATTTATTCACTGCTCACTTGGATGAGCTCTGTCTATAATATCTGTAATATATATGTGATGGAATTTTTTTTTCTATTGTTTTTTAAGGTTAATATTACTACCAAAACAAAAACAAAAAAAACTGGCAAGCTAAATGCTATATGTGAATTTCAATTAGATCGTTTTTCTATTTTATTCTATTCAAGAAATCTGAATAGCAAATTGGGCTTGATTATTCATTGAATTTTCAATGCTTTAGAGTTTTATGATTGTTCGACCTAATTTAAATTTATTTTAAGTAGTTTACCTTGTCTATGTTCTCAAATACTTCACTTTCAATTTCTTCTTCACAATTCGGCTGCTCTGTTTCCTGAGGAGTAAAAAGTTACAACTTCTCTTTTGCTTCTTTTCCCCTCCCGTAACTTCCTCTTTATTGTTCTCTTTTCATGCTTCCAGTTTGTCTTAAAACTTGATAAGAGAATTGAATATTGTTAAAGATTATTTGTAAACAATACTAAAAGCTAAGAGAACGACATAGTCGTGCGATTATCTGGCAGTCGAACACTGATGCTCAGACGAAGTAGGCGTATGCGTTAAGCCTATGCGACTGGCTACCAGTCGTCTTATAAATTCCGCGAATAGTTCGTATTTAAAAATATAAAAACTGTAGTAATTTTTTCTTTTGCAAAATTACGATGTAATAAAAAATTAAATTAATTATTATGTAATTTCTCTATTTTTCAAAATAACCTCGCATGCGCTTCTACAGAAGCACAACCATAAAATAAATCAAGACATTTCAAAACAAATTTTAGTCGTGCTGAACGCAAAAAGTGTGCTCATTATAAAGCCTGGCGCTGCTTGAAATAGATTAAAATATATGCTTTATTTTATATATTATAAACAACAAAGTTTAGTCCAGTCTTATATCAGTTAAAAACTGAAGTAAAACTGCAGCTGTCTAGCTCTAACCTTCTCGCGTCGCACGATTTATAGCAATAAAAGTAAAAGTAGTTTTGATTTTAAGATTGTAATAAACAATTTAACTTTATTCATAAGATGCGTATTTATGCTATATCTACAATATATATTGTTTTATGTTTAATAATCAGTGGAGGATGGGTATAAGAGAGAGTAGCTCATTAAAGAGAGGGAGAGAGAGCGAGGGAAATTCTTATAGGCTTTTCCCAGCAATCTCCAAATATATCACCCAAAAAACATTAAATCGTCACTTCGCACGCCTAAGTTTACAGCTCTTTTTTATGATATAAAGACATTATTGTACAGGTTCGTATTACTCTGGTATTCGTGTATTGCAATTGCCGTGATACATTTTGATGATGCCATCACAGCGAAAATACGAATCAAATATGTTGCTGTAGCCGTGATCCTTCCACCAGGTGCAGAGCTGCCTGTTCCAGACACAGTCTAGTCGGTAGATTAGAGTCGGGTACTCATAGCCTAGGAGTGTAAAAAAGTCTTGGTCCCCGAGGTGACCCTTAAAGGAATATTTAGCCACCAAACGATTGATTTCGTATTGCGTCAGCATCTCGATGTATGTCTTGGAATCTCTGATTCGATTTAGGAGTATAAGCACTACGCCGGAGTTAAGGCCTGGGTAGCCATGGCGTTCTTGGCTACTAGATAACAATTTTTTATTATTATTATTCTTAACTATTTGCATCGGTTGATATGGATTTCCGAAATTCGATTCGGGAAACTGGGTACGATAACGGTATAGTATATGCCTATACACTGGCGTAAGTTCGGGCGCCAGACCAAATAGCTGGTGTGGCAAGAACCGATCGAATTCTGCGAAGAGCAAACGAATATCTGACCGAAAGACAATATCACAATCGAAGAGAATAGCACGGCTGAGGCTCGCGTCGGCGATGCGATGCAAGCCGAGCGACATAAAAAAAAGCGAATCACTATAATACGAATTGGGAGCTGAGCTAAAATAGGGCGACAATTTGTCAGTTATATCTTGAATTATATTCGAACAGATTTGTATATTATACATGGAGTAGATCAAAACTCTTTTGAAGCGTCGCACCTTTCGCTGCAGTATCTCCAGCACAGCCACCTCGCTCTCCTTATCGGTGATCACGTGCAAATGCAGTTGGGCATTCGTATGCTTGAATAGACTATGTATAAACAGATCGAATTTCATATGCAATCTATAGTTCTCTCTGGTGTAGATGACAAATATGTTGTAGTTCGATGTGACTGGCTTTAGAATGGAGCTGTAGTTCAGTTGAGCTGCCGAATAGTTCAATATGTATTGCATTGGCTTCAAGTGCTGTTGATTCGATGTACTTGGTTCTTGATTACTATTCGCAAAGGCTGTTTGCAGCTTGCCAATGTTTGTCACATGGCTGAATCGATTCGATAGAAATACCGAAAAGACTTTGTTCCGAAATTCGTCCGAGTAGGCAAAAATGATTAGCAGGCAAATTAGAAAAAGCGTCACAGACAGCGTCAGCTTCTTTTGCCATTTACAGCGCAGCAAAGGCCACTTCATTGGATGGACTGCAACGCGTCTATTTATAATTAATTTAACGCTCTCGTGCTCCTCCAGCAGCTGAGATTTGCACTTTATATTGAAGTTCGCTGGATATGTTTCGTGTTTCCGGCTGATGTTGAATAACGGGAACTTTGCCATTTCAAGCAGCTGCGTTGTACCTGATTGAATGATCAATTTCAGTTAAGCAGTCAATCTAATATATTTATCATACATATCTAAGCGTGTTTCACCTTTTCAAGATATTGTCATTTGTATATGATATATTTGTATATATTATTAATATTTTTTTATTTATTTATGTGTATATTAAATATATGCTAAAAAACACTGAACGGAAACCTTACGGATAAAACACAACACATATTTATATAAAAGTATTTTTATGTTTAAATTGTATACATGAATAACTTGTTTTTTGCAAAAAATCAATAACAATTAGACAAAGCTGTTAGCGATGTGACAAAGCGCCAACTGAGCGATAAATCGATTATTTAGCGGCGATTACTCACAGCTTGCCGCGAAATACAAAAAGATGAATGGTAAGTGAGAGAGGGAGGGTTTGGGAGTTCCCTAAGGAAAAAATCTCAAATGTCGGATAAGTGTTAGATAGAGTAACTGTGTAATGAACAATAAAATGTATCTAGGTGTTAATGGAATATAAATTATAAAAGCATTAACTCGGACACGACACAAGCGAACAGCTTTAGATTAAAGCGGACTCCATTCCCCAGTCAGGCAGCAAATGAATCTTGTATTGGTTCTACAGCTGACAGTTAATTTGTGTTCAAGCGAAATAAATGTAAATCAAAAACGTCTACAGATATTGGTTTGGGAAATAAGTATGTGATATTGCGAAAAGCTTTAATTTATTGACAACAACATTTTCGATTATAATCTCATTTTAAATTATCTTTCTCATTCTTCTTCTGTTTTTGGGATTTATGTGCTGAAATATAGAAATATTCGTAGTTATTCTTGTTAGTTTCTTTGTATCTAAAAGGTTGTGAGCAGTTCCTCTTGAATGCTGTTTGATCGTAGTAGTTGAGAAGGTGTGGGTGCGCCTTCGACTGCATAGAAGGACTTGGATGTTGAAGCAGCTTTGTTCTTGTATTCGTGATATTCATCGCAAATAGTCTGCCGAATAGATTTCAGGTAATGTTTAGATCAAATTCAAAGAAATTCATTTCAGTAAAATTACCTTTAGTCGACAGCCTAAGAATACGGCGCGCTCACGTTTTCTAACCATATAATCGGAGGACATCAGCCATCTGTGCTCCAGACAGTCATCAGTGTATGGTCGTTTCCTATATTTAGAGAGATAAATGTATTTAATGAGTTTGTTTACTTTTCAAAGCATTTTATCTTACGTGGGATGTCGCTTAAAGAGTTGCATAATGAATCTGGTTGCTTCCGGAGTAACCTCCTTGAAGAGATTCTCAAAACGATATCGCACAAAGGAAATGTTCTGCTGAGTTTCGTAGTCGTCGGCGCCACGGAATGGACTAGTGCCAGATAGAAGTAAGTAGACTAGCACGCCCATCGACCAAATGTCGCTTTGTGGGAAGACAGGTTCGTCGTTAATCATTTCTGGCGGCTGGAAGTCCAACATGCCAGTCGGTGTTATCTTGACGCCCAGCTTATTCACTCTCTTCGCTGAGCCGAAGTCGACAAGCTTCACTTGAATCGATCTAACCGATGCCATAACAATATTGTCTGGCTGTATGTTTAGGTGACAATATCCACGCCAGTGCAAGTATTGCAGCGCATCCAAGAGCTGGGTGATAACACACGCAACCATTTGTTCAGAGTATTCATGTCGACTAGAGAAATAGGTAAGCACATCGGCGCCCTGAAGTTTTTCCATCAAAAATATGGCGATCGGCACATTCATGGGCTTATAGGCGCCAAATAATGCGGGTATACGCTCATGCCTTAGCGTCTTAAAGTTATCAAACTCAGCGACTATTGCCTCTTCATTGTCATCAGTTACTTCAAAGATCTTTGCGACAATAACTGTATCTGTGGATTTCTGAATTCCCTTAACAATGGTGCTGAACTCTCCGCGCGCGATCTCAGAAATGAAGCTGTACTTATCACTGACGGACGCATCAGTTACCCAGTTAGGCGGCTCGCGCTCACAATGATAGTCCATGTGCACACGCTCTTCCTCGAGCACCACTTCTTGACCCTTTTCTGTGAGCATTTGCAAATGCTTCATGGCCTTGGTAATGTGAACCTTGGGTGAATCCGGTCCAGAAGTTGTTGCATTTACGGGTATTCCCATATCACTCCAGCCTATGCGATTCTTCGACGCAAGGCGAATTTGGTAATTCGTGTTAGGCGAGAGCTCGTGTAAGAGATAGAATTCATGATCGATATTATCGGCTACAGTTGTCCAGGCGTCAGAATTTTGCATTTTGTATTGCAGACTGTAGCACATGACTGGAGAGTGTCCATCATCGCGCGGCTGTTTCCATCTAAGTAGAATTTCCGAGGCACTCGTTGCCGAAACTTCCGGCGAGTCTGGTGCATCGGGGAGAGTTGCAATCACTATACGACATCTGGCCACAGTCTGGCCAACCTTGTTTCTGGCAACAGCCTTATAGATTCCAACATCGAAATGACTTGCTGGCTCAAAGCGCAATATCGAGCGACCATCCTCATCGAAAGTGATCTTGATACGTTTACTCTCAGTCACAACCATATCATTCTTGAACCATTGCACACATGGCTTGGGATCGCCAACTGCAAAGCAGTGAATATGCGCTGGCCTGTTTTCTGTAATGGCAATAGTTTGTGGCTTTTCTCTAAAGAAGGGTGGGTAGCCTTCGCGCTGAGTTTCTATCATCGCATCTGCCTCAGTATATTCATTTAGACGTGGCCCCAGCTCGGTTCGCAGACGTCTAATAGAGTACGAATCATTAGCGGAATACATGCTAATGCGACTCCTTGTGCGTTCATCGTCAATTTCCTCATCCATTATATCAGTAAAGCGACGTCTTTCACGGATAACTGGGAGCTAAAAATAATATTGATTTTTAGGGATTTCCTTGGCATTATTCACCTTTTCTAAAAGATACTTACCGACCAATCAACTGAATCGTTTAGAGCAAAGGATGGCGAACGTCTGTGGGCGACCTTCATGTACTCGCGTAGTCTCACGGGGAAGCTTACATCTCTTAGCTGCAGTAAGTAGGTATCGGGACCATATTGATAGCTTTAATAGAAATTCAAAAAAATTAGTCCATAAAATTATTGCCTTTATTTTTAGTTTTACGTACTGGCTCTCGGATTGTATGAGACCCAACTCATAATCGGGATGCAGGAATTTAGAAACAACTTCCTTAGTTCTGGTACGCGGTTCGATGAAGGGTTCGGGCGTATTTTCAGGTGTGTATGAATGTCCAGGAGGGTATACCATCTTCGAAGGATGTTGGAAGCATCCACTTAGGCGACGACGACGGAAATAGTTTTTGCAGGAAGCATTTGCATACCAATCCCTGAAGTGGTCATAATAGTGCTTCAAGCGATCCGTTCCAATTTGATAATCTTCATCGGATGCCTTTCTATCGAGCATAAAGAACCAAGGATGCTTCAATGCGGTCTTTATATCCATACGTTCTTCTGGGCTGTATAGCAGCAGCCGGCTTATAAAGTCACGACCATCTTCAGATATATGTGTCCAAATGGAATCTGAGAAGTCCCAGCGACCTTCGCGGATTTTGGTTAATGTTTCTCTGTCATCAGCGCCCATGAACGGATTTCTGCCACCGAGCAGTATGTATGTGATTAAACCAACTGTCCACATATCATGTGAAAAGCTAACACCTTCCTTATTAACAACTTCTGGCGAGACAAACTCTGGCATTCCATAGTCCAGCGTTGACAAATTGTGCTTATTTATTTTCCGCGATAGACCAAAGTCAGATACTTTGATATAATCGCTGCCAACGACTGAAATCAGCAAGTCCTTAATCTAAAAATAGAGAGTCAAACGTAAATATAGATCTCTATATACCTAAGTTAAGGGCTATTTACCGTTAAGCCCATATGGCCAACGCCCAAATCATGCATATGCTCCAAGCCATATAAAGTTTGACGCATATAATTGGCAATGTCTCGCTCGGTGTAGTAATTCCTCATAAGCAAATTGTCCTTGATAAGTTCTCCTCCGGCAGCCAGCTCAAGTATGAGTGTGACGCCGCGATCATTTTCATACGCGTCATATGGCCGGATCAAGTTCTTGTGATTAAACATGTTCATCATATCGAGCTCATTTAACATGAATGGTCGCAGCTCTGGTCGTCCATGCATGATCTTCGCTGCATAATTATCGCCAGTTGCTCGCTCCACAGCATGATATGTTATACCCTGCGTGCCGCGGCCTAGCTCATCGCCAATATCGTATTTGTCCTCATATCGCAATTGTTTCGCGCGCACATATGGATGCCTGCCATAAGTCTTATAGATGTATTGATCTTCATTTTCTTCAATGTGCACCGTGACTGAGGTGCTTATAGAGCCGGCAATATTTCGCGCGCTCACTGAGTATAGACCTCCATCCTTGATTATGGAGTCGTGTATTGCAAGTATATACACATCGGGATCATAGGAGTGCATCTTAATACGTGATGTTTCAGTTAAAAGTTTCCAATCCTTATACCAATGCACTTCCGGTATCGGAATGCCTGTTATCCTGGCTTCAATGCGTCCATTTTTACGTGACATTATGAACGTTTCATTGGGACGCTTTGTGAATCGTGGATATTCGGCAATTTCAAGACGAACTCGTTGTCTAGCCTCGCCATGCTCATTTGTAGCCACTGCTTCATACCATCCAACGTCGCGATCTAACATGCTTTATATTTAAAAAAATATTTAGATTCGATGGATATCATTAAAAGATATTCTAGTATTTTTCTATACTTCGTGCCAATTCCCTTGCCAACTTACTTGTTAACGAATAGTGTAGCCTGTCCGTTACGAGTGTAGCTGTAATCGAATCTACCACCGGGTTCAATTAGACTGTCGTTAAAGTAATAGGTCATCTTTGGCTTGGGATAACCATAGACGAACCACATAAGTTCAGTGTTGTGTCCCTTGACTCCATATGATATCTCATTTTCGCGAAGTAAAAATCTATACAAAATTATATTATACTCATGGTATATTCTAAAAGTGGTTATCAAGTAACTTACTGAGGAGCCTGAGCCAAGCCATCGTGCGGGGGACGTTCAATATCAAAGTCCTTTGGAAAATAGGGCGAAGTGTCTGGTCTAAAGTCAGTGCCAGGTGGCAGATAAGTGTAGGTCTTCTTAGGCTCCGGTATAAGATTTTGTCTAAGATTTAAATTACATTAAATTATATACTCCACTTTGGTAAAAGTTGCTAAGTTACCTAAATGTCTGAGTGTATGGACTGGGATCGCTTACGCCAAATTTATTCTCTACGCGAATTCTGAACTTATAATCCCTAAGTGGATCCAAGTTTCTAATATCATAGCTGCAGCTACGAATGCCAGTTCTTAAGGTATGCCAATCGCCATCTGGTAAATCTAGTCTTTCCACCTAAGTGTGGAGAGCATGCATAAAAAATAGCTTCTAAGCAAGTAAGAAATATATTATAACATGCCTGATAGGTGACTGGATATCTGGGCGTCAATGGTACCGATGGCTTCCAGGACAAAAGCAGACGCCTATCGGTCATGCGAGATATAATGGGACCTTCTGGTAGTGGTGGTGGAGCACCAGTTTTCTTGTATTGCTTGAAGTCGCTATACTGCTCTCCCAATGGACGTTGATGTGAGTCAATGACTGTTTCAAGACGAAAACAAGTTTGAAAAGCATGTAATATTAGTTAACTCCAACTTCAGTGAGACCTACCATCATAATATAACTCGGCATTACAGATATCATCTCCATAGGGATTGTATATACGACAGGAATAACGACCCACATCATATTCATTAACATTTTTGATAGATAGGCGTAGAAGACCATTTGATTCCTTTTCAATATCAATTCTATCAGATGGGAATAGTTTTTGGTCGTTCTTAAACCATTCCACCTCCGGCTCTGGATAGCCTGTTGCACAAGCCGTAAACTTCGCCGACATACCATCGTAGACATCGCAATCTCCAATTTTCTTAAGAAATACTGGTGGCTCGGAACGCATATGCTTTTTGCTAATGGAAAATATCATAATATACAATTGGGATTTGGAATTTCGTGTTCAATAATATACTTACACTTCATTAACAATTTCTAGACGACCCTGAGTAATGTCCTTGCCTTCCCTATTCGAGGCAATGCACTTGTATTCGCCCTTGTCGGACGCTTGACAATCATTTACAATGAGCATGTGATGGTCTCCATCATTTTTAATAGAGTATTTGCTTGACTCCTCTATGGGCTTGTTGTCGAAGAACCACGTGAGTTCTGGATATGGAACACCAGAGACCGTAACTGGAATTTTGGCATTGTTTCCAAAAGCTTGTTGTTGATCAGATATCTTTTGCGTAAACAGTGGCGCCTTGTAGACTTTCCTAACATTAGCATTGCACTGAGATACATCCTCGCCCAAGGGATTAGCCAGCAGACAGCTGTATGTACCAGAGTCAGAGGCTTCAACTGGGCTAATGGTTAGACCTGCGTGCTTGCCATCACAAGTCATAAGCAAACGTTCGCTGGGTACTAATGGAACTCCATCCTTGGACCACATTATCTCTGGCATAGGGTTTGCAATAAATGGCGCAGATAATATCAGTTCTTTGCCTTCATCGGCATTAACATCCCGCAGTCCAGAGACAAATTGTGGTGCTTCCTCCGTGGCTGTTTCATCAATTTTCGGTGCAACATACAATTTGGCTTTCGAGGCAGTTGAACCTTCCGAATTTTGTGCGACAATTTCATATAATCCAGAGTCAGTTGGCAGTGTCTTGTCTATAACGAGGCTGAACGTGTTGTCAGGACTCTCCAGAATGGCAACATGCTTGTTATCGGGCAAGATTTCATGGCCATTATGGAACCACTGGAGTTTCGGCTTTGGACTACCAATAACCTTAATGTCCATCTTAACTGGGAATCCTTCCACACTCGAAGCGTCTTGCAGCTCGGCAACAAATATGGGCTTGGATTCCTTAGGAATAACTTCGACTTTCACAGCATTCTCTGCCTCGCCTTCCTTATTAACAATTACACACTTGTAAATACCAGCATCTTGGTCATCCACGGTATCCACACTAGATTTAGAAACATGAATGATCCATATGAATATTTCAGTTGAAAAATGGTCTTATCTTTGCTTACATCAGGCCAATTTGTCCATTGGGATTGTTGATTAAGTCAATATTTGCGCTAGGACGCAGGAGCAGACCATCCTTGTACCACTTGATTTCAGGAGCAGGAAAACCTGTGACTTCAGCGCTCAATTTCAATGGCTGGCCAACCGTGACAGATTGATTTTCGAACGGCTTCAAGAATTTCGGCTGCATTTCCTTGGCTGTAAAATTTAAAAATTAAAAAAGTTGTTATATTAATAATTTATAAAGTTTAAGTTATTAAAGAGATATCTTTTACAATTTTCACTAATACTTACGCTTCACTGCAACTGCGCACAACGCAACTTTCTGGCCATGTGGATTGGAAATGACCAATTTGTAGGCGCCAGAGTCATTCGGTTGGCAATTGGTGATTTCCAATTTGACTAATCCTTCGGGTGTAGTCGTCATTTTTACTCTATGCAGTAAGATGAGTTTATATAATTATATTACTCTTAAGTAAGCAAGCAAATACCTGGGATTTGGTGTGATTTCGTCGCTGTCCTTGAGCCATTGGATTGTCGGCAAAGGGCTGCCATCCACAGCGCACTCGAGGACAAGAGGTTCACCCTGCTGAGCGTCCAACGCACTGTTCAGTTTTTTGGTAAAGCTCGGTGCCAGCGCTTGCAAAGCCAACTCAAATGGTACTTTCGTTTCTCCAATTTCATTTTTGGCCACGCAAGTGTACTATAAGATAAAGATTTAACCTAAGACTGATATCATTGCTTATAGATCAGGGGTCTTACCGTGCCAGCAACGTTTTCCTTGAATTTGGGAATTTCAAGTGTGCCCTCGACTTGATCGGTTGTTGCGTTTGTAGATTTGGCAAGATAAACCTTTTGCTGGGTTAGTTTGTCGACAGCTTCAAGATCAATTGGCTTGCCATCCTTAAGCCACTGCAGAGCCGGTGCAGGCACGCCATGTACGACTACCTTTGTGATTGCAGGCTGGAAGTCATGAATGGCTTGGGCCTCTGGCGGCACTATAAAGGCGGGCTTTTCCACTGTAATTGGTTTTCAGTGTAAGATATTATTTTTTAGTGCTCTTATTTATATTTGACCTTACCTAGCACATTCAAATTAAACTCTGCATCAGCTCTGCCCTCTGAATTGATGGCTGCAATCGCGTATTTGCCATCGTCTTTTGGCGTGACCGATTGAAATACGATTCTGTATTTATCGGCGTCAACATCGGCGATAACCTCGCAGCTCTCATTGTTGCAAAGGTTCTCATTGCCCCGGGTCCAGGAGACCTTTGGCTTTGGATTGGCCAGCACTATTGCCTCAAAGCACACCGACTGTCCGGGCATGCACTTATGATTTACCAAGCCAGTAATTTCAGGCTTCGATAGGACATCTATGTAGCCGCTTGTGGCCATCTCGCCATACTTATTCTTTGCCTTAAGCTCATAGCGTCCTGAGTCCTTAATGTCAGCTTTAGTAGAATAAAGATATAACAGTTAGAATATATCCGACTAGCATATGCCCTGTACTTATAACACGAAGGACAATTTATAGATCATTTCCTTAGATAAATTTATAATAAGGTTTACCGTCTTGTATATTTAGCGTGCACGTATATTGGACTAAGCCGTTTTCTAATTGTTTTGATTCAGTCTTCAATATATTCTTTTTGTCGCCGCTAACTGGCACGCCATCCTTCAGCAAAATGATTTCCGGCAAAGGATCGGCGGTGAATACCACGGCTTCATTAACGGTTTCTCCCTTCTTCAATTTGATGTCACGCAAGCCGCTGGCAGCGATTATCAAGGGTTTTCTGTACTCAGCAACACCTAGAAAAATAGGTAATACAAGAAAATAAATATAAATAATATAAATATCAATTGAGATAGAGTTTTACCTGAGAGCGAGAGTACTCCCTTATGGCTCTTCTCGCCGCATTTATTTTTGATTACCACTTTGTATTCGCCAGCATCGGCTAGCTCCAAGGATTTCACCTCCAATTTATAAAGCTCCTAGAACATATATTATCATTACTTTCCGAAATACTTAAGCAACAAATGCTTATTTCGACTCACCCCGTCATTTGATATAGCAAAATGCTTGTCAGCTGCGATAGGCTTCTCGTCGTGATACCAAATCGCCTCCGGCTTAGGTATGCCCTTGGCAATTACTTCATATTTAAGAGGAACACTCTCGAAGCTGTGTATTTGGAAAACATCTATGTGCACAATCTCAGGTACAGCTATAAAATTGAAAGTTTTCATATTAAAATTTCAGATTTTATATATTCACAAAGCACACACCGACGAGTTAATACTCTTACTTGCTTACTGCTGTAAAGAATTTATATACAAAATAATTTATAATCGATCGATTTGAAAGTCGATTTTGATCAGATACATCGAATATGTTAGGAGCTGTGTCGTGCTGCCTTTGGTTAAGATATCGTTAAGAGTTTTTCGAAAATCCGATTTATTCTTCTTAAAATAGATCAGATCAGATTATGTAAGATGCAGTTTTGGTTAAAATATCTTGCAAACAAGTTTTCATACACATACACATAGACAAACTTAATATCCTGTTTCCAATACCCAATAAAAGTTCTTGATTCATGCGTTTTCCATGGGCTTGACCTATGGATATGGCAAGCACATTTGCCTCCATATTTATAATTATATATACATGATATATATACACCTAGAATATTAGCTCTAGTTGATACCTTGGACCTTGGTTTCTGTAGAGTCTCTATAAATATCAATCTAATAATATATTATTCTGGAAATATCATTCATTTTGCTTATCAAATAGCTAATTTTGTACAGCATTATTAAAGAGAAGCATTTATAGAGCATGTCATTCATTCATCCATTCAATTTATATACATTAGTTAGTTAAGTATTTAGAAATGTGTTTTCCTTTACCCCCTTCCTCTGCCTGCTCTGATGTAGCGAGCATTGTTTTTGTCACGGTTTCTTCCACGGATAAACAGTCTTTGGCTAAATTTATTAAAAATGTTTTAATTTAATATATTTTCTTAATTTTAAACGCCATTAATAAGCTCTAAACTCCACGAGCTTTGATAGAATTTCACTAAAACTAAAGTCATAGATCATTCAGCGGTATTAAAAGAGATCAGCAAAGTTTTTTTTTGTATATAGTGATCTCTAGACGATGACAAATAATGGGGTGTAATCAAATTTCTATAATATATATAATATTAGCAGGAATTGCTTCGAATGCACAGCAAATCAGAGTAGCTGAGATCAGTTGTGATCATATTTAGCCTTGGCTAAGTTTTTTTTTCAGCGCACGTTTGCTGCATGCAGTTGATAAATTACTTGAGTGAATTTTGGAATTTAGCGAAAAGGTTCTAGGTAATTTCTACTTTCTAAAAGCAATATGATTCTGAAAACTAAAATCTGTAAAGTTTCACATGTGAAAGTTGTTTTTGATGCAGAAATATTTGACAATTTTGCATTAATGCAAAATATTCAAAAATAAACTTTGTCTCTTTAAAAACGTAATTCATAAACTTGCAGTAAGCCTGCAGCTTAACCATCGATTGATATTGGCGAAAAATCATTTCAAGTCTGTTAAAAAATAATATCAATAAAAGTAAATTGTATCCAATATGTGGACGATTGCCCTTGACTTCTGCTTACACGCTTTAAAACCAAGTTTCTATTTCTAGCAAAAAATGTACTTACTCAAAACAAGAACTTTGCAACTTGACGTTGTCTCGCCGATGAAGTTAGCTGCCTTAACTTCGTACGTGCCGGCATCTTCAATTTTGGCAAGATTCAAAGTCAAATAGTAGTTTTCAATGCGTTGCGTATCTCTGGTGATTTTAATTCTTGCATCTTCATGAATTTCGTGTCCATTCTTAAACCTAGAATTTGTAATTTATCCAAGTGAAAATATTCATAATTCAATTAGGGATTAAGCAGTATAGTTACCATTTGATGCTGGCATCCGGATTGCTATAGATCTCAACTTCTAAGGTCAGCGAGTCGCCCTCCTTAACTTCAACATCCTTGAGTGCTCTTCTTATCTTTGGCTTGCCTGTAAGTTGTAGGAAATTGAAATTATGTATCAAAGCAGTTTCGTATTCCTCTATATTCGATTGCACTCACAGTTGACTGTCACCGTGCAGTTGTCCTCGATCATGCCGTAGTCGTTCATTATCTTGCAGCAGTAATTGCCCTGCATGTTGACAGCAACCTCCTTAAGGACGAGCTTATGAATATTTCCTTCAGTTGTTTTGAGGAATTCATTGCGCTTCTCGTCGATCTCGATGCCATCAATGAACCACTTGATGCTGGGCACAGGATAGGCATCGATGCCGACGGCCAGCTCAACATTGGTTTCGCCTTCCTTGACGGTAATATTCTGCAATTTCTTCGCCAGTTCCGGGGTGCACTTCATCAGCAGCTGCGTTTCGCTGGTTGCCGATCCGTGCTCGTTTACCGCCTTGGCGGTATATTTGCCAGCATCCACGCGAGTGGCGCCAGTGATCTTTAGGGTATACGTATTGCCGTCGGACTCGACCTTATATTTCTTCTCGGTGGTCTTGATTTCAGTTTGATCGTGATACCAACTCAGCTTTGGCTCAGGGAATGCATCGACGCGTACGGACATCTGTACGGTTTCCTTTTCGCCGTGAATATATTCCTCTTCGAAATGCTTGACAATAACTGGCTTCGATTTCACGGTGCAGTTCCAATACTCTGACGTCTGGCTCAGATCGTTGGTGGCTCTAATCGAATAGTTTCCAGCCTGTGATAGCTTAATATCAGATATCTCCACAGTAACTTTAATGGAGCCTTTGCCAACAGAATTCGTTGTAATCTTCACATTACTTTCGCCGGATATATCTTTGCCGTTGTTGGTCACATTTATATCAGGCTGCGGGAATCCTTCAACTTCGATTTGCATACGCACTGTCTCACCAGCTGAACAAACTATGTTCTCGACTTTCTTCACTTTCGGTGGGGCTGAACAATTAAATAAATAAGATTTTAATTTTAATTAAATAAAAAAATTTTAATTATGACTTTCAGTTAGCTTCTTAAAGATATTCCTCATCTAAAGTCCCTTACCTTTAACAGTCAAATTAATGGAGCTTGCATCCTGGCCGAGCTCATTGATCGCTTCAATGGTATATTCGCCAGCATCCTCGGTATTTATGCTCTTTATAACCAAGGACATGCTCTCCTCGTCTTCAAACATGAACTTGTGTCTGTCGTCGACTTGAATGACTTCGCCTTCGTGCTTCCAGAGCACAGCCGGCTTGGGGAAGCCCTTACACTGCAGTTCCAGTATGGCAGTGGCGCCGATGCTGGTGTTCGCCTCGCGATGCTCAATAACTAGGGTTGGCTTCTCCGGCTCCCTATTCAAAGTCTGAATCGCACCCTGCACTGAAAGCTCGGCGCTGCAGGAAATATTTCCCGTTGAAGTTTGCGCCACACACGTGTATAAGCCAGCATCTTCAGGCTTGACGTGCTGGAATACCAAAGCTAGCGAATCCTCATCCTCGCCGAAGAGCACTTTGAAGCGTTCTTCGGGATCGAAAGGTTCTCCATTTCGTTTCCATGAAAATATCGACTTTTCTCCACTCTGCAAAATTTGACCGCTCAGCGCACCAAATGGATTCTTAAAGTCTGACAAAGAAAAGCAAATAATGTGAAATTAAATGTTATTCAAATTTAATGAAATATGATTAGGTTGACCTAGAGAATGTTATATACGTACCCACAGTAGTTGCTGTCGCCTCGCAGCTGGCTTCGCCAAACTTATTCACTGCTTTGCAGGAATATACGCCAGCATCTTCTGGCTGCACTTCCGCAATGACTAGCTCATAAAAGCCCAAATAATCCTTTTCACGTATGATTTGAATTCTGTCATTTGTCTCAAGAATTTCCTTCTCATTCTTATAGCTAAAAATAGAAAATGAATTTTATGTGAGTTTCATTGTTAGTTTAAAAACATAATAAATATACACCAAATTGTGCTCAAGTCGGGAGTGCCAAACTAGGAAATACCTAGCCTAGAGCTACTGCTTAAAGAACTTTGATTTGTCAACTGAGCTAAGGCAAGACATACTCTAACAATCACTCAAATGTGCTAAAGCCCAAGATGTTTCTACTCTAAATTCTTCATTTTTCTAGGGTGTGGTTGGGCATATAAAATTGCAGCATTCAAAGTCTGTGCAGAGTCTTCATACAAAATTTTGGCATCTTTGTTATACTCACCTACTCTTGCAGAGAAAACCCGACATAAGATAGATCTTTATTATTTTAAAGAATTATATGCATAGAGAAACTTTGGCGGAAACTAAATTGTTAAGTTCAATTCATTTAATCAGAGTCTCAGTCTTATTCTGATTGGTTACCCTGAACGCTCTCGTTATAGACAAACTTTAAAGTTCCAAATTCTTAAAAGTTAATTTTCAGACCCAACATTAACATCTCATACATAACTAGAACATTTTAGATTATATAAATCATATTAAATAGAGTCGTAGAGCTTCTTTTACTTACAACTTAACTCTGGGCTTTGGATCGCCCAAAATTTTGACCATAAACCGAAATAGAGTATTTTCAATCATTTCAGCATCCTTCAAGCTAACCAAAAATGCTGGCGCAATATTGGTTTTCGTCTCGTCATGACCACCAACTGTTATAGTTTATAAGAAATAGAATAATAAAATAAGTAATAACAGTACTGACAAAGCTTACCTTGGCCCACAGCCAGCTGCGCGGTAACAGTTGTTGTTTCGGAGGCAGTTTGCGCGCGAACTGTATATGTTCCAGCATCATTTTCACTATAAATTCGAAAATTTTTAAAATGTTATCAAAAAATAAAAGCTTTGGTATAGTATTTATGAAAGCAGAAATAAAGTTTGCCAGATTCTGTGCGGTTTTTGCGGTTCGTTAAGTAGGTCAAGGCCAAATGCCTGTAGTTAAATCACCTGCAATTTTTAATATCCAAGCGATACGAATTCATTGGAGCACTTGTTTGTATAATGCGATCCGCTAGGCGATCGTCCAAGGCCTTGTTGTCCTTGAGCCACGTAACGGATCCTGGCTGCTCGTTAAACTGGATTTCAAAATGCGCTGTCTCTCCGCCTGCAAGAAACTCAAAATGATTAAAGCCATTTTCAAGGCAAAACTATTTTGTTCAAACTTACTTTCGACGTGGACGCTTTTCAGCATTTTGGTTATGATGGGCTTCTCAATGGAGCGCGGCGGCAGATCGTCCGATAAACGTTTATACGTTGAACTTTGCAAATACGACGCACGGCTTTCGGCTCGACTCTCGGCACGGCTCTCGGCCCGGCTTTCGGCACGACTCTCGGCCCGACTGGCTGACAACAGGTGTGAGTGTCCTTCAGTTCTATCTAAAGTAGTCCGCTCACGTCTGGTACTAACGCCATAGTGCTTGTTATCTACAGTACTATCGTAGGAGGTGCCCCTATCATAGTCCTTGTACCTACTAGTTTCTTTATTTACCAGACATGGGTTGAATGGAAAATAGTAAAGATATGTATGTAATATAGATTATAGAATGCGATCACTAAATTCGGATAAAACAGATTTAGAAATATGATTTTCAGGGAACTGGATAAGCAAGGATATATTATAACGACTACGGCAGAGGGCTGCCAGTTTGTGCTTTGAATGCATTTGGGTTTAATAAACATAGTATATGTAACATATATAATATATACTTGTTATAAATATATATTTATTTTTATGGTGTGCTGATCAAATTGAGATAATCGAAAACAATTTCTAAGCAACGCGCATCAGCCGAAAATTGATTAAGATAAATACTTTGGAAATTTATATATATTTATATTTTTATATTTATATAAACAATTTAAGAAGCAAGTCGAAACAAATTGGCAGCCCTCTCATATTAATCAAATCAACTTTGTGTTGTTGGGCTAACAAACGAAACAATTTATGTGGAAGTTAAAGGAGGCGTGAAGACTAGGAAAAACGATGTGCGGGTGGATAGCTGTTGACCTACCCCCAGAGATCGGCTGCTTTTATAGATTAAGCATCTTTGTAGATCGACTGCCTTTATAGATAGACCATCTTTATAGATCGAATAGATCAGTTCGGGACTTGACAAACCAGATAAAATTACAACTTCAGCAGATTTATCTAGTATTACTACATTTTGACTATAGATCACTTTACTATTATCTCTCTCTTAGTAGATCGATTAGAGAAAAAGACAATATTTGAACTTGTTAGAAAAACTTATGCCTTCCCGAAGATTTTTCACCATTTTCGATTTACTCTAAACTTAAAGTGCAAAATAATTAGGTTGTCTGAAAGTTAAAAGAGCTCTCCATAAGTCCCTCTTTTTCTAAGCCAAAAATATTCATTTATCACCAAGAAATAGTCTATTAAAAAGGTCTACTCTGGCGTCTAACTCATATTCATCATTATAATTTTTTCATTCTAAGTCTTGGATAGCTATTCCAATATTCAAGAAAATAGTTCCAATGTCATCATCAAGGACTGTGTAAGGAGTATGTGCTAGTCAGGCAAACTACTTAAATGTGTTTAAATTCTACACAAAATGCATATTAAATGATCTTTTTTTTTTGATGCGAGGAGGTAAAATACATTCAACACAAATTTAGTTAATGTTCGTATATATTTGCTAAAATGTTAGCAAAATATTAAAATACTTTTCGAATGTCATTAAGATTGTTTAGAACGCAAGGCATCTATTACATATCAACACATATTTGGTATTTGAATCAATCATAGACTGGACCTTGACTTACTCCAGAGAGTTTTGAATCTAACTTGTTTAGCTTACATCGAATACTTCTAGAGCCTCACACACATATCGTTTATTGTTGCCGTTATTTGTCAGTTGAAACTTACTTTCGATACGCCGTTTGGTAGCCAGTGAATAACTGGAATAGTTATCATCCATACTGCTAACACTTCTGCCGCGGGCCTCGAAGTCGACACTTGAGTCTCTGAAATCGTCAGCAATAGATTCAGTATAGTCGCCTTCAATTTCGCAAATATTTACAGGCTCTTCAACAATTTCAAAAATGGGTCGTTTCTTTCGAATGGGCGGATTAAAGATATGTACAAAGTCGCGAGCTTTTGCCTTTTTAACCGTGTCTTGGGCGTAATTGGTTGAATCGGCTGATTTTAAGACCGCTGTCTTAATGTTTCGTATCTTTTGCTTGGCATTGCGCAGCGATGTGTCTGAGGTTGATACGTCATAGATACCTTCCAAAAAGTTTTGCGATTTCTGTTCTAAACTTTCGGTATGAACCAGCACCCGCTTAATGGGCGGTGGCGGTCGCGGTGGCGGTGATGGTGGGCGAGCTTTAATAATTAGTATTTCTACGGTGGTTTCATACGATATAAGCGGAAGCGGTTGAAAGAAGCCAGGCATTCGAACAAAATGAGGAGGTATGGGTGGTGGGGGTGGACCTTGTGCAGAACGTTCGCCCCCATTCCTGAAAGCAATATCGGCAAGTTGATTATTCCATTGCGTTAATGAAGCTGAATCGGTTATATTAGTAAAGCTCTGATGTTCGCCTCGTTGCTTAGAGGTTTGCTGAACGCTATCGCTATCGTATATCGATTCATTGTAGCCAGGTATATTTGCCAACTCGATTTTGTTTTTGTTATGGGTTTCATGTGAATGGCTTAAAGTTTCTATTGGATTGCTTATTGGAATTTGTACAATTATTTCTGTATCGGTATAAGAGTTCAAATCTTCATTGTTCTTACCCTCGGTTAGAGTTTCTTGTTGATGAGATTTCTCTATCTCACTAATAACATCTCTAGTTTCAATCTCTTGAGATTTCTCTATCTCTCTAATATCGTCTCTAATTTCAATCTTTTGCGATTTCTCTACGTCACTAGTTTCTTTAAGCGTAATTGGAGTTTGCACTAGAACTTCATCAGATTTCTTAGACCCCAGTGATTCTATGGTTGGCTCTAGCTTTTGCTCTACTACTTTTTGGGCAACAGTCTCCTGAACTTCTAGTTGGAGCTTTGAGATTTCATTTCTATTTTCAAGAAGCTCTTTGGATTCATTCGCGGAACTTTTAAATGCGCTAGATTCAAGCAGCACCACAGGCGCCACAGACTCTTGTTTATCTAGAGTGGAAGATAGCTTAATTTCACTTTTATTGAATTCGGTTTTCGAATAACTCTGGCTTTCCACCTTCTGCTCAGTTCGAATCTCTTTTTGAGTATTTATTTCGATATTTTGATGTGCAACACTTTGTATATTCTGCTGGGCCTTGAACAGCTCGAACGCTTCCTGTTCGATCTTCTTCAGCTGCTGCTCTTCAAAGAGCAGGCGTTCTTTGGTCTCCTTACTCAAAAAGTAGTTTTCGGCTACGTCGGATGGACGTATGTCTAGGTTGGGCTGATACGCTTCAACCTTGTGGGGCAGACGAAGTATCAATTCGTTCTCACTGGCAATATTTGCCGAGTCTACTTTCAGATCGTCTGCGGTGTGCTCTTGCAGGGTCACGACGTGGTTGATATATGACTTGATCTCATTATACCAAACTCGATGACCTTCCTCGTTGTGAGGCTTGATAAATAGCTGCAAATTGTTCAATTCGTCTGGCGATTTGGACGAGAGAAATAAGCGCTTTTCCTCGATTTGATCCTCAATATTGCACAACGGAAGCTTTATAATATTTTGCAAAATAAATATCGATTTCTTCTCAGAGATTTTGCGAACTTTTGTTATCAGAATTCTTGACTTGAACAGGAAACAATATCGTTCATGGGTTTTACCATCCTTATCTGTAATCAAGCAAGGCTCATGCAGCAATAGCCTGCCCAACTTCTGTATGTTACCTCTATAGCCCTCAATACTCGATATAAATATATTATCATAGGCTCTACTCGGCACGCTAAGCATTAGTTCTAAAGCTCTCTCCAAGTCCCTAACATTATCTTTGAAGCATTGAGATAGTTTAATTAGGTCCTGTGGATTAAACATTAAACCAGTTAATTAATTTCAAATACAAGTTACATAAATTATATTAATTTCTGTGTTACAAATTAATCGTGCATCCCGTTTAACTTTAGTAAAACAAACAGAAACAATCAATGTATGCCGAACCTTAAACAGAAGCTTATAGTCGTTGATTCTCTGAAGTGGAAGCTTCAAGTGCTCAGATAGCGATTTGTCGTCGCCCAGCTTTGCCGAAAGTTCCTGAAAGAGTGACAACAAAATTTCAAGTATTATTCGGAATTATCAAATTTACGTGCCATAAATTAAAAATAAAATTAAAAGTATTTATCTTCAAAATAAATTGGCAAAGTTTCTAGTCTAACAATAAATGACTTAAGAATATTAATAATAATAAAATAGGCAAAATAAAAAAAACAATCAAATACATTTATTTACATATATAATAATTAAATATAAATATTAATAAATACTTAAATATTTATATATTAAATTTAATACATTTTTATTATCCTTTAAATATTTTTTTTTTAATTATTTATATATTATATAAAACTATATTATAAATGGATTTAATTGCTCAAAGCTTTGAAGCACCTCACTAAATTCCTAAGAGAATTTTAAATAATATATAAATAATAATTTAGAAATAAATTTTCAGTCTGGGGCCAATAAATTGTACAAAAACTATAAAATGTTTATACAATTTTTATTATTTGATCGAATTTAAAAAAAATTTAGAATATTCAATAATTGCAGAAACATCAGAAGAAACTATATATCATAGAAACTTAGCATATAGAGTTTCTATGATATATAGTTTCTTCTGAAGTTTCTGCAATTATTGAATATTCTAAATTTTTCATATATATCTCCTTTAGCAAATCCTTTATCATGGCTAAGAAATTATCTCAAGCAAAAGTAAAAAAAATGGGGTCTTTCTTTCTTCTGAAGTATCTGCAAATATGGAATAATTCACATTTCTAATATTACCCCTATATTCCTCCCTCTCATCATCTCATTCGCTTCAAAAGCTTATTTTAACTCCCAGAGTTCGATGTCTTAAGTATTGAATACTCAGCTTTGATTTATATTTGTATAAATTTTGTCGCCCCTTTAATATCCTCAACATTTCCAAAACATCCAAGTTATACGTATGGGATTGATGCAGAAGAAGAATCAGCAGAAAAAGCTCAGCGTTGGCATCAAATGCAAAGCAAGCGGCGTGCGTGCATTTGTGTGTTTGCCTCTCTCTGTCTGTGTGCACTGCTAAGCTAGATGGTTTATAACAGCTGCGCGATATGCCTAGCAGATACTCTGCTAAACGGCCCACACCGACTAGAACACTTCACTTCTTCTATTTGTGGTTTGTTTCCAAATTGCTTAATTTTGTCACATAACTTGACAGTGAAAACATGTCTATAAAATATGTGAAATTTCATTAAATTCCATGTTACATAATTTCATTTGATTATTTTTAAAGAATTTCACTTGTTTGTGCGATGTTTTCATGGTCGTATAGACGCTGGGAATACGCTTTGCTCTTGAATATAACCGTAGCTGACACTTGTTGTTGCTGCGCCACGCCAAGTTGTGTGTTGACCGATATAACGGGCAATGACTTACTTATTCTCGATTCACTTAGTATATATGGCATAATCCAGAACTTATTTACGAATGTCCTTGCAGATAGCTAGCTAGAGCATATGTTGCGTTGGATCTTGAGTATTAATAAAAATCACTTGTTGCAAATTTTACATACATAGCATATGTATGTAACTGGGTCATGTGTGTATGCATGCATGTAAATGCTTATTAATGTACATACATACATACATACATAGATAGATGTACGTATGTATGTCTGTGATTATTCCTCCACAAGTACAATTCCTAACTTTGAAAGCTAAATTCGTTCATCAATATAAATTTAGCACTACGCATCTATTCCCACACACACACACACACAGAGATCTATACATATTTGCAAGTTTATAGATATATATATTAATTTTGATGAATATTGCATAACTGTATTAAGTTAATAGAAAAAAACACATCGATTACGTTGTAATATTTTGAATTTTTATTTTACAAATATTTTGGAAACTTTTTGAGCAAAAAATTTTAGGTACCAAGGAAAGTAATATCCACGTGTAAAGATCACGAAACGATGGCAAACACAACTCAGAATACACTGAAGTGTGCAAAAGCTTTAATAAAGAGAAACGTCTGGATTTAAAAATAAACTAATAGATCCACATATATATATATATTATATATATGTGACTGACTGTCTGTATGTCTGTATACATAATATTCTGAAAAAGCATTGAACATTGTGTGCGTAAGTTTGTCTATTTGACCAAATAGAAATCAAATATATATATATATATATATATATATAGATATATGATTTACATACAGATTGCAAATACTGCAACCTATGTGGTTTCTAGATGTAAGCATGGGCAAAAGATATATCTATATATATATAAATTATATATACATATTATTTGAAAAACTTTTGAGAAACCCACTCACTCCGTCGAACGGACGTGAGCAAAATGTTTTCTAATTACTATTTATACAATTTTCTGCTAACTTTCTAGATATTTTTGTTTATTAAATTTTCGAAGAAAAAAAAGCTCGCATCGAACACAGTAATGTCTATTTTATACTCTGTCTTAATGTCAAACACATTAAAAATGCATTAAAAAACCAATTTATTTTTGCAAACATTAACAAATTTTGCTTTGACTGAAAGATATGAATGATATCCAATGTGGATTTAATTTTGTACATTTTAATATTATATTATATGTTTACTATACAAATCAAATCAATATATTTAAAAAACAATAAATATAAATGCATTTATACATTTCAGATATATAAACAAGCAAGAAAGCTCTCGGGTTGCTCGACTAGAAGCTACCTAAATAAAGCTACAAATATTAATGTATTAATATATTATTTTAATTTTTTATTTTTTCTTTACTTTTTACTATTATTATATATTTAATAGCATCTTATATATAAGTAAATTGGGTAATTAACAATTTTAAAGAGAACAAGGCATATATGAAACGTAACTGAAATACATTACGAAATTGATCAAGAAAAAATCATATTGCTAATGATCATTATGATTAATGATAATTACCAGTAATATTCATGATCATTATTCTGAATAACAATTAGTGCTAATTAATTATATTTATAAGGTACTAAAATACTAAAAAGTATATATTTTTAACAATTAAATATTAAATATTCATATTAAGCAATATAAAAATTTATATTGCCTTTATATAGGCGGCGGCAGCTCCATTCAAACGCGAGCCGAACCTTTGAAACTTTGCCTGAGTTCGTTTTGACACTCGAACATTGTGTGAATAATCTAAATGGTTTCTGCTGCTTCAAGCATTTTAGATAACTTTTCGGTAATTTAAATACCAAAAATACTAAAAATACACAGAGTTAAAGTATTTAACTACTCTGCTTTATCTCTTCTATTTTGCTTTTCTTAGGAATGCTTTAGTGAATAAGTTGAATATCAAATGTCATACAACTCAATACCCTGTTCAAGAATATATATATTTATTCTGGAATATAGGGTTACATACATTTGCACAAAAGCAATATACCCTAAATACCCATTTTGAATAAATATAATAAACAAGAAAGGGCCGCAGCAGTCGGTTGTTAACGACTGCCTAATACTTGTTCATTTGCAGTTTCATATTTCATGTAAGTAATTGCTCTTTCAATTTCCATTTAAAAAAGGTAGTCCTGCTCGACTTGCCTAAACATCAGTTAGTAATCATAAAACTTTAGCAGGCGAAGCTACGCAAGGTATACTCTTGCCTAATTTCAATGCGACCTTTATAATATATACAAATATATTCAGCTCACTTTGTTATATACAAATATACTTAGTTCACTTTAATTTCATTCACACGCAACAGCCAATCATAGGGCATATACTCCTCTCACTTCTTGAGCGAGCATACCACAAAACCGCACTGGCCACAGTCAATAAATTGCAACCTAATATTCATTCATAAACTGCCAGAGCTACATAATTGATTCTCTCTAAAGTTCGCAAGCAAACAAACCTGAAGAATATGTTGTATATGTATGAAAACAGGTGCAACTGATAAAAGCTTGAGCTTTCCCAATGCTCTAGTACATCCCACTCGATTCGCAGTGCGAACATATGCTTGGCCAATTAGAAGCAAACAACAAGAGCAACAAGTTTGACCTTCCGATCGAACATTAATCAACGCAACTTACATCAAACTTGCGGCAGAAACAAACAAGTTGCAAGAGGTTGCATCATGGTTGGCAAAGTTCTTTAAAATAGAAAACACTTGTTCGAAAAAGTTCGTACTGATCGAAAAGACAAGTTGTAAAAACGAGGGCTGTCACAAAGTCATATATATATATATATATATATATATATAGATATATAGATATATATTATATAGATTTAATAATTCCAATATAATGCCAATAGTTTTTAAATATTTCGTAGTTTGGTATTTATACCTTTTATATATATATATACCTTTTTTTTGTATAAATGAAATATTCCAAAACTGTTTCAATAAAATTTTTGTTATTAACTCACCCGAAAAAAATTTTGGCTTTCCACATTAGTCGCTAGAAACTCCTGTGCGAGTGGCTCATTTCGGCAATATTTCACATGTTTGTCAAAGTCACGTTCAAGTCTTAAGAATGTTTTGGCTATCATATCAGGTTGATTTCTATAGCACTCAAGGCCCTCCTTCAAGACCCTGAAGTTAGAGTTTATTTGAAATAATACAAAATTTATAGTATAATATATATATTAATATATATCTTACATGTGAAATTCGGCAATTTGTATGACATTACAAAAGATAATGTCTTTGCTGTCGCGTATCGATCGTGGTGTGGTCGGCTTATCAATAGCCTTTATATACTTATCGACTACATATTGTAAGTCTCTCGAGAACTCCTCCTCCGTTTCCAAAAGCTCGCCAATAATGGTCCTACAATATTTAATATTTTATATATTTTTATATTTTTTTTTTCCCTGTTTACCTCTTTTTGAAATCCAAATCAGCTTCGTTAGTTTTACCGTTTTCATTTTTACCAGAAGTAAACGTATTTGAATTAACTTCAAGGATTTCCATTGGAACTAAGCCCTCGCGCGCTGTTAATCCATCAGAGACTCTGATAAAACATCTGAAAGATTATATTGTTAATTTTTAGATAAAATTACAAATTATGTTTAATACATATCTTTTGTTTAGCTTCGTACTCACTTTGTTTCGTTAAGATTTTTTATTGTATTTACGAGTTCAACCAAATCGCCTTGCGAAACGCTTACCGCATCCGGTGTTTGAGCCTGATAACTTTGATTTACAAAAACTAAATCAAAGGTCTAAAGAAGAATAAAAATATTAGTGAATATATATTTTAAGCTTTTTTGTAGATTGTGACTGACTACAAAATACCCTCACTAAACCTCTGCTAAATTTGAAATCCAAGTTATTTGCATGGGCTTATCAAGATTTACTTATTTCTTATATAGTTTTCTTTTCTATTAAGTTTGTGCTCTTTCTCTTTTTAAAGAATGACAACTAAAGACTCTCGCATTCATGCATTGACTCATTCTCATTTCTTGCATTTAATTTAAAAATCAAGAGAAAGAAGGACAACAACACAACTGTTGATCTGTTCAGAAGAAGAGAGCTGCACACACAGAGAGAGACGCTCTTAACAATAGTGTTGAGAGCGCAAATGAGTTTACACTTGATTAACTAAATATTATGAAGGAAGTGAGGCTGAAACAACAAAAGCACAGTGTTACAGTTGTACAGAATTCAATAGAGAGAGAGAGAGGCAGACACAGGCGAGCGCTCTCAAACCAAAATGTAAACGAAAATAGAATAACAATATTCAAACGGCTTCAGACGACCGTTGAGCTGCCCACAAAAAAAGAGAGCAACGGAGAGCGCAAAGGAAAATCATACAATTGTAAGCTCTTTGGCTGGGCCATTGCTGTGGTAGCATAGTTATGCTCAACAACAATTCTAACTGAACTAACGGACTTTGAAAGGATACTCCACATGTACAATATAATAACTGTTCGTCTTTGTCTTCCTGTCATAAAATTAGCTTTAGTAGTTAAGGCAGCCGAGAGATGACGAATAAAATGTTTGCCATTTGTAGTTATATGTATGTGTACTATATATATATAAATAAACACAAAAGTATTTCAGTACATACATATGTCGCAATCTTCTGGCAATGACAGACGTATAGGCTATGTGAATTTATTGACATACATACACATGCATGTAAATGCACATATATACGTATGTATGCATATGTATATGTATATATGTGTACATGTATGTAAATGGTAAGTGCCAATACTTACTTCATTCATAATTGCTGCAGAAAATGAAGAAACGGGATGTTGTTTCGAATTTTTTTTCGTTAATTAATCACGCACATATTAGCTTTTTCAGTGCACATAGAACTTTCGTACATTCACGTATTCCTTTAGGGTTCTGAAAATAAATATTGCGCAACATTGCGTTTTCATTACACTTACACTAACACTTAATACACTTAATAATAAAATGATTTGAATGCATTAAAGCATTTAAATATCCGGGTCACAAGATTTTATATAAATTTTTTTACCGTCGCACAACGTTTTAACGATCTTATTAAGTGCCATCAATCGTCAACGACTTCTAGGCGACTGAACAACTAATGCTGATCGATATTAGCCGATCAAACAAATGGTTTTTTTTTCTTTTATTTTGTCTTTTCTAAAGACGAATCTCAAGTTATAAATAATGCACATGCACTATGCATTTATTTATATATATGTATTGCATACATTTTCATTCAATTACTTCATACATACATACGGTTTGGCATGTATGTATGTATGTGAAAACATACATACACATGCCCACACATATACTGAGCCCCCATTTAGACAGCTAACTACTGAACTGTGTAGGCATGTATATATGTATGTACGAATATTGACATCTCTGCATACTAAATGCATGCATAGACCAATACATAAGCATACACACATACATTTGCATGCAAGTACCTTATGCACACGTATAAACGAACACACAATACATGTACATACGCACACATACACATGCACACACACACACACACACACTTACATATGTCTTTGTACTCTTGTATTATGCATTTTCCGCCGAGTGACAGTTTGCTAAGTAGGAGGAAATCAACGAACTGCTTAATAAAATAAGATGTGAAATAATAATTAAAAACTATAAGTGCACTTTCTTGCTTTTGATATCTCAACCTTTCACACGTCAGGTGTATATCGTGAGCTAACAGGTATGTATCCTGAGTTCGAACCACGACCTGCTGCTCTAGTATATATGTAGGTCTATGTATGAACCCAGAACTAAGTAGTGAATTATTATCTTGTAAATACCCAATTATATCTATTCATTTTCAAAATATATTACTATAGCGAAACATTTTATATAAATTTCACATTATATTGTTACATTGCCGTACCTGAAAAGCAAAAAAATGCAACAATTTTGGAAGATATTAAAAATTCTCTAAAAGATTAATTCTACTAAATAACTCACATAAACTTTATTTTGTACGATACATTATAACGGCTACTATAGGTACTATATACATTTGCTTTTAAAAAATAGCATTAACATCCTTATAGTCGCGATCCCAGTAGTTGCCATTATAGAGCCAAGCCTCACTCTTTGTATACGGGCTGTAAGCCTTCTTAAACCATCTGCGAAATATACATGTATAAAATCTTTTTCATGATTTATTTTAGTCATATTTAAATGTTACCTTGGACCAAACTCATCCAAGCTGGTCAACTTTTCTTGTTTTCTGTAGTCTCTCTGCTGTTTTTCCAATCGGGTCTTTTCCTTAGATGCTCCATCTAAATCGCCCTGCTCCAAACATAATATATCGGGTCGTAATCGTGCGTCGGTGGGGCAAAGGGTATCTGGTGGTTTCATATTAGACTCCATTACATTCAATTGCAGAGCGAAGTTAGTGAAATGATAATACTAAAAAAAATGCATGGAATATGAAGTAATTTTTATCGAGGATTAGTATATTACAATTGTTCAGGTTCAGGTGCTGCTTCACAAAATGTTAAATGAATCGAAAATTAATTATGAATTAAATTTGTATATATATGTTTTAGAATAACTTGACTTTAGTAGTATATAATAGGAAATAGTAGTATATAGTAGTATATAGTAGTATATAGTAGTATATAGTAATATATAGTAGTATATAGTAGCATAAAGTAGTATTTACATTAATATTGACTATATAATTTGAATGTTCTTTTAACCTTATATACATGAAAAATCTTCGAATATTAAGTAAAATGTAAACAATTCGAGAATTACAATATTTTAATTTAAATGGTCTTAAAGGATCTTATTACCTCGCTGCTATTTGCAGGCCTTGGCCTACAGCTCCATAGCAAAATAGAATTGGGCAAGTTCAGACTCATGTCTGAATCACTTCTGGGCAGCCCATCGTTGGTATCACTGTGTGTGAATTCCTTATCCTAAAAGTTATAAGAAGTTTAACCAATTTTCTCTCTCTTCCAATTGATTCTTACCTCCTGCAGAGATAAACTTCGGAAGGAATCCAACTTAAAGCTATTCAATTTGGAAAACATTTTGCCTTGAGTTGCATTATGTGAGGCATTACAATGTTTCTCTTCCTCAAATTTCTTCTCCTGTTGCATGTGCTCCTCGTAGTCTTCCATTGAGCAGCATTTCAAGAACTTTGTCCATTTTCCATAGAGAAATAGAATTTTTTGCTGACTGTAAAAAAACATTTAAATGCGAACATTTCTAGCTTAACAGATTTTAGATTTAAAACATATGCGAGGGCTGCCTGAAAAGTTTTGAAGCTTGTATAAATAATTTGCCATCTCTATTCTATCTAAACTCGACAACTTTTCAGCTCAACCTCGCATTTAATGTATTTACTTTTCATCCTTCACAAAACCCTCTACCCTGTAGAGATCTTTGTCTGAGAGGCCTGATGATTTGAAGGTTAAAGTTGCAACATGCCCAGTGGAATGATTTGTTATCTCTATTGTTCCATATTGTTCGATCCAAAGTTTTCCGACAATAATATTGTGCACACAACAATTGACATTGCTCCATGTATATGTTTCGTTCCATCTGAGAATTATATATATTTAATAAATATATATTTATAAGTACTGAAGACTGAAAGAATCGAACTTATTGAGAAATTCGGAAGAATTATTGAACTGCTTGATTGATGATGATTGAAATATTTCAGAATTCCTTTATGATAATTCGAAAAAGTATTTAATATCGAAATTCTTATAGGACGATTAAACAAACTGAAATACCAACATTTCCTATGCAATTTTTGTTTTTTAATAAAAGAGGAAAATTTAAAAAAAAAAATTAAAAATTTAAGAAATAGGAAAACTATTTTATATATAAGGCAGGCTCAAAACTTTTTAGGATTGTCTTTATCGATGGTGGTATATCATATAGATTACCAAATACTGTGCGATGTTGGTTGATATCCAGCTGTGCAGACGATTTCCAATTTATCATGAGTTTCAATTAAGGAAAAAACCATGCAGAGATGCCAAAGTGATTTGTCACTTAGCTTTAAATAGTTCATTGCTTTGTTCGCGTTCCGGCGAGATGCTCCCAAGGGTCTAGTCACTTCAGTTCATTAATTATTTGAAAGACTTATGCCTCGGGGAGCTTGCAGCATTTCTTTCTGTTTTGTAATTTCTTCAACTTTTTGCGCTCTTTGTGACTCAAGTGACTCAAGCTATCTGCATTATTCTTACTTTTCAATAGATTTGCATATAAATTCTAATGAAAATCCTTTATACTCACTTTGGAAACTCCACAGTAACAACTCCAGTTGGACGTATTTCAACGTTTTTGCCGCTGAATTTAATTTTCGGATTTATTGAACCGTAAAAATTAAAATCATTGGATTCCGCATGAAATGCAGATATCGGTGGATGGTGCGAAACTTGCTCGCAAACAATGCGATAATCATCTCGTTGCAGCTCGTATGTTTCGCCAAGTATTGGATTGAATGGCTTGCCCAGGCGGTCCAAGTTAGACGCCAAGGCGGATACAGCAAATGCTGAAGATTGAAGAGCGATTTCGATAAGCTCTAAATCTATTTTATAGATATATATAATTTTTACTTGCCTGCCACATATTTCATGCGATCTACTGAATTATCTTGGTGGGCAGCGTGGGTCAAGACATTGGCATACTCCATATATTCACAGATTCGTTGCAGGAAGCTTAGCGGTTCATTCAGCTCGACTGGCATGGTTATCTTGCTCAAGTCCTTTCCAATGCAGTTCTTGAGTACGGACCAAACACTGATTTTCTTTCTGGATAACATTGGCGCTGGAAGTTTGAGGCTTAACGAAAATAATTTCAAATTCCCATTTATATAAGGATTTGGCCTTCATAAAGTTATCCAGACACTCACCGGCCTATGTATTCATTATCCGTACTTTCTGCCATCCTGCTTGATACAGACAGTCGCTTTCAAAGATAAGGCAGCTGCATACAGAAAACAGTCCGATTAATAATCGTACAAGTTAAGTTCATACTAAGCACTAACCAGCGAGCATATAGGTGGGAAAGCGCATGCAATAGAAACACGCAGCTAAATTGGTTGTGTTTTTGGCTGTAATCTCAAGTTGCTCTTCCACTGAGATTATCAGAGTTTAAGTAGCACATATTTAAGCTGGTAAAAATGCTTATCTATATAATTATGGCTATGCTTTAACAGCTCTTCAAATTTTGCAAAGCGGTAACTGTTGACCTTTGCTATAGTTCGCCCTGACATAAATATTATTGTAGACAGAATAGGCTTTATCTTTCACGGAATCAGTGCAAGAATAATCATGGATTACAGGAATATATATATTTGCAGAACAGAAACAAACCAAAAAGTACAAAATCCAAGCAGCTAAGATGTTTTCAATTAACTTTATAATAATTTAGATTTCAGTAAGGTAATAATTAGTTTGCATGATGGAACTAATTTTATAAGAATCCTGCCCTTTGGCATATTCCAAATCTTTACCCAATTTCCACCCTTTTTATGAGTGTCTAGAGAGAGAGTGAGAGTGAAAGCTTCTCATACAAATCGTAAATTATTTGACCTTTTTAAGCACTCTTAAAGTCGGCTAATCTGACGAAGATCTAATATATGTATTTCGTAAACCAGTAACTAAAAGATTTTAGCTATTAGCCATCTTTTGTAAGCTTTGCTTATCCAAATTTCGACACAAGTCGCCAATTGTATATTCTTTATAAATTTGCACAATAAAGAAAATGCAAAAAGACGTCAGGACGAGTTCGTATGCTCGACAAATCAATATTTCGCTGCTTTGTTATTGGTTGCTAGGCACAGTTTGGAAAACATGATAAATCATAGAATAATAAACAAAAGTTGTATGTAAATATGCGTAAAGCGGTTTTTATTGCTAATTCAAATAAAAATCTTTTGCTCTTTTCACTATATAAATTATATATTATACATAAAATTGTATATATGATTGTTCTGCACAACTGAAGTCCAATATTTCAATATAAAACATACATACATAAATATTAAAAAACAATTTGCACTTTTTTGTTTTATTTCTTTTTCCCGATCAGAAAAAAACGAAAATTTAAAACTTTGTAAACATTTCCGCTACTTCAGTCTGTAGCTGTTGTTATATTTATTTTATTGGAACAATTCGATTAAATCAACTCGCAGCGCAAAAGGCTGATTTTGCGCAGCTTATGGCGATGAATAGAAGTGATTTAGGGATGTTTGAAATATATCGAAGAATACGAATTTTTCCGTTTGATTTTTAGTAAATATTGAATTCGCACAGTGGTTCCAAACCAAAAAAATATTCATCATGTTATAAAAACAACAACAATTTGTAGAAAAAACGCAAAAAGTAAATTTTATATCATTTGTTTTAATTGAAGCCATATACGAAAGGAGGATTAGGAGCGCAGGAAGACGGAAGGGAGGAGGTAGTGTAGCAGAAACCGAAGGAAGAGGGTACTAGTACAGCAAAAAGTTATTCTATGAATCACTTTCTGCAACTCCCAATACCCAATAAGAAACACAAGCTGTATTATAGGTACACGTGTATATTATATGTCGTACATTCAATATTTGGTTCTAATGCTAAAATTATATATAAGTTGATTTAGTGTTTAACAATATGACGTTCAACATCTAAATTTACCAAACATAAATAAACAGATTACAGTCAAATTAATCCAGAAAACTAAATGTACACTTTTTAGTTTATGATAAACTGGAGAGAGCTATAACTTTACAAGATGCTGGCATCTTGATCAGGAATGTTATGTAGTCCGGTATCGGGATTGTCCCAGTAGTAATTGGGCGGGCCTTGACTAAAGCAATATTTCATATCCAGGGGTTCACCTTCATCTACGTAGTACATAAGGTAAAAATTGCACATTTCGTCTTCGTTTGTTGGGCTTTAAATAAAACAGATGTATAAACATTTATTAGACATAATAATAATTCTATTTTAGGCTGAAGCTATATTGCATGTCTGTACATAATAATATAAATTGTATATATATTCTTACCCAATTTCTGTTACGCGATGTCGTGTGCTTTTCATAGTACATCTGGCAGCGACAAAGTCACCCGCTACGATTGGCGAATTGTTCTCAACATTATAAAACATTTGAGGTGTCAGCGGATCCCTCTTTCCAAGTAGTGTCCATTCTTGAACTCCCTGAGCATTGGACCGAACCCTATATCCAGATACTACTTTGCCCAAGCCATGGGTATGCGTACGATATGCGAAAGGATGAATCGTTTTATTTTCAGTTATCTCACAGGCGGCTTCCATATGTTCTGTCTTCATTGGCGGAATAATGCCATCGGTACCCAAAAGCAAGGTACCAGCTAATTTTGTTAGACTGTGAAAGGTAATAAAATAAAATAAATCGTTGCTTATTTGATACGAACACAATGCACTAACGGTTTTTCCGTGTATTGCAAAAATATGCCCGAATCGTCAGTGGAACCATCTAAGTGAAACAATAACAATTTAATTTAAAGCAATTGAATATATATTTTTTAGTATAAATAACCATACCTTTGAATTGATCAACGTGAGCGTAATGCACTTGCAAGACCAAATATTTTGTTTGCGAATTCTTGCCTACTTTGAACCCCACACCCGAAGGTAGATCCAGTCTAGGGGCATCTCTTGCCCAGGCATATAATATCTTTTGAGAAAAGTATACAATAATAATAAACAGTAAGACTACATATGGCAAATTCCACCATTCATTCATGAGCAAAATAATTTAATAAGCCCCAACCTAATTATAAGACGGATTTGGAACACCGAGGACGGAGTAGATTACATTCCTAAATGTACAATGTTTTTGTAAATCAACAAACCTGCGAATGTGACTGTGGTCCACAAGGGCTACCTGACTCTTCCTCAGTGGATTTAGACATTTCTCCACAGTTCCTGTGATAACAAATGTTTACAAATTTAAATTTCTATTCATATTCAGGACTTTTTATGTACAAATATTATTGATTGTACCTTAGACGAAGATACTTACCAAGTTAGTTTTGTATTTCCTGGCTCACCGCATCCATAAAGTAGCATATGATGTGCCGTGTTCATAGTTGCGTTTGGCTTGTAACCAACTTTAATCACAATACAAATGATTTTGATTAAAACTCCGCAGAAAAGCAAACATTTATCATTTAAACGTACCAATATAATACGACGTTGTTGGATCAACTTTGATAGGGGTACATAAATACAAATCCGGCTATAAAATAATGATATCATTGTATTTGTTAATTAATCATATGTGAACTTAATATTTTTTATTTGTATAAATTGTTAACAGGTGTGAAAAAACTCGTCACCTTTTCTTTACTAAATCTTTTAGGTCAAGCAAATCTTTTTGATTGCAAAATATAAATATTGTATATAATACGTATTAAAGGCTAACTTTTTAACAGATTTTTCGTAATTTTCTTTACTTGAAATAATATATATAATCTTTGAATCATTTGCTACAACTCTATGAATCAGCCTGGAGGGCATGTAGTATACCTCTTATTTTGAAGAATTCAAAACTCATAGCTCTGATTATATTTTAGCTAATAAAATAAAGGGTTCAATTGCCCACGAGTAAACAGTCAAGTTTACTCGTGTCTGACCTAACATGAAACATATTGTGCAAGTAAATTGACGAAGGCCACAACAAATATGCTAAAGTTGTGTGATTGGTAAATAAAATGAAGTAAGTTAGTGAATGACATATGTTTCAAAACACAATATTTAGCTATAATTAACTGATTTTGCATAGATTGTTTTAGTAATAAATTGTTGAGTACTATTTCAACCAGTGTCAATATGTTATCTACGCAGTGATAAGAGAAAATTCGAACGTACGAGATGGGGGTTCACATCCATATGGTAAGGTTTGTCGTTTTGTCGAAACAAGCCAGGAAAATTTCATTTTTAGATTTTATTTTTTAAAAAATCGATTTTCACTTATGCTCGGACGGACAAAATTCTTATCTATTCACATACATATATACATGCATGAATACACACATATACATACATAAATATACGCGCGCAGCAGTGATAATAATTGTTTGGCTGGGTCTATATGAACTTTACAACGTCAATTATTTTGTTTCTTACAGTTTTTGGAGAAACCGATGGCATGAGGAATGGAAATGAACCAGTCAGGCTCTCGGTTTTATCTTTGCCATAATTCCTTCCATCTGCTGAATACGTGTGCAATTGGCGATCCACCAGCGCAAAGGCTGCTATGATATTCCACAGAAGTATGCAGGAAACACATTTGTATAGTGTCATTTCAACATGAATGTTTATTTACTTTGCTGAGAGATTCAAAGTTCTTGATCAAATGAAAGCTAGCTCTCATTTATTGAGACATATGTTTTTAAAAATATTTGGTCGTTTTCCGAGTATACAATGTTCTAAACTAGAGATGAGATGACACGTATTTTATTTGTATTCTTCTAGTGCTGGCCACTTTCGATTGGGATGCTGATTGTTAAAATTGATCGATATCATAGACTGTTTTCCTCCTAGGCAACACCAAGATACTAAAATGAAAAAAATTATTAAAAGGTGTAATAATAATGTAATATGCATTTATAGATTGGGATTAAATGCAGATATAAATTGTAGAGATCCATTTAAATTAATTGATGAAGTTACTACCCCAGTTTACTATTTTAATATGTATGCAACTTTAAATGAATTTAAAATTAGTACACAATAGTATTAAAGCCCCGTCAATGTCGAATTTAGTTTTAAATATGAAGTCGTTTACATAAATTTACTTTAGTATGACCCATAGAAACATTTACATAGTCATGTGTTAAATAGGCATTATGATGCGATATATCGAACTGTTTACGTATATACATCGATATTTTATTAAAAATCGAATCATATCGAGCATCTCTAATATAGTTTCGGAATTTATTGTATTGGTTTAATAGTTAATATCTCAACTTATCCGATCATTAAGGAGCTAAGATAATTATATATTAAAGTAATGTATTTTTTAACAAGTAAAGCTAATGATTAACATTAAATTGCTAACCGACACTAACGTAAATATTAATTGTTGTTTAGTCAATTAACATTTGATTGCAAATAGTCAATAAGAATTTGATGGCGTTTGGTAAGTTGAGATGCGACAAAACCGTACAATAGTCGAATGCAACGCTAAAACTAGTAACAAACGCAATAAAAGTAGGCATTGCCATTACTTTTAGAATTATTTAAAATGCAGTGATTTTTGTCAACTAAATTCTTGACGCATTCTGTAAGATCAGAAGAATCTCACTACAGCGCAGAATTTAATCATATTTTGTAACATATTTTATATGGTATAATACTAATTATTAAATGGTCTTCTCTGCCATAACACTTACAAAAAGGTATCATTTTAGTTCTGTGTGAACTCGATCAGTTCGAAAGAATAGGCAAAGAGTTTCATGCAACAGTTATAAAATATCAAAACATATATATGTAAAAAAATAAAAAAAAAACTATCTTCTATTTGCATATATCAGATTAAGCGTTTTGAGAAAGTATGTTTACCTTACTTAAGAAAAGTATAATTAGAATTCATAGATTTCGGAACCGCTACCACGCCGTTGAGCACTGATCCTATTAAATGAGAGTGCTGAAGTGGCCTGCGAGCTGCTAGTATAGCATGGAATGCAGGATTCTGGTTGGGATCAGAACCCATCCATATTGAACTGCCGGTTTAAGTTGCTCTATTGGATAATTATTTCATACCTAATAAAGAAAATCATAAATTAAAATTTATATATATATATATATATATTTTTTTAATTTCAGAGCAAAATGGACGAAAATTTGAATTCCCTGAGCGACCTCGAAATACACAGAAAATTAGCACAAATTGGATATCCTAATATTCCAGTGACGGAAACAACAAGGCCCATACTTATCAAGAAACTAATGAAACATATTAAAAAAGAAAAACTTCAAAGAGTAAAAGTCAATAATTATGTACTCTACTACAATGATAAGCAAAATACGCATCCAGCAATTCCAGTACAGGAAAATTTGAATATAATTGAAAAGGAACAAGAGAACAATAAGATTAATGCACGTTTAAATTCTTTATCTCACAGAAGTGATTCAAATGAGAACATGGGAAAAACTGGAGGATTATCTATGTATGCACCACCACCGCTCATAGCGTCTCATTATGAAAATGAAAATGAGCCGCATTCTTTGAGCATTCATACCCGTAAGCCGATATATCCAGCAGAGAAACCAGCTCCCTATTATAAGCTATATGAAAAATCAAATAACTGCGATGGAGGTGTTGTTAACAGACTCCTTAGCTTTCGGGATGCTTCGATTAAGAAGAAAATCATGTTTAAGGACGGATACTCCGTACACTCGTCAAAGACATTGATGCGAAACGGAATCGTACAGAAATTGCTATCGTTTGACTTGAAATCGTTTCTTAAAAAACCAGATGCTAGCCAATATATAATACCGCCTGTACTTATTGGATCGCTATTCATATTTTTGGCATTGATTTGTGTTTTATACACGGCAAAGAAATTCGACCTGAGCCCCATTACACAAACGGAAATCAAATATACCATATGTAATGTAAATGACAAAGATCTACGTCCTTCCACGCAGAAAGTGAAGTGCATTAGCGAAGATCAATTTAATAAGGCATTATATATATGTAAGGAACTCTTTGGCTATCTAAATGAAAGGGCTAGACTACATCATTGCATAAGCGAGGATCATTCTGCGACGGTTGAAATGAGTGACTTCAAGAAGGCATTGAGCAGGAACAATGAGATCCAAAATGGCAATCTACAAAATAAACTATTAGCTACGCAGTACCTAATTGCGCAAAATCCGCAGTGGATGATAAAAACAATTGTTTCCACCTACAACTCAACAGAGCCAACAATATCGTTTGAGCTTATTGAACCAAATCTACCATTCAAGTGCCTTATCTTAAAGAAAATGACACGATTTTTTACGGTTATTGGATTAGTAATTCTCACAATATCTGGATTTTTCATGATTTATTTTCTATCCACCGTTTATCGCATGAAACAAAAAGAAAGTTTACTCTTAACGGAACAATTTAAGAAAGATATTATCAATGAACTAATGTATCATAGTACACATACAGAAAACTCTGAGATAATAATCAATCAGTTGCAGGACAAATTTTTGCCACCTCATAATCGCTCGAAGCTGTTAAGTTCGTGGAACAAAGCGCTGCAGCACTTAGAAGCAAACGACAACCGTGTACTATTTGGTATGATAGTACGAAATGGAGAACAATTGCGGACAATTACATTTAATAAGAACATTGGCAACAAGGACTTTAGTACATCAAAGAAATGGCAAAGTTCTGCTTTTGATAACTCGAATAAGATCGTCAATCCGCCCACTTCCTGCTTGAAAATTAGACACATGTTCGATGCATCCGAAATAAAGGAGCCCAATTTGAAGCAATTGATAGTCGAATCAATATTTGAAAAAGTTGGATCCAACTGCAACATATGCGATATCCAGCTGGATACTCAATCCTGCTGCGTATACATTCGTTGCGCAAGTGAAGCGGACGCTGGCATTGTGCATAATGAAATCAATGGATGGTGGTTTGATAAGCGTCTAATATCCATTAAGTTTCTTCGACTGGAACGCTATCTAAATCGTTTTCCCAAATCTCTGTCCAATTCTTTATATTTAAAATCTTCTAATGTTAACTAACGTTGTATTGTAAAAATTCACTAGGAATTTAAGATATTAAAACAAAAATATATACATATTAATTTTTGATTTACCAAAACACATGTTGCGTAGATTTTTGAAGTAGCTTTTAGTTAATTTTTAATGTGTAGAGAGTTAAATAATTTCTGCATATAGCTTAAGATTGTCGTGCTCTCCGCCAACTATATATGTATATAATAGCACAAGACAAGCTGCAGAGCAGTCGACGCGCACGCAACTGCACTACTAATACTGCAAAGATGCTCTAATTATGCATTGAGAGAAGTGGAGAGAACAACTTCGCGAATTGCAAATTCCTTTACAGCTTAAGTCAGTAGAGCCACCGCCACCATGAAATGCCGATTGTATTGCTGACTGCTGAGCACAGAAATTCGCACATAGATTTCGTCTGCTGCTGAGCTACAAGCTAGAAGTCAAATCATTATTTCCTTACCTTATATTTTGATAGGTATGTTGTTTTTACTTCAAATTTAACTCACATTTGCCGAAATTTTGAATAGATGTGGATAAAATATCAAGTCGTGTTTTGTGCAAGTTGAATTCGTTCAGGCAGCTTTATAATCTTGCCTCTCCACGCTATAAACAACATCCACCTAAATTGATTGCATATTTCGAAAGTAATTTAAAAGTATTTTTATTTAAAATAAATATAAACAAAGAAAACAATTTTTGACAGAATTGAATAACAAATATATACATTATCTGAAAAGTTTTTAACTTATATATTTAATAATTGCTATTATTATTATTACGTCAATGACAGCTGAATACACAAAAATTAAGTACTAATATGGGCATTCATAAAACTAAACAAAGTTGAACTTAAAGCTTTATAATTGATCGTTGACTAAAGATCTTTAACATATTTACAAAATTTACAATATATTATTAGACATTAATATCAGCTTAGTGCTGCTCATGTGCATACACTAAATGCTTTATACGATTTGTATTTCAAGTAGTGTTTTTTTGGTGTCCTGACATATAACTAACTTAATAGAGCTGGTAGCAGCAAGTCTCCTGGAACTGCTGCATACGAAAGTCGTTTATCCTCTGCTCCTGCTTCTGCACCACTTCCGCAAATGCTTAACTCTTCATCGTTACGTATGGCAAGTCAGCTGGCCGCCATAAACAGTCTCGCAGGACCCTGCTCATTGTCAGATATTCAAAATATCCTTCAAATTAATTTTGACTAGGGTCAATACAAAGTTGATTTTGTAGCGGCAAATAACGAACTTTAATTGCTGCAGCCAATGGCGTTCAACATATTAAAGTTCCGGTCAATTTGGTATATTATTTGAAAGCCTCTTCATCTGGCGCGAAATCAAAAGAATGATTTTGCTGTTGTTGATGGTGTCTAGTTTATAATTCTGCTCATATTGCTGCTGTTGCAGATGTCCTTACTGCATCCATTGCTTATCCCTGCCATAGTCAATTTGACTTTAAATTAACTGCTTTAATGGTTTAAATGCTGATTAACCTTCTGCAGGCAGCTGCTGTTGATTTTGTCATAGCTGGAACTGTAGTGTCAACTACAGGTGTTGCTGCAGGGTCGTTAAAGTTGTTTTAACTGCTGTTGTTGTCCTAGTTGCTGGTAATGCTGCTGCTGCTGCTGAAGTGGTTGTCTTTAATTATGCATTGGCTGCTGTTACACTTGATCTTTTAAATCATTTTCTTTGTTCTGTTAAATAGAAATAAAAAAGTAAATAAATAAAAATGTATATAATAATTTGATAACAAAACATGTTCTTGATTTCAACATAATTGAAATTGAATAAACATAAATATTATTGCAATTGTGATTACTTCAGTTTATATACCTAATTGGTCTATGATTCACCTGCTGTCTACGAACTCTAATTAAAATAATTTAAAGGAAAATGTTCCTATAAGCTGGATAAGAAGTTAGTAGAAATACGAGTTTGAAGACACAAGGAAAATGTTATTATTTTTCATTTAGCGCACATTTTTAATATTTGAACATTTATGTTAATTATAATACCTGCACAGAATTGAACAATGTGCAAATGAATCAATAAAATATTGTTAAATAGGAATATATTTTTCTTAAATATCAGATGTGTCTATTAGCTCTGTGAGTGGAGTCAAAAGTTAAATAAATACCAAAATTAAAAGAAAAATTAATAAATTTGGCAGAAAAAAAATATTAAAAGAAAGAGAGAAAGGGAAAAAACAAAAAGAATAGAGTAAAGTAGAATAGTAGTTAGTTAAATATAAATACGTTGAGAGTTCAATTGAAGCTAAAGAAATTCAAGAAAGAGGTTTCTTAATCAGAGTGACGTGCTTAGTTAATCTAATCAAGTTCGTCTACTTATTTGAATACATTGGAAATAATTATATATAATATATAATCTTGAGTACTGTGCATAGAAATAAAATCTCCTCTTTCAATAACTCATCCAATTTGCTGAATATTAAAACGATGAAGAATATCCTTTTTAACTTAGCTCAAACGCTTTTAAAGTTAGCGACAACAAATTAAAGTTTACAAAATATACACTGACCATAAATATATTGTGTTACCTTTTCATTAAATTTGCTCAATTGTTCGTCGACAATTGTCATTTTCTGCTTGAATTGCAGCCAATTGTTACTTAATGTGGCGACATGCGAAGTAATATTCTGAAAGCGATCCAAAAGGTCTTCCAACTTTGTCTGAAAAATACAACCATTTGTATTGAAGTTAAAAAAATAAATATAACAAAATATATTCACTTTGTATTCCATTATCTCGCCGTGCAGAATATTAATGGTTTGGCTTAGCGTGTTATTGACATTAACAATTTGATTATTCACATTTTTCAGTGTATTTTCCATAGTATCTTTGAGTTGGCTAACATCCTTTGAACAATTGGTCGATGAAGAAGAATTAGCTTGAACGGTAGACAATTGACTTATATTGCCCTAAAAAATAATATTTAGTATAAAAAATTTAATATAAAGAAATATTTAAGCTCACCTTCATAATATCCGTTTCAAGTTTAAGATTTTTCTGAACATCGACATAGTTATTAAGATGTTCCTTTACCACTTCCATGTCTGTGACAACAGCCTCCAATTTGGCTCCAAAGTCAGCAACAATTTTTTGATCCTGGCCATAATTCCTTTGTGCGTTTACAGTGGCTTGAAGGCTGCTTAGATTGGTACCCAGTAGTTCTACGCTTTGAGTCAAATCATTCAATTGATATATGATTAACGACTGATTTTTTATAAGCAACGACGTCGTCTCATGCCAATGCTGAAGTGTATCCGGAAATACTTTACTCACTGCCGAAACTATTCCAATCAAACGTAAGTTCAATTTAATAATATAATAATTATAAAAATAGGCAAATACAGTTGGCCAAAAAATATTAAATAATTAAATATTATTGCCACATTTTGCAAGTTTTCTAAGTTCACTTAGGCGCATAATTCTTGAACCAACTGTAGAAATAGCAAATAGAAAATTTCAGTTATTTTACCTTCCTCAAATTTTTGTTGATAATCGGAAATTTGTTGACGTAAATCGAAGTATGCCCAATATAATATAGCCACAAAAAAGACTGTTGTAATTCCGAATAGCGCGGGTCCACACTTCCGAATATAAATTAGCTTCTTGTTATTTCGTCGAATGCTCGCAACACTCATCTAAATCAAAACAAAGGCGCATGACATATGCACATACATACATACATACATACATGTACATAACATTTAAATAAGTACCCATAAAAATACAATTAGATAAGGTTGAAAATGTCAGATAATCAGCTATGTTTAAGTGTATTACCCATGCGAAATCATCAAGGTCATCGGTGGAGACTGAAAGCAATTTATCCTGTGAATTTATAGTACGGTGGGAGCCTCTTTTTGTCAAGGAATGCGCAACCAAAGCGTCAAGTTCTCTCCTTTTCTTCATTTTCTTTCCTCCACCAGAACGTAGAGGAACTTCAATAAAATGATTGCAGTCCATGCTACAATATTTCTGTGCAATTCCTTGATACTGTATGTGCTTAAATTAATTTTAATGATTCTGTTTACAAGTTCTGTTTGTAAGAACAATCGATTTTTTGCTGAACATGTTCAATCTTTCGATTAATCGATAATTTGAGAACACGATACATCGGATACGTTGTTCTGTTAGCTCGATAGCTTCTAAGTATACGATGTTTTCTAATTGCCGTTAATGCGGTTTTTGATATTAGAAGTGAAGTTACTGTGCAGAGGAGAAAAAATCGATCATTCAATTGATGATATATATTTAATTTATTAAATAATTTTAATTTTTATTTTTTTTATTTTGAAAGAAAAAAACTTCTGATACAGGAACATTGTCAAATCAGACCCACGAAAGAATAAGATAATATTCCAATCTGAAGCATTAAGCTTTAATAAAGAAGAATTCCACGCTCAATACGACTTTATTCATATAATCCTTACATCATCTTATAATTTTAACAACTTCTCTACAATGGAAGTACTAATAGCAGGAAGGAAGGCCTGCGTGATCTCACTATGCTGAACTTAACAGACGCTCAAGATTGGCGAAAAAAAGTGGGCATCAGAATCTTCTTCTTGTACATTCTAAGTTTTTCTAGCTCCGACGGTGATACACATCTGACGATACTCTCCAAGTTTCCTCAGAGATCTACTCGATTTTGCCGATGCACAATAGTCTATATGCCGACAAGACAATTACATGGCGTTGCTAACCGCCTCAATCATAAGTTAAGGTGTCAACGTTCACTGCTTTCAGAAGCCCACTAGAAACAGCATTCAATAACTCACCCGTTCTATACGCTACACATTTAATGACACAATTGAATATCCGCTACGGGTATATAATAACCCCTTGACAGGCGAGCGGTTGATTGAACTCTGTAAGCGTGTACATAATGAAAAATAATAATATTTCACAATCAAAAGATATATCATTTAATGCAATGCATTTTATTGTTCGTTTAAATGTACGTTCATATTCTTATATATATATATATATAATTGTGTATATAATATCTATTATATGTGTATATATTTTGGTGTATAATTATAAACGTAAAAACATATTATTTAAAATTACACAAAGCTTAAATATTTCTCACATTCTATAGCTCACATTTTGTATACACTCGAAAACTCATATCTGTTAGTATTAAATTCTAGATGACTACCAGTTGGTTGAGGTGGTAGATCCTCAAAAGTATAAGCCAGTAGAGCTCCGTTGTTATCATGTACTGAGTAGTTGAGATCATTATGTGCTCCAATCAAATTACCGCTGTAGTCCGGGTTAGAATATGTACATGGATTTGTAATACCTTCAGATTCCACCAAACTGTTGTCTATACTGCTACTACAAAAACCAATGTGTGGCGAATGTGTAGATGTTAGGATGCTACAATCGCTGTCTTCGGTCGTCGATGGAATTGGGTTGAATTCTTCATTTTGGAATGTATTCGCTCCATAGGTAAGTGGACTATTATGAATTTCAATGTTCATTGTAACAGTTTGTGGCTGCATTGCGAAGAATTGCTGATTGGGTATACTTTCTGATCCACAGTCTTCGGCAAAACAATCTTGCGTATCTGGCACATAGGGGGGTAAGTGATGGCTAGCTGAATGCAAATTTGCATCATTCACAATGTTTTCTTCAGAATCAAATACGGGTTCGCCAACATTTTGACAATCTCCATAATTTGGCTGCGTTTTTATAATGTTCAAGGCGTTCTGACTAACGCCCTGACTATTACACTGTAAGTTCTTTTCTAATGTGTCTTCAGTTTTTGGCGAATTACCAAAGAATTGATAGAATGACGATGCGTTTTCCAGCTTTACTATACTATCGCCCGAATGTATGCCGCAATCAATTCTATTATTCGTTTGTACAAATTCGGCTGACTGGAGATTTACATAATCTTCTTCCGGTGGGAGTACAACTTCGAAAGTACTGGAGGGGGTCTTTATATCATTATTACATTTTATATTATCACCTGAATCATTTTTTAGGCGTTTTGATAACGCACTAGATTGACAAGTAGAGGTAGATCTTTTGTTTTTCCGACCGGCAGTACAAGTTCCATTTATTGCAACAGGTGTCGTCAGATTCTGTGAATCCTGCTTAACATCGATATCTATATCCTGATTTTGCTTTAAAATGACTGACGATCTCGATTGTTTTTTTTGTGGCCTATATTTATAATTTGGATATTCTATCATATGAAGTTTTCTAAGCTTTTCCGCTTCGATAATATATGGCTGTTTATCATCTTTCGATAAAAGCTGCCATCGTCTGCCTAATTCCTTTGAAATTTCAGCATTATGCAAATCTGGCGTTTTTTCGCAAATCTTCCGTCGCTCCATTTGACTCCAGACCATGAATGCATTCATTGGCCTCTTTATATGGCCAGGAGAATGTTTTTTTGTCTGAAATATAAGAATTTTATAAGTTTAATTAGTTAAAAAGTTAATATAATATTTAAAACATATTTATTAGTTATAATTAACTATATAAGCTGGGTTCACGAGTTCGTTTTATATTATATTTCACTGAAGCTTTCTTCAATTTAAGCCACATTATAAAATTAAAAACAAATAAATTAAAAAAAAAATTTCAAATAAATAAAAAATATATATTTCACAGCATTTATATTCATAAAAAAATATCAATTGTGATTAAAGCTGAAAAAAAAAACCAAACGTGTCTATCAAAACAATTTTCCTTCCCACAATAAAAAAAAATGAATATGATTCGTGCTTCTAAATCAATTTTGTAAATTGTGAATTGATTTTCCGCCATGTGACTTTTATTAATTGTGAGACATGGCTTTTTGGCAAATTAATTCTCAGCCAAGACGGCGATTGCTTTTTATCGAAACCAACTAGAAAAAGGTTATTGCTACTATTGTAAGCTTACGAAATATTAATACTTTGTATTTTCGAAAAATACGAAATCAGGGAATGGTTCTTATCGCAGTATTTATAGCTATGATCGGCATTGCCCGATAAAGTTTATCTTATCATTCCTTCGATATTTCATCAGAATTGAATGTTTTGACTTAGGATTTGGTAGAATGTTTAATTCACATTTTAGTTATGGTAAAAAGGAAAATAAACTTTATTTTTTAATAATAATTTTTTAATAATTTCGTTTTCGAATATCTCATCATTTGCTTTACATGACGATTGCAAAGAATATATCAATATATACTATATATATGACTAAACAATATTTATATATATTTCTGGTCTAACCAAAAACATCTGACGGAAAATTTTGAAATTGTTTAAATCTTTCTCTTTTTCTAAAATTTGTATTATTTAAATTAAAAATAGTTAACATTCTAAAATTTATATTATTTCAATTAAAAATAGTTACATTTCAAAAATGAAAGCTAAGCTATCAATTTATGAAAAAATGCCATAAATTGATGCTTCGTCTAAAAAAATAACTTTAATCAAAAAAATTTGATTGATTAAGTTTGCACCACACTTAAAAGTTAAATAAATGAAAGAACTAGTTCTGGTAAGAGATATGATAGACGGGTAAATGATTATCTATTTCTTTTTTAATTAATTTTTTAATAAAGTAAATAATTAAGAATAATTTATTAAGCAAATCATTTTTTAATTTATTTCAAAAGCTATAATTTGTTTATTGTTTAAATGCTTGCCTAAGCTTAATGGGAAATAATCCAACTTAAGACCTGGAAATATTTTAAGAATCTTAAAAAATAAAATTTTTCTAAATGAAGCACAATCTTAAGTTCGACGCAAGAAGTTGTGAAATTGAAATATAAAAAATGTAAATAAAAATAACGGTACAAGCATCAGTTGAGCATAATGCGTTTAAAGATGTATAAGTATATTGTATATACACAGACAACATATATTATATGTATACATATTCACGTTGTGTATATTCTAGTACTCTAAGCCCAATGTCGCACTGCTCGAGTGAACAACCTTTTTATTGGAGTCAAAAAAAGACACACTAGTAATAGCGTTAACTACGACCTTGAAGCAGTTCGTGAACCTCAAGTTCAACCAACCAATATAGCCAGCAGCAGCAGCAACGACGCCGACGCAACAACAACAGCCGAAGCTGCCGCAGCATTGTTGTGTTAGCTCAAACGAATGGGATATGAAGCAAATGGTGAGGTGGACGCAGACGTTTTGCTACAGCGGCCATTGACATTACTTTTGCACTTGCTAAAATGTGACTCTAAATTATTGATTTACATTCTTGATGTCTTATACGAATCTAACCAAAACACAAACATACACAGACATAGACGCCAGACGCCAGACAGTTAATATATAATTTAATGGATGCACACACAAGCATGTACATACATATATGTATGTATATATGTGTTATGTTTTCCCTGTCTGAACTTATGACAACGCATTTAATGACCTTTTCGATATGTATACGAAAACTCTTATACTCTAAACGTGAGTGCATGACTTGTGGTTACATTGAAATATCGTAGAGATTAAATATAAACAAAAATACACACATATATAAGCACGCAAAACACAAGCTGCGCACTTTATATTTTGTTTTCTTTTTAAATAATATAACAAAATTACTATCTAAAATTAATTGAACGAAATGTATGTGTAAACAAATGTATGTGTGTATATAATATATATGTATAAGCACCTATTTTCGCACATAATTCGTTATCACCTAAACGTTTCATTGACCTCTTCTATCGAAATGACATCCGTTCTGCACCTACGAAATTCTCAAACTTACATACATACATACAAATGTGTATGTAAGTAAAAATAAAGTTCAAACGCTCTTTAAGCTAGACAAGAAATACGGTTCATAAGAACCGATGAGACATTCTAAATAGAGTTAATGCGCACACACACAAATATATATACGCGTATGTATATTTATATATGTCTATATGCATGCATTCTCAAATACGTAGTTAGCGGAAAATATACGTATGTAAAAGCTATTTTGACGTATAGAAATGCACTAAAATTGTCCTCATCTCAGTTAAACGATAAAGCGTAGAAGAATAGTTTTATGTATAAGACACTAATCTAAGATATAAATACACTAAAAATGCTGTGTCTAACATAACAAATATAAGTATAGGAAGCTACTCTTTGAAATGAACTAAAAATTGCTCTCAATTGAACTGTTTTTTGTATAAGAGTATAAGAATAAATGTAATTATAAGAAACCTATCTTAGAAATGCACTAAAAATGTAATTAAACTTTTGTATAAGAATGATAATAATAAAAAAAAATAAATTATATATTATGGTAAACAGTCATCCCACTTAAATTGGTTAGAGTATAAGAGTAAAGTAATAAGTACGGCAATTCGTTCTTAGCTGAAATTCAATTAGATATTCTGATTAGACATTCGCATGTATAAAATTACTTACTTGAGTTGCATCTGAATATGGAGTACTTGAGTTAAGTGGAACGAGTGCAGATCCAAAAACCGTTGGAGATCTTTTAGTTTTACTGTTATTTTCGTAGTTTTCCATTTTAGTTGCTAATGTGTGGCCAAAGGCTGGCACGCCTTTTTTAATTTTAAAATATTTTATATTCCGACGTTAGTTTATGAATTGTTTGTGGCACTGCCGGAACGATAAATAAAAAATAAGTGGAGTTAGTTTGTGACTGTGATCTAGATCAGTTTTATTATTAGTAGATGCCTGGATCTGGAATCTGAGATCTGGACTGACCATTTATTTGCATTACATTACATAAAAATAATAAAATATCTACGTATTTATATCTGAATGAACATATATATATATGTATGTACATATATACGTATTTCCTTTTCATACATACATGGATATGTATGTACAAATTAATACGTAAATATATGCATGTGTATGCAAAAATACGTTAAACGATTTGTTTATACTTATATGTAAATACACGCATGCATTCTTACATATACATGTACATATGTATATATAAGTACATATATGCATTTAATTACGTTTTTATACACGTGTATATAATATATAAAAATATATATGTATATATATATATATATATATATATATATATATATATATATATATATATGAATACACATTGCATTTTACATGCACACATTACATTTATGTTCACACATACATTTTCTTATACGTTTTTTCTTTTGATCGTTCAAATGCAACTAGCGGATATATTTGATCGTCCTTATGTACACTTGTATATGTTCATATTGTATATGTATGTTGTTGCCACTTGTACATACTTGCGTATGCATGTATGCATTTTAACTCAAGGTGAAACTGGTTCCTTGTTTTCTGTTCGCAATGTTCAAAGACTCACGTTCGAGTTTTGTCTGTGGCAATGAGTTTATTTTATTTACATGTACACACACACACACACTCATGCACACACATGCAAGTGTATATGCATGTATGTGCGTAAATACATGTTTAAATATTTGTATACTCTTATGGAAACACATTTAAAAATCACAGATGCACGAACATATATGTATGTACTTATTTACGTATGTATTTATATTTATGTTTATATACAAACTTATATATTTGTTGATATACTTGTTCAAATATAGTATATATTATTATTGTATATATTTATATATTTGTTGTTGCATATGCTTATATGCAATGACGATTTTAAATCGAGTATAAAGAGTATCAAGAAAATCTACAAATACAAATATATAAATAACTACGTTTTCTTTTAATCCATGTACATTGGCATATAATACAGTGCGTAAATAAAACAGAAAATCACAATGACCATGCAGGTGAATTTTAATTTAAAAATTGTTGAGGTTTAATCACTTTATATTTTACATACAGCCAATGTGTTTATACGCAAAAGTATATACATGTATGTATATGTATTAAGATTAACACTTGTTGCTAAATTAGTGACATTAAAATGTTGTGGCTTTTATTTTTTGTTTTTATATTTGGTTTTAGTTTGGATTTGTATATCATCTGCGTATTAACGTTATCGAGGCTACTACGGAGCAGAACACATATTGCGACCGACTGCTCCGCGGCAAAGTCGGAGCATTCTGGCTCAATTCAATCTTAGCGCCAAGTGCCAGTGCACAAGCAGCACAATCACAAAGCAGCGAACACGACGAACACGAACCGATTGAGATACGAGTTGAATGTGACGAGAAACTACATTCATACGTACGTTCATACATTCATACAAATGTCTGTTATACATAAGCACGTTAATAAATACATATATGCACACATACATACATACACACAAATACACTACGCAAATTACTTTAAGTTGTTGTTTTTTTATCGCTCTTTATATACACATACACGCCGTCGTATTCACATATGTACACACGTTCATTTATTTATATATGATTCGTCAGAATTGTTTTTTTTTTGGGTTTCTGTCTTTTTATATGTAAGTCTATACATATATTTATGTTTTTCGTATAAAAATACATATACACATATGCACATGCACATGTATATGTATTAATGTGTATTCCCTAAGCTTTTTCGTTTATGATTTGTATTAACCGCTGAGGTCGTCGTCGATCGCTTACAGCTGTTCAAATGAACTGCTTTGCAAAGTTGATGTCTTGAGTTCCTGCAATATTTCCCATATATAAATACATACAAACATACATTTATATTTATATATTATGTATATATATAAATATTTATATATATTACTGTAGATGTATATATTTTTAAGTATGTATATATGTACATGAATACGTTATACTGCTTTGCAAACTTACATTTATATATACATATATCTGTTTGTATACATATTAAATAAAATCACTCACACATATAAGCAATACATTCGTATTGTGCATTTCGTTCGCTTGCATATTCGTGATGGAGAGGCGAGAGACCACAACTGAGAGGATTTGGCTTCTCAACTAAACCGAACAGTAGCGCAGTGCGGTTAACTGAAGGCCCATAAATCATATTTAAGATTCAGTGATATTCACAACAATTTTAACTTAACATATGTATACGTCCAAGTATATATTAATATAACTCTAATTAAATGTAAAAAATGCATTTCATTATATTTCTATTAATATTTCACAATACAAATCACAGTGACAATCTAAATGCGGTCCTGGGTATCTTACTGATATCAACAGTTTTAGTAATTGTTGCAGCTGGCTTTGGCTGTGTGTGTGTGTGAGCACCAGAGCTCAAAAGAATGCCCATATGGTGTGAGTCTTTATAAATACATATGTACATATGTATATCAATGTGTGCTTATATACAAACATTAGTTACGAATGAATCAGCTGTTCAATGCGTATTAATCATATGGTTATATGACATGCCCTCGAGAGTGTGTGTATCTACACACAGGCATACAAGCATACATATGTTTGTATGCATACAATCATGAACGCAGTAATGGGGAAATAATGTATAAATACAAATACAATATAATAAAATTGTAAATGAATTTGAATTTATTTAATTCAAAACATCTCATGCTATACAAATATAGATTTTCCGAAATATGAAGATATAATAAGAAAATTACAGACAATTCATTTTATAAAACATTGGATTATTTATGTACGTACATTCAAACATACATATATATGTATATTCATAGTTACATTTGAAAGTATGTATTTATGTAGTTGTATGTGTGTATGTGTATTTATGTTCTTTGGTAATTTTTGTTTATCAGTAATTTATATTTAAATATTAAGAAAGTAAAAAATAAAAGTTGTGTAAACAATGATTTTGTTATATACATTTATACATATGTATATATATATATTAGTATAAGACTTGACATATATACCTACTCATGTACGTGGTAAAGTCTAGTAAAATTTACCGTACGCAGTACCAGCTTATTTTCGTTCGATATTTCATTTAATTTCCTCAATATCGAAAAGAATCGATATTTGATTTTGTTAAAGCTTAGCTTAGCGATCATTAAAGCTAGAGACACTAGAGTTGTGTCATTATATTTGCAAAGTATTAAATATGTATTTATCTATTTAATGTATTTAGCCTCATCAGTAGCTCCTCCTAATTAAAAAGAAAATTTTTTAAAATGTTCTGTTAAACTAATTTTAAGCTGGTAGTACTTGAAACCGTATGTTTTTACCTTGCAGTTCTCACGAACTTCAACGCTCTTCCGGAAAAGAAACACAGCCAACTTTGCGGAAGTGCTTCCATCGCTTACGGAATACTATGAGCTTGTAACGCTAGATAAAAAGCCGCCGTTTACTTATTTTAGCTCATTAGCAGTACCACCAACACTAAATTTCGCTTTTGCGCTTAGGCTGTAACCTAAAAGTCCGCTTATATACTACATTGCTTTTTGTAGCTCGTTGATCACTTTGACTGCACTCTTAAGAGACGTACTTCTCTGCAAATCTTGCACCTACCTTTTGGCAGTATCATTGAAAACTTGCAAACTCTTGAGAAGGATAATATTGTGAAAGGTATTCGTATTAATGCTTGTTACTATAAGTCCGAATCGACATGGACATGTATTAAAATTCAAATGCTGAGTTTTTGGGTTATTAGAAAGAGTTAAGAAATTAATTAATAGTGTTGTAAAATGTATAATCATGTACATTATAAAACAATTATGTTATTTATTGTTTTATTATGTACATTAACGTTTACAACCCTCTATTTAAGTGTTTCAACAAGTTTAGCTTCGAAAATGTCTAAAATTAAATATAAAATATTAGCAAAAATAAATTTGAATGTTTATTAAAACCTATAAACACCGCAATCTTAATAAAAGTAATAATAACATAAGATTTTTTTAATTGACCGTTGTATATTTTTTATCATCTTCTTCGCCAACTTCTAGCATAATTTGCATAATTCTACGTTTAAGTTTTTTACGTGAAATCATTGAGTTTAAATTTCGGAATTCATTTGCTATCAATTCACCAAACGCATCCCATTGATCACGAACACCTGGCCCCAAAGTTTCCATGCAGGTTTGCTTTTCCACATGCGTGGAAATTGGCGAAAAGTTTGTGCAATGTGTTGAAGCAGAATTTGGTTGAACTTCACACGGTTCAAGTTCTTTTGAAACTCGGTTATTTGTCTGCTCGACACTTAATATTGGTAATTCTATATTTTCTTCTGTCGGACTTTTCGCAGTCTCCTGTTTTGTGTTCTCATTACAATAAGATATCTTAATGCTATTTACAGTTTTCTGAAAAATGCAAAAAACAAAAATGTTTATGTTTGTTTGATTATTGAAATCAATTAGAAATACCTTGCTTTGTGGTTGATAGCCCGGCCGGGGTTCAATGATGGGTCGCAGAAACATTAAGGTTTCGAAGTGCTCCCAGCGACAGGTTTTCGGTGATAGAGTTTTCTTATCACCCATTTTTTCCAAACGTCTTTCATATTTTTTCAATTCCGAATTAAATTGATTTCGCAAATTGTGCACCTTTTTTCCATAATCAATTTTTGTGATTTCCAGAGTTTTACATATACGATCTATAGCTTTATTCCGACAATCTTTATTTTTGTATAGCTCCGAATAATGATTCCATAAACAGTCAGATGCTCGATACAGCTCAATTAGCTTATAAATCTTTTCTCTTGTCCATATCGTTGGCTTACGACGCTGACGTCCCCTTTGTTTCACAGTTGTAGAGCTGAGTGCCATGTCATTTCTGTATTAACAATATCAAAGAAATATTAACTAGTTCAACTAGCTGAGAATTGGATAAATATGATTTAAGTAAACTTTTGTTTATTGTTAAAACATATTTGTTATTGGGGTGTATATATTTCATTCGCTGTTTCCACTATGCACATCCATATCCAAATTTACAAATGCAGCTACTACATTACTATTGCACCATTATTCATAAAAATCTATCGGTGTTTCTAAAAACGTTTAGATAATCTAAATTAAACCGATATAAATAATAATACATTTTTAAAAGAACATTTAAATATTAGCGAAAATTGTTGCCATTCATATTATAACATATGTATAAGTAATCATAGCCTCAATTTCAATACATGTTGCAGTAATAATTAGGTATTAAATTTGTATTCAGTAATTAATTATTAGTCAAAGTGCAATGAATTATTAAATTATTTTATTGACTTAAAATACTTATAGACAAATATTTTAAAACTTTAAAAATTTTTCTATCGTTTCTCGATAACGTATCTAGTGTGAACGGCTGTTGAAAGTAAAGCTAGTGTAGATACTCCATGAACTAAAATCATGCATATTGTAACGGGTAATCGATATATTTATATCGCACTCCGTTTATTGTCTACAGGATATAATTAAAATATATGAAAGAAGTTTTTATATTATTTACTATTTATATGTACGTACCGTCAAGTACATGTGCAAATCTTAAATCAAAATAGTACGATAACGCATTTTCCGTTCTAAAACAATGGAAATTTGTTTATAATCAGAATGGCCGACGCCCACGCCCACGCCCATCGAATATTTTAATGTTCAAAAAATTGTACCTCTGGTAAATTTAAGTGCCTTTAAGTGCAACACTGCAGATAAAAAAAAATGTGCAAACGTATATATTTGTAACTAACTATATTTGCAGATATAAAAAATCCAGTTTCGACTAAAAAAAAATAAAGAAAACGTAATGTCACAAATAATTCCAAACACACCCACGCCTCAAATGCTGACGACATCAACAATAACACCAGTCGAATCAGCAAAACCTCAACTCTCGTTTCCATCTCTAGTTGATGGTACTCAGGCAAATAATCTTCTGGCCCCGACTCCAGATGTAATACTTAGAGCCTCAACTATTTTTGGGGAGTTCAAACATGGCTCTTCATTGGATCTCGATAATGTACATAAAACGGTGGAGACTGAGCACAATATGCTGTCGGACGGTTTAGAATATGGTAGCGATTCTAAAATTCGAATAATGCCAACAGTAAAGCTGCTTGCTGCTCCCCATGCAGCAGATCCCAAACGAAAATTCGTATGTCCATATGATAATTGTACGAAAAGTTATGGAAAAAGTTCCCACCTTCGTTCCCATCTGACATGGCACACAGGCATTAAACCATTCGTTTGCACCGAGGTTAAGTGCGGAAAGGGATTTACGCGTTCCGATGAGTTGAATCGTCACTTGCGCACTCATACTGGTGAAAAACCGTTCAAATGCATACATTGTAGTAAAAAGTTTTCACGCAGCGACCATCTAACTAAACACTTGGCCACACACGACAGACAATTGAAGAGTAATAATCCAAAACGTTCATTGTCTAACACAACCCGAGTGAAGGGAGAGAAAAAGAATGCCTCTGATGCTGATTCGGGCTATCATTTTATGGCCGTAATCAATGGAGGCGAAACAAACCCCAATCAAAATCAAAATCATCAAACGCAGCCAACACCAGTAGCTGGCTATGAGCATACGCCATTCAGAATTAAATTGGAACGGCCCGAGCATAGCGATAAATATCAAATCATAGCCCCATTACCTGATAACCAATTGACAGCAGGCCTCAGCGATAAACCGGATGTTAAGTATGAGCCTGCCGAGGATATTGCACGCACACTTTCGCAATTACCGCCACAAGACGGTTCAAGTACCTATGGTATGCCACATTTTGTACAAGATCGACCATTTCGTTGCCGGCAATGTGAGAAACGTTTTAAGCGTCAAGACGATTTAAATCGTCATAATCGCACGCACACGGGCGAGAAGCCCTATGCATGTACTCAATGTTGTCGACGATTCGTACGTAGCGATCACCTGAAAAAACATCAACAGACCCATTTAAAATCGCGATAGCTTCTAAGATAATAATTATATGTTTTAAGAGCCAGTGGCATCATCCGAATAACTGTTAGATAAATCAGGCACATGTTTGGGGGTAAAAACAACAACAAAACACAATACAATAAAAATTTGCAAAAAAAAATATTGATATCTTTTATTATATTAAATTTGGAAACTAAGTTGTTACGTTCACTTTTTGGAAATGATGCTCATACTTAATATTAGCAAAATAACTTTAAATATCTTAGCCAATTTGATTTAGAATATGATCTTAACTAATAAGAAACTTCTTATAGAACCTGAGGATGTTTTTGTACAGATCTAAAAGCTGAGTGCCTTCAAAGCTGTTCGACTCTGCTTTCAAATCAAAGCATAATTTATTAAAATGTATTTAATGCTAATCAAATGTCCAACAGAGCGTGGCATTGGTAATCAATTGATAGTAAATTATCATCTGCCCAGCCAATCAGATGCCGCAGATTGTAAGATTTATGCAAATAAGTTTATACTGTTGGCATTAATTTATCGCTTCTCTCTATCAGATAGTTCTCATTGACTCCAAAAGTCTCAACTTTGTGGAAGTCTTCTTTAATTTGTCGCCCTAAAGGGCGCTCTAAATCACCAACTAAACTTAGTCAAGATTTAACCAACCCGCCACATCATCATATACAAAATCAAGAGCGTGAATTTTAGTTGAAACTGCATATTTTAATTCATGTTATATATATTGGAAATCACAACGTATTTATTTATTAAAACTATTACGTTAATGTTTCTCCTTGGGTTACACAAGCTTCCAAGTAGTCGATCCGTCGTTCTAGAATTGTCAGTTTTTCATTGAGCACAGCTAGACGCGATCGACAGGACATATCTAGAAATGAAGAATTTTTAATAAATAATTTAAAAATATATATAATAAATTAATAAAATTGTGGTTGCCGTCGGGCTCATCAGACTACTTAAGACTTATTTAAAAACATTGGGTTTTCTAATCAATCGTGAAGTGTATTTGAAGGACATTTAGACCTTTAGAACGATTGAAGATATAGTTTTGCCCAATTGGACATGCTTCCGAAAGGCCAATAATATAGTTCATAGTCCATTATAGTATATAAATTTATATTAAACTGTAGAACTGTATATAATAGTCAACACTGATCCACCTGTAAGACTTGCTGATTATAGCTCTTTAGCTCTCGGAACAATAGTGTTTTTTTTTTTCGAAATTCGATACGCCCCCAATTGGTTGGACTATACAATACAACCTTGACATGTGACGCTGGTTGTATCAGTATGTATTACATTTGAAGTCTATAGCTTTGCTTATATTTATTTTAAATTCGCCACGCCTCAGTAGGTGGAAATATTTCGACCCGTACGTAAGGATTATAGCTTTATAATTATTTAAGTATTGCCACACCCACTAAAAAATGGTTGACATTTTTATAAACTATAAATATCAAGTTTCACTAGTATTATCAAAATTATCATGTCCAAATGTGGGCGTATCCGTACAATTAAATACAGCTCAGTATTTATTGAAAGTATTTAGTCTCTTCAAATAGGCGCACACTGCACAAAACTAATACACTTTTTTAACAAGTGTGAACGAGTATTAAACTGGTAAAGAATTCTTTTGTATACGTTGGATACGCTAGAACCTGCAGAGAGGAAGAAAAATACAGCTGAATCACAGACAGAATTTCCGGTCGGAAAACAATCATCAACTGTGTCGGCTTAAAAATACATTTGAAGTATCTATCTCATGAAGCAACATCCAAAATAAGAAAGAATCGGAGGCCGTACAAACTTCGAGTCCATAGACTTAACGAAAGTCTTATCGTTATGCTTAAAAACAATATGCACTAAGAAGCTGAGATAAGGAGTTTCAAACATACATATACAAATCCAAACTCTAAATGCATTATAATGATTTTGATTTAAAATGTATTTTGTACACTAAATGAATCAACAATGCCCTATGAATCAAAGTATTTATCTCACATTTGATTAGTATACTAATTAAGGCAATTCTTAAATTTATGATAGCATGTAAATTCTTACCAAATGAATTTAGAAAATCTGTGATTCGTTTTATGCTTGCTGTTATGACTTCAATGTATTCTCGATTTGCCCAATCCTGATGAATTTGTTTTTGAACTGTTTCTCTATGAGCACCGCTCATTTTTAGGTTTTATTATCTTTATATATTATATGTTTTGTTTACACCTTAATTGGGGATGCTCGATATACACAGAATTTCAATTTGTTATCGATGCTTTATACATTGAGCTGATGCGATAAATAAAATGTCATATAATACAACTTTTTCTTATTGTATTTAATCCACTGAACATCATTTAAAATGATTTAGCATACTAAGAATAAATTTTTCTGTAAATTGCATAATAATATTAGGAAAACTTCAAATGTATTGCTAAGAAAATATTTATTACAAATTCATATAAAATATTTTATACAATAAGCTATTAATCGGCACTCAGCGCATAGCTTAAACAATTTCATTTCCCAAAATATTCCAATCGTTCCATATAATAAATCAAATGCAGTGTGTTTAGAGAAAACTTATCGACAATATATGATATGTACCGTTAAATGTATGTAAGACCCAAAAATATGTTTTAAATTGCATTATTTGTTGTTATTCCAAAAATAATCCATTTGATGATAAATCTTAGACCTGAATACATACATATAAAAATATGTTCACAATTACCTTGTTGAATATATAAATGAGTGTACTTTGATTTTTTAGTATTTGTGCGCGAATTTAGTTTGGCCACACTTTCTTTAGTCCTTTGAACAGTTGTGTACTCAAACAAAGTGAAATATGTATGTAAATGTTTGTGCATCTTATCGGTCCCACTTATAGAAAAGTGCATAATAATGGTAAAATAATGGATTATATAATTAAAGTATTTAACTTAGTACTGATAGCAAAATACAGTGAATATACTTCTTTAATAATGTATTTTTGTTTGACTAAATCAAAATTGTTTGTATACATTACGCCGTTGATACATACATACATATTTACAAACAATGTGTTTATTATTGAATTAGCGGGGCAATGCAATGCCATAAACAAGCGAACATTTGCCACCCCAATGACTTTCAGCTTAGATAGACAGTCGTACATCCATAGGCCTTCCTACAGAGGTGTTGAAAGGATAAATTCTAATTTAAATATATTTGAGAAAATCTATTTTTTGTGAATTGTAGTTGTAAAATGTTTTAATTAGGAACATTGGTCTTAACATGTTAATCATATCACCAGTGTCAATTTTTCCTCTCTTATATCACCCCGTCTGACAGAGCCTTGTAGATCCTCCACAGATCAAATTCGATTAGTTCAAATTCGATAATTCATCGATAACATTTTGACGTTCTAGCAATAGAAATCAAAATCGTTATTAAACTACAGTACCTTGAGCATAGGACATATATATTTATTTACCAATTAGAAAGTTGGATATCTGTGATTATTGTCTTAGATCATTAAGGACGGTGTCTAAACTTTTGCATTTAAGGAAGAAAAGAAATAATAAACAAATTTCAAAAGTTAATACTTATTTACCATATATTTTCTAATTTCAGTTTCGACTACCTCATGGAAGCTTAACAAAGATTCTAATTGTGCTGCTGTTCGTAAACATATTATTGTTAGTTAAAGTTTATCCACCTTATAAATCTGTTACCAATGGGAGTAACACACATCCAACAAGTACTTATGTTCAAAAAACTAAAGCTACTGTTCCTTTGAACTGTCCATATCATTCCGATATTGGAACTCAAGTGACAATGTCCACATTGAATTTGGATCATTTCATATCTGAAAGTAATATAACAAAGTTAACTTTCGCAAATATTGATATCAGTTATGGACGCTGGGATAACCAACATAAGTACAAGATTAAGGATTTTGCTGTTGTTGGCGAACAGTATACAGAATCTTCAAAAATTAGTTTAATATGCCTAGCAACGCAAAGCTCGGTAGAGCGGTTATACTCTTTACCGCAAGTTGCCGCGAACTGGATCGGTCCCATATCTGTAGCATTATTCTCCGCTGGAAATGAGGAGTATATTGTTTTAAAATATTTTGTCACGTATATGCGTCTCTGCTTTCCAAACGTTAAAGCAAATGCCACATTTCATATTTTAATTCCACAGGAATATGAAAACCTTCCAGGACATTTAACAGAATCCTTAAATATCAAAGGAAAATTTAACTGTCGAAATCCTGACAAGACACTAAAATTCTTACTAAGATTACGAACAGCGAAAACGTTAGAATGGAGAAAAAGAAATGTCTATCCTCAGAACCACATGAGAAATTTAGCCCGTAAAGGGTGCCAAACGAAATATGTGTTTTTAACCGACATTGATATAATACCTAGTGTTAATAGTGTTGTACAGCTCAATAATTTTTTTAAAACTGTTGACTGCGAGAAGAATTGCGCCTATGTTATTCCCACTTTTGAAATCGATGTTCGGGCATCTTTTCCACAAACAAAGGAGAGTCTCTTAGCGCTAACCAAAAAGGGATTAGCGAGACCATTTCACGAGAAAGTGTTTATTTACAATCAATATGCGACCAATTTTTCAAAGTGAGTATAATTTTTCAATTATTTGTGCGAAAAAAACATGAGTCAGAAATACTTTCAATTAAATTATATGGCAAAAAAAGATATGCTTTGTGTAACTCGAAACTTTAAAATTTAGTATTTCTTACTTTTCTTTTCAGGTGGTTAACATTAAAGGGAAACGAGACTTTAGTTAGCATAAGCCACACAGTAACAAACTTTGAATTTTTATATGAGCCATTTTATATAGCTCTAGATAATGTTCCCATCCATGATGAAAGATTTACTGGTTATGGATTTACCAGAAACTCTCAAGTAAGTGTAGACTTTAAATATAACATTCTACAGTTTTGCCATATTTTGTAATCTCCCTATAAGTTATTATTATAATTTAAAATATTTGATATTATTTTTAGGTTTATGAAATGTACGTGGCTGGATACAAATTCTATGTTCTATCGCCCGTTTTTACCTGCCACTGGGGCCTACAAAGAAAACAAGCGAGGCCGGCATGGAGAGAGCAACAAAATAATGCTAACCGAAAAAAGTTTGACATCTTTAAAAGTGAAATATTTGCACGATATAAAAACGATCCACATATTAAAGTTAAATAAATGTGTTCAATTTTAACCTAATCTATATGATAATTTTAATTGAAGTCATGGTGTAAACATAGTCAATCGCTCAAAACTATTTTCATAACTGGAGTAGTCTGTTGGATAAACTATTTTCGCAAAGTATTGGAAGTCATCGACAATGAATTTAGATGAAGATAATTCGTGGAGAAGGCCGAACGTTTTTTTGTTTTGTCGATTTCTCGATATATTTCCTTAATTATCGATATTTTTGCTTAACTTTTCAATGTTATTTATTGAAGTTAATAAAAAAATTAAGCTTTTAAGAATATTTTCTTCAAATAGACTCTAAATGTATAATATATTTACACGTTTTCTACTCTATTTTAGTTTGGGTTAAATTCTGATGCCGTTTATTGTAAATAATTAAAAATTGATAAGTTTTTAATATAGCATATAACATTTGTCACTGCTACTTATCATATCGATATTAAATAATAGTCAAAAGTAACGAAAAGGCTGACGACGCTCATCGCTATCATTTGCTTAGGTTTACCAGTTTAATTTATTTTGCCGACTATTACTGACTTAGTTGATATTATAAATAAATAAAGAATTGGAATTGACAGAGAATGTTATACGGAATATTAAGTCTTTGTTGGATTCCGTTAGCGGGATTTATTTCATTCTTAATTATTTTATCTGCAATCAACAAATCTATTGGTGTGCGGAAAGCATACGTTTCTCTCCTTCTAAGGATATTTGAGGTAAATTTAGTTAATAATTGTTTGTCAAAAGTATATATATACATTTATTTATAAATAAAAAGATATATAAATAGAATTCACAATTTGTTTATTGCTAAAAAACGCAATTTATTAAATCGTATTGGATTATAAATAAGTTCATAAATATAGCTCGCTTCAATAGTAGTACTGATGTGTTTGAATAATAACAGTATTAGAAGCTCATAATTTTAAGCTTTATTGACATAAATGTCAGTTAGCCTTAATAAACCTGTTTATGCACTATCATGATAGTAACGGAACATTTAGCATCGAACTTTCTATGTGACGAATTGATTTCATCAAAATACAAACAGTGATTCAAAAAAGTTTTGGAACACCGTGAAATTTTGTTCCTCCAGGATGATCGCTTAATGGAAATGAAAATTGCGTAAATATAGTATAAATAAATGTAATGTTATAAATGTGAAATATGTATTCGTGAGTACTATTGTCTAATAGTGTTCAGATATTTTGTGAAATCGGGAATTACAATTTTTAGAGTTATTTAACTTTGATTTATTCTGCAAATTCATCTATAATTTATATAACTTGTACCCTTGGGGTCGTAGTATATCAATAATAGCTTTGCCCTTCATAGATTTGTTAAGTCATTTTTAAAACAGACCAATATGATCATATAAATTGTTTTTGTAACCGTAAACGAATATTACGCAATTGACAAGCGCACAACTGTTACGTTACTTTTATGTACCGTAATAGTTATTATAACTAAGATAGTAAAGTTATATATATTGACTCCGATTGAAACACCTTTCTATTGGTCAAACATTATATGAAAATATCATTTTTTATGGACTCACAGTTGATTGCATAAAGGACAACTGTGGAGTCTGATTTTTAGTGAATAAGCGATCCAAATTAACACTTCCGTTATACTACATAAAATACTTGTGAAAATCAATTTATAGTTTAAAAGTGTGATTTTTTTATTTCCTAGATAGTGGGGGAAAAATAGTAAGGATAAAGAACATCTGTGTGGGTGCAGGTTTTGAAGTTTTTTAACTTAGATACTCCCAATAATAATGATAGAAGCAGTAAAAGAATAATTTCTCCTAGGCTTTTAGAATGGCAAGCAATATGAAAATAATTTTGTAGCTTTAAACATGAGATTTATTGTCTTTTAACGGAAAGAAATGATAAACGCTTCTTTCCAGATGACATGCAAATATGAAGTGTCAACAAAAAAAAAAAAAAAAAAACAGAAATATAAGCATTCAGACGGGTAGACCATCAAAACCCGGTAAGTACACCGGCTTGATTAAGTTAAGGTCTTGTAAATGACGATTACATATAGATATCTCACTTGGGGTGCTCAAGTCAAACACTAACGTTCATAGCTTTAGAGGTTCACACAACACTTTACAGGAATTAAGAACTTCCAAAATTTACCCCTTGTAGTTTTTGGTATGCATAAGACAGGGGGTGCGTCCTTTTCACTTAACTTAAGTATATATATTTAGGTCAATGTAATGACACTGATCTACTGTTATACGATCCCTTTAATCAATTATATATAGAATATATTGTAGTGCCAACGACTTATTAATAGATAAAGCCTTACACAGTATTCTATTTAATGTGTTAACTATCTAATTTTCTCATTTTTAGTACGGCCGAAATAGTATAGAATCGGAAAAAACTGTTGAAGATCAAGATCCACATGTGGAATTGGTGAACGGATTAGACACAAAAGAAACAACAACGGGATCAGTGCTTATCAACCGGGATGCTGTTCTGCTACCCCAGGCTCAAGAACTTACTCATGAAAAATCCAATGTTTTAAAAAAGGTAAATAAATCGTTGCAGATATTAAACTTTTAAGTAAAGAATTATCTTTTCTGATATAAAATCCATCGTGCTAGTTAATTTTATAAATTTAATATTTCTATTTCTGTATTTTTTAGGAGGAAATAAATTTCGATTTTGAAAATTGCTTAGATTACGTAAAAGCTGGCATTGAAGCGATTATCGAGGATGATGTCACCTCAAGATTTCAGGCTGAAGAGCTTAAAAACTGGAATATGCTTACGCGAACAAACCGACATTATGAATTTATATCATGGAAAATAACATTGATATGGGTGCTTGGATTTGCAGTGCGATACAGTATATTGATGCCACTGCGCGTACTAGTTTGCTTCATCGGAGTACGTATTAATTCGGCGATAATACTCTTAATAACATAGATAATAGTCTTACCTCAGCTAACAACCTTATCTGCTGCCCAAATTGTCAAAAGTTATTGTCATTTATACTTATGACACACTCTCTTCGAAATTGCTTAGGCATTAAATATTGGAATCTGTCTGTGTTTAAAATGAATTAATTTATTAATCAATTATCAAATTGGTTCCCACGCACTCGGCGACTGTCTACAATTATAATTATCTAAAGTGGGAGCATGAGGCTAACTATATTTTATACAGCTTTTCTTATAGCTTAAATCAACTTTAATCTTTGACTTACTTAAAAGATCAACAAACTGGAAAAATCGTTTTATTATTATTATTCATTTAACTGTTTTGCGAACCTGAACAACAATTACTCTAAAATGTTTTGTGTGTCCAAGCGTAAACTATATATATATTTCGTCAAGATCAACAGACAACTTGTAATCCCTTTTGTCAGCCTATCTTTGGAAGATGTAGAGAAATTTTACACAACGTTCTACACGGTCACGGGTTTTTTGTATAACGGGATTCGTATCTGCGCGGATTAATATAAATGTTAAGTATATAAAATTAGGGTTCGGAAATAAAAAGGAAATTCAATGCGTGGCACGGGGTCAGAGGATCTGGTAGTCGGGCACTCCCGACTACTCTTGGTCATTTGTAAATAATTTAATATTATCATTTTTTTCAGTACTTTATTGTATTACTTATTACTTATTCATAATTGTTTATTATTTAATTTATAAGTCGCACATTTTATTGCTATTTTAGTTTCTGCAATTTGAAAAATTTTCAGTGATGATATTTTGGAAAGTACATGTTAAGATAGTAGAAATAACCATGTCCGTCTGTCTGTTTAAATGCTTTGAGATTATATTTTAGACTATGCAAAACGTGGTCTTTGACACATTTCACAATTTTTTAAAACAGATTAATAGATTAGAAAAAAGCATAAATTGCGTAGAAGATTTTTAGAAAACTAGCATCAACATATATTACATATAATAAAGATCGAACTTATGCATAAGTTTTTAAGTAAAAGAAACAAAAGAAAAGGAAGGGGGATGCCAAGCACAATAGAGCATTAAGGAGAGATCTCGCTCACTATTTTTTCCATATATACGTTTATTAATATTTAACTCTGGTTCTACAGGTTGTATTTACAGTTATTTCAAATGCATTTGTGGCCCTCATACCTTACCGATTTTTGCGGCGACCCTTAGCGGATTTGTGTTTCAAAATCACATTCCGTCTTATATCAAGTTCTATTTCAGCAGTTATAGTCTTTCACAATAAGCAATATAAGCCCAATTCTTCTGGGTTTTGTGTAGCCAATCATACGACCCCCCTGGACGTTGCAATACTCTCAACAGATTGTACATTTTCCTTGGTGAGAAAGAAGATTTTACGTTTCAACTCTTCAGTTTTGTTTAAATGCATTTTCGTTTTTTCGTTCCTCATAATTATGATTTGTTTATGCATATTCAAAAATTTCAAACAATTTTCATACGCGGGCTCCATTACAATGAAATCATTTTGTTTAAGCTGAAAAACTTCGCGCGCCACATATAATAATACTTTGATTTCCTTTTTGGAAGAAGCTTTTGCCAATACCAAAGATTTCCATATATATATGATTTGTTATATGTTAAATGTTTCTGTTTTTGTTTCTGTTTCTGTTTTTATCTAACGTTATGTTCCTGCCTTTTGTTATTGTCCTTCAGTTAAGAAAAATGAGAGTTAAACCAGCTTAGAGCAATTGCAAATAAAATACAATTTGGTAAGTGGGAAACGATAATAAGGTAAAGTACACGGTTTGTAAATGGATCAGAATTTGTCAGAGTTAGCGCAAATGAAACTAAAATTGTTTAAGATATTTGTGTCATCAGAACAGCGCAATTATATAGTCGCGTAGACTAGCTTCAGATAATATGTAACTAAGACCATTTTACGCGTTAGTTGTGCACTCAGTAGAATATTTCTAATGTAAACGTCCGTCAATGAATTTCCAATTGTCTTCAAACAATACATTTGTAACCCCAAACAAGTTGTTCAGTTCTGTAAATTAATTAATTATCTAACATCTAAAGTGTGGCGTAACGGTACTAATGAAGGTTCCCACACTTAATATTACTAATAACACATAAACGCCTTGCCGTCCAATCCATTTGTCTATATAAATAATGTCAACTTCTTGATCTGATGGAAAATTAGAAGCTCTCTTTGGTTCCCCTCTTGCGTATCCAATCGATAAATTAATACTCTCTTGACACGACTTCAGCTTTAGATGTTTGCTCTCTACACTGGGATATATCTGATATAAAATGATGTTATAAGGAGTATACACATGGCTAATCCCAACGAAAGCATGTTGTATAATGTCAAACGATGCGTAGTTATATATTTAAATTGATGCAAATGGCAATATTTTGATTGATCAACAATTAAAATATATTAAGTTGTTAAGCAATAATAATATAATATAAGCTCTAAATTACACACGCCTTCTGTTTTATGCAATCTCAGGTAGTGTGGCTAACAGCATGCACAGCTGCTGTGGGCAATCTAAAGGATGGCGATAAGAAACGGGCTATTGTGAATAAGGTTCTGGGGCAATGCTTTGGTGTCTTGTCCAGCGCTATTTCTGCAGTTATAACTTATCATAATGAGGATAATCGGCCGTCATCGACAGGTATTTGTGTGGCAAATCATACAAGCCCCATAGATGTACTAGTACTGATGTGTGATACCACCTATTCTCTGGTAAGATAATATAACAATTTCGAGGAATATGCACAAAAATTACACGCCAAAACCGTTTGGCATCAAAATTGGCAGTTTTTGTATATATAATTTGGCTAGGACACTACGATTCATTTTTTCAACATTCCACAAAAGTTGTGAAAAATGATTCTTAGTTTCAATATACATATTTTAACTTTAATTTGAAAAACATTCCACATTTTACTTTCTAGTTTCCATTCCTTAATTGAAAATGTAAATACAATACATTGAATTTTACATCAACGTATTCAATATTGCAAGAGTATGCTTCAAAGGTTGTTAAGATGGGTATTAGATGAATTCAAATCTGTGCGCATTGTGCGGGAATAGCATGCGCATGTGCAGCTAGCCTCAACTGCATTTCATGCTTTCGTGCATCTATGCATGCAAGAAAAACTGAAAATGACAGTTGTAGAGGTATCTCTTAGTCGGACCGTGCCGACTGATGTAGTCTTACTTGCTTACATGGCTTTTCTGTAACGTCTTCGACTAGAATGCCATCACTTTCGATTCTTCTTCTTAATTGAAGTTATGCTGAAAATGCCAATTGAATCTCATAAGTCTATTGCAGCTCGAGCATTTATACCTTAGATAAATGTAAAATAGAGTTCTTTTAGAAGAATCAGTGGTTGTTATTATTCCTATTCTTTTTTACGGAAAGTAATTCCATTTTTCCAGATATCTTGACCAATACTCAGGTAAAAATTCAAATTTTATTGGAATACTATGTCATGTCACTTATTGTTCTGTCGAAAATTCATTTGTAATTCGTTTTAATTAATCATCGTTCAAATCCTACCCTTAGACGGAAGTGGAGACATTCATATAGTTAATACATACAAACATGCATACATACATACATAAATATTATTATTTAAATGTTTTGTTTGAAAACAAACAAAAAAGAGGAAAGAAAATTGTGCATATTTATTGTTTATAGATCGGCCAACGGCATGGTGGATTCCTTGGCGTTTTGCAAAGAGCCCTGGCAAGGGCTTCTCCCCATATTTGGTTTGAAAGAGGAGAAGCCAAAGATCGTCACTTGGTTGCCGAAAGACTAAAGCAGCATGTGTCCGATCCAAGCAATCCGCCAATTCTTATATTCCCGGAAGGCACTTGCATAAACAATACGTCGGTTATGCAGTTTAAGAAGGGAAGCTTCGAGGTTGGCGGCGTAATATATCCCGTTGCCATAAAGTAAGTGTGTTTTTAGACATCCCTAACTAATAGGTCTACTATATATGAACAACTATGATTGCTTTCGCTGCAGATACGATCCTAGATTCGGCGATGCATTTTGGAACAGCTCCAAATACTCAATGATGCAATATCTTTACATGATGATGACATCATGGGCAATTGTGTGCGATGTGTGGTACTTGCCGCCAATGTACCGTCAGGATGGCGAGTCGGCAATAGATTTTGCCAATCGTGTGAAGGGTGTCATAGCCAAACAAGGTGGACTGGTGGATTTGGTATGGGATGGCCAGCTTAAACGAATGAAGCCGAAAAAGGAATGGAAAGAAATACAACAAATTGAATTTGCAAATCGATTAAAATCGGATTGACGTTTCAGTTAAAAACTTATTATGTTATTATTTGTAATTTACAATGGAGAAAATGTAAAAATAAATGACTTTACCAAAAAAAAAAAGAAAAACAATAACGGAACAAAATACTTCATCAATATCAAACAAAGATTAGAGAAATAAGGAAAAAGAAAATATCAATTAAATTTGCCTGTAAATTGTGAAAAGAAAACTCAATTGATCATTTTTATTAATTTCTTTAATGGTCGGTCAATGGTAGATATCTATTCATAATCTTTCTTGTAAATATTATTAAAAATATGTTAATATAGGTATTTGTACATATATATCAAGGCATATGCATAAACATATAACTAAGTACATTATATAAGAGATTAGGTTAGTTGTTCCTCCATTTGTGGAATTACAGCATTCCGTTGCGAAATTCACAATTTTCGGATACAAATTTTTCCAAAACTGCACTCGACGATTGTCCGAAAGATAGCCAGTATTAAAGCTTTCATCGATTATCAAATACGAATACTTCGGCGGCTCCATCGTGTTCCATTTGACGTAAACGTTGGACTTTGTAGGATTAGAAGTTTTAGCGAAATTTGCCCATAATGTCATGACAATGTCTGCCATTTTCTTATCAGTGGACTTCCACTCGACAACGTTGCCCACATATGGAATACCCCAAACGAATATCTGGTCAAAATATTTCGGCACTCCAATCCAATTCGGTAGATCAGAACTTAGAGTTTTCGATCGAAACTTAAATATATAACTATAAATTGTCTGATGCTTGCTGACAATATCTATAAACGTTTCCAACGGAGTCAAATATAATTTATCAGTATGAGCATTGATTAAGTTTGTATTAATTTTCATCTCTTCCTCGCTGTTTTCATCCGAATACATAAAATTAATTGCGTCGGAAATTATGGGGAAGTTTGTACACCATTCGTTGCTGCCAGTCGCTTTATAAATATCATTTACTGCAATGTCGGAAAAGAAGTTCTTAAGATCATCCGTTGTCAGCTCTGTTGTAATATATTCTTTGAAGACTTCCAGAACTTCCTCCATATCGGTGATGCCCACAATTAGGGGTACTTTGTGATAGGTGCCACTTTTGAATAGGTTTTCTGGCTGGTTTTCGATAAATGGATATGAGGTATTACTCAGTCCATAATCGACAATCGGGCCCCATTCAACAGACGGCAGATTCTCCGTTATTATTTTTGCGTCGATTCTCTTCAGGCATTGAATAAATAGCGATGTTGGTCTGCGAGCACATCCGAAAATATTTGATATTTTATCCAAATCATTATTGAATTCATGTGGAGATCGAACGGAAACTAAAGGATTGCCAGACATTATAATGGCTTTGTGAAACGCACCCTTTGACCACTCTCCCGAAGTCATATGCAAAGCCGCACTTATTGCACCAGCATCGTGGCCCATCAATGTGATCCGGTTCTCGTCACCGCCAAAATAATTGATATTTTTCTTAACCCAATACAGTGCAGCAGACTGGTCCATCAATCCGAAATTTCCTTGAGCCTCGCCGTCATCAGTGGAAAAGAAGCCAAAAATATTTAATCGATATGAAAATGTTACAACAATAACTTTCTGCTTGAAAACCAATTGAAATGGCTCAATGTCAATTGGGCTGCCCATTGTAAAGTTCCCAGAATGGATCCAAACAATGACAGCATATCCATCAACTTCAGGTAGCCCTAAAAAGAGTTGTTTAAAGTCCAAATTAAATTAATTAAATTAAAATACTGATGTAATATCATAAATATTCTATGGGAACAATTACTGCAGAAAGTCTTGATTATATTCCGATCTTAATAATCTGTCTAAATATGAATAGTTTTGTATTATAATCAAACAAATCTGCACTATTTCATCATCGATCAGTATAGCTATCAGAATATCAGAAAATATTCTACATTTGCCTTTAAATAGCTGTAGTGCTTACCGTCAGGTACAAATACATTTAAATTCAAACAGTTCTCATCATATTTTCTTGTGCCACCCTCATTAAGCATTTCTCCCGAAATAACATCCAATACTTTTTCAAGCTGGGCATTAGCTGAGGCGCGCGCTTGTTGCCAACAGCTGGGCGCGAAAGAAGTTGCATTAAAAACACCTTTCCATGGCGGCAATTCAATGTCAGGCGGAGAGAATCTAGCAGCGTGTGCATATCGAATGCCCAAGTATGCCTTAATATTTTGAGTCCGGTACATTTTCAAATATGTCCCGGAAATAATACCATTTCCGGGTATATGTATATATGGTGCATCGATGCTAATCACACACGTGTAGAACAAATTATAAATGACGTAGAAATAAACGGAAATGAACAAATTCTTCGACCACATCGTGACTTGTATTATTTTTGCACATGCTTAGAGGGTTTAAAGTACAATACAAAATAGTTCCTAAGACTTATTTTTTGGTCAATAAAATTGTCAAGGAACGAAAAACAAGCTAATAAACCCTGTTGCTAAGCCTTCGTATCTATGGCAACAATCATTTTTTTTTTGGAAGTAAATCATTGCTAAGCCTTCGTTGCTATGGAACCAATCAGGGTTTTAATATTCTAAATCGCTAAGCTTTCGTTGCTAGGTCATAAATTGAACCATTTCTATACCCTTTCGCGAAGTGAAAGTTCTGAATAGCTTAAGACTTCTAGTGGGTTATTGGAGCATTCGCTTAAATATCAATGGATATTTAGGTTCTTCAACAGTTTGTTTACAATGCAAATAAATTTTAAGCTGAATGTGCTATAAAAAGATTAAGATTACGAATGTTTTATTAATATAATCAGAACTATTTTAGTCTTTAATATTGGTATAGTATAGTTTTATTTACAAATTATTTTTTTCTTACAATAAATTAAAGTAAATTTGCAGATTTAACGCCTTTTAGCAGCGCACATAAGTTCCAACAGTTTTTATATTTCAAATCTAAAATCTTAAACAAAAAAATTATTTAAAAAGATTTTTAGTTATATTTAGTTTACGTTAGAGGCTTAAGCTTAAAATATTATAGTATTTTATATTTTTATATATATATATAGTGTTGTAATATTTAATTTACAGCCAAGGATGCCACGCTGGATCCATGCGACAAAGGTTGTCTGTATTCGTTGCGGACTGTATGAGCGCCGAAATCTTCTTCTTTTCAATGTTGTCGAAATAGGATATCTTATTCAATCGCAATAAAATAGTATCCACTGCTGAATTAACTACCCTAATAGTGTGCTCCATTGTATTATTATCAAGCGAAGGCTCCTGAGATGCATCCAATAATTTGCTTTGCCTAAATCCTTTCTTTTGCAAAGTGATTATTTCATCTCTGAGTATAGTTTGCAAAATGGAACTGAGTTTATAGTTGGGCTGAATAAAGCAACGAGCTGTCGCTACAATCGCCGCAGATAATAAACCCGAAATTCCAATGTTCGTTATGAACTCCCCAATATTTGGTGTCAGTCTGAAGGGCACTGGTCGATGTTGATTAAACTGTTCCTTATCGTCATTTATATCGAATTTAAAGTATGATATATTCATAAGTCCAGAATCCTGATGAAGGTACATCATATCTGGATTGAGACGTGTTAAATTCAGAGCGTGCTCACAGAGATATGATAAAGCCAACTGAAGTGTCAACTGGAAAGATAAAAGGAATTGAAATTAATCAACTTGCTAAGAATTGTCTAGTAGATTTTCTAAAAGTTTATGTTTTGTAGCAATTCAAGCAGTTTTAAATCTACTACATGGAAACTTACCATTTTTCTAAATTGCCAATAGTCCGTTGCAGCAGCAAACGTATTTAATGCCCATTGCCTGAGCAGAGTTTTTGGTACCATTGTACACTGAACTTCAGTGAAAATTTCTCTTAATATTGTATGTGAGATTGGGGTTCCTTGAGCTTGAACTTCAGAAAGGCGCTCGTAATATCTAACTATTGGCATATCGTAGTCAATCTTAGCGTTATTACAGCACTTCTTAAATATCTTTAGCAATGAGACACTATTTGGATTATCTTCAGCGAGTCGCATTTGTGGTGAAATTGGCACAACTCGCGGCACAGTTATATTCAAAAATCGCCGACTTGTCTCCTTTTGTTTTTCTAAATAATAATTCAGCATTCGCTTTAGCTGCAATACTCGCTCCTCGCGGCGAGCATCGCCTAGCCCTGAATCGAGTACTACCAGGTAAGGGTATATTTTACCATTCGTACCCCTTATATATAGCCTGCGAGCTGCGGTGTTATTTTTCTGTACTATTTCCACACGTGGCATGAACCGAGCTATGCGCACATAATAATGTGACGATGATGGAATTAGCAGCTCTCCGGGCAATTCAACTTCGGCGGTTTTCTGACTAAAGTTCGATAAGAATCTGCACTTGTCCTCAATCAAAAAGGAAGTCGGCAGCTTTTTCACTTTGGTTTCTAATACTTTTATCCATGTTTTTAATTTGTATATCAAATTATGTAATTTCATCGCTCCGGGCTTTGAAAAGTCGAAATCATTTGTAAATTGCTCTTTCATTTTTTGGAAAACAGGATCTTGAAATGTCACTTGTGCGCGTCGTGCCAAGGACTCTGATGCAGCCGAGTGAGATATAGACGAGGTGACAGATCCTGGAACATTTTCTATTCCAATACCGAAAGTTGATCCCAGTTTCTTGACAAAGTGTAACGTGTGTGGAGTTATGGTAGCATTCACTACTGTGCTTCGATTCTCAAATGCTATGGCATAACATTTAATTAGGCCTTGGCGTAACTGACGTAAAACTTCTTCTGTCCAACTCTCTCGGAACCAAACCATTTGATCAACAATTCCTTCAAGTGAACTTAAAATCGTGGGATGAACTTCACGTTGCAGTTGCATTACTTTTGAGCATCTCCACATAGGCGGTGTCGCTTTTATTGGATTAACTGATGGAACGCCTGTTTGATTTCTTCCACCAACTGATGCCATATTTTCCATAGTCTAAAATTTGAAATACAAATTTGTTAACAATTTTTTGGTAAATATAAAAAATAACTTGCTATAACTTGAAACTTACGGAAGATGTTAATTTTCCAGCGAATACCGCCTGTTCAGCTGATTTATGCTTTTCTCTCTGTTCAATCTTTAGAGTAAGGTATAGAGTTCGAATCGGAAAATAGACTGCCTGAGGATATAGTCGCCCAATCTAAAATCAAAGACCAAATGAACGTATTTCTTTTAATTGTACCGCCTTAGTTTGACTTACCTGACTTAACAAATTTAATATTACATCGCCCTCAAATTGTTCCAAGCAACACAGCAGTTGAGGTATCCACGGCAGCCAATACGATGGCGGAATTCCAGATACATATTTCTCAAATGTGCTTATTAGAGTGTCGCTTGAATTATCATATGACAAAAACCATAAGACCTTAGCGATATACTTTCTGGTTTTGCTCTCATTTTGATTACGGCAAGCATGAAGGAAACAGATTAAAGCGTTAACTCCATGGGAAATTTGTTTGTCTTTCAGATATATCTGCTCCATATAGTCTCCCCACATAGCCCACGCCTTTGTGAGACCATCGTGAAGCTGAACTGCTGCACTAAACGATTTGCCTGCTTCCTCAGTGCGGCCAATTTGCGTTAATAACAAGCCTTTCAGTGCGTAAAATTCAGCATTCATTTCGCCTGTGAAATATTTTAAGTTTGTTGACTCAATCACTTCCAGCGCTTCATTTATCTCATTGCGTCCAGATGTTGATGGCATTTGTAAATAACATTTTACTTGTTGACGTATTTTCTGCAAAAAAACATAAAAGTTACATTAATAATAGCTTTGCATTTTTTAAATATTAATAGTTACCTGGAAGCAATCAACTATTGGCACGGAGGGTATTGTGTATATTCTAGATAATGTCTCCTGGCACACTCCAGTTAGATTATGCTTTCTCGCAATTTTGCCAAATGAAATAATTGCTTGGGCTGAGGCATGCACTCCCAGCATTGTGCTACCTTGATCTGACTGTTGCTCCAAATGCTGCGTTATTATTTGATAGTGATGTTGTCTCCAGGTAAATATGTCACTCCAATGTGATAAATCATCAGATATAATGGGCAATCTGTTGCGCCATGTTTTGACAATGGCTTTCATATCGTGCAAAGAGGAATTTCTCGACTGCGTTAGGCCCTGATGGATTTGACTTGCTTCGTGTAATTCCATAATTTGTTGTGAGGCCTGAAGATATGGCAAGTGAATGTGGGATACGATTTTTGGTAAGCGCCGCCACTCTCTGATGCATAAGCTGGAAGCAATCTCGACATATCGCTCAACACTGGCAGCCTGTCGATCTTCCTGATACAAAATGGATAAATATCCTTTGTATAAGTTCAACTTGAACCCATATTGCTTGGAATAACACTGCTCAGTTTTTGACAAGGCATTCTTCATAAGATTCCAGTCGGGTACGCGCCAAGAGCTTTCTAGAATCAGGAACATATTCTTTTCTCTATTCGTTTGAGCATAGTCCAATAAAATGTCCCACTGATTTAGCTCCTTTGCACAGCGCATCCAATGTTTCTCCCATAGCAACAATTCGCTGTTAACATCAATATTTATTTGGCCGCTGTTCAAATCCTGTTTAAACTTTGTCATGGCTAGGTCGTAGGCACCTTGGGCTTCTTCGAAAAAGCCCATTTGTTCATAAGAGATGGCTATATTTGTTTCAGGATAATGTCCGAATTTTAGCCAGAGGCCAGCCCAAAGATCTTCTTCGTGCATAGCGGAGTACATTTTGGAGAGAGAGTCATATATGTTATTCAAATTTTGTACATCGGACTCCGGCTGAGTTACTTCCGGATTGCTTAAATCGCTACGCGTGGAGTATTCCATAGCCAAGTCTTCAAGCACTAAGATGGCTCTGTGCCAAAGATTATGCGATTTACCCAAGTATGTTAAAAGATTTGGCGGAATATAAATCGATGGTGTGCAATTGGTGAGGCTCTCCACAAAGGTATTAAGCGTACTGGGACTGCAATCTTTCTGATTGACATTTGTGCCAGACGAGAGGAAGGGTATTAACTCCTTGGATATATTAATTCGTTGATCTTCAGTGAAGATACCCCAAATGCTTGGAAAGATTGCAAGCCAGACGCTTTCGGCTAGCTGTGTGTCCATGTGACATAGCTGTGACGTTGCTACAAGCATTTGCTCTGTGCGTATATTTCGATTTGCTTCTAGAAATTCAGCTTGTTTGTAAATCAGCTCAACCAACGTGTCACGGCGTGTAGAAAGTATCTGTTGGCAATCTTCTTTGCGAACGGACGTAAATTCCAGTTTTAAATCAATATCAAACACGTCGTCTTTGTCATTAACGCTTTGGACATTCTCAAATGATTCAGGTTGTGAGGACAAAAACGAAACAAATGTGTGTTCTTGAGAATCTGTAGAGTTAGTTGGAATCACAGAAGATATACAAGGAATTTTAAACGCTTCATTGGAACATTGGATTTGAGTCATAGTATTAGCTGTCAAAATAAGCAGTTCGATGCATTGCTTTATCCAATAATGTGAACCAATAGTATCCCATGCCTGTGAGCATATTATGTATAACAGTCTGTCATGAAGTCTGCGGCGCATTGACGAATCTAAAATTTCAAAAAACTTTGCTCGAACATGCGGATTTTGAAATCGTAGACCATTCAGAAATGCACCTTCCAATTTACTTGTTAATTCAGTTTGTTTCAAAACTTCGTCACGGTATATGTAGTTAATGATTTCCAAAAACTGAACATTCAGTTCAATCTCATCGGTAAATTTCTTTTCAACATATTGCATTAGTTTTACTAGCAGTGCCGACTTTTCTCGTATGGATGGAACATGAGCTGAAATATTAGTTTCTTTACTCTTCACCCAATCGTCAAGCATTTTTATAATGCATTTCACAATCTTAACTTCAGAGCTTTTTTCGATTAGGCTTACTAAAATAGTTCCTATGAAGAGTTTTCGTATTTCCACACTCATTATAACAACTCTGTTTTTAATCAATTCCAAAGACAAGACCAGTAGCTCAAGAGCCAGAGAATTGGAATCAGTCGGTTGGGTGTTGGTCGTATTACTTGTATTAATATTAATGTGATCCTTTGTAAGTCGATTTAGAACTCGAATGAATTGAACTAATATTCGGTCTATATAACTTGGATTGTTGGTGGTGCAAGCCTTTAAAATCATTAGGGTTCCAAATAACGACGACGCGTTCGGCTGAGGACTTTTCTCATAAAAAGTTAGATTGTCTGTTATCATTTTGCTAATGGCACTGTACAAAACATCAAAATCGTTATGCTTGTGCTGTGAATCTGGTGGAAAAGTTGACATCAGTCGTGTTAAAAAGATGTGCATTAAGCGTACAATCCTTGTATTCTGGTGTATAATACATAATGAAAGACCACGCTGAACCGGTCGTATAATTGTCACCAATTGGTCCGAGCTTAATATTGTAGTTAGGAACGTTAGGAAGTCTATTGCAGTGCATATATTATTCAAGTTATGATGAGGCGTCTCAATCGTAGCCAGAACTTTATCTAACCAATTGATTTTTATATCGAACGGTTGGGGCCAAATTTCTGGACGCATGGCCAGTTTTAACAGCATGATGCACCTAAAATCAATTAAGTTGTAGAATTGTCAAACTGATCTATAAACAAAAGCCATTAACATTTAATTTTCAAACTTACCTCCTTGATAGGTTATCCCCCGAGGAAATTCCAGGTTGTACATCATTAACTTGACAAGCTAAACGTATAAGAAAGTTAAGCACTGTATCGCAGAATGATTTATCAATTGATCGAAGAACGTCTTCAGACTTTGTATGAGTTCCCACGCCTATAATATAATAGATGGTATTTATTAATATGTGTTCTATTTTATTTGTCTTTAATATACTTTCCTTGCGCTATAGCTTGTCCCGAAGATTCGGGGAATTTTTTCCTACTTTCGGTGGTTTCACTTCCCACTCGCTTACTATGATGGTTGTCTCTTAAATCCTCTTCAGATTCATCAGCTTTGACATCTCTTTCGTCTTGTTTAATTCGATGCAGCTCCCATTTTATTATAACTTCTGCCAAATCGACAGCCAATTTCTTATGCTCTATAGAAGCACTTGGTGGAAATCCTAAGCGTTGCATATAATTTATAAGATGCTGCACCAGTTGATGTCTTACGGGGAAGTAAACCTAGAGTTAAATTTTAACATTTGATTATAAATCAATTAATCATATTAAATTCTTTAAAAACATACTTTGTAGTGACGAATAATTAGCTGTAGAATATGAAAAAGCTGTTGTATTGCGTGGCCTTCTTCGACAATAATCTTTTTTGTCCAGTGTGTTAACATAGTGTTTCCATCTTCCATACGAAGCGGCATAGCTGGAGTTAGCACGTCCAAAGCCTGCTTCACAATGGGTCTTGCTTCTAGAGCATGTCCCTTTAGCAACGAGTGGAACACTTGGAGTACGATTTTCTTATGAATTGCAAGTCTTGCAATTATGTGGGCAAGTAGTAAGTGACCATGGTAGCGTGCCGTTGGATCTACACAATTCTTACTGAGCAGGCATGGCCAGGCAAATGTCATTAAGCGTCTAAGCTTATTACCTTGCCTTTTATTGTTAGCATCGCCATCGTGAATATGCTGTGAGGCGCGTTCAACGAGCAGGCAAGCGAGTTGTAGTAAAGCAATTCTTACTGCATCGTCATACTGCTTATCTGGATCAAATACTTTATTGATAAACACTGACACAATGTTTTTCTCATCTTCTTGATACGGTGTTGGCGGAGCTCCAATTAACTTATTTCCTTCACCTTTGTCAAAGCTTACAGTAAAGCAAGGTATTAAAATTGCTGTTATTATCTTCGCTTTTAAAACTTCAGTAAATGTATTGTTATTGAAATTTTCAACAAAATGGAAAAATGCATTTCTTTTCCAATTAACAGTAAAGCTTTGTGCGACTGTGTTTTGCAAAAAGTCTCGCAAGAAATAAACATCCGGTATAAAGTGAAGGCACAGAGCTCTCAATAGTTGGAATAGCAAGTCAATATCATTTGTGTTATTTGAAAAATATAGCAAAAGTATTTTGCCAACCAAATGCCACAAATCGCAAGCGACATTTTCCAAGCATGTTGAGTACAAATTATTTCGCCACATGTTCTTCAAAGCATCAACAATATCGGGTCTAGTTGGAATCCATTGATCATCTTGTTCCATCAGAGTAAAAATTATAAGCACTGCCTGATGTTGCACATTATATTTGTGGGTGTTACTCATAGCAGTATTCCAACTTAAATAATCCAACAAGATGACGTATTTCGAGTTCTTAATGATAGTTCGAAATTCATGTCCATTTTTATGCTTTAATAAGAATATGAAAAACCGGTTCCATTGCGAGTCTTTCATTATTGAATCCATCATGAAGAGATCAACTGTTTCCAATGGAAAACGTTGCAAGAACATGATAAGTGCTTCACGGTATGGACTTGATGCCTCGATCATTAGATTCTTTTCGGTTTGCAAGACCAATTGGCACAACTTTTCGATATACTTTGACGATGCTGTAATGTGGTAAAACATCTCAATGAGGGTCACAATTTTCTGTTCATATTCTCCTCCTTTGGATGTTGCAAAAAAGTTAACGGTTTCGTTAGTGCACTTATAATGGCCCACAAATATCTCAATGATCTTTGCACAATGCTGCAGTATTTGTTCGCTAAGTTTTTCATTGAACATTTGCGGAAAGAGTTGAGTAAAGTATGATAATCGTTTTATGGCAGGAATGGACAAGTTCCTATGGTCGCCCAGTTTTAAAAGTAGAGGTCGCATTGCGGCTTGCACCTATAAATATATAATATAATTAATATTTGGCTAAAACAGATTCGTAAATGATCTTAAATAGAATCATATACATATGCATTGTACTGCCATTATAAGTTTCTACAACTTACCTTCTCTCTATCAAGTGTAATTCCAGAAATAAATGTTTTCATGCAAACATAGGCAGTTTCTTGTAACTCAGGCTTATCATTCTCCATGACTTTAAAAATTATGTTAATTATTTTTTCCTTATATCCAATTTCATTAATATAATGACATGCTGCCAAAGCCCGTAAAGCACTTATTCGTAATGGTATAAGGTTTGTCACATTTTTATAGCAATCTAATTTAGCTAATGTCGCATCCTCCGCTTCACTTAATGTGAGTAATTCATGGAAGAATAACTTGTGGTATGTATTTGTCAAATCTGAAAAATAGATAAAAAGAATTAGTTATAAGGAAATACTTGTATGAGAACAATACTTACCGATGGTAAAGAGACGAGGCTCCAAAGTAGTACAAAACGTATTACCATCCATCAGTCCGATTTGTGCATTGGCAGGTTGATGCCTCAAATAGTGTTTTTTTGGTGGTATAATATCAGCTAGGACATCTTTATGTGGGTCCATAACCTCAGAAACAGTCTTTTTCTGGATCGAACCGATGTGCTTTAATAACAACATGGATTCTTCTCTTACGATGGAATTGGGGCTTGTTATGTGTCGTACGAGCTCATGAATTACATCATACGTGGCTTTCGCTTGTAAATCTTCTAATTCATCATTTCGTGAATTTATACTTATGGGTGACAAGCAAATCTCCAACATTGTTTTCATATAGTTTTTAGTTATGTCAAGCGCGCCATTTGAAACATCTCCCTCCAGATCCATTAACACAAACATAAACGCTTTCAAGAAATTAAACAAATGCTGGTATAACGCACGTAGAGACATATGTTTGCAAAGAAATTGAATAGCCTGACAGCCGCCAACCTTGGCATACCAGGGGCGATCGTAGCACAATGCTGTCATTCTTTCTGCCAAATATTGCATTAAAGGTAGCTTGCAAGCCCTGTCTTTATTGCCCATTATGTTTGCAGCAGTGTCGAGTATTATTCCCATGCAAGCTATGCCGGGCTTGCACAATTCCTTTTCTTCATGTCCCATGCACGCGGCCAGCGCATCAATTAATACCATTGGATCGATGCCATTCGACGTGAAATTCTTTTGTGGAAATGGTCCTGCCTGTTGAGCAATCGCCACCATAGTATAGTGTCGGACAACAGCTGCCATAACTGGACACACTGAGTCTCGTAAGTCTTTCGTGGCTGAAGCAACCAACATGCCAATAAGAGCTGTTAAATGAGTTCCACGCACGCTTGACGCATCTATTTTGTTGTGGAATATTGGCCAATTCATAATGTTGCTTTCCACAAAGTCGCTGTGTGTAAATAACTTTAGCAATGTATGCTTTTCATCATCCAGACTAATAAAAGCAGCCAGAAAACATCGGATCACTTCCCAACTTTGACGTCTATAAAATTGATCTGTGGTGTTTGAGCTCAATGCTTTGAAGGCCGACTCAATTGCATACTCAACGGGAAATTCAATTGGTTTCTCATATTCTTGGAAATATGTAATTATTGAGATTTTTGGCTTTTGGTTATGATCATAATGCAGAGTTTGCGGCTCCACCATCATTTTTCGATTGCCTCCGCCAAATTTGCCAAGCACGCGAAAAGCAACAAGTGCTGCATTGTCTTGATTTCTTAATGTTTTCCATAAGGCTTGCATCAAAGCTGCCCTTACTGGTTGTATATGGTCATACAAAAAATCTGGTTGCAAATTGTCAACACACAGTTCCAAAGTTCTTAATCCCTGCAAATAGAAATTTATTTAATTAAAGGCTTTATAAAACTTTATTTTTCGACTTTACCTGATTTATAAGAGTGGGGGAACCGTTCAAAGCGGAAACTAAAGGATCCATGAGCATGGGAAGATATGGCAACAATGATGAGAGTCGCACAGGTACAGTCAAGCAAAGCTCAACGAAAAGATCACGCATATGTTGTTTGTGAAATCCACTTTGCAAGCGATTTAAGCCCTCCAACAAATTTGGTAACAGCGGAAGAAATTCTTGATAGAGAAGATCGTGACTTCCGCCACCAATGGATCTGAACAGAGCCCTTAAAAGTAGAAAATAGTTGTAGGGCTCATCTGAAATCAACGCCAATTCCATTGAGCGAATAACTATTTTGTGCAGATGTGGCCGCAACATTTGTTCATTTTCCACAGGAAATAGGCTAACGCTGCCAAAAACGAGCTTAAACAAGCGGAGATACAAGTTTGATCGTTCAACATTTGAGCCCATTTCCTCCATTTTCTCCAAAAGGTACTCAACCAACACAGTCGCAAATAGTGGCGAAGTGGTGGGATTCGCTAGAAATGAGTTTGCTATAACCTGAAGTGCTTGATTTTTGTAGATTCGTTCTACCAAAAAATCGATAGTAGTAGCAAATATTTCTTGAAAATTCTGTGAATGCATCATGAGAAACTAAAAAAAAATGTAAAAAAGTAAATAGTTAAAATGTAAAAAAGTAAATAGTTAAAATAATGTATTTTTCAATAACACTTACAATGCCACTAAAATGCTCCAAGACTTCCTTCTCCTCTTTGCTGCGAGACATCAGTCCAGATGCTCGTTGTTGATTTGGATTAACATTGATCGTATATATATCCAACGCTTCCATTGCAAAATGCACTAAGTCAATATATGTGCATAATATCTCAGGACTGAAAAGTTTTTCCTGCATTTGCATGCTTGATTCGGAGACATGAATCTATAACAAAAAGACAAATATTAATTGAACTTCACAAAAATATATTTGATTAATCATACCTTTGAATTGAAAAATCCCCAAGTTATTGTTTTAACGCCACCAACAAGGGTTTTGACCAAACTTCGAAATTCAGCTACATTCACCGAACATATCAATTGTGAACCAGCCGTGGTTTTAGTCTGATCACTTCCCAGCTGATCCTTAAATGGACGAAATATAAATAAGAATACGTACATTACCATTAGGATTAACAAATTATATATACTAGCTAATCAAGCTCAAGTGTTACTTACATCTTTTATCTCTGTTAAAGGCAGAGCAGGTATGTTAAATGAACCAATAGGGTTCGCTGCTCCACTGGCTGGAGGTTGTCCCTTGCTGATTATATAAAAGAATTATGTAACACATATAAATAATTATGTAACAAATATATACACACATACCACTTTTGAATGATCAGAGGTAGTTGAATTTGAGCGATAGTTTCAAACTTCTTCACGAACACTTTCAGCAGCGTTCCTAGAATATTCCTAGAGCGCTGTGGTTCCAGTTCACTGTGGTGTCGCAAGCATTCGACTAGATTCAATAAAAGCTTACACGACATGGTTTGTATACCAATAGCAAGTGTCTCGTCATGAACATTTCGGGCAAACAAATGCACGGCTTTGACTAAGACATCTAAGCTTAAACTTTGACGGACATGATGTGCTAGATCAGCTAATGTAGAATACGCCAATGGTCGAATGGAATCTAATGTGACACCTTTTCCAATAAGTAAATCTTCATCAAATAGCTTGTCTATTGATGGAATAAATTCTAAAAGAATAAATGCAGCAGTTAATATGTCAACCTTTTTGGAAGAAAAAAAAACAAACTTACTTTGTCTTAAATCTGTTGCAAATATATGCCGCGCAGCAATTAAAAGCTCTTTGCGTAAATGAGCTGCTTCCTTGGGGCAATTTTCCATTAAATTTAACATTCCATTTGATACAGATTGTGAATTTGCAATTACAATATCCTAAATTAAATATTCAATTTTTATTTAATACACGTTCAACATTAAAAGATTAAACTTACTTGATATATTCGCACAATATATGCCAAAAATGAAAGTGTTTTTACTTGAGCTCCCATGAAGTCTACAAATACTTCCTTTTGGGTTGAATTTCTAGCAAAAGAAGAATAGTTTTATTTTAATATAATTAATTTAATTTGTTTAAATTTTTGTCAAAGTTCACCTTTGATGTACGGTTGGCTGTAAATTGATGGTTGTAAGTATTAAAGGAATGAACTCAGCGACCTCTTGATGGACAGCATTTTTATATATTTGATACATCAATACCACAATAATGGGCAACTCTTGGAGAACTTTTAGGGATAATATACCACGAGGCAGAAGATTGTACTGAAATATAAACAAATTTAAAATATTAAAACTATTCTTTGATACATAATATTGTAGACAACAAACATGTCTGCTTGCAAATTAAACTTACAATCATTTGCTGTGAATTGTGCTCCAGTGACTTCTCTACGTGTATCGTTTTAACTGAATATGTGTCTGGCAAAAGCATTTCCAAGTCCAAGTCTTTTAGATCGCTGATCCAAATTTCATTTGAGGTTTCAAAGATTGATGTTAGATTATTTGGAAGATTTGTATAAATTTCTTTAACAAATCCCAAAAAGAGTTGAATCTAAAAAGGAACAGTAATTAATTAATATATTCTTAAGTGCATATAAAAAATGAAACATTAAGTTGCCTCTATATAAGAAGTAAAGTGTTCACATACCTCAGGATTAAACGATGGACGGAAATGTTTGTGCAGCTCAATTATTATACGAAGACTGATTAGGACATTCTCTTCATTGTCAGTTTTTAATAGTTTAAGCATCATTGTAATAATTGACTTAACATGCTGCCTCAGATTCTCTGTAATGGGCAGTCGGTGTATCATCTCCAGTATAAGTTTGCGAATCTAAAATGTAAATGATAGAATTTCGTTATAGTTATTTAAAACAAAAACAACAGATAATAATATTTTCATTTATTTAATATTATGATGAAATATGTCTTTTTCCTTTTTGCAACAGGTTTAAGTGAATGTCGGGCAAGACATACACGAGCAGTAAATGAATAGTCATAGAACATTTGTTTACTTTGGCAGATATACCTGTTTTAGGATTCTTTCTTCTCTAACTCTCTTGGCTTAAGGAGTCTTGCCAATTCAATTAAAATAAAATTAAAATGTTTGTGCACAGAAATGCATACACCCACCCACATACAAACATACATACATACATACATATGCAAAGGCATTGGTATCCAGAGGAGAAAAATACTTACGTGCTGTATTGTGTTTTCTTGTATAAATTGAGGCTCGCCCTCTTGTAATATACGCATAAATATTTTAAGTGCATTTTCCAAAAATGAAGGATAAGACGGAGATTGCATTATCATTTCAAAATGTTCGCTCAACTCCTGGGTGGCTTTCAATTTGATGTCTTCGCTTGCAGACGGATCATTTAATATACTTAGGTAATTCCGAAAGGTATTAACCGGAATACTTTCGACGTGTGCCATTTTAAGTGACCATTAATATTTTTTTGCAACGAACGAAATGCGATTTTACCGGTGTAAACAAGCGAAATGTGTAAATTTGAGGCACAGGGTGGTAGGCAAAGTGTAACATAGCGTCGCATAATATCATTCACAACAAAGTGTGAAGCTATCTTGTGTTTTGACTGCAGGGTGTTTCGATTAAAATAGTCCATTTTACGCCTGTTGTATCTGTTGGGATATCATGATATAACAAACTAAATCAATTTAATAAAATTTCTTACACTAAAAGTCAGAACAGTTATTTATTGAAAAAAATATAATTTTTTTAAACGCAGAATATCGTTGTTACGTATGATTACATTTTGATTCCTTTTCGTAAGGAATGACACTGAGTTACAAAATAAATATTTATAAAATAATATCTGAAAATAAACCATTATGCGTGTTATTTTATTAGATAGTATATTAAATTATTATTCTGACAGCTTAGTTATACAATATCATGGGAATGCCATGTCTATTGAATATAACAATGGTAATGAATATAAAGTGTTCTATTTCATAGTTTCAATCGCGTTTACTGCTGGCTTGTATATTTGGCTTAAATTGATTCGAATTAATAGTACACTCTTGCAAAACCGATAATTAGTAGCAAATAAAATTCTTTTGTGAACTAATAAATTATACATCGAGAATAAATACCTTGTAAGTTGCATACCAATGGACTTATAATAATGTCTCTTGTATAATTGGAGAGCTATGAAATGTGTAAACATTGCCTAACCTGATAATCGTGTGTGCTTTAATACTTATAATTTAAAATTGAGACCTATTGGATCTAACATACTTATGTATTTACATACATAAATATCTTTAAGCATATACATACAAACATACAGATGCGTTAAGTATCTTCAAAATGATTTAAAGATATAAAGACAAATGAAATTTATAAAATAAAATAAAATAAAATAAATAAGTGAAACTCATCTTGTAATTTAATTTAAAATTATATTAACATAAGTAGAAGAGTGTGCATGTTACCTTTTTACCGAGCGCATAGGTGGGAGCTGGCTAATACATTAAATTAACAAGATGCACACAGCGAGCTAAAATGCAGATTGTTGTGGTCTTAGTGGTCAACAAATTAAAAAATAAGTGGAAATAAATTGCTGTATGAAATATCGATTGATTTTGTACATGAAGCAGAACAGGTTCAGATTCACATACATTGATCATCAGGCATCGGGCACACCTTATTTTACCTTTATCTACAAATAATTAAAGCCTGTTTGCGCATTCACTCGGTGTTTGGTGTCTCATTCATGTTATGCTCTGCTTTGGATTTGCTCGTTTACTAATGTTTATTCAGAACACCTGTGTTGATATATATGCTTAATGGCAGTCGGCAATTACCGGCAAAAATACGGCACAATTTGGAAAACTGACAAAATATATACTTAAATATATTAATGAAATTTTTATAATTTTTAACAAAATGTAGGCCTATTAAAAATTAAAATAAAAGCACAAAATTATAAATTTGTCCTTGTATTTATGCTCTTATTTAGATACTTTAAGCTGATGCTATTTATTGTAACCTAACACGAATTATTCTGCGGTTTGTTAACTGATAAGTTGCCATTAAGCTATGTAATTTTACTAGCAAATATGATATATATATGTCATTTTGTGGAATGAATGATTTTAGTTGTTGCTGTTAATATATATATATATATATATATTTATAATGTAAATATGAGCTGATGCGATCTTGTCTAGTCTACATGTTTGGTAGTTTTGATCATGAAGATTGATGCACTGATTACCCACTTAGTTCCTCTTCATTGTCTACAAATCCTTATACTCTATGAAAACTTCTTTGTTAATTATAATTCGATAAATAATTCACAGTTAAAAAAAGGAAGAAAAATGAGAGAATCTGCTCATGATATCAGTATGGATACCTGGAAACAGTGGATACTTGATGCAATATCAAAAATTCGGTCCCAAAAGCAAAGGCCGAGCGTTCAGAGAATATGTCAGGCTATTGGCACACATCACAAATTTCATGAAGATATTGTGGCTGAAAAATTGGAAAAGGCAGTTGAGTCTGGTTCCGTTATCAAAGTATACAATAAGGGATTGCATTCATATAAAGCGCCGATGGCGAAAAGGCGAATAAAAGTTGATAAAACTACAAATCTTTACAAAGTCGTAGCTAAAGCAGTTAATGACTTGGGAGAATGCGAAGGATCTACGATAAAAAATATAGAAAACTATATTCAAAAATTTAACTGCATTGATCTTTCGCCCAATGTTGATTTCAAAGCTGTAATTAAAATATCAATAAAGAAAGCTGTAGACACTGGCTTCCTAATACAGGAGGGAAAGTTGTACAAGAAGGGCAAATCGTTAACAACGCCCCGAAAATCTTTACCAGAAACTGAGATACTTATCAAGGGAGAAGAAACATGTACCCATTGCTCCGGAAATTCACAAAAAAATCTAAATGGCATTCCAGAACCTCTCAGTTCTTGTAAACAATGTGGAATATCATTGCACACGACATGTGCAAACATTGCCGGTAAATGCAAATCGCAGTCGTATGTCCTGCTTTATATGCTTGTTACTAAAGGATCTTTATGGAACTGTCAGAAATGTGCCGATTGCGTTGTCTGCAAATTGCGTAATCGCGGTCCATGTCTTTTACAGTGCTTCGCTTGTAAAAACCATTTTCATCTTACGTGCCTCGATACGATTCCAGACAAAAAGCCCAAGCATCCATATCGGTAAGTTGCTAGATAGCTACAAATTTATTATAATACAAAAATTCAATGAATCTTACATTTAATTAAAAATAAAATAATTAAATAATTTCAATTTCAGATGCAAATCGTGCCTAAACGTTGATCACCCAAAATCATTAAAAAGGGATGCAACAAACATAAAACTGGAGCAAGAAAATGAGAGGTAAGCCAAATTCTTACAGTATATATTATCTATAATACTATAGTATTTAAAAAAAGTCTAATAAAAATACCAACATTTTCGCTCGCTTTTGTAGAAATGTCCCGTATTCGAATGTCTCCCAAAAAACACATTCCAACTGCAAACGGCAGATGATTAAGAGAGAAGAGCGAATAGAAAATCCATCAACGTCCCAAGAATCTGTAAACAATGTTGCTGGCCACAAGCAGAAGAAGAAAAATTGCATCGTCGTTAATAATTTTGAAGCTCAAATTAAACAAAAAAAGATATATCGAGAACCAATTATTAATCAAATTAATCGAAAGCGTACATATTCGGATTTGTCATCTACGACTTCCTCAAGTGACAGCGACGATGATGAGGATGATGATGATGAAAAGAATGCTGCGTGCGAAGATCAAGATGACAGCACATCGTCCGACTCATGCACGTCCTCTAGCTCCGAGTCAGATTCAAGCGACAGCTCGAGTGACAGCTCTGAATGCGATGACGATAATGATGAGGAGGACTATGACACGGATAAAAGTACATTTAAGGAGAATATATTTGAAAACGAAAAGAATATTGAGTTTCGATCATCGCCGAACGACGCAACAAGTTTAATGGACGCATCTTCGGAAAATTGGGGATTTGCTGCCGTTGCAAAAAATCCAGTTGATGACAAATATATCAAAAATTTTAAAAGCCTAAGCTATTCCAACCATCCGGTAGCTAATCAAGCAATCGAAGCGAATAAGCCTAGCAAATACGTAACTGATAAATCTGATACTGTTGTGAACGGTTCATTGCCAATCAAGCGCAGCAATGGAAATGTGGAAAGAAAAAGGACAATTATCTTGAAATCAATGCCACTGGATTCCACAAATTTGTACATGAAACATGATGATGATATTCCATATCTTACCAAAGAAACTGTATTAAAATGTCGAATGATTGATGACCAGGAACAATTTACAGAGCCAAGAAAGAAACCAGTGGAATCAAGTTTAAACAACAATACGGATTTTAATTGTATAGGAAATCCCACGCATGTTGAGAATATTGAGTCAATTGGCCCGAGTAAACTGTTTGGTATGTTAGAAAATTAATTGTATATTTAACTTAATTGTACGAATGCCTAAATGGGAAGTTAGGGCAGTTCCAATAAGATAGTGATCTGAGATATCATGGCTGTAGTCGAAGTTTTATAGTTTGCACCACTGAAGTGGACATCAATAAGATAATGTAGGCAAGGTTACTGGAAGCGTTACTATTTATAAACTTAATATATTTGTAAATGTTTAATTGCTGGGGCTAACAGATGATTGACCCAAAGATATGTTCCTTAAAATTTGAAAAGTCATTTATCATTTTATACTTTTATAATATATTGCGCAATAAACTAAAGATTACGATCTATATACATAGCTAGCATAAACAAAGATGAATTTATAGCTGGGTTCATTCTGCATATTTGTTCTAAAATAATATTTTCTGCAAATATGTGAAGCTTGTCCAAGCATTCCCCACATTCCACAGGCAAAGTAGTTTAATCATTTGAATATATAGCTTCCATTAATTTAAATTAAGTTTGGCTTAGTGCCAAAGGCAAAAAGTACCTATTTAAATGCTTGTCAAAAATTAAATAATACATTTTTTACTTATAGAAAATCAACATCTACCACCTGGCGTTAATCAATTTGATGTTAACATATATCAAGAAGTATTGCAAAAAGCTGTTATTAAAGTTTCTGCAAACCATTCCGAAATGCCTCTTGAGAAAAGTAATTCTTTGATTCACTGTGGACAAAGTCCCAAATCTATTGAAATTGGAAAATGGAATATTGAAACATGGTACTCAAGTCCATTTCCGCAGGAGTACGCTAGGTAAATTCGCAATATCTATTACACAGTATTATTATTTTCTATTTATTGAAAACTAATTAGAAAATCAATATACCAGATAAACCGACTAATTATTAAACTAGGAATAGTTTCAAAATAGCAGCTAAATATAAATATATTTTCCTAAAGCTTGCAAACTGTTAATAGAGAAGCAAAATATATTTGAATTTCAAATATTTAAGATATAGCCAGTTTCTCAAAATAAAAATAATAGTAATAATTTTATTTTAATTCCAGGTTGGCAAAACTTTACTTGTGTGAATTCTGCCTAAAGTATACAAAAAGTAGATCAGTATTGGATAGACATCAAAATAAATGTATTTGGAAGCAACCGCCTGGAACTGAAATCTTCCGCCAAGGCGACATATCTGTTTTTGAAGTAGATGGAAATGTTAACAAAATTTATTGTCAAAATTTATGCCTACTTGCAAAATTCTTTTTGGATCACAAGACTCTTTACTACGATGTAGAGCCTTTTCTATTTTACATCTTGACCAAAAATGATCAAATTGGCTGTCATCTAGTTGGATATTTTTCGAAGGAGAAACACTGTTCGCAAAAGTATAATGTATCATGCATTCTGACATTGCCTCAATATCAAAGGCAAGGATATGGACGATTTTTGATTGACTTTAGTTACTTACTTAGCCGAGAAGAAGGCCAGCTGGGAACTCCAGAAAAACCGCTCTCTGATCTTGGACGTCTTTCCTACTTTTCATACTGGAAATCGGTTGTACTAGAGTACTTGTATAAGTACAGAAATAATCAGACAATAACATTTAAAGATATAGCCATTAAAACTGGCTTGGCTATTTCAGATATTGCTTTGGCGTTTGAATTGCTAAATTTCATTAAATTAAGAAAAAATGATGGCGACATAAGATTCCAAATCAATGTGAAAATAGATTGGAAAAAGGTTTTGTTACATCATAAAAAGAGAGCTCAGAGCAAAACACGAATATTCATTGAAGCCGATTGTCTCAGATGGAGTCCGTTAATGTCGATTTCAAAATCTCCCAATTTTAATATAAAACCAATATCGAATCGTGAATATTTGAGCCATCAATGTATTGAGAATTCAGATAATGATGATTTTTATAAAAAGAAACCTGAGGAAACTATAAAACCTCTAACAAATTCAACAGAATTGTATAAGGAAAAAGATTTAATTAAAGCGTTTAAGCCGGCCAGTGAAAATACAGAAAAGACAAGTTACATTAAAAAGGACTTATATTCAGAATCTGCACAACTACCACTAACAGATGCAAAAAGATGCAAACGTGCTTTTGAAGACATAACTGAGAACTCGGATTCCTCTGACAGTAAATATTCTAAAAAATCATCAGAGTCGTCAGAATTCAATATGTTGACTAAAAGAGCGTTGCGTCTTGCTAAGAGGAAGGACAGTATTCCTCACACTAACAAAAGAAAACATTTTGAACGCGATAATAATATTGATCATGTAGAACATGATATACCAATCCAAGCCGATCAACAAAAGGCGAATGAAACTTTTGATAAAACTACCACCTTGCAACGACCTACGGTCCAAGATGTTAATGTTACGAAGCCTGTTAATATTGTGCCCAAACTGCGCGGCAAGAAATCAAATGGAAAACGTGACGAAGAAAGTAAAGCCGCCGGTCAAACCAGTAATAAAATTCCAATGAACGAAAGCGATAACGTCGAAGTGAAGAAAGTCATTCACGATAAGCAGGAAACCGAACCTGAGCCTCAAACTATTGAAAAAGAGAAGAGCTCAACTGATTACTGCACGGAACAAGTATATGATGCTGTCGCAAAGAAGACAAAGAAAGCACTGTTTTCCGAAACGACTCCAGTCGAAATAAAACCTACTGAGAATACAACTCCAGAATGTAAAATTGAGCCCAAACCAACTGAAACTGAAATGGTAATTGAAACCGTATTAAATAGTGAGCCGAAAATTCAAATCCAAGTTAAAGACAACGTCGAGCCTCAGAAAGATGCTAAGTTAGTGACTCCAACTGAAGTGGTAGTTGAAGAAAAAGTTATCAGTAATTGCAATACTACTTCTGAAAATACTAAACTTGTACCAATAGTTGAGTCTACTGAAACTAATGTACCTGTTGTGAATGAAGAAAAATCGGAGCAAAACAAGGATCCAATAACTAAGATGGTAAATAACTCAGATGATAAAAATATAAAAATGGATATCACACCTACTCCTGCAGAAAAAGCGCCTGCCGCAGTATCCGCACCTGTTTCTAGTACTACAAAGTCCGTTGAAGGTGTTGCCACAAAAAACTCAGATACTAAAGTGGATAGTAAGCCCTGTGTTATACCTGATCAAATTGAATCAAAAATTCCTGAAGTTTCCCATATTAAGGCTTCGCCCAGTTGCAATCGACAATTAAATAGTGAAGTTGACAAAGTAAATACAACTAACGAAAAACAAATCCAATTGAAAACAGAGGTGCCGTTTGTACAAGAAGCTGAAGCTAAGCAGAAAATAAACAAAAAGGCGGCTTTGGAAGCATCTATTGCTAGGACTGAGAATCCCAACACGGTATGTAAAAAGCCAGAAGCTCCTAATACAAGTAAAATGAATGTCTCGGATAAGGACACGAATAAATCGACCCATTTATTGCAAGTTAAAGAAGAAGAAAAGCCTAATGTGCGTGTTCCGTCATCCTCATTGCCTATACGCGATAAGATTCAACTGAAAAACAACGAACATCCCCAGTTACAAAACTCTTTACCTTCCCAGTTCCCTCTGAATCAAATGCCCAACTACCATCATACTTCGCAGTATTGGCAATGGGACTATTACAGCTATAATCTGTGCAATTTGGACCCAGCAACCCAGAAAGGTCAGAAACAGTTCCACAAAGACCTGGCAACAACAATGGCATATACACATAACTTCACGCAAAACCTGTACCAGTCGGCGAATTTGGCCATGCATGCTCATCATCAGATGCATCATACAAAGGATAAACAGAAGGTTGATCGGAAAATTAGTGGAAAAAAGGAGGAATTGGCAAAAGCAGCTTCCAACATAAGCACTGTCAACACTGCAAGAGATGATGGCCATGCACTTAATTGCAATGATTACAATGTTAATCAAGCCAACATTTACGATCAGAAGTGTTCCAACCAACAGAAACAATTCAAGGCAACCGATCATGGTCAACAAATCAAGCCCATAGACAATGCTCAAAACCCTATAGCAAGACATGCAAATGCAAACCAAGCTGAATCAGCAATTTTACTCTCAAGTTCGTTGAGTCGGGAGCCTTCGGCCGCACCCACAAAGCCAAAATCAGAGCATAGTGGTAACATAGCCCTGGGCGCTACTCGAGAAGACAAAATTAAAGTCACTCAACCAATTCTGCAATCAGTTAATCATTCAAATTTGCAAGTCGGCGGCCAATCTGATGTTAATACTAATATTCCGTACACCTCAGAATCGGCATCGAACAATGCGCCCATACAACATTATGATTGCGGGATTAATGTGCAAATAAATATGGATTCGCCAGCAAGTATTGGAAGTGCCGTCAATCATGGATCTGAAAACACCAATGGACTTATGCACAGGCAGTTTTCTGACTGTTCAATGCAAAATCAGTCAGCCACGACGCCCATGCACATGTCAATCCAAAACTCACATATCCAACAGCAGAACAACATAAATATGAATTTAACGCCAGAAGGCTCGCCAAATTTAAATATAATCGGCAATTCACAACACCAACATCAAAATAGGAAACTAGCTGTACAGGTAACTACAAATTATTATTAATTATTAAATTTGGCACTAATAGCAAATCTTGTAACTCCTTTTGCAGACGGATATTGTTGCGAGTTCCCCGAGTGCATCACACCGAGAACCAACACCCAAGCAAATTCGTAATAGTAACTCTTCAAATAATTCTCAGCAACGAGACGCTAAAGTTCCTAGTGGAACTACGCAAAATACTCACCATCAACACTCCCAGAGTACTGTTTCAAATATATCGAAAGCTCAGCAAGATGGCATAGGAAGCTTACAGTTTACGCAATCAGGAGGACAGCATGGACATCAGCAGAATATGCAGCCCTTGGATTACATACCTATTCCGCAAATCACACAAAACTTTTCAACGAATCCATCAAATTACGATATAGTCGGCATGCCAGCTGTAATTCAACAACGGATGTCCCTGAATAACTCAGTTCATTCTCTTTCGAACTCCCATCAACGCATTGAACAACCATCGTCAGCTTGTGCTGTAAATAATTTTTATTTACAAAATAATATGCCATCCAATGAAATTGTATCTAATGCATCTCGTATACCAGTGTCTACAACATTAGGGCCTCCATCTTCTATAGCTAATAATGATCAGTCCATATCATCAAACAGTGGAGGAACTACGCCAGCTGTAGTAGGACACTTATGTAGTCTTTCAAAACTTCAACAGCTTACTAATTGCCTTGAATCTCAGCCATGTAATACATCCCCAGGAGCTCAAACGAATTTAGCACCATCGCCGCACCACCCAATCCCACCCAATTCTATGACACCTCCACCACATTTGATAATGCAAAATAGAAATGTTTCTACGCCCCCAAATATGTTACAAGCTCAAGTAACTCCCTTACAATATCATAAATATTATACAAGTAACATGAACATTACGCCGAGCACATCAACGCAGAACACTAACAGGAATACTAGAAACACACCATCTGCCCCAATACAACATACCTCGGCGCCTATTAGCGGCAGTTCTAATAACCGCACGGCTAATGTACACATCAGCCCCAATCTGATGTCCCACTATGGCGCCATTAACAGCTATAGAATGTCGCCGCAGCAGAGTCCTCCTGCACCAGCGTACAGCTCGGGTGGTGAATATCCCAATTCTCAGATTCCAATGCAAATGGGAGTAATGAACATGCAATCTCAGTATCAAGACGCATGCGTGTTGCAAAGAGCTACGCAACCCAATCCGATGTATCCAACGTACTCGCCATACTTGCCGTTGAACAGCTCAATACGCAGATAGTAAACAATTGTCATCTTACACAAAGTATTATAAAACATAATATTTGCCTGTATTACTTGTGTTGTGAATAAATATAATTTCTGCGAATTCAAATATAAAACTAATAAATGGATATTTATTTAATTACGCCTAATCGGAATTCCAACTTAAGATGCTTGACCTGTGTGCTACATTTTGAGTTATTTAACATATAGATTTATTTAAGAAATAACTACATAGTGGGCTTTCTATTGAAAGTCTTCGTTTCAGAATTTATAGTGCGATTAAGATATACAATATAATAAACCCTTAACGACCCATAATATAATATATAAAAAGAAGTACCATGGAAGATGTAGGATCACAACACAATTATTCAACTCCGACCTCCTCAACGATTCAGTCGGATGCTCCACCGAACACAATATCGAAAAAGGAAAATAAGCTTATATCAAATAAGCGGTCTGAATACGATGATTCGGCGAAATGTTCCAACATAATCACAACTACGACTACCTCCTCATCGACTTCTATTTCCATTGGCGCCTTCAATTCGGATGCCCAATTTCAGAGAGCATCAGGCCATGAGCCTCCACACATTGGCTATGAGCTGAGCGTAGCTAAGTCGGTATTACAGCAATACAGTACATTAACTGGAGATAACTTGTAAGTGAGCATAAGTATTAATACTTTTACTATCCCACCAAGGTAAAGCCCGTTGAAAACTATAGGCTTAATGTATAAATCATGTAAGTCAAAAAGAGGAAGAGGTAATGTCCTCATTACTTATTAACCAAATCGTGTAGAACTGCTAGGTAAAGACGAAGTTGAAATGATTGATCAGAACATGAAACAGAAAACTTTATATCGGTTTCTGCTATATTGTAATAGATGTCTCTTATGAGGTACATATATTTTAACTTTTGTCTTTTATCTCTAAATGTTCGCAGATTTGATCATTTAAGTGACATAATAAAACGAGTTGTTGATGAACGACCTCCAAATGTGATTGATTTCTTTGAAGAGTTTAGTCGAAATGTACGCGAGCAAAAATTCCATGTCCCAGAACGTTTTCCCCCAAATGCCGTATTCGCCGACAGTCGAATGTTTCGTCCAGCTAAGAAAATATTGCACTCAATAAAGGCAAGTCTCCTTAATAGGTATATTTAAAGATATTAGCTAATTTAGTCGTATAGTTGCCACACAATGTCGAAGGTGCTGACTTTACCATTCATGAGGAGGCTTCCGAAGAAGCATTCACATACGCTGAAGGGGATCTTCGAATTGACATTGATTATAACATGCGTTTGTTCGTAACATTTAATGAGCGCGTCGAACAGCTTCAGTTCTTTTGGAATCAATGCGGCTTTACCATTAGCAAAGATGACATCTTTCAGTTGGCCAGTTCTATAAACCGACTTCAGACACATCCGTCAATAATGCAATGTCGATTTTGGGGCTGTATTAATGGATTGAAAGCGTCTTACTACATTGTGGAAGCTTTGCTTACTCGAGAGGAACTTACTTCACGCATGACAATGATGGAGGAAGAATTGCGGGAAAAGCAGCTGCCGTTTAAAATGAGAAAGAATCAAGACCCAACACCTTTACCAACACATATAGGTCCAGAGCTAACTCCGGGCGTTTATGGATGGGAGAATTATGCTCCTGAAGAATTGGAAAAGATGACAACTAAAGCGAGGCCAGTTCCCTTGGCAGAGGAGACGGAATTTTACGATATACCACCAGAGTTTGTGGGACTGGGATGCAATCGATTCTCGTACTTTGTCGTAAACTGCCTCTTTGATGATTGGATTGAACTACCTATAGTAACGCCTCGTCAAATAGTTGTTTCTCGTCAAATCAAGAAGTTTTTCACTGGTGACTTGGAGTCTGATATTGTATCATATCCATGCTTTCCAGGGAAGGAAAAGCATTATTTACGTGCCATAATTGCTCGCATTACGGCTAGCACGCATATCGCGCCGCAAGGCTATTACAGGCGAATGACTAAGAAGGAAAAAGATCTATTTGAGGGTCTCAACATTGACGACGAAGAGGAGGAGGAAGAAGAAGACTTCAACGAAGGCGAAGAAGATGCAATTCAAGGTAAAGTAATCGCATAGCTTATATTGCATTCTAGATCGTCATGGCGCCTGCTCCAAAATCTGATGCTGATAAGGGAACATCATAGGTATGGAGAGGAGGCCTATTACCTTCTCCGCTACATCTGGCAAGGACTGCCAGCTCTTCCACTTGCATATCTGAATTGAAGGTAATTAACACAGCAAATAAAATTCTATCTTTTCAGATAATGATGTTATGCTCTTGAAAAATGAACGATTTGAATTAGAGCCTTTGACAACGCTGGCGACGCCCGTTGCTTGGGTCCATTGTCGACCAAATATTTTGAAGCAAGGTCGCGTTGTTTGGTACGATGAAGAGAAAGCGCGTAGGGAGCGCGAAAAAACTCTGGCAATGTATTTGAAGATGCGTCTTCTGGAAGAAATGGATGAGGAAGCTGAAGAAGAGGAGGCTGACGGAGAGGAAGAGGGCGAAGAGGAGGAATTATTAGAGGGACTTAATCAACCAGAAATAGGCCCCGATATTTTAACATCATGCGCCAGCGATATGAACCCGGATTGTCTGATCCCATGGCTGGTGCGCTTCACCAGCAAATACACAAACCAAAAGGAACGCGTGTTAGTTATGCAATCAAATTTGTGGCCTGGCGCGTTCACATTTATATTCGAAAACACATGCGAATCTATATATTTGGGATGGGGACACAAGTTTTGCAAGCGCAATATTCCGTTCCAGCATGTGCCAATGGTTCACGAAGAATTTCCGCATACTGGCGATGACTTTATTGAGACTACTGATCCAACGGTGGAAGAGGAAATGGCGTACAATGAGTGGCTCTTAAGCAAACAAAAAATGCGCACGACAGGAGACAGCTTGCATGAGTATGATGGCGAAGATATTGAGGACTACGATGACAACGATGAAGAAGATGATTAAGATAATATAATATCACATTACTTGTAGCACTTAGTATGCCAATGTTCTTAAAAATTAATGCAAATGGGTCGCCAATAAATGGTTATTGGCTAAGTAGAGAGTTTACAAATAGCCAGGTTTAGTAAAAAGACATGAAGACAAAGCAGACTTACGTATTACGTACTGTAAATTTGAGCAAATGAGGCTTCCTTTAGCCACACGGCTCTGCTAGCTGACCAAGATTAATGTGGGTTGCAGTTCCTCTTGCTGGAGTTCTAAACGCCCTCTGCTGTTTCCTTGCTGCCCGCTTCGTAATCGTAAGAGTCTCCATTCTCCCTACCCTATTCAGAGTCGGGAGAGACTTCACTCTCTATCGGATAGAGTCAAGTGTATAATCTGTTTACTGTGTCGTATTCCTGAGCTAAGCTAAAGCGCTTAGACTCAATAAGTAGTTGGGATTTTATTTTTTAGTAATACAGCATATAAATTCCAGTATATAAATAGCTACTTAACCAAACTTGCAATTTTATTCGATTTGTGTATATTGACTTTATGTTTAGATTAACAATTAAATTCACGAATTAAGCTTAAGCGGTCTGGTATTTTTTAATCAGCATGGCCCAGACGTCCGGATAGCGAGCTTGCAGAAACGATGTCAATTTTTGTGCGCTTTGTGCCTGCTGAGGCGAGCAATTGCGGCATTTTCTTGTAATAACTTCTGGTAGAGCAGCTGGAAAAGAATTTTAGATAGGCAAAAAAATGATTATAGGTAAAAGCTTCGACAGTATTAGTTATCTACTCTCGAAAGAAGAGGATTATAGAGCTTCAAAAATTAGGTTTTGGTGTCAACAGGACTTTTTAATTTAGCTTTAGTCAGGTATGTCCGACTAGGAGAAATAATAAAGATAGATATTGTTTAACCAATTGTAAGTCTCAAATCAAATCTCCTTCAACTCAGTCGGACGGACGGACTACAGCTCTTTGTGCTGCCTGGCTCTGCCACGTCTCCTGCAGTCTGTTAAAAAAAAATGGCACAATTATTTAGAACAATAGTAAATATACCTTTAAGTTGTTTTCCTAACTGGTCACAGGGGCTTTTCTCGAGAATACACATGATTTGACGACTGACCACAGCTTGGTTGTTTAGGAGTCTATTGATATTCTTTTCGTCAGCATCGACTTTTGCAGGAATCAGTATCATAAATAAGAACATTAAAACTAAAATATATTTCTGTGATATTTTTCTAAAAAACATAACTTCTTTTGTTGCTAATATGATAGTGCTAGTGTAGTGCTAGTGTATTGGATGCTAATGTTTTTTGTGCTATTTTGTGTATTTGATATATTTTAGCGCATGCGTTCGAAAGCTTCTTGCAGGGTTGTAGCAAAAGCGACTAAATCAAGTAGATATTTCTAAATGGATGGGGCATGGTATAAGAGAAAAATTTCGAAAAATGTTGAAGCTATCCAAATACCAACGTAGCTGCTCTTCCGGCGGCTGGCTGAACAGATCAGCCTCACGCGAATGCAAGGCGCAACAGCGTTATTGCTTCCTAAGAAAATAGCATTAGGAGCGCTTCAAGCGTAGTATATGGATCAAGTGATGTCTGCAAAAAGTTCAATATATTGTGCCGAAAGTACGCTTCGCCTTTTCTTTTTCGCACAAATCCCCCCTCAAAAAAATAACAATTTTTATTGAATTTGTAGATAATATATATTGATAAATAAAATTTAAATCAAAGAATTAAGAGTAAAAATTATTTTTGATTAAGTTTTGTGAAATAAACTTCAATCGGCAGTTGCGGCAAATCAGTTGTGTGAGCAAAATCCGTTTTGGTCGCATTGGCATCGGCTGATAAAATTTTTTTGAATCTTGGAACAATCCTTTTGAATTTCCTAACATTCGTATTCGATATGGTCATAATAGCTGATTCCGAGGCAAGCGCCGTGGCTTCGCTTATAGCTCGTGCAGTGCTCAATGTAACGCTGCTTGCTGTCGTGCTTGGCGTCTTGGCTTTGCGAAATTTGGTAACATCGCTCGTTACGTTTTGGCTTTTCACTTCGGGTTTGGGCTTTAACTTTTCATTTACGCTATTCGTTGGACTCAAACTAGACGAGTTCGTATTGAATTTGCGACGTCTTACGTTGATGAAATTGGTTTTGCTTCGCCTACTTTTCGGCTGTGTGGCTGGCGTCGTACTTGTTAGATTGGAAATTGAGAAATTCCTAACAAAAGTTGGCTGCGTTTTATTCTTATGCACTTGTGTGATATTCATTTTTGCCGCAGCGAATTTTTTACTATATTTACCTTCGATGCCATCGTTTTTTTTCAACAAAATCGAAGATCGTTTTTTGGAAGTTTCCAATTTGGTTTCTTCCGTTTGCTTTGCTAGATTATTTAAGGTAACATTTTTGGCAGCCAACTGACTTTTGCGGCAATTCTCGCAGGCATTATTATTGAATTTGTCTAGTTTTAATATTTTTCTAGGCGATAAATTTAGTGTAGAGTTCCAGTTCTTAAAATTTGATGTTGTATTCGGTGTGGCCAAAGCTTCTGTAGGACTTGAAGTGGCCAGTTGAATGGGCTCTGTGTAGAAATCATTTTTAGTCTTTGGCGAAAAAGTTGTTTGTGGCGCTTCAGCAGTTGTGGTTGTTGTTGTTGTAGATGCTGTAGATGTTGTTGTGATTATAGCTGTGGTAGATGTGATGGGCTCGATATTAAAAATATCCATATCAAAAAGAGTATTCAGAGTTTCACTAGTTGAGCTTGCTTTATCTTCGTTTTCCTTTTCTGGCTCAAACTGACTGCGATTTTCTTGTTTTGATTTGGATGTTGAATTGGGTTCCGGGATATAAGGAAGTATGACGTCGTCGAGTGTAAAATAGGTATGGGTTACATATGGCTGATATGGCCGATAAGGCTGGTCTATTTTCGACATGCTGTTGGCTAGAGTATCCTCAACAGCCTTCGACGGCTGGGCAACATTTATGATCTTGCTTTCGTCTGCAGCTGACGCAATATTTTTGTTTTTCTTGCAAATAGTTCGATTTTTGTAGTCGGACTGAATTTGGTAGTCGGATGCAATTTGGTAGCCAGGTTGAGTGTTGTGGTCCAAATTCAAGTTGTAGTCGGGTTGTTTTTTGAAATCCGGATAAGTTATGGTTGGGCGATAGCTCTGATCGCTGCTTACGGTTGTCTTCGTCACAGTGGTTGAAGAAATTTTAGCCGCAGTCAAATATGAGCGCAGAAATTGCGGTGACAATGAACCATCATAGGTATTTTTGAAGGTGTTTCTGAAAGGCAATTTAAAAAATCTTTAACAAGTGATTCAAAATTATCAGGAGAAATATTAAGAAGAGAGAGAAATAAGAGAGAATGGGAGAGAAGAGAAGAGAGAAAGAGAGAGAGACTTAAATCGATACGTTTATAAAATTATGTGATATATAGATGAGCCTCCCTCCACCATAAATATATATTAAAGCTCAGAAATTGAGCCATTGACATTTTTCATCTAATTTATAAGGTGAAGAAAGTCTAGCGAAAACTATTTTATACCTCAATGGACTTCCATGAGTCGCAACAGTTTCCCTCGGAGCATTTCTATATCCATGCGCATAGAAAATATTTCCCATGCGTTGTTTTCTAGGCGATAGAGTGGGACTTCTATTCGCATACCAAAACAGTTTTCTATATGTATTTAGATAGTTTTTTCCCAATTGATTATACACAAAATAAGGCTGTCCATCCACAGTCCATAGCTGAAAAGAATTTATGTAAATACTTGTAAAATTGTATATATTTAAATAATATAAATAATAATAATAACATACCCCCGTATTATGTCGAATATTATCGGTGCAAACCTTTGTTATAAGGAAAAAAGTTATAGTTCCTGAAATGGAATTTATTTAAAATTATATATATATATATAAATATATCTATATATATATATATATATAAGCATATACATACACGTTCCTTAACTTTCACATTTACATACACATACATATATCCAAACGCCTACACACACAGATACAAATGTAAAAATACAGATACACATTTTGCTTTCTCTAACCAACTCCTTATAAAATTAGGAATCATAATGGAATACATATATATATATAAATATAAAGGAATCGATAGATTCATCATAAATTGCCAAAACTCAATCAACACTTCATTAGCAGACACATAAAATAATATTCCACTACATACATAATAATAATAATTTATTAAATTTACCGAAACAAATCTGAACAAAGTTGGTTGTCTGAAGATGCTTGGTAAACATGTTGGAACAGATACAGCTGCAGCTACAGCTAGTCACCGTTAGCGATTAGAGACTAATGGACCCCTGCCTAGACGCATGTCTATCCTACATGAATACCCTTTACGGCTTCAGTTTTAACTGCAAGGGGAGATGGTTAATGTAAGTGAAGTGGACAATATCTTCAATTGAAATAAGTTTCTATATCACTGTTTGCCTGTTTGTCTGGCTCTGAAAATACATTTTAAAGTAATTGAATTTGTCTTAATATACATTATTTGAAATCTAATCTAAGTTTTGAATTTTTAGTACTATTATTTTATTTATAAGTACCTTTTTTATAAGTAGTTCTACATATCTCGCCATGAGAGAAATTTTGAAGTTTTGACACCTTTAAGACTCGCAAGAATAGGAAACACGTTCTTAGACTTAAAAACCAGTTCAGCAAACTTATATATATATTTCCTTTTTATTTTTTATACTTTTTACATTTCATAAATAAATTAATTTTAAATATTCTTAATCATATTTATTTTTTGTATCCAACCTTTTAAAAAGTTTCTCAAATATATGTGTCCTTACAGGGTATCAATGCGCTTAGCACTCACTAAAACACTATGTTACTGTTGGTTGTAACGAGATCATATGTTGCAGATGCCATGAAGCGTAGCATTACATGCATGGTTAAATTTCCAATAGATATTTTTTATCTCACTTAATACCAAAAACTTTTTCTACTTCTTTTAAATGAACAGTTTAAGCTGGAAGAAATTACCCGGCTTTGCACGGCTAATACATGATAAATTTTTTGCCTTTGACCAAACGTGAATTTGAATTATTTTTTAAGTCAATCTGAGATATGAACACGAAGTTTTCATGAAGTTTTCATATCTTAATTTTGAATTAGTTTTTTTCTAGAACCTCCTCCATAAGTGGTCTCACTTTCATAAACAACATTAGCTAATGTTGGCAAATTATATATTTTATGCATCGAATAAAATTTTGTTCATTTTATAACAAATCATTCAATAAAGACTTGATTTTAAGCCATCGTCAATTTAAACGTATTAAAAAGAAATCGAAAAGATCTAATTACTCTGGAAAATAGCTTTAAACTAAAGAAAACAAACTTATTCTTTAAGTCTTTCGGTCAAGACACATTGAACAATTTCCTTTAGATGCTGAGTTACTAATTCATTGATCAACAATTTTAGTATCTCGGGTTCTTTGCATTGATAGTTTCGCCAGTTGACGTCGGTGTTGTAAATTTCACTTATTACGACTTTTTCGAAATCATCGCAAGAACTTTCTGCTTTGAATTTGCCAATTGAATAAGATTTGGCATTTTCAGCTCTGGCATGGGGCAAATGTCTGCCAAGCAAAGAGCTTATGGTCTTTGACAATTTCAACAAGCAACCCATTTGCGTGGCATCTTCCTGGGGAACTTCCCAATATTCTCGTATTATTTCAAACGTCAAGTCCATGATCAGACGCTCATAAAAACTTAAGAAATCTATTATTACAAGTAAATAATTAAACATTATTTAAAATTACAAAAACAAAACTGTTGCTTACCCGAAGATAAAACAAACTCAAAAAGATCCTGGTTCAATATTTTAATTGCGCCCAAAATACAGCTGAGATGCGACTTTAAAATTTCACAAACGCCGACGTGGTCTAAGTTTTGCGTCTTAATGATAATTCTCTGGAAAAAATATAATAATTGTTTATTAATTATAATTGTTTACTGAAATAAGTAACAATTTTCACTGATCTCCTAAAGCAAATATTCTGTTAGTCATTGATATTCTTAAAATACTCAGTTTGCCAGGTTAGTCAAAAGTAATAAAACCGAACATTATCATACAGCATACAGCATACAGCATACAGCATACAGCATACAGCATACAGCATACAGCATACAGCATACAGCATACAGCATACAGCATACAGCATACAGCATACAGCATACAGCATACAGCATACAGCATACAGCATACAGCATACAGCATACAGCATACAGCATACAGCATACAGCATACAGCATACAGCATACAGCATACAGCATACAGCATACAGCATACAGCATACAGCATACAGCATACAGCATACAGCATACAGCATACAGCATACAGCATACAGCATACAGCATACAGCATACAGCATACAGCATACAGCATACAGCATACAGCATACAGCATACAGCATACAGCATACAGCATACAGCATACAGCATACAGCATACAGCATACAGCATACAGCATACAGCATACAGCATACAGCATACAGCATACAGCATACAGCATACAGCATACAGCATACAGCATACAGCATACAGCATACAGCATACAGCATACAGCATACAGCATACAGCATACAGCATACAGCATACAGCATACAGCATACAGCATACAGCATACAGCATACAGCATACAGCATACAGCATACAGCATACAGCATACAGCATACAGCATACAGCATACAGCATACAGCATACAGCATACAGCATACAGCATACAGCATACAGCATACAGCATACAGCATACAGCATACAGCATACAGCATACAGCATACAGCATACAGCATACAGCATACAGCATACAGCATACAGCATACAGCATACAGCATACAGCATACAGCATACAGCATACAGCATACAGCATACAGCATACAGCATACAGCATACAGCATACAGCATACAGCATACAGCATACAGCATACAGCATACAGCATACAGCATACAGCATACAGCATACAGCATACAGCATACAGCATACAGCATACAGCATACAGCATACAGCATACAGCATACAGCATACAGCATACAGCATACAGCATACAGCATACAGCATACAGCATACAGCATACAGCATACAGCATACAGCATACAGCATACAGCATACAGCATACAGCATACAGCATACAGCATACAGCATACAGCATACAGCATACAGCATACAGCATACAGCATACAGCATACAGCATACAGCATACAGCATACAGCATACAGCATACAGCATACAGCATACAGCATACAGCATACAGCATACAGCATACAGCATACAGCATACAGCATACAGCATACAGCATACAGCATACAGCATACAGCATACAGCATACAGCATACAGCATACAGCATACAGCATACAGCATACAGCATACAGCATACAGCATACAGCATACAGCATACAGCATACAGCATACAGCATACAGCATACAGCATACAGCATACAGCATACAGCATACAGCATACAGCATACAGCATACAGCATACAGCATACAGCATACAGCATACAGCATACAGCATACAGCATACAGCATACAGCATACAGCATACAGCATACAGCATACAGCATACAGCATACAGCATACAGCATACAGCATACAGCATACAGCATAAGCATACAGCATACAGCATACAGCATACAGCATACAGCATACAGCATACAGCATACAGCATACAGCATACAGCATACAGCATACAGCATACAGCATACAGCATACAGCATACAGCATACAGCATACAGCATACAGCATACAGCATACAGCATACAGCATACAGCATACAGCATACAGCATACAGCATACAGCATAGCATACAGCATACAGCATACAGCATACAGCATACAGCATACAGCATACAGCATACAGCATACAGCATACAGCTACAATACAGCATACAGCATACAGCATACAGCATACAGCATACAGCATACAGCATACAGCATACAGCATACAGCATACAGCATACAGCATACAGCATACAGCATACAGCATACAGCATACAGATACATACAGCATACAGCATACAGCATACAGCATACAGCATACAGCATACAGCATACAGCATACAAGCATACAGCATACAGCATACAGCATACAGCATACAGCATACAGCATACAGCCATACAGCATACAGCATACAGCATACAGCATACAGCATACAGCATACAGCATACAGCATACAGCATACAGCATACCTACAGCATACAGCATACAGCATACAGCATACAGCATACAGCATACAGCATACAGCATACAGCATACAGCATAACAGCATACAGCATACAGCATACAGCATACAGCATACAGCATACAGCATACAGCATACAGCATACAGCATACAGCATACAGCATACAGCATACAGCATACAGCATACAAGCATACAGCATACAGCATACAGCATACAGCATACAGCATACAGCATACAGCATACAGCATACAGCATACAGCATACAGCATACAGCATACGCATACAGCATACAGCATACAGCATACAGCATACAGCATACAGCATACAGCATACAGCATACAGCATACAGCATACAGCATACAGCTACAGCATACAGCATACAGCATACAGCATACAGCATACAGCATACAGCATACGCATACAGCATACAGCATACAGCATACAGCATACAGCATACAGCATACAGCATACAGCATACAGCATACAGCATACAGCATACAGCATACAGCATACAGCATACAGCATACAGCATACAGCATACAGCATACAGCATACAGCATACAGCATACAGCATACAGCATACAGCATACAGCATACAGCATACAGCATACAGCATACAGCATACAGCATACAGCATACAGCATACAGCATACAGCATACAGCATACAGCATACAGCATACAGCATACAGCATACAGCATACAGCATACAGCATACAGCATACAGCATACAGCATACAGCATACAGCATACAGCATACAGCATACAGCATACAGCATACAGCATACAGCATACAGCATACAGCATACAGCATACAGCATACAGCATACAGCATACAGCATACAGCATACAGCATACAGCATACAGCATACAGCATACAGCATACAGCATACAGCATACAGCATACAGCATACAGCATACAGCATACAGCATACAGCATACAGCATACAGCATACAGCATACAGCATACAGCATACAGCATACAGCATACAGCATACAGCATACAGCATACAGCATACAGCATACAGCATACAGCATACAGCATACAGCATACAGCATACAGCATACAGCATACAGCATACAGCATACAGCATACAGCATACAGCATACAGCATACAGCATACAGCATACAGCATACAGCATACAGCATACAGCATACAGCATACAGCATACAGCATACAGCATACAGCATACAGCATACAGCATACAGCATACAGCATACAGCATACAGCATACAGCATACAGCATACAGCATACAGCATACAGCATACAGCATACAGCATACAGCATACAGCATACAGCATACAGCATACAGCATACAGCATACAGCATACAGCATACAGCATACAGCATACAGCATACAGTATACAGCATACAGCATACAGCATAAGCCTCATAAGCCTCTACAACCATAAGCCTCTACAACCATGCAACCATACAACCATACATACCAACCGTCCAACCATCATGTCATATGTCATATGACGGTTGGTCATATGACGGGTGGTCATATATTATATGACAGGTGGTCATATATTATATGACGGGTGGTCATATATTATATGACGGGTGGTCATATATTATATGACAGGTGGTCATATATTATATGACGGGTGGTCATATATTATATGACGGGTGGTCATATGTCATATGACGGTTGGTCATATATTATATGACGGGTGGTCATATGTCATATGACGGTTGGTCATATGTCATGATGGTTGGTCATATGTCATATGACGGTTATTCGTATGTCATGTTGCATGGTTGCATGGTTGTATGGTTGTATGTTGTATGGTATGATGGTATGATGCCATGATGGCATGATGGCATGATGGCATGATGCTATGATGGCATGATGCTATGATGCTATGATGCTATGATGGTATGATGGTATGATGGTATTATGGTATGATGGTCTGATGGTATGATGGTATGATGGTATGATGGTATGATGGTATGATGATATGATGGTATGATGGTATGATGGTATGATGGTTTGATGGTATGATGGTATGATGGTATGATGGTATGATGGTGTGATGGTATGATGGTATGATGGTATGATGGTATGATAGCGTGATGGTATGATGGTATAATATAATGATGGTATGATGGTGTTATGGTATGGTGGTATGATGGTATGGTGGTGTTATGGTATGGTGGTATGATGGTGTTATGGTATGATGGTATAATGGAGAGACGGAATGATAATATGATGTTTGAATGTATAATAATTTATCAAATAGAATTTGATTTATCTTTAGTTGGATCATTGTCAGTTCTACTTACATCGATAAGAATTGCCACAACTCTAGCTGCAAACACAGTTTTGAGTGGCCACTGCTCGGTCATCATTTGCAGGGTTCCCACATTTGGTAAATCCTTTAGTGTTAGGTCGTTTACAGAGTCATTTTTAAATATTTCTTCCAAAAACTTCTTAAAATATATAAAGTCTTCCATCGCAGATTTCTGATCGCCACAAATAACATGCCATATCTCATTAAATTCTTCTAAATGGGATTTACTTGAAGATCTTTTGATATCTTTATCATAGTTATCAGCACAGCTTTCACCTCTTAACTCCGAAGCAGCTTGAATTATGGGCAATTTGCTATTTTTTACATATCTCTTAAGTTGGCTTAAAAGATTCTGCTTCACATCTGGCTTGCATAACTCTATTAGCTTTGAAGAGAAGGAACTTATGATTGGTAGACTTTGTGTATAGCAAAGTTCCTGCTTTTTTTGAATCGGCAGATGCGGGAGTTTTTGTAATGATTTTGTATGGAGTAAAATTGGCTTTTGTTCATTGAAATGTAATAACCTAGAAAAAAAGCAAGGTAAAAGTAAGGTATTTTATAGTTAGGCACTACCTTTTAGTCTTAACATTTCACTATATACTGATTGCATTGGCGCCATACCTTTTAAGATATTGTCGTTCTTCTTGCATTTGATAGAGCAGCCTTTCCTGTTTTTTGTTTATCTTCACATATTCTTTTAGATATCCTCTCGACTGCAGCCGCTCCTTTTGCACCTCAAACAATGAAAATAAATGTGTCGTACGATCAATTAGTAGTTTCTCCCGCACTTTCAAAAGTTGCATTAAATTATCGAAGTGCGATTTCTGTGCATTGATCGACTTCATTTCCTTTAAAAAATATAGAAAAGCAAGAATAGACTTAAACTGGATTACTGGTTAAAAACCTTACCGATCTCTTAACTTTCGTATGCCTCAAGAACTTTTTATTCAAAACTTTTTGATTGAGTGTCTTCGTTTCAGAACTCGTAGTTCCAAATATAACTTTGCCTGCGTAATAGTATTTTATATACTCTGATTTATGGTTCCCTTCTTTAATCAACTTACATGTAGTCTTCTTATTGGACTTATTGGCATGTCTTGGAAATCTTCCTTTTAATAGATTTGAATATTCTTTATAATCTCTATTCTCTTTTCTTCCTCGACTACTGAACGCTTTTGAGTTCTTAATTATAAGCTTGATTTTATTCTGTATAGCCGCTATAAAGTTATATGGATACTTAGAAATCGTTTGTTGGCGCCGCAAGGCAAGCCACATAATGCCAATTCTGCCCTTGCAAGTTCTTTGAAATTGATTCATTATGGTTCGGGCTTTAAGAATTGTGTATATAAGGACATTTAGTTTCTTTAATGAGTACTGAAGTGAAGTGTACTTAATTAGACTCCAAGGGATCTGTAATTAGACCAAGAAGTAAGTTTAATTAATTCAATATATTGACTAGGCTGTCAGGATAAGAATGCTTTAAACTTAGTGAGAGATCTCCTAATTGGAGTCACTCTACTAGAGCAATCTTTCGTGCTTTAAAACTAAATTCATATAAAATTCACATATAAAATTCATTCATATATTGAAGATTTAATATTTTATATATTTTTACAATTACCTGTTCAGTGTAACAAACTACTATAATTAAGTCCGCGTTGCCATAGATATAAATTCGTTTTGATTTTTATTCCCCATTCTTAGAGCTCGGCAAACGTTGCAAATATTTAGCAAGTGTTTGGAAAATATTTGTGTGTATGGATTATGTATATTAATTATTGAAAGTGTTCAACGACCCTAAATGTTTACTAAAATATGTATTTTTATATTCGAATATAATATAGCTAACTTCATGGCAATCTATATACTGAATAACAACAGGAAGAAGAAGTAAGCCTGCTTTAGCTTTAGAATAAATTAGTTTATATGGTTTAAACTGATGAACTCAAGAACTTCCTAATTCAATATGGACTGATTATTAAATTAGCTTTCTTGCCTTATTGAATGATAAATCGTTTAGTCTAGAAAATAAATATATTCCACAACAAGAAATCTCATCCCAATCTAATTTTCGGAATGCATGATTCACTATTTTTCTGCCTCTCAATGTTTATATGTATTCTCGCTCAGCATAAACATCTAAGTCCGTTTGGCCATGTACGTCTGATCGTCCTGCAACTCGTCTTTAAATATTCTATTGAAATCGATATCAAATCGATATTATTTAAAGCTACTGCTGCCTATCAATATCAATTCAAGCATGTCATAACAAAACTTTTTCCTTATCACGATTCTCATTAAGAGATTAAAAAACTTAGTTAAGACCATAAGAAATGTATTCTAGTTCAGTGAGCTCTTTTTTTATGGATATAGATCACACCTGGGTACTGCCGGAGAGAATAGAAAGACATTTTAGGAATTTTTCAACAAAATAAAACTGAATATTATATTATTCTAAAATTGTTTTTTTTTTATTTCATTTATTTAATTTACAGTCAGTAATGAAAATGAATACAAAAATATTTGATTTTCATAAGATTCACATATATCAGGAAAATTATAACACATAGGGTCCAAGATATGAATTATAATTGCTCGACTCTCTCGACGAGACAATTGCGTTAATCAAATCATAGTTAGCAGGAACCATTAACTTAACTGAAAAGAAGACGGGAAAAGTACTTTGAGTTAGTTTAAATAAAAGCAAAAAAAAAAATATATATATATATATATATATATATAAATTATTGAATATACAATATATAGAACTGCATATCTATAGATATATATACCAAGCATATTATAATCAAAGACCATTCATAAATAGGTTAGAAGTAGCCCTCTACAGACTTTCAGATACTCACTCTCTATTTAAATGTGCACCCGTATCCGTGGACAAGCAACCAGCACCGCCGCCAAATCCATAACCCTTGGGACCGTACTTGCGTCCATGGCAATTTTTGCAGAACAGTGTCTTTTCGTGCTCGGTGCAGTTTGTCGAGTCCAAAGCCTTATTGCACATACCTAGTTGGGGAGTATTAGATGGTAGAGCTCAAGCATATTTGAAGCCACTTGTTTCACATTCTACTTACTGCACTTGAAGCAAGTCTTATGGAATTTGTAGCCACCAGCAACGCGCTCTTCAGCTGCGTAAACCGACTTGCCACATGCTGGGCATTTGGGTGTCTCTACCGGAACGAATGGCATTGTATTGCTGTAGCTGCAAGCGATTATGAAATTCAATATTAAAAATTAAGAAAAAATTAAACTACTCAAATATAAAGGAAAATATTTAAGTTCGTTTTTAACAGCGTTAACATACCGACAATGGTAGACTTGTAAAGAAGTTCCTGTATGTCAAAGACGCTGCCGACTAAACTGGAAAGATTCTGTAGTCTGGTAGTCTATATTTGTGGATGCACACGGCACAACAAAAAATACATTTTGCGTTAGACATACGGCAATAAAGCGATAAATATAATTTTTTTTGCCCCCCTCCCGGACTTGTACGTAACCAGTATGAAAATAAATGTATTACAAATATCCCGCCTTACAGCAAAATAATGAATTAATTAATTTAATTTAATTAACGATTAATTACCTATAACTAACTGTATGCCTAATTCTAACAAAATCTTGCACTATTTTTTTAAATTATATTATTTATATAGTATATTTTACAAGCTGTGCATATGCATATATAAGAAGTAGGCACGTTGCAGTTGGCAACAAATATTCGACTATAGAATGCCCTGCTTAAACTAATTCCATTCAAAATCTAAGTTTCATTTATGTTGATGACTACGACTAGTGTTAGGGTAGAGTAAGGTAAGACTTTAAGCACTCTTAGACTACCTGCAATTTTTTAAAAATAGATTTTATATGTGTATACAACTGTGTGTGTGCGAGTGTGTGTGTGTACTTTATGTTTCAAGTTTCTAACTTTAAGTGCGTGGGCTATAAACAAACAGGCGAGACGCAGACGCGTGCAGCAAGACGGCGGACGCATTGCACAAAACCAATATAATATATATACATATATATATATATATATATATATATATACATATATACGCATATACATAAAAACACATATATATATATATATATATATATATATATATATATATATATATATATATATATATATATATGTATATATACATACCGTGTAGCTATGAGGCGTGTATAAAAATATACCACATATTCAATCATAAGTACATATGTCTGTCTGTGTATACATATTCCACCAAAGAATACGTTAGTGTTTGGAAACGTGTATGCTTTATAAATAAAAATAAGTCTTGCATACAAACATTCGTAAATTCACAAAATGTATAAGTGTGTGTGTGTGTCCGTGCGCGGGTACATACATTCTATGATGTACATATCCATAGAATTGAATTGAAATTCAATTTTTTATTTTGTTTTCATTTTTCCTTCCCACTTCCCAAGGGTATGAAAAATATTTTTTTAATTTAATTTTGTAATGCAATGAAATAGAAACCCAAAAATATATTTTTGGGACTTAACAGCACGACGCGGCGATAAGGCCAACTAAATTATACCTTGGAATTGACAAAATTTACAATAGTGATTTTTTTTATTTTCTCTAACTGTCAGAAAGTCGCCGATGATACCCTATAATATATAGACAGATCTTTTTATCCATTTCTATTTTTATGCTCGCATAAACACTTTATAAAGTTACAAAAGTAGTGGAAACATTTATGTAAGATTTTTCTATTAACCAGATTTATTTGGTAAGGATATTTGCTCTTTGAAAATTATTAGATATATAAATAGAAATTTGTAGTCTATTCTACCTGGTCTGCTCTAAAATTACTTGCATGATTTTAAGATTTACCATGTTAAAAATAATTTGATGACTATAAAAAAAATTGCAAAGCCCCCTACCATATTTCTTTAAAATAGCACAATTTAGAGTGCTCTAGTAAGGGGGTGTTCGACTAGAAAATACCGAGCGCACCGTTGTCATCTAATTGCATATATATATGAAGCATGTGTCCAGATATAAAATTAGTTCTTCTCAATTTTGGGGTGAATATGATTTATGTTTTGCAATAGAGAATTGTATTCTCTCCAATTGTATATTAATCTCATTTACTTTCTCAAAGATAATCTAATCTAATCATCCATTTTTCTATTATTTTTTCTCCGTTCTCTTAATCCATTCCAATACCCAGAAATAACAATGTAATGATCCCTCCACAATAATTCGGAAGATTACGCCAGTATACAATTTCAGCAGCAAAGTAATAGACTTTATTTACATATTATATATTTACTAAGTTTATTTTGTGGGTATACACTTTATCTGTGTGGAATGACAATCTTATTTGGTATTTATTGCTACATTTTAAGAGATTTTTCTAACCTAATAAATAAATAAGTCAAAAGTTATTTAGTGAAATCAGTATAACTAGATTACTTTGTTTATTGCGAAGTCCATTCATTGATTGAATACGTGCTTCCCATATATTGTTGCTGACGAATTGATTCATTGTTTGATTGATGATTTGCAACTGAGTTCCAGGGTTGTCTGGGAAAGGCATTTGAGTTAATGTACGATCCGGAACTACCGGAACTATAACCGGGCGTTGCATGGAAATTGGAATGGTAGGGAGCAAAATTAAAATGGCCATAAGGTGCATAATTGTTTATATGATAGTTGGCTGCTGTTGGTGTGCTCTTATTGTCATAGTAATTATAATATTGGGGGGTAAACGAATGTTGGACATTTTTACTTGAAAAATATGAGTTCTCTGGCATTTCAGTGGCGGAAGTCATAGCTTGTGGTTGTGATGCAGTCGATGGAATATTAAGTGAGCTATTGTATGATTCCACAATCGGTAGCTGCCCTTCATGCTTGTACGGTTGTGGTTGCTGTTGTTGTTGTTGTTGCTGTTGTTGTTGCTGTTGTTGTTGCTGTTGTTGTTGCTGTTGCTGCTGTTGTTGCTGCTGTTGTTGCTGTTGCTGTTGTTGCTGTTGTTTTTGATAGTTCAAATCTTCAGGCATTTGATGTAGACTTGCTGGAATGCTGCTTATACTTTCAGCTTGGTTATTGTTTTGCAATAAATGAGTTTTAGTTTGCTGCAAATCCTCAAGAATGCCAGTTCTTGTGAATGGTGGATCAGACGGTGGTTCAGTTGGTAAACCTTCTTTAATACCGGCTTCATTCTTCATTGTTTTTAGGATAGTTGATTTATCCGTCGATTTATCTGAAATGTAATATATTTGTTAATCGATTATCAGAGAATTACTAGAGTATCTAGCTTACCTTGTTCTGGTGATTTAGGTTTCGGATTATCCGTATCGCAGTCCGATGTAATATCAATTACGTCTTCTTTGCTATTCTTTTCTTCATCTGGTCGCTTGGCTGTTGTTCTAATTGCTATAATTTTACCGCTATCCAATTGCATATATATTCCTTTAGCCGATTTTAATACCATAACTCTTTGCCCGGCTTTGAGTATTATATTCGATTTTTCTGATGAATTTGTAGGTATGACAACATCTGAAAAGAATATTATTAAAGAATTTTAACGAGATTGTCTGGCTAGGTCTGTAGACTATAGACTAAGTAAAATTGTTCTTTGACTTTAGTTATTATAAGACCTAAAAACACTGTCAATCTACTTACCAAGGGGTAACGTCATTTCTTGCGCTGTCATTCCCTGTCTTTGCCAAACTTCAGCAGGAATCCAACGCGTTGACCGTCCTCCCGTAGCTGGAGTAGTTTTCTTGGTCTGTAATGGCTTAATCTATAAAAGATATAAAGCATAAATTCAAGTTGAATTTAGTTATATCTTAGCTATTAAATAAGACATATAT